CGCCGTCCGGCCTGCCTCTCCATCCTGGCCCCGCTGCACAGAATCAAATCGTCGGCATGGCCAAGCCAACGCTGCACCCGTCAGCGCGACCCTCCCCCATTCGCTGGCGTCGACACAGGTCTGCACGTCCCCGTGCATTCACTGCTTACGGCACCCTGCCGCCTGCTGTCCTCTCCCGCATCCCCGACCTTGCCCACAGCGCTGGGAGTGAGACTGTTATTTACGGCACACTCGAGCTGGCCAGGTGATTTGCGGCTCACCGATGGATAATGTGCGCGACGTGCGTTGTTAAACTCCGGGCCGAATGGGCGCCTCTACCGCACCCGGGCTGCTGCGCTCAGACTCGTCTCGCTTCAACCATCATCTCTACTGGCCCCTTCCATCTTCACCGTTCAAGAAGCCCAGGCGTACGGGCGACTATTTTGACGCTCCACACGACTCAGCTCACTGCACTGAACGGTGTGCCTGGCGGCGAAGCGAGCCGCATGCTTCTAGGACTCGACATAGGTGTCCGTTCCATTGCAAAGAGGCGCATTCCATAACAATTTCTGGCCACTTCCTGGATGACGCCACTGCTCGTAGGCCTGCCGTCGGGCTCGATCGATTGCTTATATCAACGAGAAGCCAGATCATGACCGGGCTCAAATTTGGCCGTCGCCTATGCTACCCGCTGCATATGTTTCATAATCTCCTCTTACTGTAGCTGGATGACATGCTAATGCAACCACAACAGAGGAAGCGGTCGTTGGTGCCGCAAGTGCGTCGGTCAGAGGTAACCACCGGCAACAACATGGCACACGGCATCTTGCCTCGGTCCCTCGATTCCGTGGGAACCCGTCGGATTGTTGATTCAACGGCTTAAGAAAATGCCACCGTTTCGAAATGAAATTTACTTTTTCTTTGTGCTACCATGTTGTGTGGTCACCTTGCATAAGACCGACATCGAGTCTAGCGAGGCATTCCATGAGATGAGACATGCAAACGGCGCATTACGAACGTCTCTGACGATCACGTACCACACCTAGAGGCCAGTGGCAATCGTTTGCCAATACATGTTCGTGGATTGACTTGGTTGAGCAAAGATCGATTTTTCGATGAACTGCATCAAGAAGGACCGAAGTGCTCCCTCTGCTCTCACCTCATGTGATTGAGAAGCCACAGCCACATACAAGGTTCCTGGCCTCGAGGCCGACATGCGTCGAATTGGTTTGCATACTCAGTGGCGAGCCTATGGCGGGGTAATGGCCGAGCCGCGTCTTGTGCGTTACCCACTTCGAAATATGATTCGCCAACATCTCAAGTTGTACAACCGTCTTACGTTTGATATCAAGCTCCTCATCTGGTTCCTGCATTCGAACGCTTAAGTGTATTTCACGCCTGCAGGAGATATGTTTCATCACCTCAGGCCTATGCTTGTTCTTTCTGAACCATGTTATGGTGGTCAACCGTCCACACCAGTTTCACTAGGGGCGATTCATCGTCGAATCCCGCGCACGACGTGTCCTCCTCGGAACTCATCTTAGACGCTAAGAGAAGTGTATTCGTGAACCTAGTCTTGCCGTAGCCCATCGGCATCTGCCGCTCAGGGCCACTTTCGCAAATTCCCCGTCAAGATATCGTTCTGGCCACAAGAACATCTTCCAGTATCTCGGTAACTATGTTCCCAGCTTTTCGCCTGCGCTAACACTACCTGCCGCCCATTCCTCACCGTCCGTCCCTCAAATGCTCCTTTACCATCGACCATCCAGTTCAGGGGTACATTACCCGTGCTCCGGTACCACCCAAGTATACTGTACCCCCAGCTAGCAACCCAAACCCAAGAACCCCTCGAATCTTGAATCACACCGCACCGGGGAGTTTACGCATCCGTATAGCCCCCGGGCAGGGCAGGGCTCCATGGCACGTGTACGTGCGCCTGCGCTTGCCGCAAGGCACCTGTGCAGCGATCCTGATCCCTCCCAATCTTTGTCAGAGTCAGAGTCAGAAACATTAGCGCTCACTATGTGGTTTCGGACATCCTAATTGATCGGTGAGAGAGAGATATCGCGCCTTGCCTCTCCATCAAAACATCAGTGCTTCGCCCTTATCGCATGGTTTTGGGAAATAAGGTTGGGGTTCGTATAGAAGGATTGGCTCCGCGGAGCCTAAGCGGGGAGCTATGCTGTTTACAGCACAGGTGGCGTAGGTGGCGTGACGCGTCGCGAACTATCACGCGGATAATGGGCATAGGGGAGATGTGCTGGGCGAGTATAAGAGATGGTCCGAAAGGATCGCCGGCTCGCGGATATAACGACAACGATTTGGTGCATTGCATTGCATTGCGCTGCCGCTCAGTGGGTGGAAAATGGTGAGTGGGGGCCAAGTGCATGGCGTCTTGCGCTGATGGAATCGATCCCATTCGTGGGATTGATTGCATTTATTTGATTTATCAGGATGACCGTCATCTGAATGGCGACTATAGAAGAACAAGGCGAAACCATCGAGAGTCAATCTGGTCTTGAGTCGACTCAGAAAGTCCTGCACCGCGGTTGGCGCGGTAGCCGCGCCAATCGAAAGAGAAGTCTTTAGCGACGTACCATATACTGGAGACGGTCGCCGCTTACCCTTTCAGCTTCTCTTCGTTGATGTCTGCCGGTTATTACTGATTTCGTCTCGAAATCGGCGCGGTCATCGGCCTGACCTCCCAGTGGAATGCCTGCACGGTTCCAGCACAGCCCCGCCGCACCCTCGCTAGCACAAGTTTGTCTACGACTCGACAACAACATGTACACGTTCGTCGGAGGGAGATCGAGGTATAGCGGTAGTTGACATTGTGCACTCTGATCCAAAGGCAGACATGGCCGATACGTCGGATGAGAAGGAGCTCGAGAACGATCTTTGTACAATGCGTCGCGCCGTAAATCAAGGTGACGCAGAAAGGCGCTTTCAAAAATTCCTCTGCGTACGCTGCTGCTGGATGTTATGTTATGTCTTTGATGCTCGCCCTTGTGATTGGGCTCCTCCTTACACGCATTTGTTCACCCTCAGGTAAGATTGAGGCACGGCGCCGATGCGAGGCTCTTCACCTTGTCGTACGCTTCGTCTTCGATAAGTAGTCTATCTATCGGACCATCAGCGGCTACCCAAATCACACTCGAATGTCCGGGCTGGAGAAGGTTTTGCTAATATTCACTGACCATATCTTCGAAGACGCTAACGTGTTTGAGGGTCGTCAAGCCGGATGCAGAGCTGAAATTCTTCACTATTATTGACTTTCAAGCACCATCTCGTCTGATCTTGTTCGGCTCATTACGTTCTTCGAAACCACCGGGAATAGATTACGAGACAGTGCGTGGATAATGGTCTACTGCGAATTGTGATTGTAAGAATTTGCATTTTTGTGTGACCAAAGCCCTGAAGCTCTGAACGTCCTCTACGGATTTGTAAAGCTAGAAGGGGTTGATTCCAATCTCGCGTCAGAATCGGATCCAGCCTCCTCGTCTAGAAAAGTTTCCATCTTCGGGACTCTCCGAATCATGGCTGTCTTCTTCTTCCCCTTCAGAACTTCCCGCTTCAGATTTCTCGCATGTCTGCCTGTATATATGACTCGTCTCCCAATATCCACTCTCACGAAGGAGCATGTCGAAATAATAATGATCGCAACTGAATCCGAAGGTCTCTGGTGATTGGTTTGTGATGAAGTCTTAACATTGCCAGCAAAAAAGCCTCTACACGCATCCCAGTCTGATCATCAAGTGACTGCGCGGACATAACACAGCCGGTTTATTACTCTGGAGATCGAGAACCGGGTGCCGTTACTCGACATGGCCGTAACGGAATATTGCTGGAAGAATACCCAATGCTGTGATGTAGTTCTGGTGACTGCAAGAAGACCTCTGTCTGGAACATAGGCAAAGAGCAATTTAATCAGACACTGGAGTGAATTGGCCCAGGAAAGCTGATCATTGGAAAATATGTGTAGGGTTGCACTACTTTACGTGATGTAGCCTGACTGTCACTGGGATCGGACTGAGGGGTAATACATGTGGTCTACCTCTCATTATGTTATGCATTGTCTAATTAGATGATGCCTTACGCAGCAAAGACGTTTCCCGCTGTACTTTCATGGAGTCAATGATCAAGGCTTAATAAGCCATTAATGCTCCAGCTCGAACTTCAGCTCCAGGTTGACGTCGATCAATCCCGTGAGCCATTCGATGTCTTGTGGTCCATGGTGCCGCCTGCGACCGAGATACTAATTTCCAGACTACTTTGGCATACCGAGGGCTTTTGAGCTCTCACTCGCCTACCATAATGTTTCCATACGATCCCCAAACTTGTCAAGTCCAACTGTAAAGCCAATGAATCTTGCCGTCAAATATGTCGTTTAGAAATTGCGTGACGGATTTAGAGACGAATAACCCAGTTGAAGCTGACCAAAGATACTTCGACACAATTTCCATATCAACACATGCAAGAGGACTTTTGACCAAATTTCACTTGAAGATATCAGCCAACCAGGCTTGCTGTGATATGGTAAGGTTCGCAAGCAGTGATCTTTAACGATGCAGTCGGTTTTGAGCTCAAAGGCCGAGCCCCAGGGGTAATAACTAAGTCCCCGAACAAGCTGCTTTAGTAGGACTTTAGGAGCGAGGCCGTACCGCCAAACCAAATTACCCTCGAGACTTTCTTATGAGAATCGTCATTACTAGCTCTTGTTCGCCAGATCGTCAGGGCCTACATTATAAATACGGGTACAAAGAGAATAATACTCAGTCAAAGTGAGCGAAGTCTGATGAAAGGGGATCTGGCACACGCCGGACGCGTGCGGCGATGCGCGATTTGCCGTATCAACCAATGACATCATGCCGCGACGCCAAATAATTGGCATTGCACTGCCTCCAGCTCAAGCGTTCAACAACAATCCGGTACATTCACGGACCTTCTCCTAGTGACAATGCATATCTTTTCACATCCGACTCCATTGTCGTCGCGAGCAACCGCGTGTGCTGACAGGCAACATGGCCGACTCAATCGACGATGTGCCCTCACCACGCAAAGCGAAGCAGCACTTCATCCGGTATATCCGCGATGAGCTCTTCACGTTGAATTTCTACCGTGCACATATGCTGTACTTCATCATCGTTATAGCGATCAGCTCAGTCATCGTTTACGGCGAAGGTGTGAAAAATGGACCGAAGGATGGCTATTATGATAGCCATCTGAGCTACATGGACGCGCTGTTCTTGACATGTAGCGCTATGACAACTACCGGTTCGTTAACGTCCACCCTCTGATTTGTGAAATCAAGGCCTTTCATACTCGAATATCCGACTTCAGTCTGTAGGGCGCACGTCTAACTGTGTGCAGGGCTCAATCCCGTGAATCTGGGCGATTTATCCGGGTTTCAACAAGCTGTCCTCTGTGTACTAATGATGATTGGCAACATCCCGTTTGTCTCGATGGTAGTTGTTCTGATCCGGCAAAGATTGTTCCGTAAAAGAATGTCTGAGGTCGTGAGGCACTCGTGCACTATGAAGAGGTTGGTCCAGGACATTGAGAAAAGTCATACGAACGCAGGGAGCAGCGGAAGCGGCAATGTCAGCTTGCGGCAGCGCAACAATGCTGAACGGAGTAAAGGTGGAAAGGATAAAGCGGGAGAAGCCGAGCCGAAAAAGGTCAAAATCCAACCATTGAACAAGAGGCGAACGTTCCATCATCAGACAGGATTTGGGTTTGTGCCTACACCTTGGGAGACAAAACTTGCGAAAAGCTTCTTCTCGCGCGTATTTGACAGTGTTACGAGTGAACTGCGGCCAGAGCAGCATGACTATGTCTCGTTCAAGCCACACCTGGACTCGAGAGGGCGCTTCTTGGAGCTTAGTGAGCACGACAGACTTGAGCTTGGTGGTGTGGAGTACCGCGCCTTGCAGGCTCTACTATTCATCCTGATTGGCTATCAACTCTTCTGGTATCTGTTTGGCATCGTCTTCCTGATGCCATACGCATATCGCTCCACAACGCGCGACATCCTTCGTAACGCACAGCCAGGTGGTGTGAACCCCGGATGGTGGGCATTCTTCTCAACGGTCACCGAGTTTGCGAACGGCGGTCTCAACGTGCTCAATGCCAACTTCGTCCCGTTTGGTGGCATGCCTTACATACTCATCATTGCTGGTGCACTGGCTCTGATCGGACAAACGCAGTTTCCAATTTTCCTCCGACTGACCATATGGATCATGAAGAAGATGGTCCCTAAAGGATCTCGCCTGAGCAACACGCTACAGTTCCTTCTGCAGCATCCTCGACGCTGCTTCATCTACTTGTTTCCGAGCAGACAAACATGGTATTTACTGGCTATCCAGATCACCATCGATATCACTGCATGGCTGTGCTTCGAGATATTAAACATCGGCATGCCAGACTTCCAAGTTATGTCAGTTGGAAAACGAATTCTGGACGGATTATTCCAAGCCACCGGTCTGCGAACATCAGGAGCGTACATAATAGCTTTCAGTTCACTTGCGCCAGCTTGCTTAGTGGCCTACTTGGTCATAATGTACATTTCCAGTTATCCACTGGTGATGACGCTGCGCAAGACAAATACGTACGAAGAGCGATCAATTGGGTTGCAGGAGGGTGATGACAGTGCTGCCGGCATAGCATCTCATCTTCAAAAGCAGCTGGCGTACGATATCTGGTTCCAGTTCCTCGCTTTCTTCCTTGTATGCATCATCGAGCGAAGTCACCTTCGTGCCGCAGATCCAGGGTTCGATGTATTCTCGCTGCTGTTCGAGGTGACGTCTGCGTATGGTACTGTAGGACTGTCGACCGGAGTGCCTGGAGAAGATTACAGCCTTAGTGGTCGCTTCGCCAGCCTCAGCAAGGTCGTCATGCTGTTTGTGATGGTCCGCGGTAGACATCGTGGCTTACCACTGGCAATTGATCGGAGTATCCTCTTACCGGGAGAAGAGTTGATGAAAAGACTGGATGAGGAGTATGGTGGAGGAGCAGATACCTTTGCAAATGACTCACAAGAGCCAGGTAGTGATGTTGAACAGGACGGTAATCAAGCTGGAGGCTCAAGGTCGATACAAGGTTCAGAGAGAGACTCGCATTCAGTGTGAACTAGGAGAAGTATACAATTTGGTGTAACAACTACATCTTAAAGAACTACATCACCCAGCACTGAGCTCTTCGGATTGACCCTTTCGGCCCCCCAACCCATCACTGCTGTATAACCCCTCTCGCCATCAGAATCTGCACCGCCGGCAGACTGTCACTCATAATCTCAGTCCTCTTCAGCACAATACCATCATGTGACGCATCCTTCTGCTTCACATATACGAAGTGAAAGGCGGCTGGGATCTTGACGTCCCACTCTCTCCCAGCCAGGTCCTGAGCTTTCTTCTCCTGGGCTGTCGCATTACCAGGGAGCTCTGCAAAGAAGTAGGCTTGACCGAGCATCTCCCAACCTTCGTTCGTCTCCCAGGTGACAAGGAAATACGGTTCATGAAACTCGGATGTGAAATACTGGTACATGCCCTTGGATTCGGCGAAAGCGGCGGCATTACCTGTGGAAGTCTTTCCATCCGGCTTGATGAGCGTGAAGTCTGAGGAGAGCTGCAAGAGGTGAGATGTTGGTGGTTGCGCTTTCCAAAAAGAGTGGGGTAGTTTTGGAATCGTGCTGCTTTGGGGCGGGAGAAGCGAACTCACCCAATCACTCTCTTCCTGGTCCCAGTCTCCACGCTTGTTAAAGTTGAGAGTGTACTCCTCCATCCATTTCATAGCTGGGTGTTTCCTAGTCTCATCATCCCAGGCTCCAACATGTACAAAAGCGGGTGTAGTTGGGACAGACATGGTCGAGAACTCCTGTCGAGGTATATGGTGTACAGCAGCTGTATGCTCCATAGAGACGACATTTAAATACCTGAACAAAGGTAGCATCTCCAAGTCCGTCGTCCACTAGGCTTTCGAGGGACCTACGGTAGAGCAGTGCTAGCTCTTCAGCCCTAGCAACCTAGATCATAGCCCAACATCAGCCGCTCAGGCTAACAATAACGACGTTAGAATGCACCCACGTCTTTCTTTGTAAGCACTGACTTGTTTCATCCAGCTCATAGAGGCTGAAGAAGCAGTGTTGGCCCTGAATTACTATTGCAAAAACCTGGCATTAGAGATCTAGAATTGTCCAGATAAGTTCCGAAAATGATTGACGACTGCGCAGACAGACGATCATGATGCCTGGCCGGCATGGACATCGTGGCTGCATTTCAGCTGCTGTTAGCGGGTATTGAGGTGCATGTGCGGGGGACCCTCTGGGTGGCAGTGGCTGGCTGAGAGCTCAGGGAAATCATGGCTGTCATGTGCGCCACAATAGTTTACACGATCGAACTTCGAATGTCGTTGTTGAGACAGGTTTCTCAGAAAATGTAGAACTTGGGTTCGCCGACTCTCCGTTCGCTGCAATTTGCTCCAGGTTAGCTACCGACACCTTACGGACCTACGACCTTTCGCACATGTTACACTGAAATAAAGGAAGAGAACTCCCAAGCGCCAGGGTACTCACGATGGTGTCGCTTCTACTGTCTGGACGCAGCCTAAGTGCATCTTTTGAGAGCCCGGGAATGTGGACAAGCTGCACGTTGTGTCTGTTATAATTGGCCCGTCCATCAGCAAACGAAAGAGTGCAGCCAAAGTGAACCGTCAACCAAGAGGAAACTCATCCGTGCGTCGAGAGCCCAATGTCGTTACAATACGAACCTTGTGCCAAGCGCCACTGAAGAAGGCGATTCACCACGCCGAATACCTATCGATATATCCACAAAGCCCTTCCTCAATGCCCCAGCATCGCCAGGCACACCAATGAAGCGCGCAACAAACTGCGACAAATAAAAATTACTCCGGATGAGTGCCCGAAGACAAACAAACAACCTGAACCGATCCGCGCCGTGCAATGCGTGGTCCTGGTGTGGTGCCCCGACTCTTGAGCTCGGTGAACCCCAAAAAGGTAAGTATGAAAAGAGAAAAGAAAAAGAAGAGTAAAGCGACTGGCGCGGGCGGGTTTATGTAGAGGTTTGGAAGCCGCTAGTAGTGCTAGTGTGAGCGTCACGTGAAGGGTGTTGCCTGCGGATCTGTGCGGGTGAAGGCGGGCCGCGGTAGGTGAAGGTGAGAAGTCTGAATGGGTGAAATACAGGCTGCATATGGTGTCCCTTAGGGTCGCCCTGTTTGTTGACAACGGCTGAGGCCGTAGATGAAGGTAGTAAGCTTTAGGGAGATGGCCCTCGGAGTCATATCAGAGTTCCGTCTGCTCTATCAGTCATCAAAAGATGGAGTTTCAAAGCCTGAGAGTGACTCCGGAATGTTGTTTGATTATCTAGCCGCTATTGAAAGGCAAACACAGAGTGAATATCCAGTCATTTGTATACTGAAGCAAGTGTCTCAAGCACAGGTATCCGGATCCAGAAACCTGCACCATGTTATTCTCCATCACTCGAACCCCCTTGCCCTCACCATCATCCTACTCCTAACTGTCGAGCAATACCCTCCGTAATGTTATTGCAAGACTGATACACAAAGCCACAGCGATACCTCCGCCCGGGTTAGCACCATAGGCGGCGCAGGTATGAGCGCACTTCTTGAACGCGACATGGTCGCAGCGCTTGACCATTGGTGACCGGACCGCAGAGATGGTGTGGAATGTGTGGCTATTAGCGTTTGTGGCGAGGATGGTGTTGAATTGCACGTTGGCTGATCGTAGACTTGTCGGTTAGTTTGGAAGGATAGCTTGCAGAAATCGAGGCGGAGTTCGGATTCTTCAACAGTGGCTGTGAAAGCGAGGCCACACGTCAGACGAAATTCTCGAGTTGAGAACGTTGTGAAGATGTAATAAAAAAAATTAAAAAAAATTGAACGTCACACACGGGCGACGTGGAGCAAGATTTAACTCGATCTTGTTGTGGTCGGTAGAAGTGCGCAAAGCGGGTGCTGAAAAGAGACTGCATTGGTATCTTAGTTTGCATGACTACCTTGGAAATGCTCAATGACGCCCAAAAATGCATATGCTAGACGCTTCATCGAAACCTTTGAACCATAGTTTCATCAGTCATCCTCATCGTACTTGTTCGATGCATTCGCAAAATCGCCAAGCAGGATGTCGTCTGGTGCAGGGCCACGGTGGTTACGCACTGCTTCATGTTAGCTCTCCACTCTTTACTGTGTAAACATGAAGCACACTCACCCCACTCGGTCTCGACGCGGAAGAAAATCCAGAGCCATCTTCTGAACACTTCCAAGGCCTCCATTAAGAAGATGCCTCCCTCTAAGTCGTTGAAATGGTCCAAATGCGGACTTAGCTTGATGCTCCATGTGCACCTCAGCACAGCATCGATGCCGATTGCTGCGTAGTAGAACTCCTTGGCGTGGAACCAGCGATGCCGCCTTAGACCCCATGGATGCTCTGGATCCTCCCTCTCTCTTTTGCTCAGCAGGAGAGTAAGATCCCAATCCCGGCTCACATCCCACCAAAACGAGTATGCTGAATTGATGAAGACGGCGGCGAGCCATAGGCGGAACAGCGTGGCTTCGGACATACCAAATTTTGAGGGCTCTGGGCTACGTTGCAGTGCGGAGAGGATAATAACAGGGAACGCCGTGCTATACTTTAAAGCGTTCGCGAGATGGACGCCACCCCAGCCTGTCGCGGCGCTGATCTGTCCTGCTTGCTTGTTCGCCTTTTTCACGCGTCCGTACTCGGTAAGACATTGGCGGAGACGGATAAGCGAGGGTATCGATATGATGAACGGCACCCAGAAGGAGCCTCCACAGTTGCGGTTTGGTGGGCCAGTAGAGCTGTGCTTGGACGAAAAGAACATGCACAGGCTGATGAATAGGTCTCCAAGCACTTTTGCATAACTCGTCAGTGCATCGGCAAGCAAGATGTCCCCGAATTTCCCATCTTGAGCCTCCGCAATGCCTCCTATGCTGATCCTTTTCAGGGTCGCAAGTGTCCGGTGTCTTCCATTCCTGCTCACAAATGGTATGGGCACGATGAAGCCGATTACGAGGATGAGTAAGTAAAGGTTGGGCAGGATCTCCCAGGCGGCGATGTCTGCGGGGCTGCCGTTCGTGAGGCTCCAAAACAAGAGCAAGGAGAGGACGAGCGGAACGGTGAGGGAGAGTGCAACGCGGTAGCAAGACAAGTAATGCGGAGGGTGGTGCGGGGAGTTGCGCGCCGGGTATCGAATAAGGGACGGCACATCGATGCGTATCAGAGAGAGATAGTGGAGGTTCAAACCCCATGCCCATACACCTGCGAGACCTTGTGAGCTCAATCTATGATACTGCAGGCAGAGCGCATACCCATCACTATAATCAAAGCGACTCGATATGGCAGGGGCAGTATGCGACTGAATCGGTCGAGCTCCGGCTCGACCGCTGGATCACCGTCCATGTTGATGCCGCCAGTTGGCCTCTTATCGTTCAAAATGCGCCTCAGCACCCGCTGCCTGCTCTCTCATGGAATGGGATTGAACGAGTGACTAGAGGTGAGTACGCCTGTCTCCTTCCCGAGGAATCGTTGTGCCGTCCAAGACCTCTTCGTTGTGGTCGCGTGTCCCTTCGAGCGTCCAGGAGATGTGGTTTCGCAAAAGGAGCGCCACAGCTAGCTCGTAAGGCCGTTCAGCCTCAACTTACAGGGATGTCCCTGCCAAGACCGATTTACAGGGGAGCTCTCACGCTAACGCCATGATGACGCGAACATTTGGCAACAGCAACGACAGACTGTACGCAAAGGGCATAACACGCATGACCTAGGAAGAAGCGTCTACCGCTGCGAACGTCACTCTCAATTCCTCCACGCACACGTAGCTCTCCCGTCACCTCTTCGCACCCTTCAATCGCAAACGATTCGACCGACCTCTTCCGCTTCTCTCGGCCTACGAAAAACTTCATCAATTCAACAAGAATGTCGGGTCGTCTCACTATCCCCAAGATCTTCATGGCCGGTGGTGCCGTTGGCTTCACCTACTACATGTTCATGCGCCAATATTGGTTCCCGAATCCCTACAAGACGAGAGAAACACAGAACATCGAGGACCGATTTACCGCCGGGGGAGGCACACCCTACTCGACACCTGCGGTAGCCACCAAGCGTGGTATGTGGCATAGCAACTGAATCTCAATAGATGGTGGAGCAGTGGCTAATGAAATGATGCAGGTGACTCTGAGAATGTTGAGTTGAGGCAGACGAGCGAGCACAAGGGCCCGCACACGGAAGCGCACAAGCAGAACATCTCGAGCCAGCAGTCGACGGTAAGGCACATTGGACTGAGAAGTCTCCGAGTAACCCAGGCTAATACATGATGCAGGGTGTATGGCCAGACAAGTTTTACGAGGCGCAGACGGGAAATCCCAAGGGGAAATAGAGGAATAAGCACCGCATCTGTGGCGTTGACGATTGGTCAATCGTAGGGAAAGCTCTGCAAGAAAGCAAAGTTAACGGCAGAAGACCTCAAAAGCATCGGACCGGGCGTTGATCATCCTGTAACAACATTCTGTAAATACGACGAAACTTCTCCTTCAAGTTGTCCTTGGCAAAGACCGCACGCTGCTCGATCACGTCGGGCAGGTTCTTTGCGAGTACCTTGCACACGACTGTATTAGTTTAAAATGGACGTTCACGCGCATAACATGATAGCATGGTGGGCTGTTGGACGTGTTTTGCCTATTCATTCGGATAAGCTCAGTCACTTTATGCAACACTTCCTGCAACGCAAATCGTGCAACGCAACATCGATTCGACAATTGCATCGTCTTCACCGTTGTTTACGACAAAGCCAGCTTTGTGACACTTAAGGCTCAAGCTTGTCTACCCACGTCTTTCAACCTTCGCTTTCACACCAGTTGACCACGCCGCGCTGACCATGGTTTCAAATATCGACCGCAGCCACCAAAGTCTCCCTGCGAGCACCTCAACTTAAACTCTCAGATCTAACTATACTATAGCCCATAATGCCAGAGACCATGTACAATCCCAGTGAGCAAGCCCTCCCTCGTGATGGCAACGGGAACATCGACGTCAACACATGGGCAAGGGACAATCTTGACCAAGACATGATTACCGAGAACGTAAGAGATCTTGAGGCTCAGAAAGAGCGACTCCACAAAGAGTACGCCTAATCCGTCTCAGCATTCTTATCACTCTATCTAACTCCCTCCTCTAGCTTCGTCCAGTACGCTACACAATGGCCCGAGGACACCCTCGTCATCCTTTGCGCAGAGGGCTACGAGTTCCACCTACTCGCTCCGTGCCTATACTTTACGGCTAAGAGATACAAGCAACACGCTGCTTGCCACACAGTAACACCCTCCTCCCAACCTGTTCAAAGCAAACCACCACTGATTCCGTACCGTCCAGGTTCCAAACTCACCGACACTAATCATCGATCTTCCCTTCCACGACTGGATGGTCAACGCCGCTGTCACCTTCTGGAAAACCCACTCGCTTGCCGTCCCCTCGCATGATAGCGTGAACTCTCTGGGAGAAGGCGCGGGCCATCCTCAGCGAACGCAGCGGTCGTCGCTACTGCGGCTAGTGCGCATGGTGAACGTCGCCATCTACACCCAAGACCCCACCCTCCTCTCCACCATCTACGCTACCATCCGATCTCGACTTGTCAACGGCGAGTACGACGATGAAGAGTTTCTTGACGCAGTGAAGTTCGTGTGGTGCAAGCGGCCGGTGTCTTGGGAACGGTATGAAGCAGTGCGGAAGATTCTGCTAACGGAGTTGCTGAGGGTGAGGGGGAAAGTGTGTGAGAGGCTCGAGAAGTACTTCCAACATGTTGTAGAGGAGAGTGGGGGCGAGGAGGGTGCATTTATGATGGCTTTCAATTTGGGGCAGATTTGGTGGGAGGAGAATGAGCATGATACTGCATTATAAGCTGTGCTAGGAGGAACTGTAGCGATGTGTGTGTGGGCGATGCCACATTAAGTTATGTACAGCTAAGTCTGCTACATCGGCGACAGCTGTTGATACGCACTTGCGCATTATAGTTCATCGTAGTAGGACGCAATGCTCTTACAATCCACTGCATGAGTGTGCCCTGCACCGCCTTACCACATGTTTTCTGAGACTGCTCGGACCGATGACATCGTTTCCGGAGCCGGCCTGATCGTCGACAACGATCCCGTAGATGACGACACCTGCGAATCAATCGAGATCACTGTCGGCGGTCGCTCGCGAGATTCCGTCGCCGTAGCACGCGAGTCATTCCCAGCATCTATCATCTCATCGTCACCCAAATCCTCCTCCCTCATCTCCACATCGTCCTCTTCCTCCTCGCTTTCTACAGCACCCTTCTCTTCCTCGTTGATAGCTGTCATTCGATTGACGAACTCCTTCTGTAACTCTTTCAACCATGAAGCTAACAGATCACCCTCTAACGTGCCTTTGTACGCTTGTACAAGATGCTCTTTGAGGTCGAGTATGAGCTTGCGACGGCGCTCGGCGATGACGTTCTTGGAGGTCTTCTTCTTCTGATGAAGGCGGCGCTCAAGCTTGTGTGCGAAGTAGGCGGCGTCGGAGAGAACTTGTGATGGCAAGGGCACAAGGCGGGCAAGGGCAAGACCGTAATGGGATTCTTGCACAGAGCCTTCGACGGCGCGGTAGAGCATTGTCATAGTATCGTCGTTACTGATCTACGATGAATGAGGTAAGACATCCTGAATGGGATGACACTCTTACCTCAACAGCAAGATGAAGGCAGATGACACCGTTGCGCTCGGAGAGAATGGTGGCCAGATCCTTGAAATGGGTTGCAAACCACACCAAAGCCCTGCTATCAACCAAAGCCTCGGCGATAGCAATAGCGATGGCAAGGCCGTCGCGGGTGCTGGTGCCGCGGCCAAGCTCATCAACGATAGCCATGCTCCGCCGCTCAAGGTTCCGCAGTATGAAAGCAATCTCCCGCATTTCTGCTGCAAATGTAGACACGTTGCTTTCGATACTGTCGTCCATGCCAATCCTGGCAAAGAGGTTATGTAATATCGGGAAGGATGCGGTGCTTGCGGGAACAAAGCTACCCACTTGAGCCATAATGCACAGGAGGGCGACCGAGCGAATGAAGGTGCTCTTTCCGCTCATGTTGCAGCCAGTAATGATCTGGAAGCGGGATTGTTGCGTAGCATACACATCGTTTGGAATGAACTTTGTCTGCATGATCTTCTCGCGGATCGGGTGCCTTGCTGCCTTGATGCCGAGGGTATCACCGATGCGAGGGCGAACGTAATCGTTAATAGTCACAAGATGAGCGAAGGCAGACAGCTGATCTAGTCAGCAGAAGATCCGAAAGCCAGAAAGACCACGGACCATATCGAGCATCGCAATCGCTTCGCAAATCTTGAAGAGCGCTGACATGTGACCACGCACTTCCTCAATAAGAATCTGGACAGCCTCGTCGCCTGCCTGTATTAGCTGTGTCTTTTATCTTATCAAGGTGCACATACTCATCAACACGACCTCTTGGTGAGAGACGTTGATCTTCTGGTTCCTCTTCATCAACTCCACAGTCTGACATTCGACCATCTTTTTCTTTTTGAACACGTTTGTGAATACTGGCGGAAGGACCTTGTCCTCTAGCTCTGCCGTATGTATTCGAAGGTAGAAGTTCCGACCAGCCTCGTATTTGAGATCGAGCTTGATGTCATATTCCTCTATAGTACGAAATCAAGTTCCATTCAATGCCAAGGTAACTGGCATCTTACCACTCAGTTCTGTGGCATGTTGATAGGCATCCTCCATTGATTCTTTGTAGGTTGTTCGTGCTACATCGAGCAAACCGTTGACTCCTGATTTGACCGCATAGTTGCGCTGGTTCCGGAGCTCAAGCGGCTGCTTTGCATATGTGGTGTCTTCATTGATATAGTTGTTGATGAGGTCGTGCACCGACACGATGTTCTCAGGGGCGCAGAGCTAGAACAGATTAGCATTGAGCAGGAGAGTCTCCATGCACACAGACTTCGCGAATATTGTTCAACATCCAGCTTCGTGCTCCAGTGAGCGCTTCATATATGGGCGAGACTGAGGTGATGAACTGCTTCAACATGATAACCTGATTGATACTCTGTTCCGTAGTCTGTATAGTTGGTTTGGTCGGAATGATGATGAGCTAACAGAAAAGTTAGCACGACACGTCGCTGTCTAGTTACAAACCATACAGCCGTCAGTATCTTGTCCGCATCCAGAAAGTTCTTCAATGCCGAACGTGTGCCATGGAAAATGTCCTCCTTCACCTGAAGCTCGTCTACAGCATCGTATCGCTTGTTCAGGGTGTCGGTATCAGTAAGCGGCTGGAGGACGTTGCTGCGAAGAAGTCGACCTCCCATCGGAGTCTGCGTCTCGTTGAGAAGGCCGAACAAACAGTCCTTTGACTTCGGATTATGCAAGTTCTGAACAAGCTCGAGTGAGTATATGGTGGAAACGTCGATCAGCATAGAACCCTCTGATGGTTCGTACTTCATCCTTAGCGAATGATACGGGAATTTGATTCCGAGAACCAACTCAGTGTACTTCAGCACCTGAATAGTTTTAGCTAGTAGGCCCGTAAAACGATCAATCCTCGTACAGCAGCTATGCAACAAACCGCATAGTAACTGCCAGAAACCGAGAGCTTGATGGCCTCTACGTCGTCGTCAAGTGCTAGCGTCCTAATGTAATCGAAGCCGGCACTCTCAGCCCAGTACTTGCGGTCTAGAAGTGTCATCTTGCTATCCATGAGTTCCAAATTTTCGTCAATAATTGAGAACAACTTCGATTTGGGACTGGCAGATGTGGACACGATAAGGATCTCGGATGGGCCATAGACACGTAGTTTGTGAATCGTCTTGACGTAGGTCTGACTGTCGCATATCTGACAAAGCACAGCTTCTCCAGTGTCCATGTTGACAAAGGATATGCCAACTGTTGGTGAAATGCCGCGAGACTCGGCGACGGCACAGATAACGGTCTGAGCTTCGACACGGGCAATGGTAGATGCACCTGTCCTTGGGCGAGCTGTCGAAGGCCTACCAGTGCTTCGACGTGTCTTTGGACGGGACGTCGTAGTTGTGTTGTACTCGCCATACCTATAGCTGTGCGTCGGGTACGATGAGCCTGCCGAGGTGCTGTAGGAGGTAGGTGGCCTCGATCGGTGAGCCATGATGGTTAATCAAGCTGCGTAGTCAGTGTGGGATCAATTGTTCCTCATCCTCAATGCTTCAGAGGAAATTCCATGGTTGAGGAAAGAGCGACCTTACAACCCTCACAGACGCGTGACGACTGATCGCTTCGCGCGTCACCCCTGCTAGCGCCCATCCTTATCGATAACCAGCAACGAAATTTTGGAGTCGCAAACTCCCCACCAAAAGTTCGCGTTCTGCAGTACAGCACCAGGAATTTTGATCCTTTCAACATGGCAACCCAATTCCCCCCGCCCTCGAAGCGCCAAAAGCGCGAAGCCATTGCAGCGTCTAGCACTCAAGCCCCCACCGAGTCCATCCCCGATGGCAGCATCCGCATCCGCTTCGTCGACCAAAGCACTGGCACCTCGGGAACCCTCCCCGTGCTCACCGTTCCTCTTTCCCAAGCTACGACCACAAACCTCAATCTCCTACTCAACAGCCTCAAAGACCAGCTCGACGACGATGCGATTCCCTACCGGTTCTACCACGGCGAGTCCCCCGAGGCACTCGGCGACAAAGAAGATGTGTACAACTCGTTAGTGAAGCCAGGAAGAGTGACGGCCGAAGAGGAGGTCGTGCTGCAATACGCGCCGCAGGCGGTCTTTAGAGTGAAGGCTGTGAGTCGGTGCGCTGCGGCTGTGAGTGGTCATGGGGACAATATTTTGGCGGTGCAGTTTAGTCCGAAGAACAGTTCGCGGATGGCGAGCGGGAGTGGGGACAAGACAGTGAGGATATGGGACTGTGATACGGGAACGCCAGCGCATACACTTAAGGGGCACTCAAGATGGGTGTTGGCGGTGAGCTATTCGCCGGACGGCGCGTTGCTTGCGTCGGGGGGTTACGATAACGAGCTGCGGATTTGGGATCCGGAGACGGGGAAGCAGATCGGTGGGCCGCTGAAAGGGCATACAAATTTCATAACTAGTCTGACTTGGGAACCTTACCATTTACAACAAGAGGGACGGCCGAGAGTAGCCAGTTCGAGCAAGGACGGGACGGTGAGGGTGTGGGATGCGATTGGTGGGAAGATGGAGTATGCGCTTGCAGGACATAAGGGCAGCGTCACATGCGTGAAATGGGGAGGCACAGGAAGAATATACACCTCCTCGCACGACAAGACCATCAAAGTCTGGAACGCCCAAGATGGCACACTCATCCACACACTTTCGGGCCACGCACACTGGGTAAACCACCTCGCGCTCTCCACTGACTTCGTCCTCCGAACCTCATACCACGACCACACCGGCAAGGTACCGCCAACACCAGAAGAAAAGCTCGCGAAAGCGAAATCGCGCTTCGAAAAGGCGGCAACGACAAACGGAGAGATCGTGGAGCGCCTGGCAACCGCTTCGGAAGATTGCACGATTTTCCTCTGGACCCCACTCACCAGCAATAAACCCGTCACACGAATGACAGGCCACCAGAAGCAAATCAACCAAGTTTGCTTCTCGCCCGACGGCAATCTTCTTGCGTCTGCGGCCTGGGATAACCACGTCAAGCTATGGTCCGCTCGGGATGGGAAGTTCCTTTTCACGCTTCGCGCTCACGTTGGTCCGGTGTACATGGCGAGCTTCTCCGCAGATAGTCGGTTGTTGGCGAGCTGCAGCAAGGATACGACATTGAAGGTGTGGGACATGCGGACCGGAAAGCTGAAACAAGATCTACCAGGGCATCAGGACCAAGTATTCGCGCTCGACTGGAGTCCAGATGGCGAGCGTGTCGGAAGTGGTGGTGCCGACAAGCAAATTCGGATATGGAGGAATTGAGGTGGTGCAAAGCCCGAGATGCCAGAATCATAGATCAATATACCCCCTGTGATGACTGAATGTCCCCTGCCTATCTACTTGATCAGTCTCACCGCGTCAAGCTTCGTTGTGCATCACACGATTCCGTGGCGCTTGTCGAAACACATTCCCTCTCCGCACTCTTTCACCAGTCTTCAGTGTTCCTAATGTTACCACATGGTGGTAGCACTAACAGCACCATCCAAGGATGTACCACACGAATCTCTCGAAACATACACACCATTAAAGTCCCGCTCTGCACGCCAGTTCCAGCACACCTTCGCGCATCCAAACCCCGTGTCACCCTCTCCACATTCCAATCCCTCCCACCTTCAAAGCTTCTCCCACCCTCGGAACTTCCCTTGTCCCACCGATAAGCCCGGAATGTGAAGGACGCAGACCCAACACACAAAAGGTGGGCCCAAAACCCAACCTCCCGGGCCTGTGTCAGATCAGGGACGGCTCGTACGACGGGAAGGATCGTGCCATGGCCTGATCGAAATGTAAACAATCTATGGGCGGGCGAGGCGGGGCGGCACGGCGCAGCGCGCATGCCTGCATGGACGGTGTGGAGCTGTGGAGCCGGCCCTGTCAGGGTCCGACAGCATTCAACAGATTTGTTGTGGAGACAAAGCGATTGTATCAGATTGGTTGATTTTGTATCTAGCAGATATAGCTACATGTCTTAGCAGCTGTCTGTCCAATCTGAGTGAATCATGCTCGTGCGTCGCCAGGTACGTTGTCATCCGCAAAAACTCCCCCGGACCCAGTAATCCCTACCGAAACAAGCCTGTTTCTGCGTACATTCTTGTGGGTTGATAAAGAAAGTCATGACAGTGGTGTACTGTACAAAACAAACGCCGTGTAGCCGATCCAGCCTCGCGTTGGGGTCCATGGCCTATGAGCAGGACCCCACCATAATTGAAACGTTGGTTCCCACTCGCTGTTCCGTAGCGTAATAGCATTCGTGTGAACAGTGTGGGAAGACGATTCCTGTGTGTTTTTGGAACGATGCAAAGTAAAGGACGATATTCTGGAAGTTACAGAAAACTCCTGATCAAGTCGTCGTCGAAAGGGACCGAGCGTCCGTACCTAGGAACATTGCTGATGGGCGCATGCCTGAAGCCATGAGCAAGCCTTGGGTTGGCGATCGGGATCCAAACACGTAGATTTCGGTGTTGTGATCCGGTAAAACAATGGTAACTCAGTCTGCTCCAGCTTCTTGAGCATTGCATGAGCAATTCCGGTGAAAGTGTCCAAAAGGCTTCAAGACAACCCAGATTCGCGCTCCCAGATCGAGCAATCTCTTATATATCGAGATCGGTGCCAGACGTTATGCAGAACAAGTCGCTAGTATACATGGAAAAGATTGAACTTCGTACTGGCAAAACACGAGGCTCACTAGTCCATGTAGAAGTCACCCTTGAGAATACGCTCCTGCATAGCGTCGGGCACCTTAGGCTGCTTGGGCATCTCGCGAACGGGAGGCTCCATGATGGCTACGCTCTTAGCTCGCTGGTGCGGGGGAGGCTGGGTCTGCATCGGCTTGACACCAGACATGGAGGTGCGCTCGGCTCGGGTACGGAGGTTCTCTGCAAAACTGTAGCCTTCGCCTGAAGTTGAAAGCATAGTCGTCAGCTCGTGTTCTCCAAATGCTTGGTCGGGATGGCGCTTAAAATGCTCGGCGAGTACATGAGAAACATCAGATGATTGAAGAGAGGGCGAGCGTTCCGAACGTTGAGATGCGGAAGCCGTCGCCAGAACATTGGATGAAAGGGGCTTTGGGGCAGTAGACGTGGATGAAGACAGACCTCGACCTCTTGCAGTCGGGGGAGAGGAGACTTTATGGATGGAGGGTCTACCATTGGAGTTCCCAACACTGCCATTACTCTGCCTGACATCCCGCATGGCCCGGGCACCGAAGCTCAACCGCCGAGCAAATGGGGTGGCGGGGTTGCTGCTTGCGGAAGGAGCCGGATCATCCTCGAAAGGGCTCTCGTCGACGGAGCCTGAGTTGGCACTGGAGAGGCTCTCGGTGCGGGGCCGTGTTTGGAAGGGCGAGCTCTGGTTAGGCGAGGCCGAGAGGCCGATGGTGGTGAGGGAGAGACGTCGTCGCTGGGCGTTGACAGCAGCCGTGGTGATGGGGCCTGGGTACGGCTGGCTCTGGCCGGGAGCGCTGCCCTGGCCGAAGATGTCTCGGAAGGTCTGGCCAGTGACGGAGGCACGCCTTCGATCGGAGGCACCGGGGCTCGGAAGCGGCGGTGAGTTGCGGTCGGAGGACATGGCGGGCGTGGCGGAGATTGTGGTTGCGGGAGAGGCTGGGTTGGGTGTTCGATCCGGTTGTCGTCTGGAGCAAGGTCAATTGGCGGTTGCGAGTGGTCGACTGCAGTGTGGAAGGCAGAAGAGGCGTGGGAGCGCGGGGGTAGAAATAGCAGACATGTGCCCGAGCTAGCTGAAGTGCACTTACCAAGCGCGATGCGTCACGTCACCGGCGTCCGATAAGGCCGTGGTAGCGTGATGGAGGGGTGTGGAGCAGTTTCACAGCGAGGTACAAGCAGACAAGCAGTGTCGGAAGGGGCAATCACAGCAGATTGTCGAGGAATGCAGGGCGATGTGAGCAGAGGGCGCTGATGGACCGTCTTAATATGGGACGCTCCCAGAGCGACGCGGGATCAGCTACGGGCTAACCCCGTCGAGGAAGGCGCGCCTTCCCCGCATTCTCCCAGGGAAGGGACAAAGGGCCGCGTGTGGATGCACGACGTGCGGCCGCGACGAATCAGAGGGCGCAGCGGCGACAGCTAACACACGGCTACTGCGACATGGCCGCCCTCCAGCCAACAAGCCTTGCGCCGTCTGCGTCGCCGGCCCACCATGAGCGACGGCATCCTGACGATCTCCGACACAGGTCCATGAAGATGCGTGGGACCGTCTCGCATGCACTTCCTCGCCACTCAGGGGCCGCTCTTCGTTCCTCTTCACCACGGTCCGCTATATCGCTGCAAGCGTACGACCGGCGTCGGAGCCTTCAAGGTCCACGGCCGGCAACGGCTGCTTCGTTCGGACTTCTGACGCTGCCTTTTCCTGTTTCTCCGCCGCAGGATAAGGGCTTATTCGATTAGATACACATGCTTTCGTGGCTATTCTAAGCGACCGTCGTCAGGACTTGCCGTGGCAGGCATTAGTAGCAAGGGGACCTATGCACCTGTATGCAACCACCACGTTTGGCGGGAGGGTGTGTAGAGCTTCTCGGACCCATTCGCAAAGGGGAGCACTGACAAAGAACGGCCCGAAACGCGTCTCCAGACGACCGTTCGAATGTGTGAAGTATTTGAGCCCCCGCAGGCTACAGCTACGAAGTCCAGCGCTTCCAGCAGAAGCCGACTGGCTATGTGTGTTGGTCCAACCCACCTCGTGTTGCATGTTTGACGCGCGAGCATGCATGTCATGTTGGCCTCTTGTTTCTCATGGTCCACACAAGCCTCAAACCCACCTTCATGCTGATTCATGAGGGATTGTTGTTCCGACATCACACCACGATTGTGGAACATGCAAACGCCCGATATTTTATGCGTATTGGGCCCACATCCACACAATATTTGAATAGTCTTGCCTCAGCCATCTGTTAGCTCAGTTGGAGCATGCTTCCTGTGCGACTAGGGGCCCTCGCGCCTTGGCAGCGCGCCCGTTGCATTGGATGCCCCGCTGCATTCATCAGCTGGACGCTTACCTGCAGGAGTCGTCTCTTCGCGAGGCCCCGGACGTGTTACCAGGGTGTGGTCGGACCCCCATATGGAGGACTGGATCCCTGCACACAAGCTTTTTACGGTCCCTGTATGTAGTGTTACGATGCCCGATTCAGTCTGCAACTCGGTCAACCTGTCACTGTACTACGTGTCCGATCATCATTCGACACTCAGGCCACTGCCTAAGGATTCGAATGTTGCTTGTTTGCAGGACAAAAGACTGCATTTGGGGTTTTCTTTTCTAGTCAGACTAACTCAGTGAGTATGTACAAGTGGCCAAGTGCAATAGGAGAAAAGGAGTGAGGTGTACAAGGAGCAGCGCAGCCGAAGAAGCAAAGTCTAAACAGCTACCGCCGTAAGTCAAGTGAATGGACTCATGGACGCAGCATATAAGAAACAGAAAGGCGAAAAGAATCGAAATATCCATCCGCAGAGGGAAAGAAGAGGGCCCAAAGGGCACAAAGCATGACTTTGTCAAAGGAGGGCGACGGAGAAGGTATCGCAAAAAAAGTCCCAGTCCAACATTGAACCTTCCAAAGGAAAAACTGACCCACATTGTACCTTAAGATCAAAACACTACCCATATAGCAATTCCAGAAAGTTGGCCGAGGGAACGTTCGAAGGTAATAGCAGGGTTCCTACCACACAGAGCAGTAGCCAACAAGCTCACTGCATTGTTCTTTTTGCACTGCTCCCGCCACTTTGAGATGCCGCCCTCTTCCTCTTGTCTTGGATAAGCGTACGGAGAGCATTGAGGTAAGCAGGAGGTGTCAACGTTGTGTTTCGGAGACGGTTTTCGATGTCGCCTAGATCCACGCTGTGATGGCGAACGATGTGTGGTGCCATGTCTCGAAGATTATCCAATATAAAGAACCCATTTTCCTCGCTCGCAGATCCAATCAAGCAGACGAACAAGTTGTTTTTGCTTGGATCGCTCGGCGGCATCGGCATGCCCCAGGTGTTGTCAGCGTAGGCATTGTAGTTGCGACGCGTGACCTCGTCCAGAATCCTCAAATAAGCTACGGCTGCCAGCTTTTCGATTTCTGTGTCGTCCCTTCTTTCCCCGGCGTCTGAATGAAGTGAATCATCACGGTATTCTTCAACCTTCTCTACCAAGCAGCCAAGGCGGGCGGCACAGCTCACCACATCGAGAGACTCGGAACGTTGGTTGGTCGGCCCTTTCTCGATGTATTCATCCAACGCGTTGAAGACCCCATCGACGCGCTTATTGATTTTCTCGAAGAACACTTGCACCTGGAATTCGGGTGTACATTTCTCCTGTAGCTGCATGAAGAAGGCTGGGTATCGGATAGCATGCTCCACGATGATTGACCGGATCTCTCGGAACATGCGCGACAAATCTGAGAGCTCTCGGGTATCTTCGCTCTTGAATTCGGCAGGTAGAAGCCCCGTCGGTTCGAAGCACGACATCATGTTATCTACCTCGTCAACAAGTTCCTCGGTCTCCGGCAAGTCCTCATCTTCGACTACCCAATGGAGATGATCGGCAAAGTCTCGGAGAGAACGCATCTGCAAGACTTCTGCCGGGTGGGTGTTTTTCACACTGGAGCCATCCTCTGCCAGTTGAATTGTCTGATTCTTGGGTAGAACTGAGCTAAGTTGACCCAGGATCCAGAAGATGTGCTTCCAGAAAGTCAGTGTTATCACGGTCTACGTCGCTTTCACCACGTACCTTGCAGGCCTTCCTGTCTTGCACGCTTCCACAGCTGCACTTTGGAACTCGTTCTTCTTCTAGCTTCACAGTGATGTCATCATCCAGATGGAAGAAGTATTTTGTGCCATCATCGTTCTCCCCACAGAATCGCATTCGGATATTGTTGTCGTCTTTGACAAGGCCTATCTTGGCTCTCCGGCGTAGGTCTTCGTCGAAAGCTGAGATGTCATACACATGACCGTTGGTCGATTCGATCAAAGATGGAGTCGGAGATATGGGGCTCGATGTGAGTGATCCCTGCGGAGTCTGCGGAGGACCTGTTCGCAACCGAGCCGCTCCAGCTCGAGTAGTGACCATACTATCACTGAGCGACAACTTGGAGAGCTGTTCTGCGGACATGAGGAAGGATCGCAAGTCGTGCTGTGGCTTGATAGCAGGATGCCGTCACTAGAATATATATCGAAGCAGTCTACGCCGCAAAACTAGCTGATCCTGCAATGTCTTGCACTATTGTTCAGTCCCGTGAAGGCGCTTGACAGTTTGGCCTTGAACGCCACAGAGGCTGCGGCGGATGGCATGCGGTGACAATCAAGGACTCTAGCTGAAGACGATTAGCATGGTCGGAGCCTGCTAGAACAAGGACCTGAAGGCAGCATGTGAGGTCAAGCCAATGACCGAGACACAACAGCGTTCGGAGTGGCCCGAGCTATACTGTTTTGCAGTGCATATCGGCGGAAGAGGCGAGGCTGAAGCGTCTACCGTGATTAGCACGTTTGACGCCAGGGCTGATCAAGGACGAATGAGGGCCTGGACGTCGTCTGAAAGAGCAAAGCTTCGTCGCTACGCCCGGGGCATGGTTAGCAGACTTGATATCCGTACCCCAGATAGAACGTGCTCATCCCTGATGTAATTGGGTTGATTCACCAATAGACACTCTCGAGGGGGCTAGAGCCTAAGCGGTCGCGGCTACGGCGAGGGAGTATGCCCTGCGGTGAGATGGTTTGACGTCAAAAGGCAAAGCAGAGCTTCCCGCTTCTACAAATACGAGGTGACCGCGCCGCGAACTGATAGTGCGGGACAAGCCGTCGGGACGCGCTGATATAGGGCTGTTGCGTACGGAGCTATGACGGTTAGTAGCATCTCAGGCTCCGATATTCGCCAGCTTCCTGGGGACTAATGAGGCCTGCTTGATACAGACTCCCCGTTGGCCAGTCGACCATCACGGCTGTTGGATGCAGGTGGTGTAACGCTGTTGACTTGATTCAAAGGCCTCCGGAAACGAGCAGGCATGGATGGACTAGGCATCAGCAGTCGCTCAAGCGCGGCAAGACTGTGTTCTCGCTGTTGCCGCGCTCTTGCCAGGCTCTGCAGAAGCCACAGATCCGTGGCACTGGGCGGAGGGGCCGGCAACGAAGCGCTTCGATGGTGGAGTCGTAGGGTGAAGTGTGACAAGTGAGGTGGAGGTGCGTGAGACGGTTCTGGCGAGCTAGGCGAGCGGTCTCTAGCCACATGTGGGCTGTGCGCTCAGCCTCGCCGTGCATTTTGGACCTCGCACTCACCAATCGATTCCGCCACCCCTGCACCTCTGCAGTCCGCTGCGAGGCGCACTGAGTCCGGGGTCCCACAGTCAAGCTCTGGTGCGCGTGTACTCTCCCGTGCGCGTTAGCACGCGATCACCTGAAAAATGCCTTGCACGAGAGTCCATGTGGGGAGCGACTGCTAGGGGCGCCAAAGTCGTGCGTGCGAAGTCGAGGTGGAAAGAAATGCCCACGTTGAAGTTGTGCAATGGCACTGTGTTTCAGAAGTAGCTGAGCCACTCCCCGCTCGACGTTGCAGAGTATTCGAATAAATGAGCCAATCAGGCGTCGTGATGCTGGATGATATACAGCGCATTTGCAGGCATCGTGGAGGCTTGTGCGGCACAGTCGGCTTATCGAGACTCGGGCTCTGACGCGATCCGTAGTGTACGAACCGGCCCGAAGGGTCTGATCTCAATGCCGTTGCACGCGGCACATATCCGCAAGCGCTCAGGCTTTCTCCGCTGTTGAACAACTTCACGAGACTAAAAATACCATACGTATAGACCGTACTGTGCACCATGTGGACCTTTGCTTGCCCGGGGCAGAATCGCCGAGTGCGACGTCTTATAGTGGTAGCGATAATTAGGGTAAGATGGAAAATGCTGCGCTAAACGAACACGAGAGGATATCCAAGTAGGAAAGTGAGCTGCAAAAAATGACCGATCATGAGCTGCCAGCAGCTCGACCCTCGACGCTCGCGATTTCCTTTGCCAGAAGGAGAGCGCCATAGTCGTCAAGGCGTACTACTCTTGTTTCACACCACTTCCGCCCCCCGGATATATGCAAGACGCAAAGGCTGCCAGAACGATAACTCTTGAGGAATGCTTTGTCCCGCACGAAACATATCCAACGACGAGCCATGTACTACCTTGACCCCCAGCCAGGGTGACGGTAGGGAAAGTATCGCCACGCCGGATAGCCTCGTGCAAATTGATCGGTGAGTCGCAAACCAACTCTGGGAGGCGTAAGTCAGTGATCATAGGCTGATTCGGGGTCAAGATAACTCACACATGGGACATCTCACCTACTGCTGCCGCCAGTGCGCGACGCCGCCGCATATACAGAGCTCTCACGAGAGCTCCGTTGTGACTTCTCCTCTCGAGTCTTTCCGGTTTCTACAATGTGTCTCATAGAGATACCACCCCAAGGGAGGCCCGAGAGGTCGCGGCTTTGATCGACATTGTCGGGATCAGGGGAAGCGTACGCAGAACCTGCACGGCGTTGGTTCTCGACCTCACGTTCTGCCTCTTCCTTTTGTTCTCGAACCTTGTCTCCTATGAGCACGTTAGTAGTGTCGAGCCTTCGCAGATAACAAAGTACGTACGAAAACGCCTTTGTGCAAGTTTGTTCTGGATCTTCCTGCGCTCATTGGGATCTTTCACTTCCGACCACTCGTCAGATTTCGACCTGGACGGGTCCCTGCCCGACGACGAAGATCCTCCTTGTGTAGACATATTCGACTGGTCACTAGCTGGTTGATTCTGTGACATGTCGTGCAAGACTCTTGCTCTCTTGGCTGGTTGTGCTCCTGGTATTCCAGTAGGTATCGATACAGGTTGCTGGCTCGTGGTACTGACTTGAGAAGGTTCAACGTGTTGATATGAGCGGCATTGGAGTTCCGATGTTTGACTGATGATATATAGCACACACACGACTCAAGACTGCTGCATCGCAAGGTGGTGATGGACCTGGCACCGGGCCAAGTGTAAACTGCCACTGAGACACTCGATGAATTGTGAGGCAGCGCAATTGAAACGAGATAGTCCACGCTCAGCTGCGGAGCTAGATGCCTGCTAGGTGGCTAAATCAAAGACTAAGGAAAGGCGCAACTGTACCCGAAGGATAGGTAGAAGGAACGAACGACTGACGATGGATGGATAGTGACTCTACGTCAGAGTGTCCTCTATGTATTCACACTCTAGGACTATGCGACCGGGGCCGACGCGACTCGCCTAAGTTGATGACGGCAGATTTCCGTGGGTCGGGTTAGACGATGAATGATGAACACCCTTGACTGAAACGGTTGCCGGCTTGAGGCTGCCCATGACACGAAGGAGCTGATTGGAGAGCGTCATGGCCACCTTTGCAGGTGGGCCAGGGTACTAAAAGTACAAGCCTTCAAGTGTACCCAAATTTTAGGCATCTACGCCAACAGTCATAGATGGACTAGACAGCAAAGAAAAAGTTGTCAGAATTAGTCGCGTGGGGAACAGGCGGGCCAGCTCGGCCCTCCCGTTAAGCCAGCGTGTGCACATAAGTGCCATGACGGTCTGCAGGAGTACTAACTAGTTCACCGGTCCGGGGTATGAGCGGGACCGATACGCTTTAGCCTTCGACAGCCCTGTAGGGCGTTTGCTGCCATATACGGTAGCCAGACATAAGATACGATGGGGCACAGTGCTGTGAGTGTTTCGGTATTCATGGTCGTGCTCAGTAATAGCGGTGGTCGTCCTCCTCTTCGTAAAGCAGAGCGCGCCAATTGCTCTGCTGCCTCATGTCATGAGTCGTATGACGTCCGCGGTTGAAGTTGAGGGTGTGTGACAAGGCCGTGGCAGTACGGACGTCCCGACATCTGTCACCAGCCCAACGGTAACGAGATGCAGGTACTTGTGCTTGGTGACCACAGGATCGAAGTGCGTTCGGAGCAACCGCCCCGTTACCTACTCCCTGTGAATTCGGACAAAAGCAGTAAATCCACAACGGCATGCTTAGCCTGATTGGCTTCGGTTCGAGATTTCGTAATAAACATGTTGCGGCGTACGCTAGCCTGACGGCCTAAATCGAGAAGTGGCTGTGCTTCAGCCTCCGGGTGATATTGCACTTCCGCAGGCCTCGCGCCCTGAAGCCATGAGAACTGGCATCCGAGTGCACTAATCCTACACGATGGAACGTCAGTATCATGGGCCCTGACTGAGCTTCAGACCGTGCTTGAGGCTGGGCAGGCCTGCTAGTTTCTGACGGTTCAAGGCTAGGATGTCAACACCGTGCGAGAAGCGAAGAAGCGGCGTGGCCTTCACCGAAAATACAACATCGTGAGGACATCCGGAAGCCTGCAATCGTATAGGGAAAACGCCTTTAGGATCGGTGTGCATCCTGGGCAATCGTCAGGGAATGCGTTGGCGCAGGGAAGTTGGATGTAGTCGTGAGAGCGGTGACATTTTGGAGCCGGCGCTTCTAGTGCTGCCTGCATCTATCTCTGATTGGACGATTGGGTAGTGGCTGTGGGAGCTAAACCGCAACAGTGAGCGAGTTCACCGACAGCACTTTCCACGATACTTTGCATCATCGAGCAGCGGGACCTTGAAATGAATCGGAGAAAGCGCAACGTTCTTCCGGATTTAAGCGGCTACGAATCTGCCTTGCGATACTCGCCACACCGCCTCTGTGTATTTTGAAAACGTCCTCGATAGATGACCAAGCAGTTTCAAAACCATAAGCTTATAGCCTGGGTTGAGTAAAGTCGGATGTTAACATGCAGTGAACGCTTCACAACAGATGGTCGATCCAGATATCAGAGTGTTTGACAGGTGTAATGTGCGTGTCAGATTATCAGTGATCACCCACAGTGGCGGATACGGGACACTACGTTGGCTGCGCATTCGTACTTACAGGTGCCTGTGGGTTGAGGAAGAGCTTTCGAATTTGAGTGCAGGAAACGAGCAAATCCACTGAACCACCACAACCTCTTGGTGTAGAGCGCACACCAATTCCAAACCGATCACGTGCCAAAATTGTCCCTCTAGTCTGACCTCACTCTTTTCAAGACTTCAGTATGTAAGCACACAACTACCTGTCGAGTTCGTGAGCCCCTTCTTTATGTAAGTGGGATTTCCTCCAAACCCGAATCAAGTCTTTGACATGCTACCTACTTCAACTGTGGGCGAGGCTGCAACCGCCTTTCACACCACCGCAGAAACCTATAGAGTCATGCACTGAGCTGGCATAGTCCAGATCTCCAGCCATATGAACCCCGAACTCAAACAGACAGGCGAGCACTTCGCGATACCTGGGCCACAAGTGCACATTAGCACGTATCACTAGACCTTTGGCAGTACGAAGGAATTAAGTCACTCACTCAAACGATACAAACTCACCATCTCGACATACCCGCCACCGCATATCGTTCCTTTCCGGACAACAGTAAGCAGAACGTTGTCCAATGATTCAGTGACACCCTCAATATCACATAAAGTGCCCAATCAGTCTCATACTAGGTTTTTGTAGTCCGCAAAGAGCCACTATTCAATATTGCATCCGGTGTCAGTCGTTTCATCTACGCCGTTGCAGCCCCTACAACTAGGTGTATTTGCAGCACAGGTCGCTACAGGCTTGCACAGTACAGACGCAAATGGCTTGATGATGATCTCACTGAGTCGCATCTTTGTAATGTCTCAGTCCATTGCAACACACGTCCGACATTCACAATTCTTCGTCTTGGCACGGTCGAGGTCTGGATAGCAGCAAGGGTTTTCACCATCTGACGGGGTTCACAGATGCCGCAAATTCTCAGTGAAACATGTAGGGAAAAGAAAATAGCTATTGATAGACTCAGTCACATGAAATACATTTTACGCCACACACAGCGCCGTTGAAATGGCAGTGTTGGATTGATCCCAAGATTTACCTTGGACTTTGATAATGCAAGGGCTTAGCAACTACCTATGGTGAGTACCTGCTCTCGCAGCCCTGCGATGCCCACTATAACGCTTGAGCCTCGCAGAATGACGTCGATCTTCGGTTTATATTTTTACGGTACGAAAAGGGGGGCAGCATGTGCTGATGCCCCAGTCCGTAAGCTCGGCACAATGTCTCCCCACGACCATGCCACCAGCCACTACTAGATATGGGAGCGCCCAGATATCATATGTGAATCTCCCACCAGGACGCGATGTCATCTCGTCGCAATTGTTGGACAGGCTCGCACACGCCTTGGACTCAGCGGTCCGCGCAGCAACAAGGGCTCTGGATGCAGTGGGAGGTTGCAACGGGCTGAGCTACGCCAACGCAACGCTGACCTTGCAACAGTGGAATCCTCATCTTTTTGTCGCTCGGTATAGCTATAGAGCTCCGCGGTGTAGGACGAAAAATCGCGGCGTAGCACAGCCACATTGTAGTGATCCTGGTGCTCGTTTCATGGTCCACCATCAGCACTTTAATCATTAAAATGCGGCTGAGTCTCCATCAACTGCATAGTAAAGTCGAAGAATAAGCACTTTAATCTATTCGCAATTGGAACGCCCTCGTATGGACTCCACCAGCCACGAGGTAACCTCCGGGTGGATTCAGAGCTCGCGCCGCATCGTGGAAATGTTCAACTCAGCCCACGAGCCACGATTCCGCGATCAGGATCTCCGAAGCCACGCGACAAATTCCGAGCTGAGACAGTTGCTTGCGAAGACCAAGTCAGCATCCTGTTCATCCTTCTCGATAGCTTCAACGTTGTTGACGCATATGGGGCGACCACCCTACAAGATAGGGTTGCGTTCGGAGTTTGACCGAGATCAGGAATTCGGTGAGCGGCACAATACAAGCGATGAGCTTATAAGAAGAGATGTATGTCCTTTTTTAGTCCCACGCATCCGAGTGAATGGCAATGGATGGGGTGGAGAAGACACGGTCCTGCTAAAAACCAATTTCGCTCTCCCACTGCGATAGCTAAAAAGTGTAACTCCGAGGCCATGGAAAACTGAACCACGAAGCAGGCTAATGTGGGGTCGCAACACAAGCGCAAGCGAAGAGCTGCCTGACCATCATGACGAGACACTGATCATTTCCAGGCCGGCACGCTCCAAGTTAGTGTTGAGGTTGCGCGATGTGCGTGTACGGAGGCAGGAAGGAGCATGGCGAAAGTTCTGACCTAGTAGGCTGGCCAGGAGCAATGGTCGGGCCGAGGCCTTGGCGTCTGCTCCTCAAAATCTCTGCGCGCGACCTTCCTTCCTCTTCACACACATTTCATAAACAATGAACGGATAATCAACTGCCATTGCTCGTCGATAGGATGGTTAGTCATATTGCCGTACTAGAGTAAACTACCTGGGCTATTTAGGCTTCGACGCTTTTTTCACTGTAGTATCGAGGTGTACCTGCAGTCCAGACAAACTACACCGTGTGCGGGCACGCTTGAGAAACGAGGACCACAAAGCTTAGCTTTTGAATCAGGTTCCCGTCTTGGGAGGTGTGCACCTGTGGACGAGGTTGGACGCATCAACAAGCGCGCCGTGATCATCTCAGGACGACCACGATCTCGTGCGATCGGTTGCCATCACAGAGAGGAACGGGTATCGGAAACACCCGCCATCTGAATGACCATGCATTGACTGCAAGCGCGGAAGAGATCCTGCAGCTTCAAGGGCAGCAGTTCGCCATCTTTGAATACCTTTGGGTTTAACCTACGTTCATGGAGCAGGCTCAGTCGAAGAAATGACGACGCAATCGACCGACGCATCGCTCGCATTTGGATTTCATCCTGCCCGCCCCGAGAATTCGAACGTCTCGCTCAGCTTTGCGCCTCGCAGCGGCGGCTTGTTTCATAAACAGCCTCGAAACATTTGAAACGTGCTAACCTAGGTATGGGACACCCCAGCGATAGCTGTCCCGGACCCCTCACTCATTAATATCTGCTCTAAATACAACGAGCAGTCGTTCCACCGGTCCACTATGCACGGAATAATTAGAGCAAGATCGCCCGATGGACTCTGGTCCTCAATTTACCCTACAGTACCCTGACTACAATAACCTCGTATATAAGGTATGCGGGCCGCCAAGTAGTAGCTGTACGCACAAGTTCGTCAATTGCATAGCCGGTCTATACCTTCGTTTCGTCTCAAGACTTTGTTTTTCCGGTTCACGTACTACTATCGCTACCATCATGAAGGTCTACGCTGCTGTCGCTGCTTTGGTTGCGCTCGCCCAAGCTAACCTCGACGTTGTCACTCTTAACGTCAATGGCGACAACTACATCACCGAAGCCAACGCTACCCTCGTCCTGGGCAAAGCACCAAGCCCACAGGGTTCTGGGGATGCCGCACTCTGGAGCGCCATTATGATGGACAAGCAGGACTTCCTGCAAGGAGTCACGCAGAACTCTGCTGCAGAGTACGCATACATACACCAACAAAACCTGAAGCCTTTTCGCTAAGATTCGTGTTAGCTACTGGTGTGCCAACATGCCAGCTACTCAATGGTGCAACTTCGCATACACACTGGTCGGCTCGCAAGTCACCGCCGGCAAAGCTGTGCCCGCGTCTCCGGGTTCAAAGGTCAAGACGACCTACAAGCTCAACTCGAGCACTCAGCTGTGGGACCAGAACGTGTACATTGACGGCAAGCTCGTTTCTACCGTTAATACTAGCAAGGGGCAGCACGGCAAGATCTTCTACATCTCGCTCGAGTGTGCTCAAGGCACTTGCGCCGCTGCTAGCGCTCACAGTACGTCCGATATTTAGCAAAGAAGTGAATGATACTGACGATGTCACTGTTAGGCTGGGAAGATGTCACCATTGTGCTGAACAAGGCCGACACGAGCTTCAAGCACTCGGGCAGCTGGGAGTACGGTGCGACTGGTGGCGAGATGTCTACGTCTGACAACGGCAAGACCTGGAAGCTTAGCACCTTGTCGATTCCGCAGACCGTCCCTCAGTAAAGGCGGATGCACGGGTAGTATTACTCAAGGCGCTCTTCGGTCGGGAGCACGGAAAATGTGGTTCTTCGTTGTAAATATTCTTCATGGTCAGATACCAACAAATCAGCATTCTGGGCGCAGCCTGACGAGATAACATTGACCTGAAAATCGTATGATCAAGCATTCGGTAGGCTGTCGGTAGCTGTGGACCTACTTCGCTACGTGCGAGAGTATACGGGGCGCATACTCAAGAACCAGCTATACTTTTACATCACGTCTGCAAGACTTCATAATTATTCATTGAGTACACTATTATATATCTATGGCAAACAGACAAGAGCAGCGTTTCAATGGCCTTGAATACGTCTGATATCGATGCCGCGGGACATGCGGCGTGGCTGACGTGAAGCACATGTGCACTATCGGAGGAGACGGGCTTGACGAGACACCCCATAAGGAGCCGCGAAAATGGAACTGGTTTTCTTTTTCTAGAGTCCAAAAATCCAGCAGTTGCCATAATGACAGCTGTGCGTGAAGGTCCATAGCGAGTGCCGGGCTGATCAGGCGTATTTGCAAGCGCGCGGCGTCTGTACGTCCAACGCTGTGCCACGGCGTTGGGTTGCAGCTTCCCAGGATGCATCGGTGCGTGCTTTCCACGTTGCCCTCCGGACCCCAGGCTAGCCTAGCCTAGCCCGCCTTTTTGAGGTCATCCTGTCTGGTGCTAGCTCAGATGCCGCACCCTTTTCATGATCCTCGACCTCGCCGCCAGCATGAATCCTGCCCTTCGCCGATAGATTCGGCTTGCGCTCTTGTCATAGGCGCCGACACGTTACAGACGCTCCTACTTTCTCCTACGCTCCCTCGCTTCGTACCGCGCACGTTCTCGGTTTCCTTTCCGTGCCCTTTCGCAGGTCGCGCGTGCCGCACCTCGCCAGCACCACAGCATGGCCTCCGTGCTGAACAAGCGCCAGCAGGCGCGCAACGAGCGGACGTTGCAGGACCTCATTAAGAATGTGCCAGGCAACAGCGTTTGTGCCGACTGCGGAGCTCGCAATCCAGGTGAGTGCTGCAACTCCCCGCTTCCAAGTCCAATCGACTGACAAGGCACAGGATGGGCCAGTTGGAGTGTATGTGACCCCTTCTGCCACGATCCAACCCTCGCATCAAGCTTTAACAATCCGTCTCGCCAACGAACACGCAAAGACATTGGCTAACATGACCTAAGGTGGGCATCTTTCTGTGCATGCGGTGCGCGGCGCTGCATCGAAAGCTGGGCACGCATATCTCCAAAGTCAAGTCGCTGAGTATGGACAAGTGGGACAGCGCCCAAGTGGATGTACGAATCACTGCATCCAAACTCCCTCACATTCACTTACGCCCCGCAGAACATGAAGCGCATTGGCAACACCGAATCCAACAAGACGTACAACCCTCGCAACGTAAAGGCGCAAATGCCCATCGATATTGACGAAGTGGACGGTGCAATGGAGCGATACATCAGACAAAAGTACGAGCAAAGGCTGTTTATGACCGACTCGAGGCCGGGCACGCGGTCGAATACGGGTAGCTCCAGCTCCGTAGAGGATAGGCCTCCACCGCTGCCGCCAAAACCAACAAAAGGACTGGGATTCGGGCTGCGGAAGGCTTCCACACAATACAAGAGTGTTACACCCCCCATCTCCCCTGGGATAAGCAACTTCAGCGGTCACGATGTATCTCCACCTCGGGTGAACAAGCCGTCGAGAGTGTTTGGCTCAAGCGTTACCGGTGATGGGCTGGATTCAAAGCTGGCTACGTTGCGGGACATGGGTTTCCCAGACGATAAGCGGAACTCTCAGGTGCTGAAGGGACTCAATGGCAATCTGGACAGGGCAGTGGAGGCGTTGATCAGACTTGGCGAGCAGAATCCGGGCAAGTCGAGGGGGAACACGCCAACACCACCAGATAAACTTGATGTCAATGGACTCATGTTGAACAAGGCCCACACTATGCCTGCAGCCACAATCACGACCTCAACGAACCCTTTCGACGCTCTCGATGCTGTTGCGCCATTGCCTCAGCACCAACAGCCTCAAGTACCGCCTATTCAGACTCAACAACAGCATCCCTACGGAGAATCTTTGACGCTACCAACGTCACCCAACAATCCTTTCCACCAACTTGCATTGCAGCAGCAGGGTAGTCAATTTCAGCAGCAGTCGTACCATCAGCCGCAAAACTTCGCGCAGTCGAATCCTTTTGGACAGCAACAGCAAAGCTTAGAACAGACTTTCCAAGGTCTGCAACTATCTTCGCAGCAGCAGCAGCAGCAGCAGCAACAACAACAGCCGCCGCAGCCACTGTTTCCGAACAGGACCGGGAGCTACGCGCAGCAACCGAACCCACCATTTGCGCAGAGCAATCCTTTCCAACAGTCATTCACACCCCCACCGATGCCGCAAATGCCACCGCAGTACGGCTCTTTCTACCAACAATCACAGTCGCCACCGCCGCAGCCGCAATACCAGTCCATGTCATCCCCTAGCAGTCCGGGTAACCCTTTCCTTAAATCTACTCGAAGTCAGATGTTTACACCTACGAGTTCATACAACGCGAATCCTTTTGGCCAGATACCCGCTCAGCAGCAGCAACAGCAGCAGTACCAGCAACAAACTCAGAATCAACCGCAACAAACGGGAAACCCCTTCATGATGCAACAACAGAACCAGATCCCAAATCAGCAGGCGCCACATGCCTTCCAGAACCAGCAGGCCACCAATGCACACTCACAGTTCAATTATGCCCAACAAGCGCATGCTCAACAATCACACAATCCTTTCGATAAGAAAAGCATTCTCGCGCTTTATAATCAACCCCAGCTTGCTCCTCAGCTACCAGAACAAGCGCAGACGCCACCAATCCAGACTCCGGCTTCAGCACCTGCTGTACAATCAGCAGGGCATATGAATCCGTTCGCTGCAATGCAGAGTCAAGCGGGAGCGCAACAGCCAGCTTCTGCGATACCACGACAGGTCCAACAGGGGTCGAGGCATGTTAGTAACGAAAGCGTGGACTTTGCTGGCTTGATGGGAGGGCGGCATTCTCCCGATGCGTTTTCAGGATTGAGCTCGAGCTTCAGGCGGTAAAAGTTAGGCGGAATCCACTTTTTTGGCATATATGCATATCTGCATGAGCTGCATTATTGTGTTGACATGTAGCGAAGCGACGCTGTAATTATTTCTTTCTATCAGTCTGGACCTGCGGGCATAGGGATATGGCTTGAGCTGAAGGGTGATGTTGATGTATGTAGGATACGATTCGGAATATGGCTGGGTCGCCGTGGATAGTGCATTTGTAATTCATGCTCAAAGTTTGTGTTGTCGACGATGTGTCTAGCCTACGGTGCGAGCAGTTGAAAGACAGAGTCTGGTCGAGCGGGCCGCTCCGCAGGTAGCTATCATAGCTAGCGACTACTAGAACAACACATAGCAGTCATTCCTTCCCTTCTCCACTCGACATCTAGAATGCCTCAACAACTGCACGCACAAGACAAAACGTGTGCTTCGTCTCCACCCAATGACTCGCCAGCCCCACGTAGAACATGGGTTCACGCAGAACACGGTGCATGGATCCTTCGGTACTTGGCCTGCCTGAACCCTGCAGCTTCGGCCCAGCCCCAACCCCCCAAAGAGCGGTCTGCGGCCTGGCGATCATCCCCGTCGTCGCAAGCTCCATCAAAGCTCCATCCAAGCTCCACCCGTTCTGCGCGTCCCTTTTCGCTGCGCGAATCTCCCGCCTCCACCTGTTCTTCCTTTATCGATTCAATCCTACCGACGGGGTGCGACCGGCTGAATTTGTATTGCGAGTGAGCGATTGGACAGTACACAGTGCATTGGAAAGAGAAGTGCAAGACTGGACCGTCGCAGCCCGATTTCGATCCACTTTGACCGGAGGCGAGTAGAGGAGCGTTGGCAGTTGGGTTTGGCATTGGACGAGTTGCTGCCCGAGTCGGACGACTCATTGCGACAACGACAGCATTCACGAAAGCAGCAAATAGCTCCACCATCGTCGCATGCGCCCAGCTTAATCGCAAGCACACCACGCACGCAAACCCACCTCTAGACCGCGGACGCTCGACTCGCATCCGCACCCGTTCTCACGCAATCGCGCGCCCGCGAACCCATCCCTCTCTAAACCCCACACTCCTCTCACAATGGGCTGGTTCAACTCCTCCTCTAGTCGACACCACTCTTCCTCTCGCCCAGGCTACGCCCGCTCCTACGCCGGGTCTTCCTACTCCTCCACCTCGCGCCACCACGCCTCAACCTCGCGCTACAAGCGCTCCCCACGCGACGGCTACATCCAATACCTCTACCACAAGTTCCGCGAGCTGCTGCACCGCCTGTGGTCCTACGCGCGGCGACACCCCTTCAAGGTCTTCTTCATGGTCATCATGCCTTTAGTCTCGGGCGGTGTGCTCACCAAGCTCGCGCGGAAATTTGGCGTCAACCTGCCGGACATGGGTGGTGCCCAGGGTGCACGAGGGGGAGGGTATACCGGGGAGGGCATCAGGGAGGGTATTATGGGAGTGAGGGGTATGGGAGGAAGGAGGCGGTGGTGGTGGCGTTGCGGGGAGTGGGATGAATTTGCAGAACGTGGCGAGTTCGATTGGGGGTTTGGCTAGTTTGGCGAAGATGGCGCAGACCTTTATGTGAGTGAGAGTGACAGAGGGAAGTCATTCTGTCGGTAAGAGCGTTGCGCACATGCGGGTCACGACGAGGAGGTGTAGGCCGCCCGAAGGATTGAGTGCGCAAGAGCATGTATATCGAAGGCTGGGAACGGAAACGAACGTTGGCGGAGGAAGTTGTTGCACCTATGTTGTCACGTTTTTGATTTTTGTTGGATATCCCCCATTGCTATAGATACTATTACGAATGAATGCTCTAGAACGATATTGGCGATTCTTCGTGGTCGTGGATCGAACGTACGTGCATATGACGATGCGTTGTTCCTCTTATACCATACAGAATCACCTCATAGGCATCACACAAGATCCGGCAATGCGACTGACATGGAAGTGAGTCTGCATCCAGAACGTAACAGATACATCATGTTTACTCATCTGCCATTCTCTTACGTGTTAAAGCTTGAATGGCCATCTGACGTCCAACTCAGCCTTTCTTGGAAATCTCAATACCCATCCTCGCTGCCCACGCACCGCGGACAATTGAACACCCTATCTGGGTCAACCTGGTTTTTGATCTCCAACAAACGGGCATAATTGGATCCCCAAGAGCGAGCTTGCCAGTCCTCGACGTCAAGGCTCCATTCCTCATTGTAATAAGGTTCAGATCCAAACTCCTCGTCCGACGCCTTGAACACCTCCCCGTACTCAGCAAGCTGCTGAGAAGTCACAGTGCCATTGCGCGGCCCAGTCACGGGGGCGTTAATGAATGCGAAAGTCTCACTGGTCAATGTCAGCTACTGGTACCGCCGTGTACCTGGGGCCATACATACCGCCACCGCGGGTTGACTGCAGTTGAGTCGGCTGCGACGTAGCGATCCGGCGTCGCTACGCCGATGTCGTTCTGCCAAAGAAATGAAACCTCCGGAGGAAGGTCGGCGATGTATTTCGCCAGTTTCTTCATTTGAGATCCGACCTCGGCCATGGCTGGCTTGATCATTCGGCTGATGTTGAGGATGTTAATTCCGACTGGGCCTCCTTGAGATATGATAGGCAGTACAAACGCTTTGTACGCATCGTTCCAGCTTGATCGTCCTGTAAATTGCGCTGTCTTATTTGTTGCCTTGCAGGATGAGCTCGCGAGGACGGGCTTAAACAAGCGCACCGCATCTTCAGGCGATGCAATGGATGAGGTGTTGAAAGCTCGGAACGATATGATCGTGATAGTGCGGAGTGCCTTGTTGGCTGACCAGATACCCTACTACCGTCAGTCCATAGAAAAATCTGGAGACCAACTTGACTTACAAGCTGACCAGCTTCGCGCAAAGGGCCCTGTTGGTCAACTAAGGTCTCGAGAGCCTTCGCGTAATTGTCTTTATCACTACAGACGATAAGGCCAAAGAACGTATTGACAGCTGTGAAAGCAGGGTATGCTCTGAAATAAGCCCGTGTGACCACAGCGAAAGCTCCACCACCACCTCTGAGAGCCCAGAAAAGTTCAGGGTTGGAACATGCGTTAGCAATCTTCTGCTCACCATCCGCTGTGACAACATCGAATTGGATAACATCTGCAAGAAGACATTCAATTAGCATTGATCTAATTGATGGCGCTTATAACTTACTGTCGACTGCAAGTCCAAAGAGTGCGCCAAAAGGGCCTGTCAGAATCATGAGTAATGACAACAGAGTTGACCACCAATTTTGAAAACCTACCTGTACCCCCTCCGAGAACGTAACCGCCTGCTACGCCAACAGTAGCTGTATCTGAAGTGAGAGCACCGGTTAATCATTGCTCCAAATGGCATAGTCTCAGTGCACTCACAACCTCCAATTGTCACCACTCCATTCTGCCCACTAGCTTCGTAGAGTTGAGCTACATTAACGCCAGCACCAGCGGAGATAACATCTTGTCCCACACCGTATCCACCACATGGATTGAAAGCCTTTATTAATTGTGCATCATTGATATAATGCGTCCAGATAGTGAATGCGCCTTCACCGGTAGAGCGACCTGTGTAGTCGTGACCACTCTGGGTTCTTGAGTCAGCACCGAACCTTCATGTTGCCACCTCATGTAACTTACATTCTTGATTCGAAAACGCAGATTATACTTGGCAGCGAACCGAACAGCTTGGGCAATGTGAACTGCATCGGTGACGTTGACGACATAAGAAGCCGTCTGGCCAAGTGTACAGTCCCCAGCAATCGGAGGTGGCGCGGACCCGTCTTTGGGCAGCTCAGGAAGAGGGCAACCAGGGTTTTTCGTAGTATTACCAAGTTCGAAGTTGGTATACATAACCCCACCGGGTTGAGAGACCCGAAATTCGAAGTCACCAATCTTGGAGGCGGCCGCCTTGCATGCTTCGGCGTTATAAGTGGTCTCGTAGCAGGGTGAGCCAGCAGGGATCGGCGCAATCAGGCGACCGTTGACCGAAGCGTTGAAACTGGACAAGGCAGACTCGCTGGGGAAGCACGGCTGGCCGGGCAGGCAATAAGGGTGAGCCGCAGAGGCAACCACAGCAAAGATGCTGAGCAAGAGAGGCTTCATCTGGTGTGGTCGAAGTGAATCTTGCCGTTGTATTGCCTGATCCGGTGGGCCACGGAGTATCTCAGCCGCTAGTACGGTGCCGTGTGTCAGGTCGAGACGGGAAAGAGTATTGATAGGGTCTAGGAAATAGGGAGAAAACGGAAGGTTGAAGTGGAGTAGATACACAGGCCGCAGAACAAGGTGAAAGGCAAGCGCAAACGGAATGCTATAGGGCAGGAACGCCCTGGACAGTGCGAGCTCGCAAACGCCCTTCTCCGAACTTCTTAGAAATTCACTCACTGGGCCATTCTCCCTCATTACTGAGTTGTGTTCCGATGCAAGATGCGTCGCACAGTTTCCGAGCAGCTATTTGTTGTTGTCCGACATGATTGATTCATCAGATCATCGCAGGAGAAGATGATAATAGCTTTTGAGCGATAGGCAGAAATTCATTTAGCTAGAAGACAGCCCTTAGGAGAATAGGGTACTTTATACAGAGGGACGCGCACGGAAGGTCTAACTGTTTCGTCTTTGAATTTAGTCACAGACCCATGACCTGACGAGCTCGAAGAGGGATACGTAGGAAAGTAACCCGGTTTATTATGCTCACCTATCCCGCTGGGGTTATGATTGTATTGTTCTATTGCATTCGGTGCGAAGCTGTTCTTCCAAGTCAAGTAAGCCAGAACGTGAACATGCTATCGACGATCATACCGAACCAAAGTAACCTTCATCAGTATGCAATGTGAACAAGACGTGAACAATTCCGGATCCAGAGCGTGATTTGCGGATACCTTACAACCACAGGATACTAGAGACCCATGTAGCCTCCAGAAATAGTGCCATGACGGGTTGAGTATTGGCCAGGACTAGGCATATGACCACTTCCGCCCCGTAAGCTCAGACTCAGTGCTCAAGCCCTATCTCACAATATCCAGCCAGACGACAACATTACAAGTAGTGATGCGCGTCAGGAGGAAGCTGCGACCGTTGGCTCAGTCGCCATCCGCAGCAAGACGGATCTTGACAATCAAGCCAAAGATAGACCCCATGCTGTAGGAAGCCTGCTTGGCCGCGCCCTGGGTATACATATCAACGTATGCGGTCTGGGTCCGTGAAAGAGGATCTCGTGCTAACATCTTGATGTTCTGACTGTGCCGACCGTCAGCTCGAGACCCAGTATAGAGTTTCTACACTCACATGTCATATTTGAATTCCGAAAGGAACGAGGCCACCTCCTCCGCATCTGCGCCCGCGGATATGTTGGACAATAAGAGTCGACGTGGGAGGAGGACTTTCTCCTGGTTCGCCCAGTATGCCGCCTCCTCATCAAGCACTTGCTTGATCAGGGCATCAAGCTCAGCTTTCGCTTCTTCAACGAGCTGCTGCTTCTCACGCACAGCATCATGTCCAGTTGCACCAGCACTGAACAAATAGGCGGTCCAAGCCTGCGCTATCTCCCACTTGACGCCAGCCTTCTCGAGCTGGAGCGCAGCGGCATAATAGAGGACGTTCCGTGAAATACCATGGTCTCGTTTCCGGTCACTCTCGATGCGTTGTAACGTAGGGCCAACGACGAAGGGCGGTACAGGCTGCGTCTCTGCTGCAGTAGGCTTGGCAATGACTGGCTTGGGGGAGGGCATGAGCAGCTGCTTCAATCTAAACGCAAACTATGTTAGCCTTCCGAGAAAGTCTAAGATCGTCTGCCGTTTCAGTGCGTATCTTGCGTGCTACATGCCGAGATTCGAGCACAACAGCGTAGTAGGAATACCGGAAAGTTCATACTTCTTGTGGAGCGACTCAAGGTCTTCCACCTCTTCCTCGCCTGAGAGCTCCGTCGGCGTTCTGGCCCTTCCAGACATCTCCTCGAGCTCTCGCATCATCACCACAACGTCTTCAATTCTACTGGGAGCACCCTTGCTATCTGCTTGAGGTACGAGGAGAGAGCTCGGCAGAGCTTTTCATGTTAGCTTAGACCACAAAGACTCGCCCAGGTATCTCACCATCCTGTCCATGTCCGACCGCGCTATTGTCGACTAGATTCACAGCTTGGGCGCCATCAGTTGTCGCAAGCTCGATGCTCTCTGATGAAGAATCGTTGACCACCGTCGAGCCGTTGCCCGGAGGTGGAGAGGAGGAAGGGTAGTCGACGAGCGGCAGCGCCGGAGGTGACCGGACAGGAGGCATTGGTGTTGAAGAGCCGCTCGTTCCTCGACTCGCGATTTCTTTTGCGGCCGTGTCTCTCCGCTCTGAAGCACTCACAAGCGTCGCCGAAATGCTTGCCAACTGTTTGCTGAGCAGAAGGTTTCCTGGCGACTGTAGCGGGTTCATCGGTCGAGCTCTCGTTCTGGGTGGCATCTTGAGGATACGTCTGGAGGAATCGGATGTAGTGCAGCAGGAGCTTCAAACGGGTTGATCGAGAAATGGAAGGTGGCTTGGGACGGATTTGCAGTAAAGAAGAGCGGCGACTGTGGTTGACGAGTGTTCGAGGGGGCGGTCGCGGCTGGTGAGTGAAGAAGTTGCGACTAAGGCTGGCGCAAACAAACAGGCTATCCTCTCGAGCAACGGTACCAATGCAGCAACGAAAAAAATGACTTGAGATAATATCGTCCGCAGCGGTCGATGCAGGCTTTCTGTTCCTCCCCGGCCAACTTTCCTACCCTCGCATTATATAGCACCGTGTGATACTTGTATAGCACATCCTTGGGTGATCCGATACATCTCCCGACTCTTTTAAGGGTGTCCTCAGCGTCGACCCATATACACTGAGGTTTGAAAGGAACTGATGCATTTGGAGTGTAAGAAGAGGAAAGAAGGTGAGGTAACACGAAGGAGAGAAGAGGAAAAGACGCAGATTGGCTGCAACCCATGTGACCATCCTGGATTACCCTTCTTCCGACTATGGTATTGGGGTCGTCCCAGTCGCCAATAAAAGCAATGTCTACAAATACCCAATACGTAGACCCACAGCGAGATGAACGCAAGATTGCCGCCTATCTACTACCCCATTATCTAGCAAAAACCCAAGTTTAGACCTCGACCGATGGCCCATCGGTTTCTTGAGGTCATTCAGCCTACTGCTTCTTCTTTCCCGCTGCCTTCCTCTCCTGCTCTTTCTCTTCAATCTCCTTGATCTCTGCCTCCTCCTTCCTCAACGCATACCACTGCCCCGCTTGTAGCACCAAAACCCCCCACGAGCACCAACGCCAAGATGGTGTTACTCGCCGCAAACACCCTCAGCGTGTCCTCTCTGCTGATGTAGTCATCCGCATTCTCATCGTCCTTAACGTCCACATTGCCATAGATGCCCGCAGTGACCACACGCAGACCCTTGACAATGTTGGTAATGTATACCGTGATGCCAGCCATGTAAAGCACAAGCGACGCGCCATCGAACAGCATGTTAGCCTGCGACGCTTTGTAGAGCTTGGTCAGGAAGCCGAGAAGACCGGTGCCGATTACAATGTGTAGGATGCGACTTATGATGGGCGGCGACGCATGCAAGAACTTGAGATGGTCCTCGAGGATGTTGAAGTAGACATCGCGAGGGCCTTCTGGGGTCGTCCAGATGACATTGTAGTCGTACGGGAATGAGGCGAAGAGGATGCCGAGGAAGAAGCACACGGCTGGTAAGTCTGTCAGTGTCTGTCGTTCATGCGATTGCGCTTGCGCGTTGATTGCCTGAGGCAGCTGGGGAAGGTGGGGGTATTCGCTTACGGCCGATAATGAGGAATGTCCCAAATGTTCCTGCTGCCATGTCTGCGGCGCAATTGGTGTCTGTGTGCGAGATTGTGAGTTGGACGTGTGGAGTAGAAGACTGAGGTGGGCGACTGAAGACGGAGACGTCGCTGCGCGCGAAATACGGACCACGGCTTGTTGGTGTGAAGCTTGGGCTTCTAGACCAATAGAGGCGCTTGCTGTTGCGCGTAAGCTTGTTGGGGAAGGTGCGCTCGTCTGTGGCTTGTCGCTGCGTGGCCTGCTTTGCAATGATGTCCGCGCGATTGGAAACGAAATGAGTTGATTCAAGCTATTTTGTGGTTGATGGTCCGCACGCGCAAGCTTGTCAAGCACGATGATGTCCGGTTGCAGCACGCGACAGCCCTACCACATCTTGGCGATGTCGTGCACCACCCTTATCAGCCACCTGCACTTTTTGAAGCATGTGAAAACAGAGAAAAGAACCATTCGACCAAAACATGTTCATGGATATGCAGATTGACTTTGGAGCATCGATCATCGTCTCATGGCCGATACAGCAAGCTGTACCCAAACCTGCAACTCCCCCAGCGCGAAGCATCAACTAACGCCCGATACGCCATGCTTGTGAATCGTTCATACTCCTTGCCAACATCATCGCAAAATTGTATTCTAAAAGTCGTTGTCGTCGTCCATGTCTTCATTACCCGCTTCGATGAAGACAAGTCGTGTGCCTTCTCCAGTTGTTTGCCAAACCTGTGGTAGTGTGTTAGTCCGGGTTTCATTTCGGAAGAGTTACAGTAAAGACTTACGTCCAGCATCGAGTACTCATCAATCGCCTGCTCGAACTGGTCTGCTGTGAAGCCCTTGGCAAGCACTCTCTCCCTGACTCTGCGCAGGTCGAGCTCGCCCCGGTCTCCATCACCAACAGCTGCTGCACCGCTCGCTTCCATCGATTTGATGAGATGATAAATCTTGCTACTCGGTGTGTGGTCATCCCTGCGGCCTTCGTCGGTATACAAACTAGCCTTGCTGACTTCTATCAGCCTGAGGGCTTCGTCTACATCCTCAGTGATGACCTCCTCAGCGAAACGCAGACGGGCCAGAGCTTGCGAAAGCCGAAGAACTCCCAGTAGTGTACGGGCCGAAGTGTGCGTGAAGGCTTTCTTAGTACCCTCGTCGCGCTTTTGTTGCTGTCGCATACGCACAAAGGCTCCTACAAGATAGTCTGATACCTCCTTTGGAATCGTAGGACGGTATGACCGCGCACGAGCGACCCATTGGCGCACTTCTGCGGGGCTGAAGACTACGCCGCCGGGGGCTTCAGGGTGGGCGTTGTGCATGTGAACATGAGTAACGTGGCGAGCAAGCTCTTCGTCCGAATCTCGCGAAGGGGTATCAAGAATGAGAAAAAGAACGTCGAAACGCGACAGAAGCGCAGCCGGAAGGTTGATGTTTTCGACCGGCGAAATGCGAGGGTTGTAGCGGCCGTACAGAGGGTTAGCCGCAGCTAAGATTGATGTGCGCGCATTGAGAGTGGTCGTGATACCGGCTTTGCTGATAGAAATGGTCTGCTGCTCCATGACTTCGTGGATGGCGGTCCGATCACCATCATCCATCTTGTCAAACTCATCGATGCAGCACATGCCGTTATCGGCCAGTACAAGAGCACCCCCTTCCAGCACCATCTCGTCTGTGACTGGGTCCCGCATGACAGCAGCGGTGAGACCGACTCCACTGCTTCCCCGACCAGTGGTGTATACACCCCGAGGAGCAACCTTAGTAATGTACTTTAGAAGCTGAGATTTGGCCACACCAGGATCACCCATCAAGCAGACATTGATGTCACCACGGATGCGCATGCCGTCACCGACTTCTTTAGTTACGCCACCGATCAGTTGCAGAAGCAGTGCTTTCTTCACGTCGACATGGCCGAAAATTTCAGGTGCTATCGAACGAGACAGGTACTCATAAAGCTGACCAGTCCGCTCTAGCTCGTTCATCCTCTTCAGGGTCGGCTGCGCCAGGACAATATCGTCGTACGCTTTCTTGTGCTGCATCACGTATTGAGCTTCCAGGTACGTGTCAGTAAGTAACCCCGCGCGGATAGCCTTGAAGCCTGTGTATGGGGTAGGTAGGAAGATACCAGCGCAGTCGATCACGTCGCCAGGGTTGATCTGCCTGACCAAATCGCCGTGGCAGTGAATCGTTAGCTGCCGAGGGATGTGGCCGACAGGTACTTGGTCCGCCATCTCTTGAATCTTGACCTCCTGGAAGGGCAAGAATTTCGACGCGCGGGTGGACAAAAAGAGTTGACCCTTGGTGTTGTTCTTCTTGCATTCTTCTGAAGGACACTCTACCAATGGAGTGAACTGTTTGCTCGTCACGGGCTGGAATATTTCGCATCCGCAACGATCGCAGGAGTATGCATTGACCTGAATAGCAGGTTTGACATCTGAAACCCTCGTAGTGATACCACGAACAGTAATGAGATGGCCTAGGTGTTCTCCACGGACGTTCCTCACGGCCAAGGCCTTCATGCTCCGCTGACTGCTAGCACCAGACGGTATTATGGGCTTGAAGTTCAGGGTGTAGCGGCGCGTTAGAGCTGGAGGAAATATCAGCTCAGGTGGTGCCTGAGCCCCGTCTTGGCCTCCTTGCTGCTCTTGCATCTTCTCGTTTCGCTTTGACCGTTGGGTCATGATGATGTCTAAAACATCATCTTTGAAGTTTGGCTCTTGCGATGGTTGAGGCAACAATCTGTCCACTGCTCTGGAAAAGATTTCGATGTAATGATGGCAATTGCGCTCTATAGATTCGGTGAGCTTGAATTGGCCTTCGGGATCTGCAGCTTTTTCCCAAGTCTCTAGGTCGTTGAGGTCGATCAAGATATTGGTTTTCGTCCTGTCTGCAATGTCCTGCAGCATCTCCACGTATTTTGCCTTGGTCCGGTTGCGTCTCCGGTTCCCATTTGGCGCGGGGTCGTCCGACTCGTTAAGCATGTCGTACTCGTCATTGTCGCCATCGCCGTTGAGATTCAGATTTCCAAGCTGATCTGCGGCTTCCGTGGACGAAGATTTGAAGTTCTGGAGGAAATCTACGAAGGCGGCTAGAGTAGCAGCCGTCAGCTAACTTCCGGTGCATTTTGCGCAGTACACAAACCTTCTTGCTCCTCGTAATTGACGAGCGACTTCTCGGTAAGAAGCGCCATTGCTTCTTGTGTTTCTATAGTTGCGCGCGTCGTGCGATCAAAGGCAAAAAATTGGGGTCCGAGGAGGGGAAGCGGTCGCAGCAGTGGAGAGGTTGGCGATGCTCAAGCGCGTTCGAGATCGCGTCGCGCGTCGACAGGGGCAGCGGGCGCTGATTGGCTATGGTGGGCAGCTCTTCTGCCGCCTGTTACCGCCTGGGGAGCTCCCAGACGTCGGCGCCGACAACCTCGGCAGCCCCAAGCGCTCTCGCAACCGCAGAGCGAGCTGCGAACTCTTTTCTTACACTTCACGTTGTATTATTGTTGTGATGGCGCCACCAAAGAAGCCTGCGGGTCAGGTCGTACAAGCTGAAATTGTGCTGCAACAATCCTTGAAGAACTGTCTCGTGAACCTGCCCTCATCGCTGGTTTCTGTGCTGGTGAATGCGAATACCGTATGCGAGGCGCAACTTCCTCCTTCGTGGACAAACTGACGCATCCCGTATAGGTCGCGCAGAATGTCGTGGTCGAACTTTCATACCGCCAAACTCCTCCATCCGGTGCCTCAGAATCGAAGAATGCCTCGCCGCAGAAGTCGGTGTTCCTGGGATGGACGGGCATGCAGAGCAAGCGCAAGCTTGCTTCAGTCGTCAGTCGCGACGGACTGAGCGGTACAAGAGGTGGCCCCGCTGCCAGTCAACAAGATGTCCAGACAATTGAGGTGGACATGACATTCGCGCGTCTTATCGGACTGAATGAGGGGCAGAAGGTTGGGATATTACTGCACGTGGACCCACCACAAGCGCATACCATCAACATTGAGCCATTGACGCCTGTGGACTGGGAGATGATTGAGCTGCATGCCCAATTCTTGGAACTAAACTTCCTGTCTCAGATACGGGCTTTGCCCAACCCGCAAGGCCCGTCGTCGCACCCGTTGACCCTCCACCTGTCGCCGACTACCACTGCAAACATTATCGTGACCTCGGTCGCTCCTGCACCGCCTACGGAATCTCAGTTTGTCAAGATTTCGCCTGATGCGGAAGTAATTGTTGCTCCGAAAACACGACAAAAGGCGGAACGAAGTACTGGGCGCGAAAGCCGGAGCGTTGGCGGAGCTTCGAGAAAGAGCGGAAAGAGTACCGCGAGTACTGTCAGGCGACGAAGCGGCCGAGACGAGCAAGCCAGTCGTGGGGTGGTGTTTCTTCGTGGAGTAGACCGAACTGTGGCAAAAGAGTGGTTTGATGAAGAAGATGCCTCAAGCGCAGAAGGACTCAAGATATGGGTGGACAAAGATGTTCTTCTCACAAAAGCGCTAAGGGGTGTCGCTTGGGTGTCTGTGGCTGTCGTAAAGCCAGCAGGTCTGCAAGAGCCGGTTGATATGTCAAAAGAGCAGGAACAGGAGAAGGCCGCAGCGCGAGTCATTGCCAGGATCGGAACATGGGAAGATGCGCCGGATAGTCGTCATGTCGCTTTATCGTCTGACTTATGCCGAGTACTAGGCTGCGGGGGCTTCGTAGGCGGTCTGGTTCGCCTCGAAGCCGCGCCGAACCAAACCGCCAAACCGTCTTCTATCAAACCGCAAGGTGCTGGCTCTAAAGACAAGGATCCGTTCGTCAAAACAATCAAGATCTTCCCGTTTGCCTCGGTTGGAAGCCAAACAAATGCCTCATTACGGTTCGGTGGTGAATCAAAACAGGATCATGAAGAGGCGATAAAGCGAATCAAAGAAGCCTACGGTAAACTCAACGGGCTCTTAGATGGACCTGTCACTGATGGCATGGTATTGCCTCCTACGAGCGACTCGACCTTGAGCTGGCAGGGTGGCATAGTACGATTTGATCCACCACAACCTCCTTCCGGCGTTTCATGGATATCTTTCCCAGAAAGAAAACTTGCTGTAGAACTTGGTGCAGAGGTTCCCGCGCCGTCAAGCTGGACGAGGGGCGTACAGCAAGGGGATGCACTTCCGTCAACACAGCCAGCATTAGTCGGCATCGATCCACTAATCGAGCAGTTGCGGGCGCACTTGACGCACAGTTCGTCTGTATTGCTAACCGGAGGGCTTGGTGCAGGCAAGACAGAATGCGCTCAGCTCCTTGCCCACCAACTCCGCACTGAATATCTTTTCAACACCATTTACTTCTCTTGCCGCAAGCTTGTCACTGACGAAATCCGAGTGTCGACCATCAAGGAGACACTCACCCGTCTATTCGCCTCCGCAGCTTGGGGCGCTAGATCTGGTGGCAATGCGGTGGTCATTCTTGACGACTTGGATAAGCTGTGCCCGGTTGAAACCGAGTTACAAGTGGGCAATGAGAACGGACGAAGTCGGCATGTTAGCGAAAGTATCGTGGCTATTGTGCGACAATATTGCACCTTGGACACCGGAGTAGTACTGCTGGCTACAGCACAGGGGAAGGAGTCTCTCAACAATGTCATCGTTGGCGGGCACATTGTGCGAGAGTACGTCAGCCTTAAGGCACCGAACAAGGACGGCAGGAGGAAGGTCCTCGAAATGCTAGCTCATCAGGATGAAAAAACGCAGTCGAAGATAACCAATGGGATATCTCCTACTGGACATGCTTTCCCCACATCGCCATCGAACAGTCGTCCCAGCACCTCGCACCGCAGCCAGCCAAGTGGTTCCAGTATACATTACAACGCCGAAACGGAAGAGGATGGTTTTGTGGTGGACTCGTCGATCGACTTCCTGGATCTTGCTGGGCAGACCGACGGATACATGCCTGGTGACTTGGTCCTACTTACATCGCGAGCACGAAACGAAGCCCTTATACGCTCTGTCACAGACTCCTCCAATACGACTTCGATCTCATTAACGAGGGAGGACTACACACAAGCCCTAGCTGGCTTCACTCCAGCATCTTTGCGCAATGTGACCCTACAGTCTTCTACTACGAAATGGGACTCCATAGGCGGTCTTCTTGAGACACGCCAGATATTGCTGGAAACACTGCAATACCCAACGACCTACGCACCCATCTTTGCGCAGTGTCCTCTACGCCTCCGATCCGGTCTTCTTCTCTATGGGTACCCTGGTTGCGGGAAGACGCTCCTGGCATCTGCTGTAGCGGGCGAATGTGGGCTCAACTTTATATCAGTGAAGGGACCGGAGATTCTGAATAAATACATCGGCGCATCCGAGAAGTCCGTTCGAGACCTGTTCGAGCGGGCCGAAGCCGCCAGGCCCTGTGTGCTCTTCTTCGACGAATTCGACTCGATCGCCCCTAAGCGTGGCCACGATTCGACAGGCGTCACTGATCGCGTTGTCAATCAATTGCTCACGCAGATGGATGGTGCTGAGGGTTTGAGTGGTGTGTATGTCCTCGCTGCTACCTCTAGACCGGACCTGATCGATCCGGCACTTCTCCGCCCAGGACGTCTCGACAAGAGTCTCATCTGTGATATGCCAGCGTTGGACGAACGTATTGATATACTAAAGGCCGTCACGCGAAAGCTGCATCTCGCTCCATCACTCTTGGAAACTGGTCCTGAGGGAGAGAACTTGCGCGAAATTGCCCAAAGGACCGAAGGATACTCAGGGGCAGACCTCCAGGCGGTGGTCTACAACGCTCAGCTTGAGGCGATTCACGATGTGTTGGGAGACACTGAGATGGGCGACCCCACCAAGAGCGGAGACGCAAAGAAGAAGTCGACCTCGGATGCTACAGGCAAGCAAGGGAAGGAAAACCGCGTTCCAGACTTCACACATTTCCGGTACGGCGATGCCCACACGACCCCGGATGATTCCAAGCCGATTCCTTCCAGTCAGCTTAGCGAGCGTGCGCTCATTGCACAAAAGATTCAGGCACTCCAGGCGATGCGAAGGAAGCAGAAACAGCTGCAGCACCAACAGAGGCCTGGCAGCAAAGACGAAGACGATGGTGCCAAGGAGGAAGAAGACAGGAAAGAGCCTCAGATCCAATGGTCACATATCGAGAGCTCGTTAGCGACGACGAGAAGCAGCATCAGCGCACAGGAACGACGCAGGCTCGAAGGCATCTACAGAGAGTTCGTCGTCGGGCGCAACGGCGAGATGCCCAGCGGACAGGGCGGAACCGAGATCGGTGGCAGGACGAGCCTGATGTAGAGTAGTCAAACGCTCTTGTACATATTATCAAGTTCTTGGAGTGTATATAAGTTTCAGATGTCGTTGGAAACGGGCACGATACGAGCCAGTGTTTGTGACGAGTGAAGAGCGACGGCCAATGAAACGGTGGGCGCCAATGCGGCGCCCCAGACTTGGCGCGGATGAAGCGCGAATGACGAAAAGCTTGGTGGTGATCGCTGCGGCAGAGTGAACGGAGCCGCATCAGTCACGCGTGGGATGTCCGGGTGCCGGCGGTGAGTGTTGGGCGCGCATGGGCTCGCGTGCGCGAATTGTGCATCCGGAGAGTCTCAAGGCGAGGCTAGATACCGCCGGAAATGCCTCATCTGTTGGGGTTTCGCGCCGAGGCTTGCTGGCGGCTCATTTAGATAAGCGTGAGATGACCTAATGGCTGCAGCGTGCGATGTGAAGGCCCGCCCCCGCTAGCAAGGATGCGCATGTGGAGCCGACGTTGGGGCGGTCGCGCTCGCTGCGAACGAACCAGGAACGCGCCGAAGTCATCGTGAATCGCAGCGCTGAATGCTCCGGCCGAAGGAATGTGAGGACGCTCAAGGCACTGCACGTTCAAGAAGAGGCGATTCACGCGCCGGTGCGTACCTGGAGCGAGTGACTGCCCGTGCGCCCGCGAGCCATGGCTGCCGATCGCGCACACCTCCATCATTCCTGCCTTTCACGGTCCCGCTATTTGCTCATTGGCTGACTCGCCTAGCTCCTGCCCACCAAGCACCAGCTTGCTTCCTCTCCCCAGCCTTTCCCACCTCTTCAGTCCACGCCGCTCCTCGACATCTCCACTGAGCCCACTGCAACCCCTTGAGCCCGCCAACTCGCCGCCCACCAGCTGCCCAGGTACGTGTTTATCTCCGTTGTCTAGGCGACCAATTGCCATGGGGTGCTTGAGCCGAACGACCCGCCGGTCCCGCGCGGCCAAACCAGCCCGAACAAATGCCTCATAAAAGCAGAATTTTCGGCGACCCGCTCCTCTTATAAGGCCGCTACCCACCCAAGGCCCTCGGTCGCTCTGTTTTGGACGTTCTGTCTCGCCGCCCTCTCGAGTCCATCTCCAAGCCATTGTTCGCGACGCCGACCCGACTGATCCGTTGACCAGCTCTTGTCCTCCACAGCTTCAGGACAGCTTTAAAGCCATCGTTCATCGACTCAATTCCCGGAACCCACGTTCTCCGTCGTAAAGGTACGCTGGACCAACCATCTGCGAAGCCATTGGAGCTTCAATGGCGCTCCTTGTCGGCAATCGTGACGATGTTTCTTTCGCAACCAGTCTAGCGCCAACGGATCCTCGTTAATAAACAAGGCCCGAGCTCTCGATAGGATGTGCGATGCCTACGTGCCTCTCGGATCGCTTTCTCGAATGTCTTGCGAACGTGCAACTGACATTGTCACACAGTAAATCAGTCACAATGGCCGCCATCGACATGTCCCTCGTCGCCCGCAGCGAAGCTGCTATTTCCCAGCTCGTCAAGCGAAAGAACTTCGCTGCCAGGGAACCCGGTGTCATCGTCGTTTTCGCCATCGTCGGTGCCGTCGCCATTCTCGTCATCGGCATGTTGATCCAGAAGAGGGTAAGATGAGGTCGCCTTATGGATTACGTCTGGAAATCTAACAGTGATGTCAGATGGCCGCCCGCAAGGCTGGCGTCGTTTAAAGATACCCCGGCGGAGTTGGTGGATGGATGAGAAAGATGAGGAGAGAGTTGGAGCTGTGTACATGATTGTTATGGATGATGCAATTGCTGAGATCTGCCGAAGAGCTGGTTATGCGGAGGATCTACTCTGGACAAGATGATCTTCGGCATCTATTGCGCTGCCCCTCGAGGTGTATATTGCTTTGTATACCACGTTTACCTATGGAATAAGCTTCCCTTCGGTCGCGCTGTGGATCGGACGCCTGGTACGAAGGGTCCGTGGGAATAATAGATAGTCTGATACCTCCGTCTTGAACCAACACGTATTCGCAAGCGTCTTCGAATTATATTGTGAATGAGTAGGTCAGGAAGATCCTGATCACCATCTGCTACTCGGGCACTAGATTCTGAATAACTCGGGATTATAGCGGTCTGGCAAATGCGAGGGATTCTGACCTAACGGCTATCTTCTCCGAGATATTTCCTAGCAAAGGTAGCTTCCTCGTACGAGCTCCGCGACTCGACTCGCATCGCGCCTTTTCAGGAACATGCAACTTCCCAAGAGGGTTCACGCTAGCCGTTGCCACTTCGTCACTTGTCTCAGCCATTGCGAAGTTTTGAATGCCTTGTCATCTATCATCCCGCTGCGTATCACATGTGCAGGCTTACTCGCGCCTACCGCGTAACCTTGATTACCCATCCGCCTGCATGGACCTAGCCTCGCATTGCAGCTTTCCGCCGTCCATTTTGGCAATGCACGCGAGACCGATCATGACCGACCTGTGCGAGCATGCTGGCCCCCACCAACTTGGAGGCCGACCTTGACCTCACACTGCACAATCTACTTATGCCCGCCACTATGCATACGCGCAGCTCATGCAATGTACGATCAAAACACGGACATCTCAAATCGCGAACCAGAGATCAAACATCTATGTGAGGATATCTGCGAAGCGTTCCAAGAAGGTATCGCAATTTGGGATGGCCGGGTGGAAGGCTTGCTGAAAAACAATGAAAAGGATCTCGAATCTGCTAAGAAGTTAAGGGCGAGCTTTGAAGAGGGCTATCAGATGCTGGCGAAAACCTATGTGAAGTTTTATAAGCAGGCGGGCGCTCATTTTGCAATTGGTGATCGTACGTATGTGTTTTTCAAAGTGGGACTCCTCTTTCTCGGGGAATCGTCACTCCCTTTCCACAACAACTGACATCCGGACAAAGAGGAGACGCAAAGTGAGCTTGCTTCAGCGTTGCTTCACTTGAACTCTAGAGTTATTCAACTGCTCCAGCAAGCACCTGACGATGCCCTCGCGGGTGTACCATGGCTCCCAGGTGCCTTTGATGCACAGTACAATGTCATTCGATATGATCATCTCCGGCGACATTCTGGCCATGTCCGGACTAAATGCGTACACGCACTTCATGGACTCTTCTCTAAGATTTCAGCATGGGCAGTGCCCATTTACACCCTGCCTCCCCTTGCCAACCAAGCCTCCATGACAAATCCTACAACGCCCGAGCCCGAACCAGAGAGCTTTTTCGGGCGGATCCGCGCACCGTTCCATCGACAAAGGTACGAATACGAGAAGTTACCTACGGAATACTCTTTCCGTCTAGTGAAGATACACATAGCAAGACCGTCTGTGGAGTGCGAGATCGAGACTTTCAGTCTCACCGACCCACCACCCTTCAAGGCGTTGAGCTACTGCTGGGGGAAAGGTGGACAGCACTCCGATATGTGGTGTAATAACCACCTGTTCAAGGTCTCTTCTAATCTCAAGAAAGGTCTTCAACGCCTGCACAAGTACGGGGCCTGGTCGCGCGTCGAGTGGTTTTGGATTGATCAGATATGCATCAATCAGAACGACTTTAATGAGCGCATGCAGCAAGTGCGCTTGATGCGCGCTATCTACCAGAGAGCTCAAAATACTGTGATCTGGCTAGGCGCAGACGATACAAGCGCTCGGGGTGCGATGTCGATCATTAGCGATCTGTATCGTCTTAGGCTTGAGGCACAGGAGAAGGAGGCCGCTGCGTGCATTGAAGGTCGCTCATTGGCGAATGTTAAGATGACCTTGCCATCGGAAGAAGACGAAAGATGGCGTTCCTTGTCTAGATTCCTGGATCTTTCCTGGTTCGAAAGATGTTGGATTATCCAAGAGGTACGTCACTCTTCAGTGTCGTTTTCTTGACGTTTAATCGATCATCTCATTCCCTCGGCATCAATCAATGTTCAACCTTGGCTGACTTTGGGCTTGAAATTCAGGTAGTCGTTTCTCCAGGTGATCCTGTTTTGCTATGTGGAGGCTTTCAGCTCCTGTGGTCCCGGTTCCAAGAAGCCATAGCCGCATTGATTCAGTATCATCCAAGGTTCCGGGCTGAACGATTGAAGCTCTTGAAAGGAATCCTGGATCTATCCTCAAAAAGCGACGTTTGGGAGTTGAGCTCCTTGCTCCAATCAACTCGACCGTTTCAAGCTACAGATCCGCGCGACAAGATCTTTTCGCTACTGGGTCTAGCTGGAGAAACGAGGACCCCGGACAAATGGCCGAAGGCATTGACGCCAGACTACAATCGCATTAAGCAAGATGTGTATATGGCGGTCACGCTTTATTGCATCGACAAAACAAAATCCCTGACTATCTTCTCTCAAGTTGGTCATGTCTCAGAAACGTACGGGACCCTAGCCGACGTGGGTCACCAATCATGGGTTCCGCAATGGTTCGAGACGCAGCGCGCGTGTGAATTAAGCGCGTACACCGTCACTCAGAGCGACGAGGGCTGGAAACTGCTCGTCGAGAGATTCCACAGGGCCTCGAACAATCTTCCGGTGTCTCGAAATCCGCACACTCCACAATATATTCTGCGCCTGGAAGGCGTACATGTTGCGGACGTAGACTCATGCCTTCCGGTCATCTCGCCTGAGGCAACCACTTCTACCTCCACTACTGTGTCGCTGATAGATAGCCCACATCCTACGTTGTTAAAGACTTTACCAGAACTCTTCACCATATGCAGATCCCACCTTATCCACCTGTCCAACGAAGCATTCCTTCGAACCTTCTTCCTTGTTACCACCGCCGGCCTGACACCCGAGCAAAACGATGCTCGCCACGAGTCCCTCACGCACTTCCGCGCCTTCCTGCGTACGGCAATGCCGAAGACGCCCGACACAACACCCGATGGAGGCTCGATGTATAGCCTCCATAGAGCTTTCAGGTCGAATCTCAGCATTTCGACCCTCACGCCAAATTTGATACCTCCTACTTCTACCGATTCGCTTCAGATACGTCCTTCAGTACAGAAGTGGTCCTCTTCTGAAATCACTCTAGAAGCGCCTATCACTGAGACGGGAGATACTATAGCTGATGCTTCGCGGTACACATCTGCTTTGACACCAATGCTCCACCGGCGGCTTTTCGTCACTTCAACGGGGCATCTGGGACTGGGGCCTGCGGGAATGACGTCCGAGGACGTCGTAGTGGTGTTGTTCGGAGGTAGGGTACCGTACGTGCTCAGAAGAGTTGATGATGGGAACTGGAGGCTTATTGGGGAGTGTTATGTGGACGGCTTCATGCGTGGGGAGGCACTTGAGCCGCAAGGAGAAGATGGTGGATCGAGGGAAGGGAGAGTGGAGCATGAGTGGTTTGATTTGGTGTGATGAGGTTTGGCGTGCCTGTCACGGATCGCCACAGTTTCGTTGAGCTTACGGATATACAGAAAGTGTTGCGGCCTGTAATCTGATCACATCTTTTTGAAGCCATAGCGAATTTGAGAGAGATTATTTATTATCGGATGCATTGCTACGTCCGCTTCGGCCTTTGTCGCATCACTGTGCTGCAAATCTACTGCCGACAGCTAGATTGACCTAGGCAACTAATGATGTTAGCACACCGATCTTTCGAGTCACAGCGAATCAAAAGGAAAAGATAAAGAGAAGCTTTGTAACTCACCACAGTCGTTTTGGAGGTGGTTCGGCATGACTGCGCGAGTGGAACGCCGGCGGAGCTCTATTGGCGCTGGTCGGTGACTACTGCATTGGGAGTGATAGTGGCAGCTGCCGATTCATACTCCGCATGGAGGCGTCTCACACCCAGTGTGAAGAGCGCGCTCGGAAGGAGTGTAGCGTCGACAATTCTCGATGCCTCAATTTCGATGAGTCGACTAAGTTGCGCTTCGAGGTTCCTCCAATCTGCCCTCTTATCTATGTCGTTCTGCACAATCATCTTGTCGTTATCTTTGTTTCCATTTCATGTCAAGCTTTGCTGCTCGTTCATTAATGCCAGTCCCTAGGCGTCGACCCATTCAGTTCTCTCGAATGTCCGTGTCTATCCCCTGGAAGCTCTGAGGGCGGCGCGCCTGGTAGTTCTTGCACGTAGTATGCATGCACATGCTGTCCTTTCTGACCCTCTACCAATCCTGCCTGCCCTTCTCCGCCCTCCGCTTCTCGCCTTTTCCTCGCCTGCCGCAGTAGAAATAGCAAACCTCCAAGTATCACCGCTACGCCGACTAAACCACCAAGCACACCCGCTGCTATCGCTGCCGTGTTTGTCTTCTTCTCTGTCGCAGCGCTCTCTGAAGGTTCCGCGTTGTTCGTTCCCCCAGACTTTGAGGACGCGGGTGCAGACACAGAAACGCCCGAACCAGCGGACGCATTCGATTTCGTCTTCGTCGCTGAAGTTGATGAAGAAGGAGAAGAAGAAGATATGGATGCTTTCTGGCTCAGTATGAACCCCCTACTAGGCATCTTGGGAAGGTCCATATCGAATGTCTCCCGCTCAGTATGCTGACTGAATCTAAACCCGAATTTCGGTTCTTGCGCGACTTTGTCATTCGCGATATCGACTTTCCAGGTGTACTTTCCGCTCGTCGCTAGACTCACGTTCGCTGAAAGCACCCATGTTAGCATGTGAAGCACAACGGGAAAATGGAGGGGAGGAAGGAGAGTACGCACCCTTTACCAACTGCGAAAACCCCGTGGGATGCTCAAACCACATGACGAACAAATCCGCAACATCAGGCTGCGCCCCCTTACCCCAGTCCCACCCCGCGTTCCATTGTATATCAATGATGTCCCCGATTCTCCATGACTGGTAGAAGTCGCCCTGCGAAGAATCAGGCTGCGTGAAGTCCCCCGCTCCAATAGCCAGCAGCGCGTAGAAGGTAGAGAGCAAGCTCCGCATGGCAGCAACGACAGAGCCTCAATGTGCAGAATTTATGGGAACAAGAAAAAGGGTACCCGACACCACGGCCACACTCTCTCGGGCGAGTCCCCCATCTTGTACGCCCGCCGCCTTGCAAGTATGTCCTTCTGCGAACCCTGCTCGTAAACGCCCATCCATGGTCCATGGGGATCAAAGGGGCGAGAGTACCTTCGCAGGATGCACACAAGATATTCACAGCCGCTTCCTCACCCTAATGCAGAAATCACCTAACGTTGTATAGACGTGGCGTACTCGGGAATCGTTGGGAGAGGAAGACCGTGAGATTGTTGCGTTGAGGTCTGCGAGAGGTGGCCAATCAGGGCTTCGTGAAGAAGTCGCGGGATTGACGCAGCTGAAAGATTGGGGCGCAATTGTAAGCGAAAATCAGCCTTAGGCATGAGGGTCGAATTGTCCCGTTTCAGGAACTCATGCGGAGGCTAGCTCTTTACGGAGCGAGCATTTGCTGGAGTGAAATCCGTGCTCGAACGATTGTCAGCAAGTTGATCGATCAGCTCAGTCAAACACGTCGTAATGATGAATGATGTCTAGATGCTATCGCGCATGCTGAATAGATCTATGAATCGTGTTATCTTACATCTAACCGCCTTCGAACAAACACTAGATTTAGATGACACTGCATTGACCGCCTGTCCTGCCATGGTATAGAACTGAAAAACAGATGCTTTTCCGTGACCAACTCCACAAATGCAGACTACCTCATAGCTCTAGCCTTTGCCCTGCGCTTCCTTGTCTCGCCATTGAGGTTGTTCGCGGTAGCATTTGCAAGAGCGGCTTCCTCCTCAGGCAAATCGGACGACTCCAAAAGAGGTTCTTCAACAGCCTGGGTGTTTCCAGTAAGACGGCCGACCGTCTGGTTGTAGGCAAACTTGGGAAGCTTGAACAGCAAAGTGTCGTAGATCGTAGGCTTCGGTTCCTCGTCGGGCTGTGATGGTTAGCTTGCACTGAAAGACAGCTGGGGATGACAACTTACGTCGAGGAGGAACTCTTGCTTCAGGCCCTCGTCGCTCTCCTCCTCGAGGAAGACATTGCCAGCAGAGTCTACAACAAGAACCTTGCCATTCTCCGCAACGATGCGCTTCTTAGCGCCCTGAGGGCCAGAGGTCAACTGTGCCTCAACGGGCGTGCTGATGCCGGAATTGCGTGCCTTCTTCGCGACAGTAGACTTCTTGTCTTTGCGGTTCTCCTTTTCCATAGCGCGCTTTTGCTTACGGTTCATAGGGGCCATTTCCTGAGGAGCATCATCCGAATCGTCGCCGGCCCATTGCTGAGTGTTGACCGGCGGCGGAGTGGCGCGCGCATCGACACCTGGAATGCCCTGAATGCCGGTGTCGTCACCCCAAGCGGTCCTGCGCGCATGCCTAATGTACCTCTCGACGAACTCCCGGCGACGCTTCCAGCCCATGAGAAGGGCAAAGTAGTGCATGCCGCCGCCCAAGACGACGAGCAAGCCAAAGATCACAGCGCCTAGTCCAGGGCGGTAGCGGCTGTAGTAGTAACCGGTGCCCCTCCACTTGGGGAAGCCGTTCCTAAGGAAATGGTCATACCGCTCACGGCTTTCCCCCTTGAGCACATTTGCAACGACGGAGAGCCTTTGGTAAGAAGCAGTGGCCTCCTTCATATACGCATCGACCTCCTTCTTGGTGGCTGGCTTTGTGACCTTCTTGCCCTTCTTCTTGTTGTCAAGAACACGCTTGGCCTCGAAATTCTTCCTGGCTTTGTCAGGGTGGGCCTCGCGCGACTTCTTGCGGTAAGCTTTCGTGAGCTGGTCTTGCGAGGCCGAAGGCTTTACGCCGAGCAGGTCGTAGAAGGTCACATTGTCGCCATTGTGGAGGGCAACTTCATCGCGCAGACGGAAGATTTCGTGGTCTGTCGCAGTAACTGTTAGTTAACACGCATCGTGGATGGATGCAGGCTCCCGCATGCATGACCCCCAGGATTGTGCGGGACGCTGCAAACGGTAGACTGCAAAGGGGACACTGCATACCCTCTTTCGTCCAGGCAGCTGCAAAGGCGGCGAACAGGCACAGCACCAGTGCGGAGAGCGCACTGGGTTTCATGGCGTGCGGAGGTTGAGCGGTGGGGACGGTGAAGCCGTCTTGAGTGGCCGCGGATGGTGGGAGGGACGCACTCTACTGCACTGTGCGTCGGTGAAGTAGCCTAACGTGGTCCAATGGGAGGAGACAATGGAATTGATAGTACGGTGACGCGGGCGCCAGCAGAAAAAGAGAGCGAAACCCCGAGCACACCCGGTTTCTTTCACGCTCTCGAGTCCTGCAGCAATCGAACTTTTGGCTGTTGAGGCCAGATGGAAATTGTGGACGGTGTGCCCGGTGACAGGGCATGTGAAACTCGGTAGCCGTTGCCAAACCCGCCTAGTTCTTTCTATTCTGGGACGTAGTTTAGGGGATCGGCTCGTGGGCAAGGGTTCAGCTACTCATCAAAGAATATCTCAGACTCCGCCAGCACGCGCGTACTGTCACCCTCACAGCCTCCAGCCTCCTCGATACGTCCGTACGACAAGCGCCCGCCGCGTAACTCCGTCACTCTTTTGCGACTCTAGCGACATCGGTAAGGCTCCAGCTTTGTTCAAATTCCTCAAACTCTCCCTCTGGGAAAAGACACATCTCCAGCTCTGCACTTCACGCCACCGCAAATTTCCCTCGCAACCAGAATCCACCGCGCTCTACTGACAATGGCGCCCAATGCAGACTACGAAGCTCAACAGAACCTCATCGAGCCCGATACCCCATCGCAACCCACCCAGACCTCCACACAACAACCGAACATCATGTCACGACTCAGCATCCCCATCGACGCTCTGACGTCCAGACTGAACCTCGCTGGTCGCTTCGACGGCCTGCAGTCGCAGTCGCTCTCCGGCCGATTCGCCAATTTGCGCCCCATTACCGAGTTCTTCGACGTAAAGCGCATCTCCAAGCCAGCCAACTTCGGCGAGGTGCAGAGCAGAGTCAACTACAATCTGAGCTACTTCTCGAGCAACTATGCCGCGGTCTTCGCCATGCTCATCATCTACAGCCTGCTCACCAACCTGACCCTTCTCTTCGTTATCATGATGCTCGTTGGTGGTATGTACGGAATCGGCAAGCTCCAGGGAAACGACCTACAAATTGGTAGCTGGCGCGCGACCACGTCCCAGCTTTACACGACGCTTTTGGTCATTTGCATCCCGCTCGGCTTCTGGGCTTCCCCATTCAGCACTGTTCTCTGGCTCATTGGAGCCTCTGGTGTCACCATTCTGGGCCATGCCGCATTCATGGACAAGCCAATCGAGTCAGCTTTTTCCGAGGAGGCGGTCTAGGTGGTCGGCCGCGAGCTCCTTTCAGTACGCCCCTCTGGGGAAGACCACCAGGGGGACGAGGAGCACCAGGAGTTGTGGGGAAATATTTGGAGGCGGAGGAGGACGTGTATAGATTTCAAGAACTGGACAGTTCTGACGAAAACAATGGCGCATTATTAGATCAAGGTTTCAACATGGTTTCAAATAGTTCGAATGGCAAGGAACCCTTAAATCCGGATGAGCTCTACTTCAACGACATGGACTTAAGAGCATGGGAGCGGCGCACGGCGGAACAAGACGGATTAGCTTACGGCGATGACTACGGGTACGGGTACGGGTATGTGGAGGACGAAGGATACTATGAAGATGCGGGCAACATGATGTCTCCCGCTGAATATGAGGACCTTCTATTTCAGCGCACCTTGGACAAGATTCGGTTGGCTAGAGCCATTGGTGACGCGGACGTGTCGCTTACGCCTGAAGAACTTGAGGTGTATCAAACTCGGATGTGGCGGCAAAGGGCGCCTGCAGCGCGCCCGCAAGCTAGAGCTATGCCACACAGCGCACCTGTGGTTCATATGGCCACCGCTTCGAGTGTCACCGGCGCACCAGGCTCAAGCAGCCCACGATCGAAGAAGAACCAGCGCCGCTCATCTCTCTTCGGAGGCAAGGACAAGTCGAAGAAGGAGAAGACTGGCAATCGAGCCCGAGCAACGTCCAATGCCACCGAGTCGACTTTTCAGCAGGCACCGCCAGGTTTTCTTGTGCCAGGACCGAATGGGCAACCAATGTTTGCGCCCATCAACACTTATCAAGCCTACAACGGCCGCGATACTCGCCAGCAAGGGTCGCCATTGCGTCCAGGCTCCCGTCCAGCTTCGAAGGGCGACGAAAGACATGCCGCGAACAAAGGGAAGAACAAGGGCAGTCCGAAAGGAGCACCGCAAGCACAAACTCCTCCACAGTCTCCTCTACGCCTTACAACAACCTCAAGAGATATTCCAGGCGCTTTCCCTAGTTCTCCTGTAAGCTATCGGATGCCGACTCCGCCTCTAGCTGCACGGCCCGGGTCTTCATCTTCTCGCCTCTCTGCTCAGGACCACACAGATCGTCAAGCTTCGTCGGGTGGGCGCAGCCGTTCTTCCACTGTGCAGCAGCCTCCGAAGCTGGTTCCCTTTCCAGTCGCTGAATACAAGCACCACAGTACTGAGCCATTTCAGTATCAAGCCGCAGGTCACCTCGCTCAACCATCAGCCCAACCCCAATTTGCACGAAGAGTAGCCTCTGCCGAAGCGCCTTATGCAGCAATGCCGCGCCGTGTACCGGTTCCAAACCAGCAACCAACAGGCAGGCAAAGTATGCAAAGCAGCTATTCTGACCCTGCAATCCCGCATGTGGGTGGCATGGTCGATGTGAGTGAACACACGGTTTCGCAGACCGACGACAATGGCTCCAGCGTGCCGGGCAAGAGCACAGGCAAGCAAGCATCGGGTAGTGGTGGCAGTAAGGAAGGCGAGAGACGTCGGCGAGGTGGGAAAAGTCGCCGTAAGAACTAATCCCTACTTGTTTTTCAAACGTTACTTTCATGCTTTATTTTCCTTCATGGGGAGGCTCTTTTCAATTCGATTCTGGGTTGTTTTTCTGCACATTTCTTTCAACGGGTCTTTTTCATAGCAGGTGCACATGTGTGTTCTACAGGCATAGCGCTGGATACATTGGCGCGTCGGACGGTCGTACCTTCCTGGATGGGTGGCACCCATGGTGCTTGGGGACATGAGAATCCCTTGAACAATCGAGTGTTGCTTGCTTTACCTTGTATTTGCAATGTGTCTTACTATGGGCACTGCTAGCACTGCGAGTGATTCGTACAGGCTTCAGCCTGCGATATGCAGTATATATGTGTCTTGAGTAGCGGTACCATATCGAAGTAAGACGTCTGCCTCTCAGTTTTCTCCGGTTCGAGTTTCAGCATCACATGCAGATACGCGCCACACCCAGTGGCTGTTGTTCACTGACGTCACTCATCCGAATGCGCAGACGTCTGGCCACGGTTCGCGCTCCAACTTCCACGCGATTTCGCGCTCAAGCTCAACGTCACATAGTCTTCGTCCTACAAGCTTTCTCCTACACAGTCGCAAACCTACCCCTGAACCACTCCTTGCACATCTCTCACTATGTCTGGTAAGCCCAATTATCACATCTGCACCTCTAGCATCAGGCTAACGTACCACAGCTCCTGGAGTAGACTACTGTAAGCTCATATCATATCGTACTATTTTTCCAGCTTCTCACAATCCATCCCAGACAAGGTCCTCGAAGTGAGCGACAAAGCAACTCAGCAACAAATACGCGACGCCTACAAGAAGTACTCAAGCCCACCCGCCACCCAACACATCCTCTAACCCCTCTCCAGACAAGCCCTCAAACACCACCCCGACCGCGTCGCGTCCGACAGCCCCGAGCGTGCCGCTCGCACAAAGCGCTTCCAGCAAATAAATGACGCCTACTACACGCTCTCGGACCCCACGCGTCGCCGCGACTACGACTCCGCCCGCAGCTACCAGTCCTTCACCAGTTCTGGCCCTGACACGCCCGATTTCGAAGAAGAAATTCCCCGCCAGAATAATGCTGGTGGTGGTACCTTCGGCGGCTTCCCTTGGTCCGCCTTCGGCTTCGGCAGCGCGCCTGCGGGCGACACAGAGGACTCGCACAACCGTTTTTCCCAAGATCAGTTCGGCGGGGTGTTCGAAGAGATGCTGCGGGAGGAAGGTATGGCTGAGGGCGCGGACGCGCATCCGACGGGCAAGTTCTGGAGCATGATTGGAGGCGCGAGCGGCGCGGCTATGGGGTTCATAGTTGCGAATGTCCCGGGGATGGTGGCGGGTGCGGTGGCGGGGAATAGGCTAGGTGCGGTGAGGGATGCGAGGGGAAAGAGTGTGTACAGTGTGTTTCAGGAGTTGCCGCAGTCGGACAAGGCAAGGTTGTTGAGTGATCTTGCGGCGAAGGTGTTTGCACATGCGGTGGGGTCGTAGGATGGCTTGACGGCAGTTGCGGTGGTGGGACAACAGCAGGGTGCGGTGGTTCGACAGCAAGTTATGGTGACTGGACAGCAGGTTGCAGTAGGTGCACAGCAAGTTGCGGTGGGTGGATATCAAGTTATCGCAGCGGGTGGACGACAAGAGATACCGAAACCGTTTTCTCCAGTGCAGAGGGGTCTGGCGCCGACGGATGAAGAGGTGGCAATGGTTAGGGAACATCCGATCCTCTATCTGCTTATGTTTCTGCTTGATGTTTTGGGTTTCTTCCTCGAGAGGGCGAACCATGGGCGTGCGACTGTATGATGGGATGATGTAATGATATCCTTGGATCTTCTATGGAACATGGCTGGGCTGGGCTGGGCTGAACCATCGGGAGTTATGTAGTAATTGATAGAATATATGCGACCTCACACGACAGAAGACCGATGATACTTCGATGTATCAGATACGCAAGTGGGTTGCAGACTGTGGACATGCCTCTGATATTAGTGAATCTATGATGCTTGGAACGCCCTGCTTTAATGCACTGTAGATCGAACGCCCGAATACGCTTCCTATTTCCAAACATAGAACGCAACCTTCATCCATTACTTCATCAGTCTACTCCCTTCCAGTTCCCCCAGCTCGGCCCTTGCCATCTCCGGATTCCCATCAAGCAGCTTCTTCACCCTCTCCTCAAACGCCTTCACCATGATATCCGCGACTTTGGGCGCCGCACCGGCGCTCAGTGCCATATACATCGGATTCGAAAACGCGAACTCCAGCGCCAACGAAACCTCCGTCATGTCCTTCCCCAGCGCTTCAATCGTCCAGCGACTTCTTAAGTGCGTCATCAACCCGTTCGCTGCGCCTCTCGCGCCCTTGTCAGCATCTTGTGCTCCTTCAAGGTGGTGCGTAATATCTTGTGCCTTCAACTCTGTCTCCGTGTCCCCGCCGATACTTTCTACTATCCTGCCTGGGACGCAGAACACGCGCGAGGTGAAGGACTCAGTCAAATTGCCCCAGCCTATAACAAGGCTCGCTTCTGACGGCCATTTCCGAGCGTATGCAGCATCGGGCGATGACCAGCGCGTTACTGCGGAGGATTGACAGTATGGGAGGAAGGAGGAGTAGCTCTGGACATCTGAAACGATGGAGTAGATGGGTGCGGCGGGATATGGGAGGACTCGTTTCGCTGTGAGAGTCTGCGGTTGCGCGGAGCCGTTCAGAGGGTTAAGTGAGGATTGGAAGGGGTTCGGGAGGAAGGTGCGGCGCTGGGGGAGGTCTGCGAGGCGGTGGGTTGGCCCGCGGAGGAGAGGGCGGAAGGTTCGTAGAGCTGCCATTGTGGGAGGGGATGCGGCGGCGCAGGGGAGAAAAGGAAGCACAAAGAGAGGAAAGAGAAGAGCTAATATCACCTCAAAGACATGCTTCAATGTGTATTTGGCGTAAAGAGGAAGCTGTGAGATGTGAGTATCATCGTGACGGGAGCCGTGAAACTGTGCAACGTAGATTGGCTGACGTCGTGCCGCCAGGAACGAAGCTCGGGGACTAGCTGAAAGGAGGTTAGGTTTTGCTCACTTTCTTATCGATATCGAAATTTCCCACGCCCGCTGCCCCTCCTCCGCATGCTGTGAATCCGCCGGAAGCATATCATTCAACGTTCTCTGAGTGATTGCTCGCCCAACATGGAGCCCACAACAAGTGATATCGCCGGCCAGCGCTTCGAGACCGATAATTCCAAAACCACAAAACAGAATCCCAAACAGCAACTATCCAAGGCCATGGAGCACATGCGCTTCGCTGTAACCGTCGATCCTATTCCTCGTTCCTCGACCACCTCCACACCCACGTCCCAGCCTCCCTCAGACCCAGACACCTCACAACCCGCGCCCGAAGCTGAAGCCGGATCCGACGCATACGGCGTCCCCGCCTCCATCGCCCCGATCCGCAAACCTGCGCACCGCTCGCACTCCCCCTCCAACAATCAAAAGCGCAGCGATCCCTTTGCCTTCGGCTCTCGCTTCCTCGAGGAAGGCGACAACATTTTCGAATTCAACGCGTGGGACCACGTCGACGTCGATCCCGCCTACCAGTCCTTCTCATCTGAGCAGTACGAAAAGCAGCGCGCAGACCCCGTGTCCGACTTCGACAAGAAGCGGTTCAACGACAACCCCGAGAAGTGGTGGAACTTGTTCTATAAGAACAACAAGACGAATTTCTTCAAGAATAGGAAATGGTTGGCGCAGGAGTTCCCGGTGCTGGATGAGGTTACGAAGGAGGATAGTAAGCCCGCGGTGGTGCTGGAGGTGGGCGCCGGTGCGGGGAATAGCGCGTTTCCGATATTGCAGAAGAGGAAGAATAAGGGGTTGAAGATTCATGCGTGTGATTTCTCAAAAAAGGCGGTCGAGTTGATACGGGGGCATGAATTGTACGATCCAGAGTTTATACAGGCGGATGTGTGGGACGTTGCTGCGTCGCCAGAGTCGGAAAACGGAGGGTTACCTCCTGGTATAGAAGAAGGCAGTGTGGACGTCGTGCTTATGATATTCATTTTCTCGGCATTAAATCCGAGGCAGTGGGACCAGGCTGTGAAGAATGTCTGGAGAGTGCTGAAGCCGGGCGGGCAGGTGTTGTTTAGGGATTATGGAAGAGGTGATCTGGCGCAGGTGCGTTTTAAGAAGGGAAGGTACATGGAGGAGAATTTCTACGTACGAGGCGACGGTACGCGCGTATACTTCTTCGAACAAGAAGAGCTGGAGGAAATATGGAGCGGCGAAGCGCACTCGATTCAGCGTGAGGCGAAGACACAGAATAGATATTCCGATGAGGCGGCATCAACACAACAGTTATCCGATCTGCATCTAGAAAAGGAGGCTGAAGGGGTTGAAGAAGCCTCGAGGACAGCATCTGAGCCCACAACGCACTCGCCGCGGCCCGCTTTCGAGATTGTGCATTTTGGAATCGACAGACGCATGCTTGTAAACCGGCAACGGAGGCTGAAAATGTACCGTTGCTGGATGCAGGCTGTGTTCCGGAAACCAGGGCATCAGAGCGAGGTACCGACAAGTACATTAAGGCAGGATAAAGAAAAGGAGGGAGAGGGCGAGGAAGAGGAGGCATGAAGGAAGATGGATCTGCATTTACTGGTCACGTGAACGGAGAGAACTCATGAACACATCATTGGAGTAAACAGGGACGGGACGTGAAAATTAACGTCGCTTCATCGTTCCTTTTCTGTTGGGGTTGATGTCGACTCACTCTTCACCGAGAACCAGGTGGAGCGCGTTTGCGTCAATATGCGTCGGCAGCGCTCCCGTACCCCACCAAATCACTAAGAGCTCTATCTTTGCGTTTTGCCTATGAGTCAGTCTCTTCTTTTTTTGACCCAGCTCGCTGTTCATGCGTGTTTCCGCACACACTGACCGACTGAAGCACACTTTCTCTTGCCTTCCTCTGCCCACCGATACTGAATCTGCAACGATGGTAGCTCTTAAATATTGATGCTATACTGTGGCTATTCCACATTTCAGTTGCGCAGCATCGAACCTTGCCAGCGATCTTCCTCAAACCAAAACACTCGAACCATGAACATTGTGCCAGGGATGATTCGCAGTAATACCAGGCCGCTCCGGAATAGGGTGTGCTTCCGCGCCTCTAGGTCACCATTGTCACTTGAGAGCTGGTCTTCGGTTGCTTGGGTAACCTTTAGGCAGCGGGCTATCTGTTTTCATAGGGAGCACTGACCAGAGGTGAATGAAGGAGACCTCGCTTTAATTCGCCATGGCTTTGACTCGATTCTTTATAAACACTGCGCCTGCATGCTTACACCGTCGCTCTCTCGCTCGCAACCCTCGCACCGATCCACCACGGCTGGTGCTGACAGTTCCACGCCCTAGACTCGTACCATTTGACTCGTACCAGTTCGAGATCTTACGACTGTTTACTCTCCATTCACCCATTCAAATTTCACCTTGCCCAAGCAGAGCGTCCGCGCCAATCTCAATGTCAACCGCATACATGAACTACTACGGCTTAAATGAGTTACCTGAGACGTACAAGCGATACAAGTCCTTTACAGACGGATTTGAGGGATGGCTCATGACAACAGCGAAACAGCGTGGGCTTGAGATTGCCGCTCAGGCCGAGGCTGCCGCTAAAGCTGCCGGGACAAAACAGAAGAAGAACGGTAAATCAAAATCACACCAAATCCACTGGAAAGATATCAAAGCTGTAGCTCAAGCCGTCGCCGAGTCCGGAATGCCTTCGGACGATACCTCGGGCCTCACAGATCTGAACGACGCTATCCGCCTGCGAAAGGAAGTCACCGAGCATTATCGTCAGCAGCAGAAATCTGACGAAGAGCATCCGTACTTTATAACGATCTTGACCGACGTCCGAACAATGTTCAACGAGTGGATCTTTCCCTCGTCAAAGCCATCAGAACAAAGTAACGCCCACAAGCCGCCGTTAGATACCAAGAAAGCATCCTTCCACCAGCAGTGGGCAGTCATTTTCGGTCTGTCCAATGATACCGATGATTGTGACGACAGTGACGATGACACGGATGCCGACGCGAACAAACAAGCTGAATCTGATCGACCTGAAGCGGGGCCAGGTTCCGACAACCGCTCGACACCACACAATGTCACAGAAGCAGTTCCGCAAGCGTCAAAGACAGAACTAGAGTTGGATAGAGATTTCGAGGTGCTTTGTTTCTTATACGACCTTTATCTGCTCCGAAGACGTGTCAAGCAAATCTGGAGTGATTGGGTCCAGCGCAAGATTGGTACGATGACGGCCGCCATTGTGTCTGACTTGGCACTCGCTCAGGTCCAGAAATGGGTGATAAAGCTTGTCGAAGATTTGGACGATGACGGAAACAATCAAAAGATCCTGGGAATTGTCGAGGGTCTCCTGAATCTAGTACCAGAGAATCAGCGAGAACTGACATTGCCGGCCGACAAGAGCGAACTTCCGGTGTACCCGCGTGATTTGTTATGTTGCGATGGTATCCGTTATATGAGGAGTTTCTCGCTTCTTGAGTCGGAAGACGTTGGTGCGACACAAGGATCTCAACCAGTTGATGCTTTCCGGCTCCAGTTCCTTCTCCACTTCCGGTCAATCGGCACAAATGAACTGGTGGTTAGTGACCGATTTACGGAATCGTTCGGCTCTCCCGAAGCACGGTCTCGGGTCTGGCTTCCATTTGGGTTCCAGATCCTACTCGACATCCAAGAATTGCTTCTTATTACAGGTAGCATGGAGGAGGTTAGTTCGGACATGTTTAATCATTCAAAAGACATGGTCGAAATCATGAAAGCACACATAGACTACGAAGACGAATTGTGGAACAAGGGCGAGAAACCTGATTACATGTCAGTCGGCGACACTAAGTATTCTAACCAGTTTCTGCCGATCTTGCAATCACTTCGACATTATTTGCTGAAGCTCAGCAAAGATGACAGCCAAGAGGTGTCGGGATTGCTCAACATCACTTTCTTTGCCGCGCACCCAATCCTCTGCGGACTGACAATGTGGGACTTTCACCGAACGTATCACAGCGCAGCTAGGATCAAGGTCCAGTGGTTTACGGTTGCTCTTGCTCATCTCCACAATGCTTGCCGCCAATTGGGAGGTCTGGCTAGCCCTTGGCCAGACCTCGAATTCATCATTCAATCCCAAGGACAGGCGCGAATTTACGTTGGCGGCCCGCCTACAGATCCGAACGTGTTCTTTCAGCGCATGTGTTTAGCCTTGTGCGCATCTCCCCGTGGCATTGCTAAAGATTCTCGCAAAGCTCGTCAGCTCAATCCCGCAACCAAGCAAAAACGTGGCCTCGCCTCGTATACTCCCTTGGAAGACAGGATCCGGGAATATTACAGCACCAAGTCTGGCAGTAAGCGGTCCTTGCAACTACACAATATCTTCGCACTCTTGATGAGCGATCTTCGAGAGGCTACTGTCAAAGGTTCAGAGGAGTCGTCGGGTGCAGAGTTCCCGCAGCTCGCGCAAGTCAAAGAAAAGGCTTGCATCATCTTCGCAACAATCGCAAAGAAGCGTGCACGGAGAACGAATAACAAGAAGACACGCAAGAAAAATAGGTTGAAGATTCCAGACTTCTCCAATCGCGAAAGCGACTACGATCAGGGTTTGAATCATGCAACCTCTCAGTTGGCTGATCACGAACTCTACGCTAACTTCGACCACCTTGCATTCTTTCGCCGAGCTTACACAATGCTCACCCGCATAAGGACGGAGGTTCTGTGGGACGGTAGCCAAGCACTCATCACGCTAGACGCTTCGCAAGAGCCTCCTCGTGATTGCCAGCTTCTGTATGATCTTCTCTTCGATCTAGCACCCCCGCAAAACAAGAACGACAAGGCGCGAGCTTCTCGCTATGCATCCAGTATGGAGAAGCTAAAGAAAATCTCGGAGATCATGCAAGAATTCATCGGCGAACAAGGAGATCTCGAAACGAAGAACGCCGAGGAGCAGCTTAAGCAACGGACAGAACATAGAACAAACTCTTCCGGAAGGAACCCTCTGGTGGGCTTGACGAAAGATGCGATCGCCGAAGATACAGTTGCTCGTCATGATCCTCCTACTTTGGGCAATAATCTCAAGTCTGCTGGGGATGCAGATCTTATGCCTCTGTTCGAGCTAGAACAGTCTGGAACTGACATTCCCAAGAGCCCCAAACTCTTCATATTCGGCAAGAACGAGGAGTCAGCATTTGATTTCGAGTATGCATTAGTCGACCGCTCTGACATCGATATTATCGACGAGACCCAAGATGAAGCGCTCAAACCTACAGATGTCGAATCCCATGAGCCTGAAGATTCAGCAATTAGATCAGAAGTCGAGTCGGAATCCAAGGATACGGTAACCAAAGCAGAAGCCGAATCTGCGCTTTCAAATGCAGTTGCTCGGCCAGTAACAGCATCCCCGCCAAAGAGTCCAGAGCCTGAACTAGGTTTAAACATCGACCCTCCACGAGATAAGATCTGCAATTCTATTCTGGGTGAGGGCCACAGTGCGTATCAAGGCGAAGCGGTTGCGACTATCAAAGGTAAGCCATCCGCTACTCACATTTGTATCATGTCTCCAACCCCCTTCCAGGCACTAGGAGATCAAGAATTTCACGGTGGCTACGCCAAATGGTCAATGCCGGACGTAGAGACCGAAAGTAGGACTCCCGCTGAGGTCCTAGGTCCTAAAGCTATTGAAGTCGAAGCGCCACCGTTCCATTATCCTTCTGTACTGCTGGAGCCGTTGCCTGTACAACACAAGCCTTCGAACTCGTGGTCATTCTGGAAGCCCATATCACATGCAGAAGTTCTACCTCAAAACACCGACCTCTAAGAGCCACGCGCTGAACCAATTTCCAATGACACCGGTAGCCCCTCCGGCGTCATATATACCTTCGGCGTCAATCACCGTTTCACTTATCGCGCTACTCGGTCTACGCGGCTAAGCAAACTCACCGTGCCTATCCGCCATTACGACCTCTTGTTCCGTGCTTCAACAATCCACAATTCCCGGCGTCGCTTGGTTGGCGCGAAGAAGCATCGCATCAGTTATAATTGCTACGGACGGTGCGTTGTGGGTCGTGCTCTTTTGGGTGAGGTGTATGATGTCTTTTGGAATCGTAAACCTGCTACGATGGGTGATGATGACGGGTGGGAAACGGACGATGATTGAGCAAGACGGTTGATTCGTTGGCTCAGTGGCTTTTGGGCGGTCAACACTTTGCTTTATACTCCTTTTGTACGTTTGTCCTGTTTTACAATCAGGCCTTTGGCAAGTTTTGAGTAATGAACCCTTCACATCCGCTCCCAAAGCATATGAATTGGGGTCTGCCGAGCTGCCTTATACTACAGTCAAGGGAAGTACTCTAGGGCGCATCACAAATCGTTTGAGCTTGGAGCGGCTGGAACTCACTTCGGCTAAACCAGCAGAGCCAGTAGTTTATCTGGGCTGAGAATACCGGCCATACCACATTACAGTGGGGTGGGTTGTGGAAGGCAAATAAGCACTGATCTAGATATCAACTAATTTCATTCTTAGAATCATTTTCTTCAGAATCGGACCCGTGCTCAGTGAATGCCCATCGTTGCGGGATTCCCAGGCTGATCCGCTTCTGGCTTTCGCAGGTCAGAAACTCTCCTTTTATTCGGAAGCACCATTGTCACTGATTAACGGAAAGTGACAACGGTGGATGCACCTGGCCCTAACTACGGTCTTTCGATATGCAATACCGCGAAATCGATACGCTAATCAATTTAGCGTCTCATGGGGCGTCAGTTGGGCAGGAGCGATGGTGGCTCTTTCCTCGGAGGTCTTGCCCCGCCCATGTTCACCACCATCTTCATCACCCACTTCGCAATGTTGCAACATAGGTTCGCAAAGGAGATGGATCACTCAAAGGCCAATCACATGAATAGCCATCTTTTAGAGGCACTTGGAGTTCATAGCGGTAAGTATACTCAGCATCTGCGAGCGGACAAGAACATGTCTCACACTCGGCATCAACGACCCTGAGACACTGAGTACCCACCTTGTATGACCTCTGCTAAACACAACCCCGGCTAGGAGCAGCAACAAAGCTATCGGGTGCACTTTCGAAGTGCAAGGAGTCCAAAGATGACGATTCAAATCGTCTCTTGATTTCCGAGTACCTGGCCAAAGATTCCTCGGTGTCAAGCCCAGCTGTGGTTGATTTCACTCGACTAACAGAAAAGGTGCGCATTGCCAACGAACAACGGCAGCGAAACCCACCAGTAGAGGACCACGAAGAGCATTCGAAGACAGGTCCATCAGAGAAAAGACCAGCGACTGAATCTTTGCTTCAGCCAGTTGAGAAGCGAGCAAACTATGGAGCGGGGACTGTCAGCGTCCATAGATCACCAAACTACCTCCCTAAGTTGAGTAACCCAACGCTCGATAGTAGAGACGATTCAAGTCAGCGCACCTCGGCGACTAGTCGGACGCTGGGCGGGCAGACACTGGAGAGTGCGAACCCGGGGGTTCAGCATGTTATCAGTAGTAGCCAGACGCTGGGACTCGAGAGCATACCGAGTCAGCAGCTCGTTGAGAGCAGGCAGAGCCTAAGAGGTGGGATTTTGACGAATCAAGAACACGGCAGAAATAGCCAGCCGCCGAACAGCCCGCTCAGTCTTAGCAGAAACTCGGCAAGAGGTGCACGGGAGTTCACTGGGCTCCAGAGGCCGATCCACAGCCACTGGAACAACACCAATACGTACCACCCTGCTGATTTCCAAAGGGGCGAGACCCCTCGGCCCAACGCCAACAAGCCCGCCCAACCGATGGGGCGGATCGAGCAAACGAGTTGTCTGCCTGAAATGGCGGTGGAACAAATGCGCACATTTTCGAGACCAAATAATGGGGCGGTCCCGCGTCATCCTTCATATCAGCAGAATCATATGGTCCAGACTCATAACCACCGATTTGGGAAGAGAGACCATGGTCTGCCTTATATGGCGGTAGAGCAGCACCAGCCCGAAGTGGTGGTCGGAGAGAGCTATAGGCATCCAAGGGAATCCCGTGCCTTCTATCCTAGGGACACACGACGCGAAGAGACGAACAATGGTCTGCCTTATATGGCGGAGGAGCAGTATAGGTCTGAATCAACGCGGAGGAACTTCATCCCCGAACCCATGAGATCATCTGCACAATTGGCTAGAGGGAATAGCCAAGCCAGGAGTGGCTACGCATCTAGTCCGAGTCATGAAACACCAAATCGGAGCTCGTCATTTTCGAAAGTTGGCGAAAGGATCGCACGGTGATTACCCTCCGCTTCAATAAACTGCTTATCGTATGCTAAGAGACACAGTCGCTTCCCGGTCGCGATACCTAAAGTCGACTCTGACGGTACATTCAGCTGGAAAACCGACATTTCAGCGCAACTAGGGACCGAGTTGGAGACTGCGTTTCATGCCCACTTCATGGGAGATCGGAAGAAAGAGAAGCGGTGGGCTAGCTATGAGCCTGGCAACACGGATTGCGTCTTGACGCATGTCATTGGACGCGGAGGGAATCATTCCAGTTTCTCACAGCCATTCACTGCGTGCGACAAGTGCTCTCGAGCGGAGCGACCGTGCGTCTTCCTCGTCAACCAGGGAGAGCGGACGGTACTGGGCTTCTACCGTGCCGATCCGTCCAGCCGTGGTGGATCTGCCGACGATGCGGGCTTCTATGTGCCTGTAAAGGCAGCAGCACAACGGCGAAACGGACTGTGAGCCGAGATCACAGCGTTTATTTGAGCAAATAAAAGAGCCTTGACTTTGTTATCACTCTTAGTAGGCCAGTACTTCCACATTGCCTCCCTCATACCTGCCATTGTGATGTGCAAGGAAAGCGCGCATGACAAGTGAGACCACCCGAAAGCATTCGATCAGAGCAAGCGGCCGTTATTACTGCTGCTGCCTCCACCACCGATGCTATGTGAGTTCAAACGCACGGAACATGCGCTTTCCGCATCGCGCCGAGGCGGGCATGGAAGGCGCCTTCCCTCCTCAAGGGCCCCCCGAACTTCGCGCGATCTGACTTCCTGCCTCCACTCACCACCCCATCCACTATGGTCGAATTCAATCAATACGACTTCCAAGCTGAGGTGGCTAACTTTCCATTTGAGTATACACCGGCAACAAGAGATGATGAGCGTAAAATCCAAGAGGCTATTGAAGCCGACAAACGGGAGGACCAGTTGCTGGCAGAGGATCGCGATCCGAACGGCGAGTTGCAGCAGATGTATGAGTCGAGAAGAGATGCGAACGACCTGAACGATTACATATTGAAAATGTATAAGCAAGGCGCTGCCAAGGGGGTAGCAGTGGTTGAGAAGCGTGGACAGGAAGTGTTCGAGAAGATGAATGAGCATTATCAGCGGGTGAGTTCGACCATCACTGCGTCCAGTAAACCCGCGGCCTCCCGAACCGCAATACCCACTGAGCCTTCACCAATCATCAATTCCCCAAATCAGACAATACTAATAGCTTCTAGGCCCACAGCAAGTGGACAGAAGTGGTCCATAAATTCAACGAATTCTCAGAGATTCACAGCGACTGCGAGGACATCATGACTGAGCGCAACGAGGCGCTTGAGAAGAACAGCCAGCTGGAAGCTCAAATCAAGCAGCTGAACAAGCAATTGGGAGACCACGAGATGATCATCAGTGAGCGCAACAAGGCGCTTAAGAAGAAGAACAAGCTGAAAACTCAATGCAAGCAGCTGCGCAAGCAAGTGAAAGATCACGGAAGGATCGTCAGTGAGCGCGATGAGACGCTTGAAAAGAACAGCCAGCTGGAAGCTCAATGTAAGCAGCTGCGCAAGCAACTGGAAGATCACGGAAGGATCGTCAGTGAGCGCGATGAGGTGCTCGAAAGAAACAACCAGGTGTCTTCAGACATGGACAAAACCGCATTCAGCATTCCGCAGCCCGCAGAACAACTGCGCTTGATGACCACTGAAGAAGAAGAAGTCATAAAGGACCGGGACCAGTGGAAGGCTGATTGCATGAAAGTTTTATCGAAAGCACAGGCCACAGAGAAGAATTTACGAGAAGCCAACAAGGCATTGGAAGATGATCTGGCTTCGAAGGTTGCGCTGATCCGAGATATGGCCAACTTACTGGGACCAGATCACGAGAGCCCGTGTGGCTAAGGCGTTAAGCGGTGACGAGGCAGTAAGTCTCTGAAATAGCATACTGACCATAACAGTGTATTGAACCCTTGTCGATGGTTACTGGTGACGCTGTGGCTCAGGAATTCCAGGAGATCCTTAAAGCACAGCTGCTTCTGGGATGCACACCCCGTCCGAAGGTCGCAGTTGTGTCCGTGATCAAAGACTCATGGAGTTACCCGAGTGGTGATAAGGATTTCGACGACGCAATGTTGTATCCGGAGAGATTCGGCAATGAGCGCGCCGACGACTTCTGTTTGTGTCGTTACGTCTTCGGCACTACAACAGAGTGTCCTTATGGCAAAGCCTGTCAGTGTCAGCACCGCCCGCTCTCTGAGGAGCAGATTCAACAAATTCGGACGAATCAAGAGACACCCAGGGCTAGGCCGAGGTTGTTTTTGTCACGCGTTTATAAAAATTGGTCGAGCCCGCACCCTCCTGTGGTGTCCATGCACGATAGGTTGTACTTGAAAGATCTCGAGTGGAATGCTACCGACGCGGAACCAACCGCGACTAGCTAGGCTGCTCAACATGGAACAACTGGTGGAGATAATAAGACTGCCTCTAGTGGTGGAGAGAACAAGATCGCCTCTCAAGGTGAACAGCAGAAGACCGCCCCTGAGGGTGGATATGAGAAGACCGCCCCCGAGGGTGGAGAGAACAGGACCGCCTCTGATGGTGGAGAGAATAGGACCGCCTCTGATGGTGGAGAGAACAGGACCGCCTCTGATGGTGGAGAGAATAGGACCGCCTCTGATGGTGGAGAGAATAGGACCGCCTCTGATGGTGGAGAGAATAGGACCGCCTCTGATGGTGGAGAGAATAGGACCGCCTCTGATGGTGGAGAGAATAGGACCGCCTCTGATGGTGGAGAGAATAGGACCGCCCCCCAAGGGTGGAGAGAACAGGACCGCCTCTAATAGTGGATGTCAGAAGACCGCCACTGATGGCGGAAAGAATCTGCTCACCCCTGGTGGTGGCGTTACAATCTCCACGGAGCCTGATAGACCGGCAGTGTCCCAAGCATCATATCGTGGACGCAGTGGCAGTGGCAGGGGTGGTAATAGTGCTACCAGAGGTGGAAGTGGTGTTACTAGAGGTAGCAGTGGTGGCATTAAGGATGAAGCTGTTTGACATCTGAATCAATGCCTCCCTTATATAGCTCCATTATTATCAGCTGTTCGGTAATCGCCGATAGGTCTTATTGCAGAGAATAAACCACTACACTCAACCACTACACCGGAGAACCACGTCAGCAGTGAGACTGTAGGCTGTTGATACATCCTTAGCTTCTCACTTTGGATGATATTTACGAGTGCAATATGGTGAGGGCAAACAGACGCTCTCGGTTTCGCCTTGTTATTGAACGCGTTGCTTGGACATGTCTGCTTCATAGTTGCAACTGTCGCGCCGCTCGGCTTCGACACCAATACCAATTTCTGTCCGTCCGCATTCATGGTCGACGCACGCAACTTGCCACGCAACTTACCACCCGACTTTCCCGGGGTTTCTTACTAGCGGAAAACTGACCACCTTAGAATGTGCAATCTGCCGAGCAGCTCCAATCCTGTGCTATAGACCTAAAATTTCTCTATATGGTTTCAAAAGCCAGATAAGTTCCCCTCTACCTTTATTCACTGGCCTCTGATATCGAGTTGGGTCTAGCGCGAATAGGAGATTACTATTCTGAAGAAACCGCATACGGCGGCAGGGTTTTATCAACTTGTAATATGAAGACATGTCCCGCATGTTCCCAATCTCTGACATGGAAGGGAAGAGTTGGCGGTTCTTGTGTGATAGATGCTCGATATTTCTAAATTTTAGACGAAGTAAAGACGGTATACTGAATAAGAACTGGTAACTCTACGTCCTTTTTCATCTGTGTTCAGTGAGATACGTTCGTTGAAATAGACGGGCCTTTGCGAAGAAGAAGGCGAATGGAAGTAAAGTACCGCTTCGTCTGATACTAGCCATTTTGCTTACCTGAATATCGTGATTCGGCCGTTGCGCTCTCATCTCATGGTCCTCAAGTTCGGCCGCCATCTCGGTGAAATATCGCCTGTCATGTCAGAACATTGTCCTAATGCGCGCTATCATGAAACATGGTTCAGTACCAGTAGACATGCGCTAGCGCTCGCTGCAGTTTTCTGATTCGTGGATAATCAAGCTGAACGGTTCTAGAAACCTTGCAATTTCGGATCTGTTCAGGGTACAGGGGATTGCCCCCGATACGCGAGGTGGAAGAAATTCTCACCAGACGGGTGGAAATCATCTCGGCCAGCGGACGAGCAGTCTCGAAGGCCTCAATAAAGATGTCGAAGACTTTTTGCCAAGCTGCCAAGAGTCCCGCGTCATGTTGCGCCGCTGTCAGTCCAACCTGGCCCTTCGGCGCCAAGGTACACGATACCTTTTGCGGTTATTTAGTGTTTCGAGAGGGAGATATTCGATATCTGAGAGAGTATCACAGGGGCATAGCGCCGGAAGGACGTTCTGTTTCGAATCGTACACTGTGGTTTTCGGTCAGTACTGTGAGGGCGCAACGAAGCGGGAGCGGGCGAGGGTTTGTATAAAGACATGGGGAGGCGCATCCCCAGAAAAGCATCTCATTCTTGAGCCTCACATTCTCTGTCCTACTTCAGTCTCTCGTTTGCTCGAAGCAACCCACTCTCATTAGCATTATTCCATTCTTTTACATACTTACTCCAAGAACCACTTAACCGCTGAAAAATTTCGATTAACACCACTCATTCACAATGAAGTTCACTCTTATCGCCGCTGTTGCTGCCTTCGTGGCTCCTATTGCCGCCGGTCCTGCCCAGCAGACCCCCAACGAGTTCTTCAGCTTGACCAAGCGTGCTACGCTTCCCGTTCCCAAGTCGAAGGGATCGGTCACCTACAAGAAGGCGCAATCCGTCTCCGGTACCTTCGACGGTGGCTACAAGACCTATGGCCGTGGTGTCAAGTGCACTGGCCAGGCTGAGGGCGGTGACGCCGATGCGGTCTTCATCCTTGAGAATGGCGCTACCCTGAAGAACGTCATCATTGGTGCTGGTATGTGATCCCAGGCGTCTGCATGATACAAGAGAACATACTGACAGAGGTATAGACCAGATCGAGGGTGTCCACTGCAAGGGTGCCTGCACCATCGAGAATGTATGGTGGACCAATGTCTGTGAGGACGCTCTGTCCCTCAAGGGTGATGGCAACGCGCTCGTCAAGGGTGGAGGTGCCCAAGGTGCTGATGACAAGGTCATCCAGCACAACGGAAAGGGAACCGTTACCATTGACGGTTTCACTGTGATGGTAAGTGCAACCTTTGCTCTTCCTCGCATCCATTGTGCTTGACAAACTAACGTTGTCTCTCTAGGACTTCGGCAAGCTCTACCGTGCGTGCGGTAACTGCAAGAACTCCGTTTCTCGCAGCGTTGTGATCAAGAACGTCAAGGCATACAATGGCAAGTTGCTCGCCGGTATCAACCCTAACTTCGGGGGAACTGCCACCATCACTTCCACCTGCGCCTCTTCCGTTAAGGCCATCTGCGAGGAGTTCAAGGGAACCACCCCTGGACATGAGCCCAGCTCCGTCTCCAAGGGTCCCTCCAACTACTGCAAGTACACCGCCTCGGCCGTCAAGTCTTGCTAGAGGACCTATCAGACTGTTGCGAGAGCGACGCGTGAGGAAGATCGATAGATGTGTTTGAGGATCGGAAACTTCGCGGAGGATTCTTATTATATATTTTTGAATTAGTGGCACATGCGGCGCATGTAATGTATACTGGTTATTTATCAACAAGTTGGATGTTCCCGTGTTCTCCTCGAGCGGATTGGTTAACGCGTCTAGATATTACAGGACTACGCTCCGTGCTGTTAATAGTCGAGCATGCCTCGAGATACACATCGTGGTGTTTAAAGGCTACTTAATGGATACGTGTGAGCCTGGTAGCTTGTCCAGTGCCTCATCGTCCGTGCCAGTATTTACAATTCCTGTTGGTCTTGGTGATCCATTCTCGAAGCCTCCACGATGAGCCGCCTATAGTCCAGCACTGCCTGCTCAAGCTCCTTCTTCTTCAGAGCCTCATGGTCAGAATGCGCCACAAATATGCTTCCGGGGCCATAGAGATATCTCCTGTGGTCGCCTGCCAGAAGTGGTACGTCAGTCCCATAGTTGACCGTCATCGTTTCAAAATGCTCGATGTCGCAATCGATGTTCACGGGCGCGTATCCTTCGCCAGCCCATGTGATTTCGAGGTCGCCACCCATCTTCTCTACGCGCGCTTTCACATCTGCTAACGCGCCGACGATAAGACCTCGAACAATGTTTGGTGTGCCGGCTGCTAGGCGGACAGCAACGTTTGCGGAAGCCGTCTCTGCGACTACATTAGCTGCCACACCACCCTCAATCTTCCCGAAGTTCATTGTCGTGTTGCCGTATTTCGCGGACCACGGAAGCCCATTCTCTCGCAGTTCCAACAATTCCCCAAGGGCTTCGGTGAGAACATCATTGGCACTGACACCTAGCCACGGGTAGCCTGAGTGCGCTGCCTTGCCTTTGATATGCAGGGTGAAGCTCAGTATCCCCTTGTGCCCGCAGACAAGTTTGCCCTCGGTCGGCTCGCCAAAAATGACGACCTCATAATTGGGCTGCGGTCGCTCAGACCAGGAAGAGAACGCGCGCATGCCATCACCGCCGGTCTCTTCGCCTACGACGAATAACAGCGACAGATCATCGCGCAGGTGTTCTCTCAAAGCCTGGACAGCTATGATTTGAGCAGCAACACTGCCCTTAGCATCCACGGAGCCCCTACCGCCAATAATATCGGTGGTCTTATTATGGTAGTACGGCCAGAAAGGGGGTACAGTATCTATGTGCGAAGACACGAGGATTGTAGTGTGGCGCTTCGAGCCGTATGCGAGGATGTTGTAGCGGTTTTCCGACACCTCCTGGGTCTCTACGGTGAAATTCTTATCGCGCAAGTAAGACGCGAGCCATTGGCCTACGTCATGTTCGTTGCTCGTGATCGATTCGGTCTCGACAAGTTTGCGATGTAGGTATAACAGCTCCGTCGAAGTGGACTCTGGCAGAGGCAGTTGGTTACAATCCTTGAAAAGGGGCCGCCCAGCCGCAAGGGCTATTTTCACAGTGAGTGCAAGGAAAGTAAAGCACCAGAGGATCATTTTGGTGGTGGTGGCATTGAAGCGTGGGTAGGCTGCGTGACATGGACGCGGTACTTCCCCGCTCGGGCCGCCGGTGGCTAGGGCCAAGGCCAAGGCCATGATTCTGGTGGGCCATACTCGTAACCACCACCCATCAGAAATCAATGAAAAGTGGCTTATTTGAAAGAGATAACAGTTTCGATAATGGCGTAATATTAGAACTATACATGAGCGGTCTTGCGACACGGCCAAGCAGCGCTGAACACTCGGCCTTGCTCTGTTTCGCCAGCTATGTTGAACCCAGGGCTCGGGCTAGCTGCACGTTCCGACCCGGTCAACCCATGGGCATCCAGTATTGCGCATTCGGTTTGAGACACCTCCAGTGACTCACGTCAAACAAGAAAAGAGTCAAAAAAGTCCACATGAAATGAAGGTCCGAATTGGTACTCCCGTCGTAGGGCGAAAATGCACGAGCCGTGCCGTTGTCATGAAGCAGCAGTACATTCCTCTACTACCATAGGTACTTTGCGATGTTTCAATTGATTTACGTTCTAAGGTTCTGACTTCACGGATTATTCGCTTTTTCTAGGGTGCTATCTGTCGTTTCCCGGCGCATTGACTCGCCCATATCTGTGCTTTTCTACTGACTAGCAGCTTCGAAGACTATCATACGAATCCGCGGATCGACTATGCTCTCCATGCAGGAAAATAATGCAGCCGTCCCTTGGCTTCAATACACGCGCAGGAGAATTATCATCCTGCGATTGGCTGCGACTCTGGTGTTCAGCATAAGTGTAAGCTATCCTTCCTGTCGTTTTAGCGGCATTTACGAAGTTTTGCGGCTGATGCGTGGATGAGCTATCTGTGCACATGAGGAAGAGTGAATTGGAGAAGTGCTGCTATGTCGTGCTTACTTCAGCCCTTCAAGTGAAAGTAACCATCGTGTCTGATGTGATAAGAGAGTTATACCTTCCAGGCAACAAGATAAAGCCAACACACTACAACTAACATCACGCTGGCCGCATAAGCTACCGTGGGCTTGTGTGGCTTAGATAGGAACGGATTTATGCAGCTGGACCAGCTACGAAAGGGGCAGTAACCTGTGGCCTATAGCCGAACCTCGTATATATGGTATCACTTAAGTGACGAGTCTGGCATTGGCATGGTATCACTTAGGTGACGAGGCTGGCATTGGTATGGTATCACTTAGGTGACGAGGATGGCATTGGTACCGGTAATACCCGCTAAGCAGAGGACACAGAACAATCAGTATAGGTATGTGGAGAATCCTATTCAGCAAAGGCCATCGAGGTCTTGCGGCGGCTGCTACGGTGATAATGGCTTGCCTTAAGGCTTGCTTTTTCTTGCCACAATGAATTTCCATCAGGTAGCACCGGCCGCTATACTCCCTCTGAGCTTTCCCACGGGTGGTCTCCTCTGTTTTCGCTTTCATCACCTCATTGTGGGCCCAAAGTTCCTTTGTTGAGAGGTACTCAGTCGAATCAAACCTGGCAGGTGCTGGCTGCGTCTGTGGGTTCGACACCGCGCGCTCATACGGGCGCTGCTCATGCAGGGGGAATGGCTCCTGTACAGGGTCTGGATGCCCCGTGGGTACTACTTTGTGTCAGTACTGTGAAGATGAGGCGTCATGGTTAGGTAGATTTACTCTCTTGATACGCATTGTGGCACTGCTCACGGTGAGTCGTTGCTTGCGCAAGAAGGCGCAGTCGTACCGAAATCACATTTTTCCCGTCATAGTCATGGTTTGTCTCACTTGACCAACACTTTCGTAACTCGACACCTAAACGAGGGCAACGTTAATGTGAATCGAGCAATGAGATTGTCATGTAACGCTGTGTCCGCAGTTGAAAACGAAATTCAAGAAAGAAAGGAATTGCTTACACTGCACACCGTGCTTGTCCACAAGCACTTTCATAGCAAATAGTCAGTGGAGGGCCTCAGAGCGTTATAAAATATGCGCGAAATATTGTATATCGGAAAAGATCTGGGCCGCCGGTTTGGGGTAGGGGGTGGGGAGGAAGAAGCTTACTGAGCACGTATTAGTCAGATGGGCCATATTAAGGCTGATATTACTACGTACCGAACAATCGCGCAATCGGTAAGGAAGAGAGGACCGGCCGCAGCAGCAACATTGCCAAAGGTAGGTATATCTCTTCGCCTAACCCAACTCAGTCATCCACTCGGTTGTGGTCCATTGTCATGGGGGAAAGCTCTGTTGTGCTTACCATGGAATGTACGAGCAACTTCTTGCCGAGTTCTCGGAGGCCCCTTGGCAATGTTCAAGGTTCTCTGCGTCGAGGATTTGACAAGAAAGTTCTTGTGTTCTCATTGGCATCCTTCAATGCCCGATACCGCGACAAGGATTGTTTTGCCAGAATCTGTTGCCAGGAAACTCGAGAGCCAACCCCCACAATCCTTAAAAACTCCTTTTACAATAGTATCCAGTCGCTTAGGGTGTCACAGTCCTAGGCTACTCCTAATACCACAGCCCTTGCACTTTTCTTTACGCGCGTATTGTCAATTCAAGATGTGTCGAGTATATGCCGGAACGACAGGTAGAGCGCGAGAGCCCAAAAGCTGGACGCAACCGCCAGCGACGTAATGCTGATTGGGGATCTTGAACGAAGGTAGGGGTTCGAAAGTGGCCACGCCGCAACAACGAATGTAATATGGTTCCCGAGACGTCAACAGCGGTCAACGAAAGAGCGGCGCAAAGCTAGTGGGTCATTGTCAGCAATTGCTACCAACAATGGCGTTGCATAAGAGTATGAAACGTATGCGACTTCGGTGTTATGTTGGCTGAAGGTGTCCTTAGGAATTGTCGCTTACCTTTAGAGATGGACAAGTTATTAGACGAATGTAATGAGCCTCAAATGACCGAGCGACGATAAGATAATTGAGATGAGAAATTGAATAGAGTGCTCAGCGCAGCGAGAGATCAGTGCGCAAGCACACACTACGAGTAAATACAGCTTAGTGTGAGTTGGTCTTCAGGGGCATTATTCTAGGCGCTTCAGCAAGGAGGAATTCCATAGCTTTATGGTTGATTGGGTAGGACATACCATTATTCATACAATTAGCAGCTCTTGCCGTCGCGAATTTGACGAGCGTACCTCTGGATCTGATGTATCGCGCGTATCAACGATGGAGGTGAACGATCTAATGCTGTGTTGTTCACTATCACGCTGGGATGTGTAACGTGTCGGGAATGCTGACACATATCTTGTTTCAAGGGTATGACGTGTGAATTGTTGGGGATCTCGTGCGCCACAGACGATTAGCTGGGCATCCAAACACTGGAACCTGAACGTACCTACTACTGAAGAGTAAATCTGGAGAAAGAATCATGGGCCGGTGACCTTGGCACTGCAAGCGTACCATCAATAAGTACCATCGTCCTCGTACCATCCACGATTGAGTATGCTCTTTGACCTTAGCTGCACTTGCTCACACGACAAGTCTCGCACTGCGCTTGAGTGCAGGTTGGACAAACTCGTGATCGGTACGTGTTGGCCGCAGATACACCAAGTGACTGCCAGAGTCAAGGTGATTTGCTTACACATTGCCCCACATAAGTATATCTCTTGCCATCTGTCTCGGAAAGAGCGTTGATTATCAGAGCTTACGAAATCTGTTAGTCCATTCAAAACAGACATCTTGCCGGCGATATCGCAATCTGTTCGCCTGTCAAGGCCGCATGCCAGCCTCCTGAGATGATTCTATACTCAAATCCTATTGGTGTTACCCTAAGGGGTGACCGGAAGCACAAGAACGCGCCTGTTACGGCAGGCCCTCTTCCTGTTAGAACCCTCAAGAGTCTAAATGGCGGTCGACTTGTTGGTCTGATGCGGAATGTACCGAGACGATGATGCAGAGAGAGTATGATAGGTGGGTGTTGCTCGCAAGCCGCAATATTCCCGATCTTGATTTCGAATCAGCGGTAGCAGGATTGGTCCGTACCGATCCATGTCTTGATTTTAGTTAATTAGATCAGACGCAATGTAGGGCCCTCAAGAGGCATGTACGATCTATTTCACCGCACAATCAGTATTATTGTAAGAGCCTGAGAGTTTGAGACACGGGATATGAAGAAAGAATCAATTTTACAAGGTATTGTGATGACAATTGGCACGCACGGTAGATGAGTATCAAACAGCTATTGCAGGATTCAGGTCCTCTAAGGTGAGGTCGAACTAAGCATTTAAGGGCAACAGCGGATAAAGGGCAACCGGCGTGCTGACGAATCTAAAAATAGGCTGTTGATCTACTCATGGAATCCTTGCGTCGATAGATCCGAGATCGCTGTTGTCATTACGGTGGCTGTCACACGGCGGTCCATGCCCATGAAATCCCGCCAGGCGGTCAGCAGTCGGCAAGAAAGACCTCTTGCGATGGCGGACAGAAGAGACGCGTTTTCCTGTCTAATCTAAAAGTTTCGCTGGGGAGAGGCCGATCAAACCTAGTATTAGCGAGTGTAAGTTCGTTCATTCGACGCGTGACGGGACGGTGGCGAAAGCTATAGGTCGTGTGAGCCCTATGACGCAGCAGACACACACTGACACGGAAATGCCGTCCCTCATTCCGCTTCTAGAGAGGTTGATCGGGGCCATGGGCGGAGTCGTTGAACGAAATGGACTCAAGGGTATGAACCCAGGCGACAGGATTCACTATCTGGGTAATACGCAGTTCCGACCTCGGTTAACAACGTCAATACTTCTACGAGCGTTGCCGACTCTTATTCGTATGATGCTGAGCGGAGTGAGACATGCGTCGCACGATTTGGTGAGGAAGCGGAGGTGTATTGTGGTGAGCGCCGGGGTGGGGTACTGCCCAGGTGGGTACCATACCTATGGCATCTGTGACATCGTACGCACAGAAATTCCCCTGGACCAAGTTTTTAGGAACACCTTGTGTTTGCTCAAAAAGAATGATTGACCCAGTACACACGTCGGATGTTCCTCATGATGTCTACAACATCAAAGTGTGCCATTGCAGCGGTGGTCTAAGATGTCGGTCGCCGGTCGCCAAGGTGTCTAGATGAAGCGGTATCGATACGCACGTGCCTCGGTTGCATGATAGCCATGATGCCCAGGTGTTCAAAGATCGAGGAAAAGCTTACGATAGCAAGAAAACTAGAGTTTCTTTTGTTCTTACTATCTTCATCTTTACTTAAGCTACTTTCGGGCACGAACGCAGCCTCGACATAATTGGGAATCGACCGCAGGTGCAGCACTGCCCAGGTGTCAAACGTGGGCATACCGCATACCTTCTTACCTATTACATACCTCGGTACTTTTTACAAATCAGTCTACCATCCTGCTTACCATTCTGACCGAAATGGCAAACGAATTTCTGATGGCCGAAACCTCAAATGCTTCCGGAAAGTCGATGCACCTGACCGCAAGGTCTTGTGAGCATATGGATCTCTCTTTCATTGCCATGTTTCAACAGGAGGCAGCTACAAAGAGATAGGGAGCAGTCATCTCGCTACCTTCGCTCAAGATGAGAGATGCTCAGGATGCAGTCTAGCCTAGTGTAGTAGGACCGGAGATTGTGGCGAGTAATCAGCAGGCTAGGCAAGGTGAGATCAGAACCTAGGCCATTGTACGAAGACTTGACTTAGTTCGGCTCTATATGGTTGGATTATTCCATTCTCCACTTTTTTGCAATGTCTTGACAGCACAGATGGGGGGACCATGCTAGATCGATGGCATAGGTCCCATTGCGTGGTACGAAAATGGTTCACGCAACGTAGAATCATATCGACAAAAAGCGAAGATTCGTTCTCTTGCCTGGGTCGTTGAAATAAACTTAGATGCGTTGACTTACAGCTGGCTGTGACGAGCGTTCAGTAGACCAATACGGATAGCTGAGCATATGGTACGTTGACTCTGAAACCCGCTCTACATGGTACTACATTTGCTATCGCCCAGTACATCCCGCATAAGAACAGGTCCTGCAACAAGGATGAGGACGTAAATAGCCCAGTAATGACAGCCTGCATACGCCCAAATGATGAATCCATGGCCCGGGAGCTGAGAATGCCCAAGGCAGACCGAGATTTCGGCTTGCAGGTTGATTCGTGACTTTTCGTTGATGCACGTCGGCCCAAAGCCCTACTTAACGTACAAGGCTGAAATTGCCCTCTTCCCCACCTCCATGTCATAGTATTCTTGATCGCCTCACCATTCACTGGCCTATCGCTAGGATCGCACTCACCGCCATCCATCGACGCAAGCTACCCGCTTGTGGCAAATTGGTAGAGTATGCGAACATCCTGGATATTGGGACCGAGGCTGAGCCCAACGTCACCAGTAGATCGTAAACGAACGAAACAGATCCTGAAACGTGTTCAACACGAATCCATCAACAGGCAATACGAGTCCCATGGTCATTCTCATCCAGTACATGAGGGAAGGCGTTTTGAAGCCCTCATCGGTGAGTGTGCAGATGCGTACGGTTGGCATCGTTGTTAACTGTATGGCCTGCTATCTGGCGCCTTTTGGCAGTGAGGAGCACTAAATGCTACCCTTGATACTGCGGTATTGATTGTTTGCTTTTCGCACCTCTCGGCTCATTACTTTGGATTCGCTTTTGTGCTATTCATACTTCTCTGCCCGTTGCACTAGATCATATTGAGCTACGTGCGAGCAAGCGAATTTCGGAAATAGTGTCATCTTTACCCATGATGATGACTTCATACCTGCTGAACCAGCAAGTGAATTGTAAGAATCAGCGACCCTAATGTTGAGACATCGGAATATGATATTGATGAACATACAGACCAAAATTGGCACTTCACAGTACGTCTCTATTAGGTTTCAAATTGAAAGAGTCGCTTGAATCGGAGGCTTATGCGCACACTGCGTCGCCTCTGCTACCGTGGTTGACTTCATGTTCTCGAGCTTCACAAGGAAAATTCCTACGAAAGCAGTCTCAGAGTGCTACTGCCACTGCAGCTGGTGCACACGTAACGGAAAATATAGTAGTCCTCCAGGACAAGGCGAAAAAAAATGGGATATAGAGCTATTCAGGCTTCGTAAATTTACCGACCGCCCTTTTTTTGCACTCAAAGAGGCCCTTGCAGTTGAACGGGATGACTTGGACTTTTTTTTGAGATTCCATTACAGCTCAATACCTTCCTGGAAAGCTGAATGTATCGAACAATACTGCCGAAAGACATCGACTCTGTTACTGCAGGAAACCCTATTTGTTGGCAATAATCGGTGTCCATTGTCAGCACTCGGTGTCCGCGGGCAGCACTCCGTTCCTATCAGCTTGTCATACATCCTTCCTCCTGCAAGAGCCTGGGTTAATAGTGGCTCTTCGCACGAAGGTCCTTCCGAGACCAGTGTCAGGAAACTCTGTCCATTGGCATTAGAAGACGTGTTGAAAACGATGGTAGGTAACCCGAATTTCACCTAGGTTTATAAGCTGATTGAATAGCGTTTTGACCATTTGGCGCATACCGATGCATATCGCCAGCTCATGTAAGTCTGTCCATAACTATGGCGCACCTAAAGCCCATTACAAGCCTTGGATTGGTCATGGATCTTCTTAACACAGGATCTCGGGAGGATCGCCACTGTTTGGTCTCCACGATGTTAGTCAAGCCGGAATCAGACTAACCCGATGCTCAGCCACATCACTCATTTGGATGATCAGTATATACGCGTACTGGCAAGAACAGCTTGGTTCCACCAAGCTGGGGCTTTGCGTGACGCTATATATAAGCATGTAGATCGCAAAGCATCCTTGAGAGTTGTCATCCCGGTATGTTCACATTATGTTTGATAATAGATCACAACAGCTAATGCAACGCTTGAACATAGTACAACGGCTTCAAAGTTTTCCAATTTGAATGCCATCTTCCTTATCTTGCTTTGAGGAGACAAGATAGATCGACGACAAGACATGCTCTACATAGGGCTGTTAATGTGCGCAAATATTGGAGCGATCTATCATTCCTAGATTTGGGAGCTAATGAGCCAGATGTGGTTGGCGAATACGTGCTATGTGAATTACACAGCTCGCTCGTTCTGTGTGGCTGGGACGAGTCCAAGTGGGCTGCTTATGCCTTTACAAATTCGGACATTGATGAAGATGATGAAGATGACGAAGATGACGAAGATGACGAAGAGGAAGCGGAAGGCGGAGAAGAGGAAGAAGCAAACGATTCATTAGATGTTGTAGAAATAGGAGGACTCGATGAAGCCGATGATAGCTACGATCTACACCACGGATATGATCTCCTCGAGGATCTATTGGCTTCCGATGGTAAATATGGGGTTTTCGCTCAGGATACTCATTTCTCGAATCCTCGACTGTACTTTCTTCACATCACGGACAGCCGCCTGCGCATGATTCGCAAAGAGTGGATGTACCTCATAAATAAGGTGTATGCTAGGGTCAGAACGCAGGTACTTGTTCCTCGGGTCTACGGTCACTCATGCTATTATGTATGTACTGATGAATATAGAACGACGGCCTCGTCCACCCTTTTTCAAGCACGTCTTTCAGCGATAACTCAAGTCCAGCAGCCGATTCTCTGGCTTGGTTGGTCAAAACCATGGGATTTTTGGAAGAACTGCGTCAGAGCTTTTTGCTCACCATCGATACGGGTAAACGATTTCTTGCTCCTAAAGGCGACTGCGCTTGGTTCCTCGATACTGAAGAACGAGAAACATCTGGTGTGTCCTTAAATAAGATCGTAGGCTCTATTCGGGACTCTATGGAGTGCCTCATGGAACTGGAAAAGAGATTAGCGTCATTAGAGGACTCCTGTCAAAGCTCGAAGGAGATCGTAAGCACTACTCCTAGTCGCACGCAAATAGTATACCGTACTAATGAGGATAGATCGAATTGTGTCTGTCACAGGAAAGCGTTCGGCTTAGCCATCTAAGTATCCGACACAACCAAGAGAGCGCATTACTAAGTTCTGCGGGTAATGATCTCAGTAGAGACGCCAATATACTGAGCAAAGAAGCAAATGCGCTAAGTGCAGAGGCAAATGCGTTCAGCAAAGATGCAGGCACATCTAGTAAAGAGGGGAATGTGCTCAGCAAAGAGGCAAATATACTGAGCAAAGAAGCGAATGCGCTAAGTGCAGAGGCAAATGCGTTCAGCAAAGATGCAGGAACATCTAGTAAAGAGGGTAATATGCTCAGCAGAGAGGCAAATATACTGAGTAAAGAGGCGAATGCATTCAGCCAAGATGCAAGCATATCCAGTAGGGAGGCAAACTTGCTCAGTCGAGCGTCTAATTGGCTTAACGAACGGGCCAACAAGCTGAACAAGGACAATTACGAACTTGCGGTGATCAATAAACGAGTTGCAGCTGCGAACAATTTCAATGCAGCTCTTATGCTATCGGTATGTGGTGTTTCTTCATTGTATTGAGGCCTCTTCTGACCATGGGATAGATGAATCAATTCATGACCCCCGTTGTTGTTGTAACGGGCTACTTCAGCATCGAGGAGAAAATATTCGGATTTCCAAAAACAGCAAAGTCGTTCATTAGCTCTGTCGTTATTGTTTTCGTGGTACTGTATCTGGTCAATGTGGGAATATTCTTACTTCGTCACCATGTCAAGACCAGATGGATTGTTGCTTGGCTATTGACTGGCCAGCTTGATCGAATACTTCTCGATAGGGAAGAGAAAGGTAAGTGAATGTTACCATGCTTTGAATTGAGCTAACAGCAATATAGGCGAAGGGCGGAGCAGCGAAGCGTGATTATAGAAGGGAAACGTGCTGTTGGATCTGCTCGAGGGCTTCGCACCAGATGACTGGTGCTTTCCGATGGACGTGATGCACTTCCGAGATGTTTAGTAATTGTTTGAGACCTCTCGGTACCCGGCTACTTGACGTAATAGTGTTCAATTTCCAGTTTCAACGATGTTCAAAACGCACTATACGGGTTCTGTTCGCAAAAGTTACTCCCTTACCTGTCCGCTACAGTACTTTCTATACTACGGTTTGAGCAAGGACCGAGTGCTAGGGAAGTTCAATTTTCCGCCATGGCGCGAAGTCATCTGGATGACCTGGAAGAAGATGAGTATTTACACGCTAAGAGCGTGCGATCAAAGCAGTGATTGAGCACGATTCTCATCATGTCGCTTGAAGATTGCGAATGGGGACATGCATGATAGGAAATGGGAGTAGTCAAAGTTGCACGCCGAAGTGGCCTTGCAAGCGGGTCCAATGTGTCACCAACAGTTGAGTATCGAGCTTCACGATGCAGTGTTCTAGTGCACCGACGCTAACTGTCGCTGCCAGATTGGCTGTTTATTGTTCGTGTGGGTCTACGCCATTATCGGAAGGTGGGGGCATCCCCACTACCGGTACCGTAGCGCGTTGTCCTCGTATCTACGCGGGTTCGGCGCACCGCATTGGCCTACCACAGCATGGGGAGCACCCACACGATCGCGGAGACATCTGTGTTGCCGAATGTCGCACAAGTCCTGGATCTCAAATGAACTTCTGTCCATCCGGATCTTACAGTTGCTGACCGATCGGTGAGCAACGCTCACATACCCTTTGCACGCGTACATTCCGTCGCGTCCGTTCAGGGAGCCCGAGTCCCACCCATGCTTCCGACGTCCATCTTGCAGTTGCTTCTGTGCGAATATGCGGCTTAAGTTGCATGTCAAAGAGCGCTTAGTGCAGGGAATAATTGCAAAACGCGCACAGTAATCGTCGAAACTGTACCATACCAACCTTAGGCCCCTCGGCATTGGCCCAATTGGGCTTTTGATGATAAATTCCGCCGTTTTGTTCGGAAACCATACATATGTACGCTATGCTACGATTGTGTGCAGCTTCCCTGTACCTGCATCTTCGTCACACACACACACTGACGAAATTCAGGTTTCTCAATCTGTATACACGATTGCGGTACGTCCTTTTGTGTTACAACGATTCAAGCCCCAGATCCTGTTTTCATTCCTCAACAGTACCACTCTTGATCTTTAGTAAGGGACATGTCAAAAATCTATAAAGCCCTAGGAGCATGGAGTTGATCGGTCTCTATTCCTTCGCTTTCGCAAAAGCATGCCGACAGAGGGAGCGGGCAGGTTTCCTTCGCTTTCACAGAAGCATACTGACAGAGGGAGGACGTGCAGGGTGCCAATGCTACCATATTCATGGACATCGAAGACCCGAGGCACGAGCCACCTCCGTTCCTGCGACTTGTGGGTTTCCAACACCCTTCCTCAAGATTGACGAGACAAACGGTTGACAATTGAAGGCTCGCAAGAAACACGTGTACATCTGGGCTTGTGTACGTTTTGGTCCTGATCATACTCTGTTTACTTCATCCTTTCGTTGCTAAGACCCTTCAGTGCAGATGCGGATGCGCTTCGATCAGTATCCAAAGCGGCAGCTGTCCCTCGTGTGGTTCAGCGAGATGTGCATACTGCCAGACTACACGCGTGCAAGTGCGTAATGCCGGACTATCCGACCCTGCGTACAAGCGTCGCAAATCAGATCTGCGGATCTTCACGGTCAATGACGAGGCACACCATGCAACCACCACGGCCCCCTTGGAGGAGGAGGAGTAGGAGGTCACGAGTGCTCAAAGTAGCTGGAGAGTGTAACAGGGATAAATTGCTAGGGTGGCGGAAACCGCCTATATACACTACGCTAGTAGGGTGGCACCTGCCAGGTGCACAGGAAGCGACTTCCTCGAACCATGAGGACAACGCAATTTGTACCCCAACAGAACACCACCGTTATTGGACCGCAGACTTTGTCGGCCACCGTGTACAGGGGACACCTGCCAACGCTAGTGGAAGTCTTCAGCTTGCAACATACTCGGCCGTTGCTCCCCACGACTTCGCCATCAGCATCCTCAGACTCCGCAGAATGGCCAAATTCGCGAGACGCGACGATTCATTCCTCGGTAATCATATCAGTTTGACAAGGCCAGAGTTGGCGACGCAGTTGCGGACTATGCAACGTCCTTTGGAATTTAATACATGCGAAGCAGGCACGGAACTTCAGTGTGAGAAAGGGACCAGACACGTTGCGTCAGGAGTAGGAAGAGGGAAGTCTCGCAGTGTATCTCCTGAAGAAGCAGATGTTAGTAACAGACGGCAAGTACCGTTTGAACCACCGCAAAGTGTACGTACGATGTAATACATATCCAGGCATACATAGAACTCTGTTGTCACTACAGACTTGCACCATGTTACATGTGACACTGACACATTCCAGCCATCGAGCGAACGTCACGTCCGGCTCTACGACAACCTGATGATGTTACCCGGGATGTATATACTCAAGTAGTAAGAGCCTGCGTCATCACAACGCGTCAAATTTCCACGAGGCTTCTTATCGCAATTTTCTATACGATACGACTGCCAATCAAGGGATATTGTAACGTTACTTCACGTATCGCCTTGAAGTCCTAGGCTGAGGGCAACGGGCGTACAACTTACGAAATCGGTTGTATGTGTTTTGCAGCAAGATTTCGGCCGCACGTCTTCTAATGGTCATTAAAAGGCGTCATTCTGGTCTCAAGGAGTGATACGGTGTGCTCGTACACTAAACGCCTATTGGTGGTGATTCTCGAGATACTTGGCAGCACAGACACGATTGGTCCGAAGGGGTGTCCCCCTGCACGTAAGCACCTACGTGCATGCACTCCAGCCCGACTTCAATCGTGATAGAGGACGAGGATAGCCTCACTCAGCGGTGAGCAATGGCCGCCTGAAGGGCTAGATTAGCCCTATACCTGCGGAAGAACCTCCTTACCACTCTCTGTTCCGAGCCCAACGAACTTGTGTACGCATTAAGTGGCGATTTCCGAATGGCTATATGGAACAATCAGCCTAGCAGCCTTGTGAAAGCCTTGCGGTTTGTCGAGTAAACTCTCACCACGTGGCGTCAGTATGACATATCTGATCGTATCAGTGGTTGCGTGTAGGATGGATCGGGCCGCATTCGTTGGGTTGAAGACGCCATTCACTACGAGCTTGAAGGACTAAGGGGGCTGAGTTGAAAATGTGGTGCTGCTCAACATCCGAAGAGCTTACGGTGTGTTGTGAAGCTCGGGAATTTGTGGTTGATCTGCCGTCGCCGGTCAAGACAATCTATCAAGTTGGCTATAAGTCGTCATGGATTTCCTTCTGTCCGATATTCAGGAAACCCGCTAAGACCCGACCGAAAGGAACTCAGTACGCCAACCCGGGAATATGAAAGGTATCGCCCACTGAATAGTCGCCAAGTCCCAGTCCGTAGGTGGCCGATCCCGCAAGCCTTTGTTCGTCCCAATGGCTATAGAACCACAAGAGCGTACAAGCCTCGATTTCGTGGACACCATTTGGCCTCGTGCATTTTTGGAAGACCGCAGGCCTGTTGAGGAAACGTCATACGCAAAGTCTAGGCTCGATATGGACGCAAACGAAGACCCTTTATTATGTTTCCTCCGCGACTATGACGATACAGCTGAGGAGGCGGAAATATCAACATTTTGTGATGGTATACATCCTCCCCAACTGAGACAAAGAAGAGGTGCATGGTTGGACGACCGTTTGTGGAGCTTTTACTACCACACAAATCAAGGGCACTTTCAAAACACTTCACAAGCATCACAGAAATTTCAAGGGAGCCCCCAAAGGCCGTCTACTGGTTATGTCTCCAACACTCAACATCGTCCCGCCGTCATAGTCCAAGATCATGTCAGCCCTCACTATATGTCGGCTCCTTCGAGCCCCCCGCCGTACAGACGATATGAGAATCCTCTCAGTGCTCAAATGCTTTTGGACCACTTGAAAGAACAGGTACGAGGCCACAAAAAGTCACACTATCAAATGTTTTGGTTCTCTTCTGCCTCATTGAATATTTGTGATCGCACTGTTCTCACGACCCGTCTGACTGATATCGAAATTCAGCGATTCGGCCATACAAAACTTCCTGATGCTGATAGAAGGCTACTGTGAGTCATTGTGTCCAAATCCTGTTGAGCAAAGTGGGGAGACTGATAGGAACAGCTACATCTCGGATGTGAGCCCCTCGTATGTAAGGGTGCTTACCGAAACTGCCACACAGCACCAAGCCGCTGCACTGAAAACGGCACTGTACCACCATATCGCTTTAGAAGCTAGTATGAAAGTCAAGATTGTGGTGAGTTCACCTCCTGCGGGTTTTCTCCCAGCAACTGATATGTTGAGTTATCATAGTCCCGCAGATACCTCGCATTCGAATTACATTTCCACATGCCATTTTACGTTCTCAAGAACGAGGACAGTAAAGGGCGCACTCGGACTGCGCTTCGCACTGAACCACATCGTGAGGGCAAAGACATGTCCTTTTTGGCCAACAGCAAAGCAAGCTCATATAACTGGACAACGGCAAGAATCGAACCGGCACATATATCCATCACGGTCTGCGGCGTGGCTGATAGACGCTGGAAAGCATACGCTTTTGTGGACGGAGACGAGGAGATGAGCGAAGGCGAATTCGACTATGGAACAGTTGTACCCGATATGCTCACTGACCGAGACACCGATGCTAATTGTCCTATCTGGAATCCAAGAGAGTACTTCTTACTTGTCGTCCTCATTCGATTGGATCAGGTTGCTAGGGAATGGGAATCTCTAATTCGAAAAATCGTGCGTGGCGTGCGAGAGCAGACGGACGACTCGCGTACCAAAGCTTCAATCGCATCTGATCCAGAGCACAATCAAGATACCGTCAAAACATACGAAAATGCAATTGAAGTATTGAGAGTATTGCGCGACACACTTTCTGATAATAACGAAGCCTGGACTCGATTCTCAGCACCTCACGGCGACATCGGCTTCTTCGGTGATTTTGAACACGTTCCAGAAAGCTCTAGAACCCACATCATGGGTTGTCTTCGCGAAATTAGGAGTAACTTCGGCAGATTGAGCGACCTACAGCGAAAATTGGAGACTTTGGAACGTCGTTATCAATCGAGGGTTGAAAGTCTTGAACGGCGTTTAACAATCGAAAGCAACCAGGCCGCGAAACGAAGCGGTTCCATCTCAGAGCTTATGGTGTCTTGGGTCTCCCCTGCCGCTGTCGTCAGCGCTGTTTTTGCAATTCCAGAACCGTTCGGGAATTTCCGGAGAACATGGAAGTCATTTGCTATCGCCATGATTGTGGTTACTGCAATACTAAACCTGCTTGTATTCACTAAGGAAAAGCAGTTGCTGAAAACGAAGTCCCCAAAGCATGTTCACACCAGCATTCTTGCCTTGAGAGACAGATTACCACTGCACCAACTGCCGCTCGCGTGGCGAAGAGCTCATCGACAAAACAGACTGTTACGGACGGACACCGAAGCTACTTTGATAGAACCAAACAGTGCGGAAATGGCAAGCTCAGGTAGACCTGCCCTTGCAGCGCAAACCGAATTAGTCGAAATTACTATGCCGCCTGCATGCCGAACTCGTAATCCTTAAGAATCACCTGATGAATTCCTACCCAGGGTTGACTGAGCTTGCTCACTTAGAGCTAACTCCTCGCTCATCTTGGTTCTCGCTATGACGTCAGTCTTGCAAGTTGCACATAGCTGAAGCTGTAACACCGTTGCTAGAGGCGGAGGAGCACCTGCAGCATCAGTACTCTGTGTTGCTGCTTCACGGCAGACGTTTTGCGGAGATGGTTTGGCCTAGGATGGGCACAAAACGCAAGCCAACGGGAAATTCCATCACCATTGGTTGCACGGGTGATCTCGATGCCAGGGCGTGGTCAATGCGTAGGTTTGTGCGTTCACTCATTGAGTGCTCACTGACCGTGATATCACCCATTGCCATTGTGGGCGCATCCTTCTCGATTCCAAACCCATTTGAGGGTTTCCCTCCGAAAGCATGGTCATCTAGAGCTGCAGCGTTCATTACACTTGTCCTTTTGCGGCTTCTTATCTTCTTTTTACATAAGAATAGGCATATATCAAAGAATGGGATGCACAGATTGCTCGGAAAAGGGACACCGCCAGCGGTAGTTGAGCACACCGAGCACAATGAAGGTTAGCAAAGATCCTCGTCGCACTTTGATACTGCAGAGACACTGATGAACCTTACAGTATGAGAGCCTATCATATGAACAAGACGATGGAACTGTCCTTGATATTGGATTTTCTGGATCAGTCGTGTTTCCTCCCGAGATACCTCCTACATTTCCCGATATTGAGACTGAGATATCTGGACACGAGAATACTCCGCGGTTTACTCTCAGCAGGCAATCGAGATAGACTATACATTGCACTACTGCCTTGTCGGGCAACCGACGGTTGCCTTCTTTTCGGCCGTTTGCCCGAATTGCCATCAAGCTTCTAATCCCATTGGAAGGCTTCTCCCTACTCGCACGATGCGCCATGCATGCAAGCAGAGAAACTGGCAGGGTCAAGGGTGAACAGTTGCTTGGGTGTGTGGTCCGTTGGCGCGGGGCGTGTGCATATACGTGGTCAGCGTGCTCTCATTGATCGCTTACTGGTGCATGTAGATGGTAGTTTATCCAATCATGCATAGCCACGCATCTGCTGCCTGAACAACGAACATAAAATGAGGCTGAATCAGAGAGGACTACGAGCTTTTATCTACTTGTCAACAACAGATACGTAATTTGGATTCCATGCGCCTTCGGAAAATTACGTTCATGAACAGCCACCCAACTTGTCTGACACATTATCTTGATCGAGTTTGCTCTACTATTTCGCTCACTTCGCCAGCGACTTGTTAAATAGGGGAATCACCAATGACGACGACATTTGGGATTGCTGAATTGGAGAGCAGCCTCGCGGCATTGCATCTGACTGCGCCCCGTTCTGTTGTTGAGCCGACTGACATCTTGACAAATCCTCTTGATGTATGCCGGAGCCTCTTAGCCGATATCTTGAGTGGGCTTGTCGAAAGTAGTCCTGAGGCAGCGTACAAATCAATACAATGGCCCAATAACATTTACAATGGTGACCTAGCTGTTGTATTACCGAAACTCCGCCCTGGCTGCAAGGCTGCGGACCTGGCTTTGGATATCGCGCAGAAGGTTCGAACTCTCGTTTCTTTTTTATTACCTTATGCAAGTCTAAGTGTCACACAGTTCCCACAGAACCACCCGCTTTTTCCTTTGCCTTTCCTCGAGAATGTGCATCTCCGGATATTGCTCGAAGTTGATGCATTTGCCCGTCTTCTGTTCCCTTTCATCCTCAAACATGGGGATTCTTATGGGACCGATGCGACTCGCGGCTTACGGAGTTCGTTGTCGCCGGATGAGGGACGCAAGAAGCTGGTGGTAGAGTTCTCATCGCCCAACATCACCAATGAACTTCATGGAAGGCACCTCCGCAGCACAATTATCGGCGCCTTCATTGGAAACTTCTATGAGAGCATGGGCTGGGATGTCACTCGAATCAACTACCTTGGTGACTGGGGAAAGAATATTGCGCTATTGAAGGTCGGCTGGGAGAGGTTCGGGGACGAAGCAAAGTATCAAGCAAATCCCATCGAGCATTTGCTGGAAGTGTTTGAGAAGATCAACAACCTCTTCCAACCGGAAGTGGCAGCGAGTAGACATGCTCGAGACGAGGCTGCGAAGCATGGCCAGGACGAGGGTCAAGTGCAAGCCGAGATTGAAAATCAAGGTATATATGCTGAAAGAAACACAGTATTCAAGAAGCTCGAGAATGGCGACGAAGAAGCCATCGGATTCTGGAAACGAGTCAGGGACGTCAACATTGAGAACTACACAGACTTCTATTCACAGCTAGGCATCAGTTTCAATGAATATACCGGTGAATCACAAGTCAGTACAGAAACAATGGTCGAAGTCGAGACTCTGCTGAAGGAAGGAAACATTTGCGAGGAGAGCTCCGGTGCTTGGGTTGTTCACATGCAACACCACGGGCTCAGAGCTGGTACCGCTATCATACGGGGTCGGGACGGAGCGACTACTTACCTTCTTCGGGACCTTGCAGCAATGATCGAACGTTCAAGGAAGTACAGCTTCGACAAAATGATCATCGTTACTGCCAACGACCACAATACCCCCCACTTCACGCATTTGCATCATATCTTAGTTGCACTCGGCAAAAAGGACCTGGCAGACAAAATCCAGCACCTGAAGTTCAACGAGACGTCAAACATGGAAGAGACACTGGGAAAAGGTTACAAACCTCAAGCAATCATTAGCCACATCGAAACGGCTATGACAACGGAATTGGAGACCAACAGGCAGAAGAGCATAATCTTTGGCGAGCCTGAGAAGAGTTCAAAAGCGCTATCAATCGCTTCTCTTCTCGCACATGAGCTTTCCACACGGACTACGTCTGCCCACTCTTTTGACACAGGGGACATGACGACATTCAAGCTCGGAACCGGACCTGATTTGCAGTACTGGTACGCGAAGCTCCGCACAGTCCTGAAGTCTCGCGATGCCGAAGTCGAGCTCTCCGATGCGGACTACGAATCCTTGGTTGAGGACGAGTCCGCTTCCAATCTTCTCCGTCTCCTCGCGCAGTATCCTGAGGTCACCCGCACCACTTATAATTCATCCGTACCCCAGCCAGATGATATTGTGAAATATCTGGCTGGCGTGACCGAGCAACTCGCTGATTGTCTGAACAACGACGATGACGCCGAAGATGGCGAACAAAGGGAAGCGGAAGCTGGAAACGAAGCCGAAGCAGAGGAAAAGACTTTCGGTCCGGGACACCTTACACTGTTTGAGGCAACACGCATTGTGCTAGAGAATGGACTCAAGCTGCTCGGTATCACCCCGTATGCAACCGAAAGCTATGATCGCGCCGATACTCCCATCGCGGATTGATAGGTGGAACTTGTCGACGCGCGCTTTCTTAGTCAAATTGTACCTTCTTAGTGTTCTTAGTCTTTGGGGATGGGTTGGGCACGGCGTTGTTTCTCACGGTGTATCGCTGTAGGGAAATTGATGAGTAGACAGGGCGGGGAGGGTATTAGCTGTCAGCAAGATTGTTCTTCGTTCTCTTTGTGTTCCACGCTTGACGGATTTACGGTACTACGACCACTAACGATGATATGAGAATGAGTTAGGGAATGCGCGAGATGCCGATTCTCTTTGGCATTGAATGTGATATTCTCTGAATGATGGCCATTTAGTAAATACATTAAGTACGATAAACTTAGTTTCCCCAAGATACTATGCATTGAAGTGATGTGTCTCTACAAGGCTGTGCAATCAGAGGATAGCCGGGGCAGGACCCTGGTCGCAAATTTTCTTAGCCGTAACTCGCCGATGCCACCCAATCCCACAGCCACCCATACGTTTTCGTACTTGAACACATAACAGTCTCAACCGGTTTTCGGTTTTACACATCAGGACAAGTGATCATATATTTAATTAAATTAAATTTTTACATCAATTCACAAAAACACCATCCGATATGGTCTAGTGGCTAGGATACATCGCTCTCATTCACACTTGAATAAGTCCCGATGTGGCCCGGGTTCGATTCCCGGTGTCGGAATACGTTTCTTTTGCTCGTTGGAGCTTTGTTTTTATGGTATGTTTTGTATATGTAGATGTTGGTCCGCACCACGACGCTGGTAATGGTCACCCCGAGATAGATGTAACATCCTGGTGTCGAGACAGTGTTCTTTTACTCGTTTGAGCTTTGTTTTCGCGTTCTGTTCTGCACGTGTGGATATGGTTGGATTTTTTGCTCGTGTTCTCGGCAACCCAGCGCCGGGCGCCCTGCTAGATTTGTGATACTCATCACAACACTACGATTACTAGACGTGCTGGGAACCGTTCTTTTGGCTGCCTAGGCGTTGTTTCTTGCTTTCTTTCGTATCGGTGTGCGGGGGTTCGGTCTTTGCTCAACCACCCACACAGTCGCCCGACCATGCATAGAAGGAACTGAGTAATCATGGAGAGATGCGCGTCGGTTTCAACGCGAGCTTTCCAAACGACTGCTACGAATTGCTCGCTCCACCACGAAGAGATCTTCTTCCAGTGTCTCCGATCCAGCCTCAAGTGCCGAGCCAAACGCGGGGTACACAGGGATCCTCATATATTGCTCCCTTCAGCCAAACACCACCTCATGTAAATCCCTCGGCCTCACCAAACAATCCACCTCCCTTCGATCACCCCTATCCCATGAACATCCCATACGACGACCTAAGCCCGGCGGCTCGCAATGACATGACGTGCGAGGATGATATAATATGGCAAGACAGGCTGTCGGAGATGGTGGAACTTCTCTGATCTGGCCCCTGATTACGCTGCTTTCAGAATTGAACAAAATGCTATTCACGACGTTGTTGTCTGGCTTGCTGATTTTGGGTGGCGCGCTGGCGCAGACGACGCCTCCTGGATTTACGCCGGCTGTGAACAAGACGTTGGATGTGATCTATAACACGCAGGTCATTACGCCGGGGTTGCTGGTGAAGAAGTCGAGTACATGCCCAGAGTAAGCGGCAGGGGAGTCCAAAGGCTAACAGTCTATGAAAGGTGTTTCGAAGCAGCCCACGATAGGCGTCACGGGCCAGACGCTGACTGGCAAGTATCTGCTGGCTATGATTGGCGAGTACTTCTTTGTATTTGACACTGAATCGTGCTGACAGCTTTCTAGATATCGATGCGTACGATCATCACCGATGTCCCTCAAAATACTAGCTCAGCTGCTCACTAGTTTGTAGACCTGGAACTCCCCGCGGGACTGTCTTGCACGCCCTCCTACAAGACTGGGCCCCCAACGGACAGACCCAGAACGGCTCTTCGATCCTCACGACGAAGGCCACTGGTCCTGCATCATACTTCGGCCCTGCACCACCTGCCGAGACGCCCAAGCACCCGCACAATTACATCTTCCTATTGCACCAGCAGCCCGACAACTTCGCAGTGCCGGCCGCGCATAAGACGGCGGTGTCAGGACGTATGGCCATCAACTGGCCCAAGTTCATCACCGATGCGGGTCTGAGCGAGCCGATTGCGGCGAACTACCTGCAGGTGCAGTCTGGTGATAATACCAAGAGTTTTGTTGCATAGGATGAAGAGATGGAGAAGGAAGACTCGAGTACATGAGTGATGCTAGCGTAAGGAGGGGGGAAGGTTTTCTCTTCATTCTGATGCAACATGCTCTGTGTCTGTTGTGGCCAATCCACAAAGCTTTCGTGATAGTGTACGTTGTCTAGTGTTTCGATTTGTGCAGAGTTACTCTATCAGGGAATAAGACCCTTCCTCCGACCGTTGGGAGGGTTTCTTCGGCAGTGTACCACGTCAGGAGGTGGTTCCGCAGTGATCGGTAGCCTTAAAAAATGCGAAGCTGCAGGGTCTGCTCGAATGTCTATGGTTGAGTGTAGAAATCCATCCGGTCGGTGCTCGGCCCCTTCACATATGAGCCAACATGTATATATGCAACAAGCGTGGGCCTATAACAAAAGCTATCAACGAGTCCCAGCTGGGCGGTATAGCATCTCGTTACCCCAAACAGCAATGACCCTGGCGATCGTCAATCGAACTTCCGAAGCGCATGTTGACGAAGTCTGAATCTTTGCCGAAGATAAACGTTCACTTATAGCATAGTGAAACAACGCGCGGCTTTGCTACGGCATTTCTCGTGGTGGCTGTATTGCAACGATGCGGACTGTACCTGCAAGGTCGTGCAAAAGGCAGGTGTATGCAACCAGAAGCAGGTCCAAGGAGACCGACTGCATACTGCGGACGCATCTAGGTGAGCTGCTCGATTTGATCTTAGCCTGCCGAGTAAGCGAGTGAAACCCTAGCATCCAGGATACTTTCAAGCACATGTTGAAGTCGTATTTCCGCGCCGATGGTCTACTGGCATTGCCCGATATAACGCCCTCTGATGTTAATATGGAAGATCAAGCAGATTAAAGATAATGTGGAGGGGTGGAAAGGAAACGTACATGGCGTCACATGCGGACAAATTGCGACGTATGCAGGGACGCGAAGGGTATATGGAACGAATGAAGAAGACAATGCTGGCAAGATGGCTTCCTCCGGCGTTATAAAAGGTGAAAGACATCAGCTGTGAGTTTCTTGGACTGCAACGCTCTTGAGACATAGTCCAGAACTAACAGTTTCATCTCAACAATGAAGTTCTTCGCTGCTGCCGCTGCTCTGTGCACCCTTGTAGCTGCCGCTCCGCTTGCACCTTGGGAAGTGATGGCACCTCCACCTGATGGAACCCAATTCTACCAGCTCCAAACCAAGTCGTACGTCCTCTTGATTGCACCGAATTTCGTTTGTACGCCTGAGCTAACATAATGCAGAGCAACAGCAGCTGTTTCTGGGCAATGGGTAGCCTTGAAGACCGGATCGACAACGTACTCACTCGCCGCTCAACAAGCTGCTGCCACCAAATTCTTCGTCAACAAGTACGCACCTACTAGCACTTTTGCTGTCCACAATGCCGACGACACCCGTCAACTTGCTCTCCAAGGCCCAAATGGGGTCCTGCTATCGCTCGTCGATGCAACGAACCCAACCACCGATTCCATTCCCAAGGGGACATTGATGGAATGGGCTACTTTCACCATGGATAACAACGTGCTTTTCGTCAAGGACGGAAGCACCCTCGCCAATCGTACCTTCGTTGCGGTGAAGGGATCCGGCAGCGACTACGGTATCGCTCTCTACGATGGTAAGTACTCCGTCAACGAAAGAGCGTATCTTCCACCTAACGATTCTCAAGGTGCCAGTACAACTGCGTCGACCATTACTCCTGTCACGATCAACATCGTGAAGGCATAGTGTTTGTTATGAACAGAGGTGATGTCTGGAGTACACCTGGGCAGTAGAAGGCATATACGTAGCTGCAATAGAGGTGGTAAAAACGGTCTAAAGTCCAAATTCAAACGGTGCATATATCTAGGACAGCATCTATAACGAAAGCCGAAATATATCATATATCTGTCGTGTTGGAAACATGAGGTGTCGATGAAACCAGACCCAGTAGCCAGTGGAGCAAGTCAGGGTCCCCGGCCACGCCTTCCCCACATGCGCGCCAAGATTTCGGCGCCACCAAAATTTCCAGTGCAGTCCGACTTTCTGATCTTCTTCCCAAAGCGACGTCCACTCTTAAAATCAACATATACGCTCTCCTCACAATGGGTCTCGCAGCGCCAAAGAAGTATGCGTATCTATACATTTATGATACTCAGGAATCGTACTAACGTTCGCCGCAAGTCGGTCCAAGATCTCCAACGACCCACAAAACACCACCTGGGCCAACAATACCGAGCGCTTCGGTCACCGCATCCTCACCTCGCAAGGCTGGACCCCCGGCTCCTCTCTTGGTGCAACGGATGCCGCACACAAGGCCCACTACACCGCCGCCTCCCACTCGCACATCCGTGTCCTCCTCAAAGATGACAACCTCGGGCTCGGCGCAAAGCGTGGCAGCGAGCGCGCCGAAAATTTTGGTCTCGCTGGCTTCGCTAGCATATTAGGGCGTCTGAACGGGAAAGAGGAGGAAGTGAAGAAGGAACAGGAGAGACAGGAGAAGATTGCGCAGAGGGCGTATGTGTACCAGAAGTTTGGCATGATGAACTTTGTGAGCGGAGGGTTTCTGGTGGGCGATAAGATTGAGAAGGGTGTGAAGAGGGAGATCGAGGTTAAGGTGGAGGTCAAGTCTGAGCCGGAGTCGTCGGACAGTGAGGCCGTGGAAAAGAAGTCGAAGAAGAGGAAGAGGAGCAGTGAGGATGAGGTCAAGCTGGAGGAACAGAGCGGAGACGAGCCGGAACTCAAGCGGAAGAAGAAGAGCATGAACCTCCGCGAGGAGGCTGCCAAGGAGGATGCCGCTTTGAAATCCTCCTCGAAGTCCAAGAAGGAGAAGAAAGACAAGAAAGACAAGAAAGACAAAAAGTCGAAGAGCGCCTCTGATACTCTTGCTACGGATTCAGAACCCCTCTCCGACAAGGCTCGACGAAAAGCCGAAAAGCGCGCCCGCAAAGAAGAAAAGAAGCTTAAGAAGGCCCTCAAGAAAGCCGCAAAGGAAGCCGCGAAGTCGAGTCCTACGACCGAAGACCCCAGCTCCGGGAGCGAGGAAGAAGTGGAGAGCACATCGGCTAGCTCTGTACCCACGTCTGGCACAGCGACGCCCTCTGGCTTGACGTATAATCCGAGAGGTATGCACGCTGTGCGGCAGAGGTATATACGGCAAAAGAAGATGGCGAGCATGGATCCACAGGCGCTGAAGGAGGTATAGTATTCCAAGTCTACGAGTAAAATATGCGGCTAACAACTGCAGATCTTCATGATTAAGACGCCGTCATAGCGCATCGAGCGAGCGAGCGATTCTGGGAATTTGCATATGCATAGCGTGGCGTTTCGAGATTGCGGTCTTCTTTCTAGATCAGATGACATGATACATCAACATGTGTTGACATATAGTTTTGGTAATATGATACAGTTCATTAGGATTTAAGCTACTGGTAGTACACAAGACACAATTGCAATGTCCATTAGCAGCCCCTTTTCTTCTTTCCCCTTCCTTCTTTTGATCCAGCCAAGGAGATGTAGACTCGCGTCCAAAAACCTGAACTAAAAACCTGAACTAAAAGTGAAAATGCGATTGCCGCCAGTGCGAGAAGGAAAAAGCTAGCAGGTGAACGGGAAGAACTGGATAGACCGCTAATCTTCGCTCGTCTCCCAGGGCCGCCAAAACTTCCACCCTTCTCTTACTTCCCTCTCTACGTTCTTCCTTATTCCTGCATGCTTCACGCCGACCAACCTCTCAATGCCCTCGGTGCCCTCAGCCCTAAGGAATTTCTCTTGATCAATCTCCTCACCGCCCTCCTCTTCATTCCCGTTATGCAGCACAGCTGGCCAAAGCACGCCGACACCATCACCCGCCAGCGTCGTCTCAAACTTCTCGAACCCTTCGTTTTCAAGCTTGACTTCGAGCGAATCGAGGATCGCATGCTTAAGCTTCGTACCCGAGGAGATTATCGATGCGGCGACAGGCGAATCGGGCTCAGATTCGGATTCTGAAGACGAGTGCTCGTGATGGACGCCGTTCCCGTTGCCGGTGCCGTTAGCAGTAGACGTCGGTCGCGGCTTGATGATCGTTATCGCGCATCCACCCCCTCCTGCACCTGTGAGCTTCGTCCACCCAATACCCGTGTGATCTATCAGCTCGCGGATGCGCTCCAGCTTCGGGTGCGAAACGCCCAGCGAGACCAGCAAGCCATGATTTATTGTGACAAGGTCACCGAGGTATTTGAGCGAGGCGTGCGATTCCGGATCGAAGTCGGCCGATGTGAGCAGCTTGTAAGCTGATTCAGTGATATGGCCTATCGCGTCGAGAATGTTCTCTGTGAGGACAGGATGGTTGTTGAGGAGAGTCTGGACCTTGGCGACTTCGACGGCAGTGCTGCGGGACTGGCGCGTGTTGACAAGGAGGAGAGGCAGTTCGGGAAAACTGTGGAGGGGCAAGATCCGGGATGGTTTTCCTTTGAACGCCTTCTGGTAGAGGACTGCTTTACCGCCTGATGCCACTGTGTTGTCGATGCCAGAGGGATTACCGTGTATGCACATCTCGCCCACGAAGGCCCATCTGTTTATTCGCTCGATCTGGAGCTCGGATTCTTGCGGAGGTTGGTCTTGATGTGGACCGCTTAATGCACGGATTTGGAGGAGCAGCGCAGCGCTGATGCATACTGAGATACTGGCGCTGCTTCCGAGACCGGCTCGTAGCGGAATTGTGGAGCGGAGTGTGTAAACGCATGGTGATGTTTTTCGCGACGCGAGGGAAAGGAATAGGTAGAGGAAGGAGCATGCAGATGCGTGGTGTACCTTCCGTATCGACTCAGGAATCTTGGGCGAGACTGCGTCCAGGTGCGGTTGTAAGGCTTCAAGCAGCTCGGGATCTAAGGTCGTAATCAGGTCGTAGTAGTGCTTCTTCTTCCCTGGCGCGTTAAATGCATCCCATGGTAGCTCATCGATGTTCCATGTATGTTCTAGCTCGATGTCGGGGAAGCGTATCGTAACAGTTCGGTGCGACTTGGAAAGGAACGAGACGTGGAGGTACGAGCGGAGGGATATCGCGGCCGCGATGGCAGGCTATAGTAGAAGTCAACACACTCTTCTTCGAATCCATGGTCGAGTCTGCCCACTTTTCCATGCACAACTGCATGTTCTCCGTAGACAATGACCTTTCCGGGCGCCGACACCATGAAGGGCGGCATCATCGGCGATGACTGTTTCCGGAGCATGGCTGGTTTGGATACCGGGGCACCGGCTTGTGGTATCTGGGAGAGTAGTTGTGCAGGCATGGAGTCTATGGGTGACTGTTCCGGGGTTTGAGTGGAATGCGAGGTGGTACGTTTTAATATTCCTGTTCCTGCTGGTCAGCGATCGAGGAAGCCTTGACTGGTCTCAGAAAGAGCGCGAGCCGGAGTAGATTTACCTGTACCGTTTTGACCCTTTCTCCGCAGGCTGCCGGTCGTAGACATTGTACAGAGAACAGGGATTGGTGAAAGAGCGTGGAAGGGTCGGGGGCTGGCTGCACCTTGTGTGGCACTGTCGTCGTCAGTCAGGAGGCGTTGCGCCCGCCGCTGGGATTGATGGACCCAAGTTGCTGGGGTTGCTGCTAATAACGAACTAGGTTAATTCCGAAGGCGCCTCGATCAACTTCCGCTCCCCGCGCAGCTGCAGGAACCCAGTTCAACCCCCACCCCTGGTTTTTCTGGAAACGCCCTACGAACGGCGCCCCGGTGTTAACTGTCATCACAGCCTTGCGTCACACATCGTGAATTCACTCGTTCAATGGAGGCGGACTACAAATGTGGACTTGACATTTGACCACGCGTCTTGACAGGAACAATACTAGCACTTTCTTTCAATCGTCGATTCTCATCTAGAAACACCGCCACCATCACCAAGATCGCGGAATATTTTTGCTCGGCCCCTACCCCAAGCGCATGGACTGAAACCAAGACTGGAACTACTGGAAGCGCCAGAATGCAACTAGGCTGAAGTCAACTGATCGGCTGGGAAGGCTGCCATGCTCACTGCCGGCCCCAGGGGGGGCCTGCTCAAATTGAAGTGGCGCAAGCTGAACTGACATGCAGCCATTCGCTTGCGGTCCTCGTCGTCGCTGTTGTGTGATGCGCCAAATCGTGGCAGCCTGGTCATCTGGTATGCTTGGGAACAGTAGGCGAGGGCGCATGTGAGGCTCGTAATGCTCGGTAGTGCCGCGCACCAATCGGCTATGGACGATGCTTCCTTATGTGGAAATGCCCGATGAGTGTCCGTATGACTGTCGATGCTAGGTGATTTGAATAATCCCTAATGGCATTATACCAAACGAAGCCAACGGTAGTACCTCGGGCCCGGGCACCTGAGCTATTAACAGAATCGCTGCCTATACAGGCAACGCATAGATCGCGTCGGTACAAAGCGGTCGCTACTCGATTAGGACGAGAACTGGAAAATCGACTTTTTTTGGTGTTGACTGTGTCCATTCTGTGGTCCCATGATCAGGCTGCCGCAAAGATGAGGCAGATGCTTGGAGCTTCATGCTGACTGCTCCGCCCTCGCCTTCTCTTTCTGGGCTCTGAACTCCTTGTCTTTCGCCTTCTTGGCCTTCTTCCTCGCCGCCTTGTCGAGCTTGCCGCCCTCTTCCTCCTTTTTCCGCTTCTTTCCTTCGCCCGATAGATGACCAGCCTCGATCTCCTCTTGCGCAACAAAGTTCGATCGATCGTCAAGTTCGCCTACTTCTACCACGCCCTCTTCCCTCTCGAACTCAGACATCTCCTGCCAGTCCACGTCCACGGCACCAGCGACCTTCTTGTTTATCGAATCGTCCTGAGATTCATTGGCACCGACAAGCGCATTCTGGTCTTCGCCCTCGGGCTCGGGCGTAGGCTCGGGCTCCAGGTAGTTGCCCTTGAGCCCCGCGGCGACCCTGCGCAGGTTGTGCATTACCACACCACCGGCGGGTCCACCTTGCGCGCTGAAGGTGGTGCCGCTGGGTGTGATGAGCGCATCAGGATGTAGGTGCGAATGCACTTCGGAGTTTGTGAGGTATTTTTCGAGTATGGAAGAGGCATCTTCAAGGGTTATAGACTTCGAGGATACAAGTCGGTGGGGTGCGAGAGTTTCGGCGTGCATCTTGTAGTTTAAACGTCGCGATTGGTCGCAGGCGAATAGTGTTCGAGTGTTGGTATGTGTCGATCACCTCTACTTCGTAAAATTCGACCGTAGAAGATTCGCAAGCTTGTCGCAGACGCAATGGTTTTGTAGAAAGCTGGGAGGGAAGCTGCGACCGATTTTCGCGACTACACTTTTTGGCGCACGGGCCAGTCCATAGATTTCGTCGGCAAGCTCACTGCACCTCCGAGCGGACGTGAACGACACTTCCGCCGACTCGACCTCCCCGTGTCACCCTTCTCTTTCGTCGCCAAATCGATCGAGGAGAGGCATAATGAACGCTCTCCGCTGCATACGGGCTGTCGCTCGGCCGAATGCGACACCCGCGACCCTCCTCAGATCCTCCGCAACTCCACGGTAACCCTCCCATCAACCAGGCGTACCTACCTTTTCTAATAGCACACAGAGCCGCAATTCCCTCTTCTGCCCGCTCTATCTCCCTCCTCGCACCTCGACGACCCATGCTGCCCAGTCCATCTGTAGCCTACACGCTTCCTACGCCCGGCTCCGTAACCTCCCCAATGATACCCTCCTCCGAGACCCTCGATCTCGCGTCCAAGATTTCCGCGCACCCTGCTATGGGTGCTATGCAGATTCGATGCGGTCCCCGCGATACGTACAACCCTAGCCACCTGGTACGAAAGAGGAGACATGGATTTCTGAGCAGGATACGGACGAAGAAGGGGAGGAAGCTGTTGATGAGGAGGTTGAAGAAGGGACGATGGAATTTAAGCCATTAAAGATGGGATTGCACTGCATAGCTTATAACGGTGGGGTGTGGAGATGTGTATCAATAGACCTTGTATACTAGGCATCACGTTGAAGAAGGCAGAGAGCTTTCGGGGGCTGCGACTGCTCTTCGAGAGTTGCCCAGCGGCACAACGGACTGCCGGAGATCTTGCAGTTGATCGCAATGATATTTGAAGAAGCTAACTAGCCCTGTGCTTTTCAATGGATACATCTTGTACAACATATTTTCATCCAGCCAGCATTCGTTCGCTCTTGCCCTCCTAATGTCTCTCTGAAGAGGTTGATTTCAATATCGAAAAGGGTGACCATATCGGCTCACAAAGCTTCCGCTTCTGCTTCCATGTACCCAGGAGTCTCAAGATACCCCTCCTAGTAAGGGCATGGTTCGCATCCTAGAATACTCCAAGGTACTAGAATTTCACCAATATTGTATTCTAGGTTCCAATTAATAATGAGAACCTCCAGTCAAGACTGCCAAAGACTGCCTGATACATCACGATCTTTTGGGACCGACTATGTATTGAATCCTAGCACATATCGTCCACATGACTAGAAATGCCTTTTCCCTCCTCTCCAGCGTCGGAAGGACCTGTCCTTTTTCGTCTTACATCTTTGAAGGGAAACCAAGACATCAAAGTGCCGCAACTTATCCACATCAAAAATTCCTCCTGTCCATCAGATTAATCTGGCTCTCATATGCGCCTCCAAATCACGCCCCCAGTTCTTAGCTCAAGAGGCAAGATCTTCTGGATGCACGACTTCGCCTTCCGGACCGACGCAATGTTCGAGCTTCTGCTGAACAACGCTACACCACCAGATATAGATGTGACGCGTGACACAAACCTACGACTATGACGGAGAACCAGAGAAAAGACCTCGAGACAGATACCATAGGTACGTTCCAATGATGCGACCATGTGAGTATATGATTTAAACTTCAAATTGTTCGTTCAAGTTCAGTGAGCTTTACCAATGGATGTATCATACAATTGGGATAGCTGTGGTGGCATTCGGTGAAGTGCCTGAACAGAGTGTGGATGTTGGTGTTGCAGCGAGGACGGCAGCGCAAGGCGTGCATGCGATGATCAGCACCGCGTGATGGGCGACCTTTTAGGTGGTGGTGGCATCGAAGTGGTCGCCAACATCCACGTGAGGTGTCGTGAACCTTGGTACGATGTTTGAGAGTGGGTAGTGAAACGCCCTTGGGTATCGGTAGAGACGGGATCCAGCAACTATTTCAGTGATTCAAGTTTCGCCGTCTTCCTTCTCCGATGCAGCGGCTTCCCTTTCAGCGAAAGCCTCTTCCGCGTCTTTCCAGTCGTCCTCGGTGGTCTCGTCTATCGCAACGACAAGCTTCAACTCCTCGTCCACCTTGTCGATCTGCTTTAAAATGAAAGCTATAGTTGCATCTCGTGCCTTGTCAACCCTATTGAGGGCATCCATCGACATCTTACTGTAGTCCTGAAGCGACTTTGATGGCGTTGGAGGTGCCGGTGCCGTGTCTTTCAGCTTGGCTTTCTTATCCGCGAGCAACTTCCTTAACACGAAGATATTCAGATCCCTTTCCCGTAGATTCTCCTCAAGCTCCTTTCGTGTCGTCTCTTCCTCGACCTTTTGCTTTTTGACAGCGTGCTCTTTCTTCGCTGCATCGTCGGCGGTTTTCCAGCTCCAGATTGCTTGCTTGGCGCAAGTCTCGATATGAGTGAACCGGATGGGCCCGATGTTTTGGCCGCCGTACCAGCGAGCCACTACCACGACGCCTTCTGTGCCTGTGTCATTGAGCACGTTCTGCAGTCTGCTGCCGGCCCACTTCTCACCATCGTCATCATAGCCTAGGTCGTACAGCACTTTGGATGAAGGTGTTAAAGACTTCTGCTTGGAACGTGTCCGCCATGCTGCTATACGGTGTGAGGCTGTTCTGAATTCTGGAAGGTTTTGGAGTGCTTTGGCCGACAGATTTGACGAGAATGCGCCGACGAAAGCCGATGTCTCATGTTGGATCTTTTCGGAGCGAAATATGTTTGTGGGAACATCCGGAGAAGGAGAGTGATCTCTTTTCAATGCCATGGTAGATTTACATGTGGTTGCGGAACGGGAACGTACATGATCTATCAGAGGTGGTGTTGGAGAGGACTACCAGGCTGAGGAAGGTTCAGCCGAAGCTTGGTCTGTGCTTTTAGTACTTCAAGTCTTCAAGGAAGGATGCACCGTTGAATAGAAACGCATCCGCCACAACTTTTCATCTTGAATTATATGAAGCTGTTACCATACTTTCTCGTCTGAAAATCACATCTCTCAATGCTAGATAGGTTATGCCTTCCTGGAAGCGTACTTTGGCGCAGCCCTCCTTAGTACCAACATGGGGGAATTCGGAGCAACGGCCATGGTCAAACCTTTGGAATGCAGTCAGGACGCCTACTCGTGAAGAGGTTTTCTGGTAGTTATCAATAATTGAACCCAAAGGATTCTTGTCTGTTGCACCACTTCCTCGTCAGGTCAGGGTGGATACCTATCCGCTACTACAAATTGTTTGCTTCATTTCCGGAATCCCACCTCAGTAGTGGGCAGCTTCCTCCGCAATCCGCTCTTGCAAATCCTGAATCTATGCATCTCATCTACACTGTTCTCTTTCACTCGGTCTTCTGATCTGGATGGCCACCTGCGCGCCCTAGCTTGCCGCGTTTGCCCCGGTCAAGTTTCTTTTACCTGCATATATCAAGCACTTGCAGCCCAGTTTTCTAGACTCCGTCAAGATCGACTACTCTTCCACTCGACGTAACTTCTTTGGGTACCCTCCGCTTGGTTCGCGCTTGGCAATATTTAGGTCTGTGGTTCAAAACGCCTCTCCGCTCGCCGCACTTCCGTCACCAACTCATCAAGTTGGCTCTCAACACGATCCACCTTCGCGATCAGCGACCTTTCTTCACGACAATAAAAGGTAGTTCAACATCAATTTCGGATTTCCGCGGAGAGAAAGCACTATTGTAGAGCATCTTGACGTAGCTGTCCTGCTACGCGCAAGTTGAATTCTGCTTGTGGGTTCTGCTTGCGCCCGGCCACGCCGCTTTCCCTTGCATATATCCAGGTATTTGAGCAAGCTAACAGCTCGTTGTTGAACGATCAGATAATTTGCAACGTGCCTTCCAAATGGGCCGCTTCGAAACACTGAAGCCGGAGACGCAGGTAAGTCACCCATACCCCTTTCGCTTCGTACGGTCAGTAGCGAAATCAGCACACGAACGCTGTTTTGCGCGTTTATTCGTGAGCGACTCCGCTAATGTTGCTTCTTTTACTAGGATATGGTGAATGCCATGCTGCCTGCCATTGCTTTTTCCTTCAAGATCGATCCGGAGAACTGCAAGGATATCATCCCGGAAGACATCCGCATGCGGCAATGGGACTGTGAGCGTCGCGATCACATCAAAGACCAACCAGAGGATGATCCGCGTAATTGGGGTGTCGAGTTTCTCAAGAGCATCCAAGCAATCGCGCGCTTGAACGGCAGTGACCTCGGCGCATTTCAGGAACGCTTGCGCGAGCTCGTTGCGAAACACGCAGAGAAGCATCCGTGGGCCCGCCTTGAAGACGTTCGGCAGATCAAGAACGAGTATCAGAACCCTAGGCTGCGTAACCCGAACGGCCAAGTTCCCGAATCCGAATCAAGCTCCGATGACTCGCTCGACTCTTATCTCGAGGAGCTGGTCGAGCAGGATCTCCCGAAAGGCGCGAAGCGTGGCCATAACGAGGCGTGTAGGTTTACCCACGATGTTCATTTTCATGGACGCGCATGCTGACCTCGGCGCAGATGAGAGCCGCGTTCAGGGTTGGTGGAAGGCCGCGAAGCCAAAGAAACCCAAGAAGCGTGAGTGGCCCTGTTCCACAACACATCAATCTTATGCTAACAAGTTTTCGATACAGCGGTTCGACTCCGTCGCGATCCTGATGCGGGCTGGGATCGTCGCGGCAAGAACAAGAGCAAGAGCCGCGATGTTAGCCAGATCTCCGTCGACAGCGACGCTCCGGACTCTGTTCGGGAGAGCTCTCCTCCTCAAGAACCAAAGCGCCGGCGTCTGACTTCGAAGCGTCCAGCCGTAAAGAAGGAGTCACCCACCGTTATGTACGTAACTTCGTTCGTTACATCGAGTCATGCCTACCCCCTTATTCGGATGCAATACTGATCTGAGAATCGCAGCAGCGACGAGGAATCCGATGACGATGTGCCTGTCGAGGTCAAGAAGCTCCAGGCTGAGTTGGAGGCTGCAGAGGCCGAACTTGAAGTGCGGCGTAAGAAGCACATGTTACTAGAAGCTAAAGCGAAAGCGGAGGCTGCAAAAGCAGCTCGTAAGACATCAGTCGGCAGTGCTAGTGTTCCGTCCCAGATTGGACGCCACAGCGTCAACCGCTACGCTAGCTACGATAGCTACGACAACGGCAATGGACGCAACGGGCACAACAACAATAACAGCGGCTTCACTGGCTTCACGGGGTTTGGTGATTCCAACGACAACCACGGCTTCCGCGGCTTCAATGGGTTCACTGGGTTCAACAGTAACTCCGCCTACCCACTTCAGACAAACCACCCGGCTCGACAGGACTCGCAAGGTCTTCCACCCCCTGAGGATTACGAGGAGGAGTTCGACGAAGAAGACTTCGAAGACGATGAGGATGGTGAGTAGCAGTCATAAGCGCTCAGGCCATGTACGGCCGTGAACGGTTCTAGGCATGCTTATGGGCAGGAAGCTAATCGCCATTCACGCGGGCACCTATGCGTCGTTCCACGTATCACTCACGGAGTCAGTAGCTTATGGTCTGGAGTTCTCGAAGTAGCTCTTTGCAGAGATCGATGATCATGAAGCGTATTGGGTATTATGAGATTTTTCGGGGGCTTGTTACGTCACCTGGGCTTCGGCGTTGGGAGTCTGACAAATGCACGTGTTTCTGCGCATCTAGGTGGACGTCTGTGTACGATCAGGTTTGGATTTCTCGAATGATACAGCTTTCAATATCGAGTCGCCCGTGCTGACTATCTGTCTGTCGTGTGTTACGATTGTTGCAACCCTAAATGCAGGAACAAATGCATACGCTTATAGTCGTATCTCGTGATCTCGACTATTTCCAGCTTCGCGCAACTTTTCCAGACTTAGGACGTATCTTTCCATCCAAATCAAATGATCCTCCAGTTCTGTTCGTCATGAGTCCATTTCTAAATCCTACTCTGGCAGTGAAGAAGCTTCATCAGGGAATTGGTTCGTTTAGTCGGCTATGCATGCTCAATGCCAGATAGAAACACAGTTTGCTCAACGAATTGTCTTATTTGAGGGGCATTGAAAATCATTTTACTCCCCAGGAGTTGGTTAATTCTATTCTTGTGTTCTCATGCCGTAGACAATTCGTGCTTTCCTTCCGAGTCTCCTTCCTTCCAACTCCTCCAATTCTTCTCGATCGTTTATCTGAATTGCGTCATGCATTTGCATTTCCAAAAATTCTTGAACAATGTGTTCAAATTTACGCTACCTTCTATATCCCCTGTCTTGCCTATAAGCTTGAGTTCGTGCCATGGACTAGTCGCTGCCTCCCGCTACAACCCCGACGACACAACCCCAACCGACTATAATTGCGTCGATTGCGGTGGCGATATCGAATTCCCCTCCTGCTGAACCTTCTCACCTCTACAAACGCGGCTATTTTCTTCCTCCTTCGCCAACACTACCACAAGAAGCACAGCAATCCACAATCGCTCTCTTTCCAACAACTACGAGAGAAGTGCCACAACGCTCCTGGATTGGCTGCAGGCTTGGACAAAACACCAAGACCAGTGGAGAATCCCGCGCCAATGCACTCGCCTGCGCCACTCTACCAGCCGCCGGCTTCTAGTTGGGTTCAGCATGGTCTCAAGGAGATGGAGGGGAGACAATATGCGCAGTGGGGCGAGAAATTATAGGAATCGCCGAGATATGGGTATCGTGGGTGATGAGAGGGAAAGGGGGTTGGGCCCATTCGTAAGAGTGGTAGCATATAGGTGGAGCCAGATCGTACCCAAACAGAAGCTCCTTCTCATTTCGCGACCAACTTCACGTGGCGGTTCCGTACCCACTCTGCAAGATGTTGACCCTCAACATTTTACTACAAAAATAGCAATACACAAATCCCTTTAAATATTCTTCCTCACGGATATCGAACCTCTCGTACTTTACTGATCATTGCGACCTCTGCTAGCCATGTCCGCGCTTGGAAGAGAAAACGTAGACGGTGGCTACGTATATGGCTCAGATTCCGAGTTCATTTCCACAAGCGATGAGGTGATAAATCCATTCAACTTTCCCTCTTCACGTACTGATCGACCTATAGGATGACGGCTACGCGACCCCCTCAGGCGCGGACTCTGACAATGATCTCTCTCGATTCACGAACTACTTCGATACTAATACTGACGATAATGTCGACGAATGGGAAGATGAAGAGATCGATCTTGCCCCAGCCACTGAGGTAGCTCTTACCTCATCATTCCACGATTACTGGTGCCAGTCCAACGATTTGGTCTTTGACTACATGTATTACTGCGAGCCCATAGTACTCCTGCTTCTGAGCATGTACTTAGGTCTCTGCGTGGGGTACTTTCTTAGTCCTGGAAGGGACGTACGAGCTTCTGCCCCCGTGCCTACGGTTTTCTCTTCCATCACGTCCACCGCCTCTCATCCGGTCACAACAGGCGTTCTGATTACCGCTACAACTACAACTACGGGAACGATTGCATCAGTCATCTTCACTGCAACTACAACAACTGTCACAGTAACGATGACGGAATCGGATCAAGGTACCGTTTCCGCAACACCGTCTGAAACCTACGACGCTCCTGCTGCCACCATTGCCCCCTCGCCCGAGGTTCCTTACTCCCCTGAAAGTAATTGTATGTTCCTTCGCCGGTGGAGGAGAAACATTCGGTACGAGACCAGGACAATGCAATTAGCTCAACCAAAATGGCCCGTATCCAAGTTCGTCGACCGTGTGATCTTATCAATGGATAGATTCATTAGAGACGTCGAGCGGTGTCTGGACAAAGGGAGATATCCCCGCACGGCTGGTGAGGACGATCAAAATAAGCTACGGCAAGAATCGCCACGGCAGAAAGACAGGAGACATCCCGAAAGCTCACAAGCTCCGTTGGAAGAGAAAAAGAACGAGCAGCGCTCTACTCGGGATGAGCTAGAGAAGATAGAAGAGGAGTCGATGCAGATAGAGACAGCCCTGGAGAGGCTTCGGGAAGAGCAGGCGAGGCTGAAGAAAGAATATCAGGAAGAGCAGAGAAAGGCGATAGGGAACTACTGGGTCGAGTGGGTGAGGCGGATGATGAATGAGGTTGAGGGGCTAGTGAGGTAGATGGACTAGTAGGGCGGCGCAGATCCAGAAGTTTCGGGATGAGTGTGGTTAGGCCGACAACGATTGCGCAAGGTAGGTTCTACTAAACGCAGTGGAAGATCGGGTTTTCATCTCGGGTGACTTCCGCGAGAGCTCGCAATCAGGTGCACGTAGCCATGCGTTGTCTTGCTGATGGTTTACAGTGGCTAAGGCCACCGGGTCTTGCCTTCTACAAACAGCTTTCCCGTGGGACCCTAGGGAACCGTCAATTGTAGCACTGCATTCTCAAAAGCGCCGTCGAACCACATATACATCACTTCACTCAGTCTGTTTGGATGTTGTTCCTAGCGTAACATACGTTAGTAGCGCTACACTACCTCAAGCCACCAGTCAAACCCGTTCCCTACCCGAGCATCCCCTTCCCAGCATCCGTCTTCTTCCCCCTGCCACCCTTCTGCTGCGCAGCCTCATGTTTCTTCAAATCTTCCGGCAGCTTGCTCTTCGTGCTATTGGACAGCATCTGCTTGAGATCATAAAGCACGTCTGCGTCGCCATTGTCCCAGAAAGTAATCGCGACACCAGTCTTGCCTGCACGACCCGTTCGACCAATGCGATGGGTGTAGCTCTCGATATTGTTTGCCATGTTGAAATTGACCACCAGGCTAACGTCAGGAACATCGAGACCACGTCCCGCAAGATCGGTGGCGACGAGCACCTGGGTTCTACCGTCGCGGAGGGACTGTAAGGCGGCTTCACGTTGTTCCTGCGTCTTGGAGCCGTGCAAGGTGACGGAGCTGAAGCCCATTTTCTGGATGTCGCGCGCCACGGCGTCGCAGTTGCGCTTGATATTGACGAACACGATCATAGGCGGGGCGAACTCGTTCGAATAAAGGATCTCCTGCAGACGCTTCTTGCGTTTGTCTTCACCTGGTACCAATTCGACACGTTGTTCGACAGTCTCGACAGCCTCGCCCTGTTTACCAATTGTGATAATGGCCGGTCGCCGTAGGTATTTCCTTGCTATTCGTTCGACGGCTGTGGGCATAGTTGCTGTGTACATCATTGTCTGGCGGTATTGGCCTCTTGTCATAAGTCGCGAGTCCTCCGCATCCTCGTTATCAGGCTTTTCGTTGTTGACGGGGAGAGCGTCAAGTATCTTCTGGACGGGCTCTTCGAACCCCATGTCAATCATGCGATCAGCTTCATCCATGATGACGTAGCAGCACTGGCTCAGGACAAGTACGCGGCGTTCTATACAATCGAGGAGACGACCGGGTGTAGCAATGATGATCTCCGCACCGTCGCGAAGCTGGAACGCTTGTTCCTCGATAGCGTGTCCACCCACGATGACCGCAGTATTGTATCCTAAGGGAGCGGCAAATTTTCTGGCCTCTACCTCAATCTGCTGTGCCAATTCGCGAGTTGGAGCAAGAACAAGCGCGTAAGGACCATCATTCCTATTGGCAACGCTAAGCCGAGGAAGCCGAGATATGTAAACCAGTAAAGGTAGGATGAATGCAGCCGTTTTACCGGAACCCGTCTGCGCAACACCGATAAGGTCTCGTGATTGCAAGGCGATAGGTATAGAGGCACGCTGGATAGGTGAGGGCTCGATGTAACCCACTTGATCAACGATCCGAAGGATGTTGTCTGGGAGACCGGACTCTCCCCAGTTGCGCATTGGATTGGGTATCGAACCGCCCTTTGTCGCAATATCGAAGTCCTCCTTGAAAATGCGCCAGTCGCGCTCGCGCATATGCTCAAGTTTCTTCTCGCTCCAGTGCTTATCCAGTTGGGCATGTGGAGCCTCATTCCGCCGACGTTCCATTTCCAATATTTGCTCGGCGCGCTGCCTCCCATTCACAGGGTCTCGTTCGATCATAGCTTCGATATATTTCTTGGTAGCCGCATCAATGCCCTCTTCGCGGTCGATCTCCTTTGCAAATCCGCCTAAAGTTCCGCGACCGAAGAAGTTGGCCTCCGCACGCTGCGCATATATCGGGTTGTAGTCTGGGCTGGTGTCCTCCTCGTCATTCCACTCAAAATTGAACTTCTTCTCGGTCGTCCGTCTCCGCTTCTTCTTCGCTGAGAATGTAGACTGATTCTGCTCGGCACCCATGTATCTGTGTCTGATCATCTGTGCCTCCGCATCTTCCGTCGCTGGTCTCTTCCCTCCGCGTTTATCTCCAGGCTTTGGGACCGACGGAGGCGGCATATCATTCTTCGATCGCATTGATGCAGGTCCGCTTGGCGGCTCCGCGCGCATAGCGCGGGGTCCTGTAGGTACCGACGCAGCGCTTCTAGACCCATTTGACGATGCCCCGTTGTTTTGATATGAAGTCGTGGCGCCATTTGCAGCTTCCCTTCTCTTGCGCGCATCATCAACCTCTTTCTGACGCTTCTCAAGCGCAATACGTTCTCTTTCGGCTTTCGACAAGAACTTGGGCTTGGCCGCTGCTGCCTCCTTCTCTCGTTTTGCCTTTAGTATATCGTCAATACTGGGTGGTTGTTTCTTGTTCTGCGAGGTGAATCCCTTCTTTTTCTTCGGTTGTCCGAGATTGGTTCCATAATCCTCAGGCGGAGGCGGTGGAGGTGGTGGCTCTACACTCGGCGGAGGAGGAGGCGGTGGTTCTGAGCTTGGAGGCGGCGGCGGAGGAGGGATATCTTCTGGAGGCGGAGGAGGCGGCGGGTCGCGTGCAGCTGCAGATGCGCGAGGGCCAGCGATTGTCGTCATATCGCGCAAGGCACGCGAAGGTTTCTGGATGCTGTGTAACTTCAAAATGCTCTCTGTGCAGAGAGGCAGCAGCGTAGTGTCGGGAGTGTGGGGAAGTTTGGCTAGGGAAACTGAAAGTCGCGGCGGTAAACTAGTGAGATCGCCTGGTCACGTGCGGCCTCTGCCTCGATTCCGATTCATAGATGTTCCCCACCTTGTTGAGCCGCAACTTCACCCTGATTGTCGGACGGTAGTTTCGGGAGCCCAATTCTCTTGTCAATACGTTCAGCATGACCTTGTATCAATGCGGTTATCAGGATATGGTAGACATTTGAAAGGTCATCACAAGACGGAAGGGAGATGTCTGGGGCAATTGAAGCTTGATTTCGCTGTCATACCCCAGTGGAGCAGTTCGTCTAGATTATACATATGCCGTGTCATGATGGATGCCTCTTCTCTTCCTGTTGAAGCTCCCCTAGGCTACTAGTTATGTCGTTCATAACGCTTACGAATCCAGAACCATTGATCGCTCATATCCAGCAGCACCGCGTAGCGTGCACCACCTCAATCTTGCCTGCCCTTCAATAACCGCTTCGTCACCTTGTCCTTTTCGATAATGTAGACGTGTGCTCCCCAGCCTGATAGGGCGTCTCGGTCCACGGCGTTGAGCAGCGCTTGCGAGCATGTCTCGAAGAGGTCTTCTGGTCCCTATTCCGACCATTAGTCTCAACCCAAATTTAAGCTGCAGTGTGAGTGTTTACCAGATCCGGCTCCCATAAACCCTCGCAAGTACCAAACAACTGATCACTCGCCGTTCCGCTCACGATGAAGTCCTTCGCGAAATCAATGCATCCAATGCTGTCAAAGCCGCAGATGAACGGCTTCCCCGTGGTCTGATTGATCCCTGCAATCACCGGGCTGACGAAGTATGGGCCAAACCGCCGCTCGTACAGACTCGAGCTGACGAGGTTGGCCATGGTCTGCGGGCTGATGTTGCGCTCCTCGCGCAGCCGGTACATGTTGACTTTGTAGCGGAAGAGATCGGAGACGGTTGACACATCGGTTGCGAGACCTGTCAGGCCAAGGAAGACGTCGCCGTATTGGAAGATCTTGGGGAAGTTGTTTGACACAGTGAGTGCTTGCATGCCGAGGCGGAGATCGCAGGCGATGGCGACGCAGTCTTTGCCCACCATGGCGACGCAGGCACCGCCGTCTATTCATATGATTAGAAACATGCTTTCAAGAGGCTGTAGAGGACGATCGTACTTATCGAGAACGGCGAAGACTGGTACTGTTAGCGAAGTACTATTAAGGATTTGGGAGCTTACCATGGCTGGGAATGTGTGGAAAGAAGCTTCCTACGGGGTATTTAGGACTTCTGAAGCAGGAGGAGTATACGGACGGGAAGAGAGAGGCGACGGGCGGTGTTGGCGGAGCTGGTTGGTGACGCTCGTAGGTAGCAACTTGCTGTCGCGGCGGGCGGGCGAGCTTCATTGGCCCGAGCGCGCGAGCATTACACGTGATCGCGAATTTCCTCTGCGCCATCAACCCTAATAGTTGGAGCTCACTTCGCATTCCCATTCACACACACAATGAGTCTACGACAGCACTTCAGAACGGCACAGTCACTGCCGCCGCGGCTGATAACCTTCTTCGAGAAGTACCCTCCGCCATCACTCCTAAACTTCTCTGCGCCCGCACCTCCAGCCGCAGAAACCGCGTCCCCAATCGCGCACGCAGACCCCGTTGCCTCGTCAATCGCTCCCACATCCACCCCAGAAGAACCAGCTCTTGGTTCTTTTTCCATACCCCGCGACATTCCAGCCGAAGCCCAAGCAGGCCTCCCATACCCGAACCCCTTCCTCCCGCGCAAAAACCACATCACCGGTCGCTGGTACGGCCCCGTCTACGGCCTGCGCCAACAAGCCGACCTCGTGAAACTCGCACAGAAACACGATGTCCTCGATTTGCTTCCGTGGACGATAAAGAAGCCCGGCGCGAAGGAACAGAGGCGGATAGAGAGGGGCTTGCAGGTGAAGGGAACGGGAGAAGGTCAGAAGGTCAAGGGAAAGCTGTGGGAGAGGACGTTGAAGGGGCGATTGGAGATGCGGAAGAAGGCTATGATGGAGATGCCGGCTTTGATCCAGGAATGGAAGCAGGTGAGTTCAATGGAGGTTACGGATTGTTGGCATTGGTATACTAACAAGCGCGCAGAAGGGACATGGTCGTGGATGGAAGAAATACCCCTCAGGCAAGAAGGGAAAATTGGGTATCTAGGTTGTGTTGCAGACCTGGTAGGCAGTGTATATTCTACGTGTAAGAGGAGGATAGACTCGGCATTCAAATGGAGTTGTGACATTAGCGCTTTGCTCTGTACAATAGGAGACGGATCACTTCAGATATCACGGATGCCAGTTCCGGTGCTTGCAAATATGCAACTGATTGTTTCTCTAAAAGGGGGGATGTGATCTCGCTGAAGCTGGGGTATTTGAGTGATGGTATGCAAGTAACTCCCTCCTGGTATCCCGAAAGCAATCATGACCTACTAATGCTATAGAATAATCCTCGCTCGTCTTCCAAAAACTCTCTTTATGATGAATTTCATGCCTCCACAAAGGTTCATGCCGGCACTACTACAGCCACAGATATCTCTCGCCCACCGCCCAACCTCTTTCTCTGTCATTACATGACCATCTCATCATCGCCGTAGGATCTGTGAACGTCGAAGTCTCTCGCGTGAGCGAAAGCACCGTACTGGTTCTCCATGTCGAGGATGCTGCCGACGTTCTTCTCCCAAAGGCCAGTCTGGCCGGTATGGATGTACACTGGATCAGTTGCTTGGTTGTATCTCGTGGATTCGCCAAGCTGATTGTTAACAGACTTAGCTGACGCTTCGTACTCCCTTCGCGCAAGCATATCGTATCCTGAGACAATGTACGGCTCGGCGGCGTTGTCGGGAGTTCCTACAGGTATATCGCGAGCTGTCTGCATTGCGATAGTGTCTGTGCCCTGATCCATACTCTGGTCCAGTTGCTGCTGATGGTTCTGTATCTCATCTTGCTGCGCCCGCTCCTCTAGCATCTTCTCGTATCGTAGCTTTGCCATGGACTCTTCTTGCGCCAGGCTTGTGGGGGGCCAGTCGTACAGCTGCCTTGCCGTACTACCTTGTGGGGGGGAAATACGCCAAAGCTCGAGTAGGCGGAGCCTCTGGTCATTGTCGGCATTCTGGAACAGGTCAAGTTGTGAGGGGAAGAGCAGAGAGGGATCAATGCTGTTTCGAAGGAGGACTGCCTGTAGCTCGGATGGTCCAACTTGGGATTTCACAGGCTCTTGGTCTACCTGACAGGCAGGCGCGACATGATAGCTATGTGTGTAATGCTGAGAAGCGTAGACAATTGGCTGTGATGGTTGTTCCTGCTGCTGCGCAGGCTGTTCTTGTGGCGGAGCTTGAGAATGCTGGGAGGCTTGAGGCACATTTTGAGAGAGGCGCATATGAGCTGAGAACAGCTGCGCTAGTTCGTCTTGTTGCATGTTTGGATCTTCTTGCTTTCCGCGAGTGTCGATGTTGATGCCCGTTGATATGGCGCCACACTATGACGTAAGTGATCAGTACTCATACGCTGCAATGGAGTATGGGCTTACGTGTGAGCAAGAGTTGTTTTGAGAGAAGACGGAAGCCGAAAAAGGTACAGTGGTAGCAGTAGAGCAAAGATCACAGAGATGGACCAAGATAGGCTGCATCAGTGTTTGTCGGGGGATCAACAGGATTTCCGAGCACGCCGGAACGGAGCATGTGCAATAGTCAGCTGTACATTAGTCGGCAAATTGAATCTAGCAGATGTGTGTGCAGTGGAGCAGTCGGACCAGCTTTTAGTGCGTAGCCTTTGAGTCCGTGATTTACTGACGACGGTGTGAAGCGAGTCCCGCCGCGACGCGTTGGGCGCTGGCGCCTAAAAGGTCTCTCTATGCGGATGCTGGTAACTTCACCAGCGTGGAAGGCAGCGACGAGAAAAGAAGACAAAGCCGCGAGGACGATGAGCGTCGGGCGAAGTGGCGGGGTCTTATGTATCGCGCGTGATAGTCCAGGTCATGCGTTCTCCGATGGGGTCGAGGAGAGGAAAAAAGCGGGATGCGGTGGCTGCCCGACCAGTCATTCAAGACCTGAAACATATATCGTTCCGCTAGGGCGGGAGGAGCCAATGAACCCTTGCAGACTTTCGCAGATTCTGTTCGACAACTCATCAACCTGTATTTGGCGGATGGGCCTCGAGCGACGGCGGCCCACGATTGGAGCGTGCAGCTGCAGCTCGCAGCGATAGCGGGCCGGTGATTGTCAACGGGAACTGCGCATCGCTGTGCACAAAAGCACAATTGGGTGGCGGGAAGGTAGTGAAAATGGATGGACACTGGGAGATGCATAGCAGGACGTGCGCCTACACACACCTTCCAAGCTCCCGGGCTCGAGACCCTGGTTGGGTTCCTGCCCCCACTCGCACCCCACAGATCCTCACATGACCATCCGCGATTGACGATGACATGCATTGTGCCGTACCCTCGCTAGGTTCTACCTTACGATGCCTTGTAAACAGTACTGTCTAATGCTATGTCTTCACTGTTCTAGCCAACAATTCGACCAGCTTTCCGAGCGACGAGTCTCCCATACGCGCACTTACAAGATGCTCATTGTTGGTAAAATCTTCTGCGCTGACGAGAGATCAAAAGAAGAGCGAGCCATGTTGCACCTCCCTACCTCCTGAGCGCTGCTGTGTTGGTCCTGATGGCTTGGCGAGGCTGGAATCGCTTCGGAGCGCCCCCGGATCGCCCACCTGCGTCTGCCGTGGAACGCCTGACATCCAACCCGTAGCGAGCATCTTATAAGCGATCGTTACGCGAATGCATGTTGCTGGAGAGCGACCATTCTCCACTTGTAGAAGTTGTAATCTTAACGTACACGCCGGTCGTGCCCGAGGGAACCTTGGAAGCCGCCGTTGCGGCGCTACGTCATGGATTCTTGTAGGAGTGAATCACCCGCTAACCTCGTGCTTCCTTCGCGCATCCTCGTACACGGTTCAGGACGAGACAATTGACTCCTCAACCTGTTCATACTCACGCCACAAGTATTCCATCGAGGATCTCTGCCGTACAATAAGTGGCGGAGACCTGGTCCCCCGCATTTCGTTGTATTGAGCTCGCTCGTGGGAAGTCACCCACCTTGTGCAGTACTCTGACTATTCGCTATCAAGTTTGTCGCACTCTCTCGCGACAATACTGAGAACTTGCCTCGCCATGACGAGCACCACGTATGCCGTATTGGCAGTCTTGCCAGTGGTAGCCTACCTCGTCTACACACAGTTGTACAACTGGCGGTTCAAGAAGTTCAAAGACTTTCCTCAATTACCGAATACACTTCTAATCGGGCATCTTCCCTATATTGCCAGTGGCTTTAAGAAATTTGGCGATGCTCGGCGCCATATCGGTACGAAAGTCTTGCTGTCGAAGTATTGTTTATTGTTATAACAGTGCGTCACAGACTACATCTTCGAGTCCATGGTGGAAGATGCAGGACGGCCCAACATCCTGTTAGTCGACGTGCGACCGTTCAATCACCCGCTCGCTATTGTCAGCTCTCACGTTGTTGCTGAACAGATTTCCAAGGTTTCCAAAGGCTTCCCTATCAGCGTCAACAAGTCGCCTACCATTTTTGACTTTACGCGTTTGATCGGCCATGAATCGGTCCTATCCAAAGAAGTAAGTGTACATATCCGAATAGATCGGGTTACGCTACTCTGTAATCTGACTCAAGACTGCAGGGTGATGCTTGGAAGACCCTCCGAAAGAGATTCAATCCTGGATTCGCCCCTCAACATCTGACCACACTCTTACCGGCCATTGTCGACAAGACAACAGTCTTCATGAAGAGACTAGATTCGTTCGCTAAAACTGGACACGAATTCGCACTAGAGCCTCTTTGCACCAATGTTACCTTCGACATCATCGGCGCTGTTATCATGAACCTTAACTTCGACGCACAAGATTTGCAAACCGGAGGCCATCCCGTTGTGCTACATACTCGTAAACTTCTGCACACATTTGCGAATTCAGGCAAACCCGGCTTCATACCCTGGTGGACGAACGTTCCCTTGGTAATATCACGGATTTACCACAGCAACCAAGCTGACGCTGCTATTAAAAATTGCATTGAGGCCAAATTTAAAGAGATTAAGGCTTCTGAGAATGTGGGAGATGAACAGAACCAAGACCGTTCTGTACTGGCGCTTGCTTTGAAGGACGTTGACCGCTTGTCAAGCGATGTCGTACAAACTACAGCGGATCAAATCAAGACCTTCTTGTTCGCAGGCCACGATACTACGTCGATTTTACTCCAGTGGATTTACTATGCACTGTCCACTCACCCGAAATGTCTCGAAACCATTCGCGCCGAGCACGACGCAGTCTTCGGGAACAAGGATCCTCGCGAGGTCTATCTAGCCAAACCCGACGAGACTACTAAAGCCCTCGTATACACCTCGGCGTGCATCAAAGAAGCGCTTCGCCTCTGGCCCCCTGCTGCCAGTGCTCGCATGGCTCCGGCGGGCAGTGGCTTCAAAGTACGTCTTGACGATGGACGAGAGATATGCACCGATGGAACGATTCTTTACGTCAACCACTTCATCATCCAACGCGATCCAAGGGTATATGGCGAAACAGCCAATGACTTCATTCCAGAGCGCTGGCTGGGTGATAGTGACACAACATCGGGTCGGAAAGACGATATTTGGGATTCGAGGCAATCTGGAGACAACAAGATCCCCATTAGCGCATGGCGACCCTTCGAACGAGGACCACGCAATTGCATTGGACAAGAGCTGGCGAATCTGGAAGCGAGAGTGATCTTAGCTTGCACCGTCCGGAGATACGACTTTACGAAAGTCGGTGCTGGAGAGGTGGAAATCAATGAAGAAGGACATCCTTCTTTGGACGACAGAGGTAGATATAAGCTCAAATCAGAGCTGTTCAGTGTACGTTGATATGCATGTATAAGCGCCATCGTGCTAAACTGATGCTGCTTTAGGCTCCAGTGATCACTGCCAAACCGTTTGACAGATGTATGATGAGGGTCAAGCTCCACGATCCGATGGTCTAAGGCACAAAATATATTCAGGGCAATGAGAGGCACCACAGGTGTCTTTCAGCCAGACTCAGGGAGAGCAAAAATTTATCTACCAAGCGGGCTATTGACGATTAGTGCGCATTGCATTTCCAACAACACATAAGTAACGTACGCTTTCAACTCTGTATGATTCAGCAACCAGTCTGCAGTGCATTGGATCCCACGAGATCAATCTCTCGAGCTCTGGGTTCTGTCTCTCTATCGCTGTCAAGCGCGCCACGAGCTCATCTCTTGCGCGCCCCTAGGTCCTCTCTTCATAGCTTGTGTAAGCATCTCAATTAGTTCGTCTTCATCATAGTCGTCTCAGATTGGCTCAAAGTCTCGTCGTCTTCCTCTACAACGTCAAGCGTCCATGATTGTGTTTTTGATTCTCTCTTCATAGGGTCTTCGGAACCGAGATCGAGGTATCTCGCAAGGTGGAGACAGCTTTGAGGTGAGTGTAGGCTTGCGCATCGCTTCCAAATCTACCCCCTCACCCCGCGGTCATGTCTCTGGGAATCGTAACGGTGTCCAGCCGGGTACAGTGTCTGTGCGCTTCTCCTTGCCTATGCCGCTGATTCTGGGGAGATGATTTAATAACGGATGCTGGGTACGTTTCCATCCCACCATCCCGCACTACAAGCATGTTCTACGTGCCAGTGATAACCTAAACGCGTCCTCATACCTAGTCAAGCATGCTTCCTCGAGTCACAATGTTGAAGTTCCGGTTTGCATTTTGAAGGCTCTCGTGGAATTACCCATGGCAAATCTGGCCTTTCCTACATCTGTTCCAGATCTTAGATATACTACGAATGAGCGAGGTCGAGCATCTCATCTCGAAGAGTATTGTATAGTCACGTGATCGGTACGTTACCATGGTTCCGGCCCCGTGCCCTTGTCGGGAACCGGTGTTTGACAGCCCGATCTATGATGAGAAATCAATTGGCGATTTGCGAACGGGGTCAATGCCCTTCGGACGAACAAACGGGAATTAATCAAACAAAACGTAGCATTGCCCTAACAATTCTGTCCTTCAAGTCTCGTATCTCAAAGAGTAGCATGCCAATTGGGACGATTGTTGCCTAAGTTGGGTGCACAGACAGCACGCAACACCGTCCCACGATGACCTCTCGGTACCGCTACCAGCATCCCGACCGTACAGCCGATACGTCCCAAAACCCAACGAATGTCGACGAAGCGTCGCAATGTTGGGTCACTCGGATGAGCGCTTACTTGAACGTGCCTGGTCGCGGCAATGAGATGAACAGCGTCTATCCTCGCGTTTCGGAAACCTCGCAAGCGCGTCGCGATGCCTCCTTGACTGAACCCTCATTCGACGCAAAAGCGCTTTCACCATCGGATTTTGAGACTGCCAGAGAGAAAGGAAAGACAGTGTTGTACCTAGCATATGGCTCAAATCTGTGCAAAGAGACGTTCAGAGGAAAGCGGGGCATCAAACCGCTTTCGCAGATCAATGTCCTTGTACCTTCATTACGCTTGACCTTCGACCTACCGGGCATTCCCTACATCGAACCATGTTTTGGCAACTCTGCGATGCGAGACTCCGATGCGATGGACAAAGCAGATTACCACAAGGATCGCTGGCAGAAAGGTCTTGTGGGTTGCGTGTATGAGGTCACACCGAGCGACTATGCGCACATCATCGCAACCGAAGGCGGCGGAGCAGGGTATCAAGATATTTTGGTGGATTGCTACCCGTTGACTAGTGGCGACACCGTGCCTGAGAAGCCTACTACGCAACGTTTCGTTGCCCATACATTGTTCGCGCCCGCTGCGAATGCTCGTCCTGATCCCTCGTATGCTCAACCCTCCGCACGCTACCTCAACCTCATCACCACTGGTGCCGCCGAACTCTGCTTGCCACACGAGTACCAGCACTATTTGCACGAGATCCGAACGTATACTATTACCAGCAAACGACAAAAGATGGGTAAAGTGCTGTTCGCTTCGATATGGTGGCCGTTTCTGCAGTTACTGTTTGCCCTGAATGCACAATTCCAAGATGACAAAGGGAGAAGTCCGCCTTGGTTGGCACAGTTGGCAGGATTGCTATTTTTGGGCATGTGGCGTAGTTACGATGGAGCTTTCAAGAAAGCTTTCGGAAATGGCGAGAGGACAGAAGGGGATGAGATGTCGAAGGAAAGAGAAGGCAAAATCAATGAGGAAGAATGGCGGAGGATAGGGGAAGAGAATGGGTGGCTCCGCCGTGAAAGAAAGATCGAAGACATGGCATAGATGTTGCAACGCTAAGCTAATACTACAAGTGGACAAATCCACCCACCTCATACCAATAATTTTCGGAGAAGGGACAGAGAGATATGAGTGACCCAATGCGCCATGTTCGTTGCATCTTTCGATTTGCCTATGTCTCGGTTGACAATAAGACACACAGTTAGACTCCTGTAGGGAGCGCCAATTGAATTTGCCCGCTTACCTATCAATGCAAACACTGCATTGCATGTTTGAGCCATGCACTTGAACTCAGGACGTCCTCAAGATATACTGGCAAGACGACCCGGATCGTTTACTGGGATAAAGTAGTACTGCATCAGGCTGATGCCTTAAGCGAAACGTTGACTGCAGGCATCAGCTCTAGCGCGATACAATCGCCACGACCTTTTTAGGCAACACCATCACAACTATTCTTCTCGTGGCGTTAGTGCTGATCTGAAACGGGTATTTCAGGTCATTGAACACCCACCAGATCCGCTGTGCAATAACTCAACGACTTCTGCCTTTACCTTTCCCTAATCAACTTCCGATGGTCTAGTGCTGAAGTGCTTGACATGCCTGGGATTATCATCGTTACGGCGCAAGACGCTGATGCCGCCCTTATCAATCGTCTCCTACTCTACGTCCGAGACTGGGAGTTCTCGGGTGGTGACATCGACGATGCCGACAGATTCACAGTTCTATCCACTCAACAGGAGCTGCTGAAAGTCCGAGAAGATGGTAATGAAGGCATCACTCGACCACCGATCCAGGAGTTCTCCGAGAATGAATGGGAAGGTCTCACCGTAGAGGAAGTCGAGAAGATTATGATCGATAACGATACCGAAAAGAACGGCTGTACGTCGCTATTCCTCCTGCTCGATGACGAGGGCGCGGAAAAGAAAACCATTCTGGTTGTGAACCGCGCAGGCAACGACCCTGAAGACGACGCCAAATTCGACTATGTTGACGAGTTCCATAAGGTCCGCGTTCCGTGGGAGTGCGTTTACAGTATGTGGTGCAACCTGGATATTGCGAATATGGGATTCGACGAGTTCTGTAAGGAAGAAGATTTGCTGGACTCAACGAAAAAAGGCGACCCGCGCCGATGGTGGACCTACAACAATTTCATGGGTGAAGAGCATTATAAACCTTTCAAGGGGAAGGCGGAGGAAGCTATCAAAGAGCTCGGGAAGTTAGATCTTGCTTGAAGTGCGACTTCACATCGGGGTGACCAAGTTGAAACAAAGTTGTCTATCTTGTTGTGTCTTTCCACCATACGTTTACCTCGTTCATCCGTGGAGGGCGGCATCCTCATTTCCCGTACGGACATCGCAATCTCTTCTTTCAGTCCAAGTCGTAAACAGCGATCTGCTTCGCCAACCCCTCCGGAGTAATCTCATCTCCATTCCAAGTCATTTTTTCTTTCTCTACAAATCCCTCCTTCAAATACACCCTCATACCCATCGGCGGTCCCACAACACCCTGACCCACCTTGTTCATGCGACTATACTCCAAACCCCACCTCACCAACTTAGTTCCATGCTTCCGTCCCCAATATGCAGGATGAGTTACCAGCATGTCCAGCTCCACTAGCCTACTGAATCCACACCTCTCACGCGCTGCCTTTTCTATTCCCAACATCGCATCACAGTGGCCCTGATCTCGATCCCTCATCCGCGTCTCCGGTTTCGGCGGCAGCTGAGCGCCCTCCAGGACCTTTCCTCCAGCTTCCCGCCACTCTCGTCCGCGCTCAATCCCAACTTTCCAAATCCCGATTGCAACAGGTACTTGATCTCCCTCCTTGACATCTTCTCCAAGACACGTAGTCACGCCCGCAGGGAAATGTGCCTCCGTTTTCGAGCGCTCGGAAGGGTCGAAGGCATCGGTCGCTACCAAGGTGATATACTGCGGATCTTCGAGGTAGTTTATTGACCACGCGGTGTATTGTGCTAACATATCTTCTGGAAACCGAGGATAGTACGGACGATACCATTTTGTGTTTGGGGAGTAGTGGAAGGATGCGACAAAGAGGAGACCGAGACGAGGGATGTCGGAGGAAAGGGCTGGTCGGATGTTCGGTGGGAGAGGGGGGTGTTGAGTCGGAGACATGATGGTGTGAGGGTTAAGTGATGGTGTGAACCGAATGGTCGGATACTTTACTCTTAAGTTTTACTCTGGACTTATCTTTTTAGGGTCATGTCAAGCACAGACTGATTATGGATATACGGTCAATTCACTTATACTGGGCATTGTGCCGAATCCGAAGGAACGCTTAGCTACTGGGGCGATCAAAGTGAGCATGAATATCCCGACGTTGATTATGGCTAATCCTGGTAGCGTAGATTGAACACTCCGAGCTTGAGATCCGTGTCTGACGTCATACTATGTTTTGTTTCCGATACCCTACGCTAGGGTAGTAGACTGGTCTACCATAGGGCTGGATAGCTTACAGCTGTTGCAATGAAATCCGAAAACCATGCCAAAAGCATGCGCAAATGCGCCATCTGGGCACGAAGCTATCGTCTCGATACAAATATCTACCCATTTACCATAAGCTCGTGACATCATCGTCCATGCGTCGTTCCGAATCTCCCAGTCCGAATAATACTTCATTGAGGCGCTTGACTCCGTGAATACATCATCAGCGCATGCGATGCGACGCTCCAAGCTCGCGAAATTCTGATTCATATCAACCTTATACCGCGCAATGTTTTTGGTTCCTCCATTTCCCTTGTGATTCCGTGTCTTCTTCGATCGTTCTCAAAACATGCCCACCATCCACTTCACAGAGTACCACACGATAGACATGGCCAGCAGTATCGCAACGACCATGGCGAACATCACTCGTCCTCGCATCTCAAACGCATCACGTATCTCCAATTTAGCTATCTTCCTGATCTTCTTATGAAGATGCCATGATGACCGTTTCCTCTTCTCCGTACCCGATCGTTGAGCTGGGTTAAGTGCATCAGGCGGCTTGACGTGGGTCGTTGAGCCTCGCCGGTCCCACCTCGAGTCGGACGGGTCTTGATACGGCTCGGGATTGAGAAAACTGAAGAGGGAGGAGTTCTTTGTGCGCGAGACGGCGTTCTGGGTGTCTACAAGGAAGAGAGATATGAGGAAGGATGTGAATAGGAAGGGAGTTACGATGATCTGGGGTCGGTCAGTGCATGTCCTATCGATCTTGCGGAACCCGTGGAATACGATTAGCCTTCAGACCGGGGTAGGGTTTGGTGAAGAAAACGCATTGCCGCAGCACTGGACGGAGATAGCGGGGCTGGGAACGTACCCGTTTGTACAGAGGATCCTCCGGTATGTCCGCTTCGTTCGGCGGAGATGATGGTGGTGATCCAGTGACTGCGTGATATACGGGCTGTCCGAGCTGAAGGAACGGATCATCCGAGCCCTTCTTCTTGTGCCTTCTTCTAGTGGTGGGAGGAGAGGGCGGAGGACTGGGTGGGAAGTGGTCCGAATTGTGTCGTTGCTGATGCGCCGCGTTCTCCATCACTCGTCAATGGTTCAGAGCACCTCAACTAGCTATAGCAAAAGTTCATATACTTGATGTGGAAGATGTTGCGTGTAAGATCGGGTTAAATGGGAATGTCGCGTGCAGCTCGTATTGCGAAGCGTATAAGATCCGACTTGCTTTGTCTGGCGGGTCCACGCGCGTCATTCCGTGGATCCCGCGCTCGCACGTACCTGTGAGCTACAGGTAGGGCTGGCTCTGGCGCCGACACGTCGCACGAGCTTCGCATTTCGAACTTCTGGACTGGCGATGTCATAAAGCTAATAAAACGCTCGAATCTCGATCCTCCGTATCGGTACGCCCTCTGTCCTCCCGAGCATGGGGTTGTGACCAAGATCGGCCGGTGCTTAGCTGCGAAGAATCGGGACAACTTGGCTCCTACCGTCGGTGGCTCGGGATGCTCACGGATGCACGCCGCGGGGCGAACAGAGCCTGCACAGCGAGGGATACGAGCATGCTGATTCACATGGTGCGCAGACCGATGCTTCGCGGCGGCCCCGAGACGCCAGAAACTGGAGGTGGTGATGAGTAGGGCGGGCTTGAATGGTATCGGCTATACTTGGCGAGTTCACGATCCCTGGGAACATCAAATAGTAGCGCAACCTCTACCGAATCGGAACCCCCCGTGCGTGCACAGCCCTTGATCCAGGACGGCCAACGCGTCCATTGCTGCTGCCTGAGGGACTGTATATGACTGCTGACATGCCCAAGCTAAGCGACCAACTCTTCTTTTGCTTTCTGAGACCCATTACAAAGAACCCTTGGCTTAGTCAGACGCCCGGGACGAAAAGCGGCGGAAGGAACAATCCCCAACGTACCTTCCGTGTTTTGCGCGCACCTAGCACATCTCTGCCGACTTGCTGCCCTCCCGTGATCCGATCGTACGAGCCCGTCTTGTGGGAGCGAGCTTGCCGTCTTTTGTATTCTATCTGAGCGTGAAAGCTGAGCGGAACCTCGCGGACGAACACTGAAGAGCAGGGGCGGGGGCCGGGCCAACCTTCGTCAAGAGGAACCACAACAATCAAGATGCCAAAGGAAGAGAGCTTGCCTATGCGGAAAAAGATGAGGAAGGGCACTCATAGCTGCTTCGAATGTAGGTTTGCCCATCCAACAACTTGATCCCAAGTAGCTGTTGTTTCTTCCGCGTCGTCTTCCTTCTACCATCTCCTGTTCAGATGATCCCGCTCCACTTTCGCCTCATGCTTATTTCCTGTCCCACTTCTCTCTCATAGCTGCCACCTTGGTCTCGTATTACCTTACCTAACATTGAGTCAGGCCGCCGGCGGAAAATCAGATGCATTTTTCCAGCAGACAACCCAGACGTCTGTTCAGAATGCTTTGCACGTGGCAGTCGCTGTATCGACCAGGAGAATGCCGACCCAGAGGTGGTGGTTGACCACAGGAAGAACCTCCGCGAGCGAGTGTCGCGACTGGAGGCCCTCGTTGACTCCCTCCTCGAAGAGAAGACAGAGAGGAGCACATCCGACTCTGTCTCCGTGTCACGCTCAGTTTCTATGTCGAAGACTCCCAACGTTGTCACCAAAGACACCTTCCCACCCACTCCTCTTTCTTCAGAGGCTGCTTCGTCTATCAGTGTCCTCAAGGACGCACAAAGGGCACCGTCCGATAGAGGGCATCATGTGCCTATCCTGTCTATCTTCGAAGATGCCCTCAATGATGCCGAAGAACGCATCAAAGCCCGTATGGAACCCCTCCGCAAGGATTCCAACCCCAACTCAGCTTCATCCGGACGCTACACGCTGAGCTATACCAATCCAGACGACGTCATGGAGAACGACAACTCTTTTGGACAGCAGGCTAAGAAAGAACGCACCAAGCAGGCGCTTCTCGCTATGCTGCCATCTTATGAAAAGCTGAACAAGATTCTTACTTCCAATAGCGAATGGTGGCAGACGTGGCGACGGAAGTGTAGTGGCACATCTGCTAGTGATGAGACGCTACCTCAATTCGCTTCCAAGGCGCTGGCATCGGGCAATATTGGTGCAATGGGGACTGTTGTTCTAGCTGTCGGTATCTGTTCGGATGACGAGAGAGAAGTTGAACGATACATTGAGATGGTCGATCGATGGGTATTAGGGGATGACGAATTCGCTGCTACCCTTGAAGGCATGGAGTGCTTGATCCTGAAGGCGAAGTGGTATGCAGATGTTGGTCAACCGCGCCGCGCTTGGCTCGCATACCGAAAAGGCCTCATGTACACGCAACTCATGGTACGTGTGATGATCTCAGCCGACCCCTATGCGGTACATGTAGACGGAGCTGACATGGTCCAGGGCCTTCACCGCAAACGCACTTCCTCGTCCGCACACGAATCCATCTGGTGGGCACTCTATCACGGCGACCGCTTCCTTTCGTTACTCCTCGGTCTCCCCTACGGCATTTCAGATTCGCACTGTGATCTAACGCTACCCGACATTCCCAACGGCCCCTATATGGCGCCACTAACGTTCATGAACAAGATGTCCATTCTCTCGGGCAAGGTCATCGATCGCAACCAAGGCATCGCTGAGCAATCCTTTGCCTGGGCGCTTCAGCTCGACCAAGAGCTCGAAGATTTGTACAAGAAACTGGATCCAGAATGGCTCGAATACTCCGAGCTACTTGCCGATATCGAAAGCAATGCCGCGGAATTACGTGAGCGAATCATGGCTCAAATGGTCTATCACCAAATTCGAGTGTATCTACATCTTCCCTTCATGCTTAAGTCGGCAGTGAACAGCCGTTTTACCTACAGCCGCACCGCCTGCGTCAACGGCTCGCGCGAAGTCCTGAAGTTGTACCAAGCGTTGCGAACAGGAGAGGTACAACCACTCTACGAGTGCAAAGCCGTCGACTTCATCGGCTTTACCTCCGCGGTACTGATCGTCCTCGGCCTCTTCAACTACGGCGCAACCAACACACCCATCTCTCCCGCCGCCCGCGAAGCTGATGTCCGCCTCATCGAAATGTCCATCGACATTTTCCGGCGAGCCTCTTCTGAAAAGGGCGGAAAGGTTGCCCTGCAATCCGCTCAGGTCCTCGAAAAGATGCTGAAAAAGCTCAAAACCGAAATCGGTCAGCCTGTTAGCAACAGCAACCCGAACGATCTCGACGACTGCAGTGCAATGTCAGAATTTGTGATCCCCTACTTTGGCACTCTGCACATCCGCCGCGGTGGACACCCCGTGTCCCCTTGCGCCTTGGAAAAACACGATAAACAATGGAGGATGGATGCACGGACTATGAGTCCCTTGGACACAACTGGGAAAAAGACGAATGCACAGTTCACGCCTCGCTCAGATTTGGCGAGCAGCGCAAGCGATTTCTTTAGCCAAAGTACGACGAGTAACCCTGGTCTTACGACGCCGTCCACGACGAATACCTCCACAGCTTCTCCGAACCAGGCATCTGGCTTTACCGAACCTTTCATCTCCTACGACGGTTTCTACAACTGGGGTAATGCGTTGGACACGCAGTCCCAAGCCGGCACAGCAACGGGCACACAGATCAACGACGATTCGCTGAACAACTTCCCGCTGCCGACGAACAACTTCTCCTGGCAGAACATGCCCATGGACATTGACCAGGACTGGAGCTGGTTTTTGAACGATGGGGGAAATGGAAGCAGTACGAACACGAACACGGCTGCGAATCCGGATCTGTTTGCACAGCAGGGTTTTGTGGGGTTCGGGTAGAGAACGCAAAGAGGGTATAAATGACGTTCCTGTATGATATTTAGACAAGACGCTCGCTAGCGTTGGGTTTCCTTTTGTTTGATATCCGGGTGTTCAGATGTACTATCCCATCTCCGCTTTTGCGCGAAGGAAACGAAAGTTTGACGCAGTATCAAATCAACTCGTCAAATCCCGGGTGTGAACGGAGAAGTGAGGTGGCCGAGTATTCAGGTGTAGGGTCTAACAGTCGATCTTCCCCGAAGCTCAATGGTAGGCATGCATTGCAAAAGCGCCTGCCTGATGATAATGCTAGATATACACTTCCTTAATCGAACATGCCTTATGTTACATCCAGCTGCTGATACGGCTCTTATACACCAATCTACCTGGCCTTCTCCTTGTTCTCAGCAGCCCTCCTCTTCGCCCGCACCTCAGCCTTCCTCCTCTCACCACCATCCACCTTGTGCCCTCTCTTCACCTCCCAGATGCCTTCTTGTAACCGTATCCTTGCCTTCAGTCCAGCGCTACCCTTGAGCGGCTCGATATGGCTGCCTTTCATCGTCTTTGCACCCTTGACTACCACACCCTGCACACTTCCCAAAGTCTCCAACGGTTCCGTCGGGGCCTCAGCACCCGCCGGTACATTGACTACCACTTTCCGGGTTCCAGGGTCGTGTGTCGCCGTCGACATGGCAGATCGTGCATGCATGCCAGGAATGGGGTGCGCACCAACAGGTGCCTCCATGAGCTTCAGCTCCGCCACGCCATCGGTGACGTGCTTGCAGTCTCCACCGATGCCGTACTCGCCATTGCGGAACTTCTCGCGCCAGTGGAGCAGGTATTTCCGTGATCGTGCGGGCTCAACGCCAAGTTCCTTCAGCTGGTGCGATGAGAGAGTGAAGAGAGCTTCCCATGAGGGAATCTTGGCGGCGTGTGCGGAGAGGCCGCGACCGATGGCTGTGAGGAAACTGGCATGGTCGGGGATGAAGGGTGTCGGTTTGGGAGCGGGTCGGATGGGGATTGAATGCTGGAGGTTGCGGACGGAAATCTTGGGTGCGGACGCGGCGGTCGCTGTCGCGTTGAGAAGGGGTCGTCGGAGGATCATGCTGGTGACGGCTGATGGACAGTCTGTATGGAAATCTTCTGCAATGCGCAGGAAGCCAATCGTCCTGTGTAAAGAGCGGTATGTCGGATTCGCCGACGTGACGATCGAATTGGAGCTTTCGACGTCCGCTCATCCCGTCTCAAAGTCGGCGACAACTTTTCGGAGGTGCCAAGCATTGCAACCGTGCGCGACGACATCACAGCCCGCCCCTCCAACCCGCATTCGAGCTCCACAACGCTGTCCTCATCCTCACACTTGCGCATTGCAATAGTAGAGAGTCTCCTATTGCCTCCGAACTGCCACAATGGCCCCTCCAGAAGTTCACCACCTCTTCCACCACCCTGTCGCGGACCACTCTTTCTCCGCCGACCGCCAGACACTCGCTGTAGCTCGTGAGAACGTCGTCGACCTGTACCAGCGCTCCGGCAACAAGTACACGCTTCAGGATGAACTTACTGGTCATGACAAGACTGTCACTGGAGTCGACATTGCGCCCAACAGCGGCAAGATTGTGACTTGCTCTCAAGGTACGGTCCATTGCTCGCATCGAGCTACGCCAGCCAGCTAAACCACGTTTCCAGACCGCAACGCATACGTTTGGGAGCCTACTCCCGAAGGCTGGAAGCCCACCCTCGTTCTCCTCCGTATCAACCGCGCTGCTACCTGCGTTCGCTGGGCCCCCTCCGAAACCAAGTTCGCGGTCGGTTCCGGCGCCCGCCTCATCCCCGTGTGCTACTTCGAAGAGGAAGATAATTGGTGGGTGTCCAAGCACATCAAAAAGCCCATTCGCTCGACTATCACTGCCGTCTCATGGCACCCGAACTCCGTCCTACTCGCAGCCGGCTCTACCGATGGCCACGCCCGCGTTTTGTCCGCCTTCGTCAAGGGTGTTGATGCGCGACCTGAGCCTTCTGCGTGGGGAGAGCGCTTGCCGTTTAACACCGTGTGCGGCGAGTTTCTAAACAACACGGCCGGCTGGATCCACAGTGTTGCGTTCTCGCCTTCTGGAAATGCTCTCGCATTTGCGGCACACGACAGCACGCTCACGGTCGTGTACCCCTCTGCACCTGAGGAACCGCCTCGTGCGGTTGTCAGCATCAGCACGCAAGTTCTGCCTTTTATGTCGCTTGTTTGGTCCACCGAATCTGAGATCATTGCTGCGGGCTACAACTGTGAGGCCTACCGTTTGCAGGGCGATGAGAACGGCTGGCAGCTCGCTGGCAGCTTGGAGAGCAAGGGACGCCCGGGTGTGCAGGATTCAAGGGAGGAGTCTGCGCTGAACATGTTCAAGCAGATGGATCTTAAGGGCAGCACCAAGGATGATACCAAGCTGAAGACGGTGCATCAAAACACTATCTCTACGATTCGCAGCTTTGAGGAGAGCGGCGGTCAGGTCACGAAGGTTAGCTCGAGTGGTGTGGATGGTAGGGTTGTCATCTGGACGTTGTAGGATGTCAGATCGTAGAGGAGTCTGTGAGCAATGTCGATACTGCATTGGCATGATAAATCCAACACATCACCATGTCGCAAGTTTTTGCGTTCCAATCATGCCATGTGTACACTTACTACCGCTAACTTTGACCCAGCTACAGCTTCCTTTCCCCTACACCCTTGCACCAATTCCTCAAAGCGTGTACATGAAATCCGGCCTCTTATCACCCAAATCATGCAACTGATCCTCGCTCTTCCCTTCGACCAACCCATCACGCTCACCCCTCGCCCTCTTCTTATTTTCCCTCGCCAGCAAAAACCTCGTGACCACACTCCCGCAAAACAGCCACAGCACAAGATACGCCAGCACAACACCGTGGCCTACGAAAAACCTCGGGCTATCTCTCGTCCGATAGATATTCGACGACACCACACCGTTGAGGTTACCCCAGCCGATGATAAAGCCGAGCGAAACACCGCGCTTGTACACGCCCTCGACGTTGTTGCTCGCCCAGGAGATGGTGTTCGCGATACACGGGTAGATTCCCATGGCACCAAGAAAAGTGCCTGCGTAGTTTACCGACGGGCTGGAGGACCCGAGTAGCATGCAGAATCCCACAATGCCGATCAGCGAGACCAAGATATTGCAGAGACCGCGTTGACGGGTACGGTCCGCGATGTATCCAACCGCAATGGTGACGATCGCACCTGCCGCGTATGGCGGGACGGAAAGCAGATTCGAGACAGTAGAGGAATACTGCGGGTAGAGCTGGCGGATGATAGTAGGAAGGAAGAGGGAGAAGGCGTACAGTGCGCCGTCGGCGCCCATGTAGATGACGGCGTAGCACCAAGTTTTGTAGTCGCCGACGGAGGCCCAGAAGTACTTCATCTTAAAGGATTCATGGGAGGCGGAGGCTTGCTGGTCGGAGCGCAGGCGGCGCAGGACGCGGTTGCGGTCGTCGTCGGACAAGAATTTCGCCTCGTCAGGAAAGTCGTGGACCATCCAGTAGGAGGCGACGCCGACGAAGATTGTGGCGAGACCTTCGAGGATCTGGGGGGTATGGTTAGACAAGAGTAACGAGAAGACCGTGTGTGGGGAAGGGAGGATTTACAAAAATCCATGCCCAGCCTGGCTTTCCTCCTACGCCACCCATCTGGGCGATGCCTGCGGCAAGCAGACCACCGAAGGAGCCCGCAAGTGCAGCCGCGGAGAAGAAGAGAGCAGCGCGGATACCAAATTCGGATCGTTTATACCAACAGGACAGATAGTAGTTGACTCCAGGAAAAAGACCCGCTTCGGCCATACCGAGGAACCAGCGCTATGGACTACGTTAGCGACGTGTCCAACGTATTGAATCTCGAAGTATACGCAGGAGGTATATCCAATGATAGGAGGGAGTAACTCACAGCTGTCATCAAGCCGGCGTAGTTATGCACTAGCCCCATGGTCGTCATACAAATCCCCCATAAAACCATGATGATGGGAAGGAATATACTTGGTCGCAACTTCTTGAGCAGGACATTGGTGAGGGGCTCGAAAACTGAGTATGAGACAAAGAAGATGGAGAGGGTGGCGTTGTATTGGCCGTTGGTCATGTGGAGGTCTTCTTGCAGGCCGTCGATTTTCGCGTTTCCTTGGGATTGTCAGTAGGTTGATACGTGGTTGTGGTACGCAACGTATTCTTCGTGGTTTCTGTGTATGTCGCTGATCGCGTAGAGCTCACTCTATTCACTCGATCTAGATCGCACTCACCAATATTTGTCCGATCCAGGAACGATATGAGATATAAGAACGAAAGCCATGGTATGAGGTTCCAGTCGAGTTTCCAGAGGAGTTTGCGGTCCTACTAGACAGTCAAATCGAGCCAATTGCCAACGAACATTGGAAACGTACAATAGTAGCCCTTTCCTCCGCGCTCAAGCCGGCGTCAGGATCAGGTATAGGATCATTTGGACTCGTCTGGACAGCGTTCAGATATTCGCGATTCTGCGCCTCGAGTTTCTCGTCGCTAATGTCGTTACTGCCGCGCTCTTTCTCTATTGCGGACGCCATCTCATGGACCCTCAAACGTTGGGTGCGAAAAGCAGTGCGTGCGTGCGAATCGAGAAGGATGGAGGTTGGAGGCAAAGTGGGCGGGCTCGACGTCAAAAGAAATACCCCAGATACGGGTACGGGGCTTCGCGCACTTGTCCAACTGTCCCCGTGGTGAACAAACCCACCATTCGCTGCCTATCACTCCGAACCCGCACCACCCATGCCATGGCAATCCCTCGCTCGTCCCCACAACGTCATCAGTCTGCCACCAAAGTCCAGTGTGGTCTTAACTCCGCGACCAAGGACCCGTAAGGAAAGGCAGCTCTTCCATTGTTGAGTCGCCTGCTTTATTCAGAATTCAAGCACTTGGTTGAGATGCCCCTTTGTGCACTACGATGCTGATGGCAGGTCGTCGGTGTCGTTGACGTTTCTGGGGCGGGGAAGGTAGGGGTGTGGAGCCAATGACTGGGGAAGTAGGCCGCGCTAAGCTTTTCGGCATCGCCATGCGGGTGCGGAGTGGCGCCCGCGGGCTGGGGTGCCCTCGGACCGAAACTCGTGGGGGTGGATACTGGAAGTGAACGTCCTTTGGTGCGAATGCGGGTTGTGATAAGGGTGGGGCTGGAACTGGTGATTTGTAAGTAAAAGTGGAACGAGCAAGTACTGTAGAGTGAAGGAGCTGAATGGACTTGAAGGTTCATGACTGTGGACATACGCCAGCGGTGTTATCAATATTAGCCCAATGTATGTATCTTGACTTGGTGCTTCAGCCTTAGCTATGGCCTATTTCAGGCGCAGTCTTTTCTAGCCTGTCTCAACAAGAAAGCGGGAGGAGAGGTATCCATCAAAGATGTGAAGAGAATCGGTGGCCAGTACGCAACATGTGCCATCAAAGGGCAGGAAAGAATGCTAGACGAGATCGGCTACACTTATATCTGCGGCCACCATCCTTATTCGTCTCAAGGTCCTGGATAAGTGGAAAACATGGTTTCATAATTGCATACTGTATTGCAATAGCTGCGACTCCTCTAATTGGTAAAACACCTTCCATGTCTACCACCCAAACTTGCCCTCTGTTTTTGCAGGCCTGTAGTATCTGTAGAGACTCTTGTAATAGTTCGAGGTATTTGATCTCAGTACGATCACGCTAAGGAAATACCGGATTGGCCTTTGCTGTTATGCGGGCTACAGCCAGGATGGAAGAAAGGCAACTTAATTATAGCTTTAAAAGAAAGAGTGAGCGGTGTTTGACAAGACGAGGCAGACGGGAATCCCTAGCATAGTGTACAGACGGTAATGATATCAATTGATGCCGAAATATTCGGCCCTAAGCCTTCCAAGGAATTAGATAGTAAAATGACGAGTGCCAAAAACTCAAAGACGATTGGCCAGTAGGCGTGGGTTTATTGAGGAAAGAGACTCAAAGGCAAAATGTAAACCCGGTTGCGCGGGAGAAGAAGTACAAGTTGAGATTCAGTTATGAGCCAGGGGAGCGCCCAGCATATGCTTAGAGGTACAGTATGCGACGTATCGGGTGTGCAATGACAGAAGGCTAGAATTGGCGTCTCATCGTTCCTAAAAGTCGAACGAATTCCTACCATCTACGACTTTGGCTGATCTGAAGTAGGCTCGGTATCTTGCGTCACCTGGCCCTGCCTGAATGCTACCCCTTGGCCTTCGCGTTCGTCCTTCGTTTTCGTGAATTCGTTTTCCAGTGTCCTCACCGGCATCTTCCCGAAAATGACTTTTCTCTTCCTGACGACAGCCAGTGCAATCGCTACAAAGAAGTTCAGCAGCGTAAACGCCAGTACGACTTTGAACTGCTTGTTGTAGCTCCTTCCAAACACTCTGCCGAGCTCTATGCGGCTTTCCTCCGGCAGCTGAGCGATGAAGGAACCTGAGGCTTTGACACCAGCGATTTGTTCTGGGTTGAGGAATACTGATAGGTCATCTTGCAGCATTGAGTTGTGCAAGGCAGAGCAGATGGCGACAGCCACGGCACTGGTCAAAGTAAGCACATGCACTGAACCTGTATGATACATAAATCCGAGCACTTACCCGCCCAGCGTTCGTAGCATATTAAGTATACCGGTCCCTATCGGCACATCTTTCTCTTCAACACTAGTGTACAGCATAACGTAATAAGGAGTGCTTGCAAGGCCAAGTCCTAGGCCAGTGATGATCTCGTACCCATATGTTGAGTCTGCGATACCAGCATCAATAGGCAAGCTACTCAGCAGTCCTGTCCCTACACTGACGATCGCCGTACCAGTCAACAAAATGTACTCCGCCGGGATCCTCTTGTTCAACAAACCGCCAAGCATGGCGCCGACAGGTGTAAGAAGTGATACGGGCAAGAGTAGAATACCTGCACGCTCTGCGCTCGCAAAATTTACCCCTTGGTATCGTTGCGGTAACTGAATGAACATGACCGTGAACGGCATGCCGAGCAGAAACATACTGAAGAGCAGCAAGGCTGGCGCAGGATTGGTGACGAATCGCGCTGGAAAAATCACGTCGAGCTTGGTCTTATAAGACGCCCAAGCCTCGTAAAGTATGAACAGGATGAGCAGCACAAACGCTGCGACAAGTGTACCGATGATGACTGGGCTGTTCCAGCTGTAGGATACGCCGGCTTCCTGAAGGGCGAAGAGAAGCGGAACAGGCCAACAAACGGAGAGTATGCCTCCAACTACGTCGAAGCCGCGGAGGCGCTCCTTGGTGGACTTAGCGTCTTTCAGACCGGGCATGCTGAAGAGCAATATGGCCATTGCGATACCAATCACTGGTCCATTGAGCCAGAATATCCATCTCCAATTTGTATGATCAGAAATGGCGCCTCCAATGAGGGGTCCGGACAGATTCGCTAGAGCAAAAACAGAGCTGATGATGCCCGAGTAGAAGGCTATCTTGTCTGGTACGATCAGCTTTATGATAGCTACGAACACGAGCGAGTAGAGTGCGGAACCACCAATGCCTTGTAGAGCCCGGAAAATGATTCTAGTACTCATTAGTAACCATTCAGGATCTTGATCAGAGTTCCGTACAGTTGGTTCATCGTTTGGGCGGCACTGCACGCCATTGAGAAGACGAGGAAAAAGCCATTGAAGGCGAGCAGGATTGTTCGCAGGCCCCAGACGTCGCTCAGCTTTGCCGTAATCATCAAGAAAGAATTATAAGCAAGCAGATACGCGGTGACTAGCCATGGTCCTTGATCTAGCGCGTAGAAGTCGCTCGATATCCGAAAAAGGGCGGTGGTTATGATGGTGGTGTCCATGGCAGAGATGAACAAGCAGAGCCATAGCCTAACCTCGTCAGTATTGTCTCACTTGGACAAGCCATGGGTGAGCTTTGTATACGTGACATGGCACAAAACACTCGCAAGCCTCTTTTGTACTCACCCAACGATGATCAGATGGAGCCTAGTGTTGCCGATGTTAGGCACAACCGGAGCTTCCACGACTGGTGCATCTTCATGCTCCGCGCCTAACGCCATCTCCTGTAACGACCTTGTTATGAATCGGAGGCTTGTTCAGGTACTCCAAGTGCGATGTGGTGCAAGAACACCTGTTCAAACCCCTTGTCATATTAAGGATTGGACCGGGTTCAAAATAAGCCCTGCCCCGTTGGGAGAATACGCACAGCCACAATTTGAACGTCAACGTCTGTACGTAACGGACACAACAGGCAAGAGATCAAGTAAGCGTGCATGTAGTTGAGCCGACAGCTGTCCTGCGAATCCCAGCGCGTGTCAGGTCGGAGAGTTCCACACAGCGGCGAGGGCTCGATTCGGAGTAGCGTCAAGCCGCAACACTGACCACGGGGCACGGGTTGCAGAGCGCGTACGTTTCGCGTCAAAGTCCCACAAAGGCGCGTATTTGACCATACAAGTCCTGCATGAACCTTGGTAGAATCTTTGCGCGCAATTCGACAAACTCTTCGCATCCATACTGCGTAGACCTGCGAGTCACTCACAATACCTATCCCATTGAGGAATTCTTGAGCAGCCCTTGCTTCACGATCGCGTGCAGCTCAGACAAAGTCTCTGACGCCATAGTGAACGGAGACACGCGCCTTGCTCCGATTGCATCATAATCTTACTTCGTCAGTGCCGTCGCGCTGCGCTGGTAGGTGGTGAAGGGGTAGCTGGCTGGCTGTCGCAGCGCGCTGCCTCGTGCCTTCCTCACTTCCAACTTGGGTACCACAACTGCACCTGCCCGCTTCGCCGCTGCTATCAGATTTCCTTTTCTCTTCTTGTCAACGTCTTTTCCACAATCTCATCCCTCCGTACTTCTCTTTTCTGCGTTCGCCGATCAGTTTCTTTCCGTTGGCTTTCCGACACGCGTCCTAGCCTGTCGCGTCACGTATCTCATCGCGCCACGGAGCCCAGATGGTAAAGCGCGGTATCAACCATGTCTCAATCGCTCGAAAATGTGCTCATTGACCCCGACGACAATGCTGCCTGCCACGCTCTCCACGCACTCTTGTCCACAGAGAGGTTCACAAAGTCGCCAGCTCTCCCCGCCACGGCAAAGGCATACCTTGACGCTTTCTGCGACGAGACCCGCCCCATTATACGCCGAAGATGGACTGGACTCATTCTAGCGAGACTGCTCGAGTCTTGTCTTGGTGTGGCGCGACATCTAAGACGACATCCGGAGGACCTTGTCCGCATAGGCGCAGTCATCTTGGGGCTTAACGAAGCCGAAGAGACCAAAATTGTGGCGGGCCTGATACTCCGTGCCGGGCTTTCTCAAGGGATCAAGTTCTCCGACTTCTGGTCCGAGAGAAAGGTTCACGCTACCGCGACCCTCTTTCCAAAAAATGCAGATACGTCCTGGATGAAAAGTTTCCAAGATTATATGGACACGCTTTCGGGGCTTTCGCTTGGGAACTCTTCACCCCAACTCGTGCTCTTGTATCCAGTAGCTCTCCATGCTGCAGATGGTTTTCGATGGTCAGCGGCCATTGGGAACGTACCCATACTCTTAATTGAAAGCCAGACACTCACCATGATTACACCCGCTTCCGCTCTACACGACATTAAATTCGTTTATATACCACTGCAGTCTGTCAAGAATGTCCGCTGCCAGCCATCGAGTCCATACGACTCTCAAGGCGGAGTCGCACCAGCTGCCCCTTGGGCTGTAGTACTAGAGTTCTTGTCGGGTTCCACACCATATCAGGTGAACTGCTCGGAACATTCTGGAAGAGATTTTACTATTGTTATGGAAACGAGTGCCGATGCTAAGGAGTGCATGCGCTGCATCAACGACATGCTCAGGCCAGAGGGAAGCTCGAGCGACGTTACAAATGCTTCGAGTCCTGCGTTCGATGGAGACTCTAGTGAGGAGAAGGTCATTAACAACAACACGCCCGCGGTCTCACAGGGCGGTATAATAAAGTTCGACAGGTCACAGCGCAAGGGCAGCATCATCAAGGGCAGCCAACTGATGGATCAAGCGGCCCCAGAGGCAGCCCACGGATCACATACCGGATCAATCGAAGCCAAACGTGGAGCACTCCCTGAGGTTAAGAAATCTTTACGTGCGAGCGGAGTCAAGTCTGTGCTAGACGCCACGAACACTGATTTCGAATTTCCTGATCTCTCGCCGTCGATCGAGCGACCAGCGAAAGCGAAGATAGAGAAGTTAAATGCTAGTCGAGACGGTCTTGTCACAGCGCAGATCTCAGCGACGAAATCCACAGAGAATAAAGTCAAAGCGTCGAAGCCTGTCCACAAACAAGCTGGACGGCGCCGGGAGTCAGATGTCTTTAGCGTCCCGCAAGAGAGACAAGATATGGAAGGCGCGCACCGAGGTACGAAGCGAACGCGTGCCATGGCGATGACCTACAAGGAAGACACTTCGTCCGAAGAGAATAGCTCGGATTCCGAATTTACCGACAGTGAGAGGACGAAGAGACCTCGTACACGACCTGTCAAGGCGACGAGGAAGAAAGAGCGTTTGGCGTCATCTCCAACGAAAAGCAATACAACAAGCAGGAGGCCTAGGCAATCTAAAGCAAGCACAAGGCCGCTACAGCCGCTCAAGGGCTCTTTGCTGTCGAATCTACAGCGAACAACAAGTGCAAATGAAGGTCAAAACCTCAAAAGTTACAAGACACGTAGCGAAGCGCGCAACGCACAAAAGCCTACCGCTGCAGCTCCAACAAAGCACAAGCCTGAAGCGGCTAGTGCTCCCAGACAGGAGGACCCGAGCTCTGAAGCGCATATCTTGGGAAGATTGAACGACTCGGAAAGCGACGGTGAGCCCGGAGACATTGACCTTCACAGCTCGAAGATCGATGATGGTGTAGCATCGAGGAAGTGGACCTCAGGCAGCAGCACGCCGTCCACGCCACACTCCAAGCGAGCTACACCGGACCATGATGGAATGGAGACGAATGCAGAGTTGGGCGAAGTTTTGTCTATGTCTGTGAAGCCCCCGCTCACGGTCGCTCCTGCAAGAGTACTGGAAGACCCGTCAAGTCCTTGCGATAGTCGAGCAGACAGAAGCATGCAAGCTCCGCCCAAGCCAGTCGTCGAGGAAGCCATACCCATAACCTCACCAAGGGCCACTCAACGTTCAGTGCGGTCACAAAGGCAGTTTGACGAGCGTCAGACACCCATCCATCAGCTTGGCAAGCGAAGTCATTCTGGCCTGTCTGCTAACTTAGAAATCCTTTCAAGTAACAGCAAACCAACGCCTGCTTCGCCTCGCGCACCGTCGACGGCAATCTCTGGACACGCAGACCGGCATCAGGTCAATTTAGAACAAGCGCACGGAGAGTATAAGATTGAGAAGAGCGATCCGTTCCAGTTGAACCGTCGAAAGGTCAACAGCTTCACTCGAAGGCTCACCGAAAGCAGGGACGTTTCGCTGGATGCAGAACCCGCAGAGGGTAAATCTCAGGATCATCCAATCGAACTAGGCGACAGTCCTAGCAGCTCGTCCAGTGAAGCTCTTCCGCCAATACAACTAAGCCCTGTAACAACGAACGATCATACCGGGATTACTCAGCCTGTCGAGCTGCTTCAGGTTCGAGCACCGGAGCTTACCAGGCGCTCACGGAGCCGGACCGTCGAGCCACTTACAGCCATAGTCCCACCAGCAGATGCATCTCGTCATCAGCGCGGACATCAGAACCATGAAGGAGAGGATAAAGCTCGCTTCGACGACGATGCTGAGATGGAGGGTGACACTCTCGTTGAATTCGAAGAGCCACAACAAGCTCAGGATGAGGTCTCTCACCTCAGGTCTTCCCCTCCACCAATGGATCATTCGCCAAGCAGCCACAGCTCGACGTCTGCTGAGCCCGAACCCAAGACGGATCCTCACGTCCCAACATCGGAAGCGGAGGAGATGGAATGGGAGGCTCATCTGCGGCCTCACCAGCGCGATGTGAAAGACCAACTCTTCCGCGTGTCAAACCGTGTCTTGCAACACATCGTCAGCAATGAGTCTGCTGTCAGCGATATTGCAGACACGTACACGAGAGACGGCCAGCAGTCATTAGATCTGCTGTTTGAAAGTCACCAGCAGGAGTTCGACGCCATGCACAAGGACGTCATGCAGAAGAAGGCCAAATTGAGCAAGGCGACCGAAAAGGTGCTGTCGAAGCTTCGTAAAGAGCGCAAGCAAGTTGAGGACGACGACGAGTAAGAGAGAACGGTGGCATCCCTTTTTGTATGTACGATATGATGGTAGCGATACGACTGGGTATGGCACTCCAGATGGCGCTTGTTGCATGGACACGGATGGATAACAGGGCGTACATCGAACGAGATTGATATGATAATTTAATTATTATGCCAATTGCCCCACACATGCTCCAACGCTACACCAGATCAAGTTGACGCAACCCTCGCGGACGGTTCCCACTCCGCCTTCGACATGTGTCTTCATCTTTTCGCCTGTAGAATGAGCTGCAATGGGATATCTAATCCCACACTCTTTCCCATAGCTCCGATCCACATGAGCAAATACCCGAGTGACGTTGCCGGCTTTCCACCCATACTAGCCTCCATCACCTCTGCTGTGCGGCAGGGGTGGATGAAGAACACGGGTCGGTTGAGGATGGGATGATCCTGCAACTCGTGTCAACATCAAGGGTATACCAGCAACACGGTAGAGACCTACAGTGATAGTGATACCGCCCAGCACACCTACGTCTTTCGTTTGATCAATGTACTCTTGAGTGATGATGTGCTTGTACAGGGTGTCCATTGTAGGTGGATAGCGGTGCAGTGTGTCGGAGATGTGGAAGTACAACACTGGCACGCTGTAGGTTGGGGAGAGGAGTATATCGTAGTGAATTAGTGGGGTATTGACATCCTTGTGATCAAGCGCTTCCTCATCATCTTCTTCAAGTCCGGCGTCCTCGTTATCCTGAACATGACTCTCGGAGGGGTACGGAACAGGAAACTCTTTGTTGATTCGAAGGAGACTCTCGTGTGAATCTAGGGTGCATGCTGTCCAGTGCTCCTTGTGAGAAGCAGCTTGAAGCAGATTGAAGGAGTCGACTAAGGTTGTGCAGGCGGTATGGAATTCTGCAGCTGAGAGGTGCGGAAAAGACGCTACAAGGTCCATGGTCAACGCATCGCGAGCTGAGAAATCGAGAGACGAGTCATACTCCAGAAGGGATCCTGTGGCGTGAAGGGTACCTGATGGAGGCCAGATTGGGTTAGGCGGCGAGGACTTGGCGACACGATCACCTGATAGGGCGTTTAGCGTGGCGCGTGCATGCCCGAATAGGCATCAGTGATGAAGGCGCTTTGTGGTACTTCTACTGGCGTGCGCTGATCATTGAAGAGGATTTTCTTGAGTTGTAGAAATGGCGATTAGGACGGTCGGTAAAGATGAAGCACAATCAGCTCGAATTTGGAGAGGGAAATGTCTTGACAGTTGCGTCACTGATGCGACAAAGAATTTGTGTCTACTGGGTACAGATACCACTGATGTGTCGGTGACCAAACTTGAGGACGTGTCTCCAAAAATCATGAAAAGCGTCCTATCGATTTACCTGTGCGTCGTCGTACCTGAGAGACTCCGCCAGGCCTTGTCGTGAGCAGCGAGAGATTCTTGTGGGATCACGGAGCACAGAGATCCGCGGGGCCGACGGCTCGATACGACAACGTGCGACATGTGAATGCCCCTGCTGCAATTGCTGCTAGGGCGGATGATGTGTAATACCGCCGAGTGTGCTCTGATCCCCGCGAGCGCGGAGCCCTGGCTTGGCGCCTGGCAGCGTCGAGGCACCACAACCCTACCGCCTGCGCCAGTGAGGCAGCCATTGTCGAACCCATCGCTCGCGCATTACACACCCTCCTCTCCACCTAAGGAGATGCCCTACACGCACTGCACCGCTCCGTAACCGAGCACGACACTGACCACCCACAGCCACGTTCACATAGCAATCCGCCATGGCTTCGGAGAAAAGCCAGCTCAAGCGAGGCCGCGTACGTTGAGCCTCTGCGCATCCACTGGCTAGGCAATTGCAGGCTGACAGCATCCCCCGCAGCAATCGCAAGGCGAGCAAATCGAGCCCAAGAAGCCCCGCCGGTCAGACCGCAATGCCTCGCCCAGCGACCGCAATGCTCACCTGAAGCAAGGCCCGCTGCCGTCTCCAGTCACACATCAGGCCGATTCAGCCGCGACCGACGAGTTCAAGGAAGGCACCATCACCCCGCCGAGTAAGGGTTCGAGCGACCAGTCTCAGCGAGGCGGCCTCCGTAGCCCTCCACGAACCGGCGGCCCTAACAGCCTGTCCTCACCACTGCAGGACACCCAGCCCTTCTCGCAATTCGTATACCATCCCAACGATCGGACTTACGCAGTAGACGACGAAGAGGCGGAGGGTGTCTGGGGCTATCTGGTCCCAGTGGACACCCGCTCTGGAGACGTGCTTGTCCTCCGCCGGCGCTCAGCTTGCCCGGTCCCATCATCGAGAGTTGGGAAGACCTCGGGTAGAGAATCGGTTGGGAAACACCAGTACACGAAGCAAGAGGAGGGCTACGAGCAGGAGAAGGTGGAGCATGGTGTGACTGCTGGAGGTTATCTCATTGGCCGACATCCTGAGTGCGGTAAGTGCAATCCGTATCCACGAGGGATATCATTCTGACATGGTGTAGATCGGCAACTGCAGTCACCGACCGTATCGAACCGGCATTGTCTGCTGTTCCCTGAGAACAAAGGCGGAGATGCAATTGCTGTGTTGGAGGATCTATCCGGCAATGGCACTTTCGTCAACGATACGATAGTCGGCCGGAACAAGAGGCGAGAGCTGCAAGAAGGCGACGAGATCAGCATCTTGGACCAAGCCCGCTTCGTCTTCAGATACCCATCGTGCCGCGACACGAACGGATTCCGGCAGCAATACGCATTACAAGAGCAGTTAGGCAAGGGTCACTTCGCCTCTGTCTACCTGTGCATAGAGAAGTGCAGTGGCATGCGGTATGCCGTGAAGAAATTTGAGAAGCGTACGGGACCTGGCGAAAAGTCAAAAGTCGATGGCCTCCAACAAGAGATTGCAGTGCTCATGGGAGTTAGTCACCCCACGTTGCTATGCCTTAAGGACACATTCGACGAAGCAGACGGAGTTTATCTCGTCCTCGAGCTGGCACCAGAGGGTGAACTCTTCAACTGGATTGTAATGAAGCAGAAGTTAACCGAGACGGAAGCCCGAAGGGTGTTTGTGCAGCTGTTCCAGGGGGTGAAGTATCTTGTGAGTCCAACTGTCGCTGTTTTGGGCTCTAAGCTTATGTGTGGTAGCATGAACGCAATATTGTCCACCGAGACATCAAACCGGAAAACATTCTGCTCACCGACAAGAACCTGTCCGTCAAGCTTGCTGACTTCGGTCTGGCGAAGATCATCGGTGAAGAGTCCTTCACTACGACCTTGTGTGGAACACCGTCATGTAAGCTCACGCAAGCGATTGCAAATGGTTTGGACTGACGTATGCAGATGTTGCTCCTGAGATCTTGGAGAGCACGAACCATCGACGGTACACACGCGCGGTTGACGTGTGGTCCCTCGGAGTTGTACTGTACATCTGCTTGTGTGGCTTCCCTCCCTTCTCCGACGAGTTATACAGCGCCGAAAACCCATACACACTATCGCAGCAGATCAAGATGGGTCGGTTCGACTACCCCTCACCTTACTGGGACTCAGTCGGCGACCCGGCACTTGACCTTATTGATCGCATGTTGACCGTGGATGTGGATTCTCGTATCACCATCGACCAGTGCTTGGAGCATCCGTGGACTACTCAGGCGGAGATCAACCCCAACGATAGTACCGATGGGCTTACGGGAGCAATCGCCAACCTCGATTTCGCCAAGCGTAAGATCTACCGCGAGCGCACTCTACTCTCCAGTATCAATGATATCAAGATCAGTCGGGTTATTGAAGGCGGCGAAGGCCAGCAGGCTGTCAAAGTGTACGAGAAGAATAAGGACAAGCCAAAGAACGGCGTCAAGGGGCTTGATGGCCCACACCAGAAAGAGGATACTCCTTCCGCGAATAGGGATCCGGATGAGTTCATCCAGATGGGTGGAAAGGGAGATCAACAGCTCTACGACACGGCAGATCAATCTATCTACGTCGACGACCAGAGCACTGTTGCTACTGCTGCGGACACCTGATCATGGAGGATACGGGCAGAGCACCTGCCATTGCATTGGCGTCTAGCGGCGTTCTTGCCGCGTTATGGGAGATGTCTAAAGTGGCATGATTTTTCGGGGTATCGGATAATTTGGCGTCTAAGTGCCTCTTGAAGTTGGCCTTGCATCGTACGGTCGCGATGCTGACATATTTGGGAAAGCACTATGCTTTTACACTGGTCATGGGCACAATCTGAGTGAGCGATACCATGTACATTGTAGTGTGCGTGTGCTCGGTCTAAGCATCGCTTAGCTATGAAGGACTAATTGAAGGCTCAGGTTATATGTTATTGTACATGATGCGGCTTGCTAACTTGTGCGTGCTACGACGACGGGGAAGTGTGGGTGGACTTCAGCTTACGAACGTGCGCTCCCACTTCCATCTAGGTCATTGCAGCTTGTCTTCGGGTGTGTTTGTGGTCGCTGATGTAGTAGTGCCTAAATGAGAGTCATCGTTGTTGGACGAAGCAGGAGTCAAGTCCGCATAGACAATGCCAGCAGGGAGATGGAGGCCATATCCACTCTTTCATTTTTGGACATAATCATTGTACAGAGGAGAAAAGTGGACCGCCAATATTCGTCCACAGAGGTGAATGGGATGATCATTATCTTCGCGGTAGTCGCTAAATCTTCGTTGTGTATGGTCAGCATGTTTACAGGGACGGTTCGACACGCGTCCGTAGTGGAAGTAGTCGTGAGGACAGCTCTTGCTGTGAGGATGCTGATTGGTGGTAGGGATGCCAACATTCGACAAGACAGTATAATAATTCAAGTATTCGGAGCTCGAGCGCATCATTTCTGTGCAAATAAGTTTTACGTCCTTCAGTTCGTCTTCTGACCACAAGCCGATCAAAGGAGCACTAATAGTAGAGGTACAATTATAGAGCAAAAGTGAAGGTGTCTTTGATGGAGACTACTGAGCATTGGTTTTGTAATACAGGAGGTCACTCAAGCGCCACCCTGACTAAACTTGACATAAACACAGGCCAACTTTTGAATGCAATCAACCTGTGTCACACCCAGGCCTGGCAACGCAAGGCACTCGAACTCCTGAATCAACCCTCCATGTATGCAGTAGCGCTCGCCAAGTGGGTGGTTTCGCCTCGCTTGTTATTGGGAGGCGTGGGCATCCGGAGCTGCGGAGGTGCTGGCTTCGTGGACGTTGCCGCTGTTGGCAGGAGTCGGTACAGCGGAACCGCCGTTAGGATCAGGATAATCCTGATTGGAAGTACATTAGCGAGCAGACCAAAGTTTCCGCCTTGGATAATACAGGTCATATACGTACATCTGGGCCAAGGCCGTGATGGCACCGTGAGCTATGAATTGTGTTATCCCAATCGGACTTCAATTGATTACTCAGAAATAGACCCTTCCACCAGTACGGTCCACCTTGGCAATCAGGTAACCTTCGCGAAGTCAATCAAAGGGCCATGAGATCAGTTATACGTGACTCACTTGTACATCTGGCAGTAGTAGACAAGGCCTTGCTGGTTCTTGTAGGACTCAAGGGACTGTAACATGGTAAGCTTGCATCGCTAGGACAAGAGCCGAGGTGCTGTGTTGCTCGTCCTGGGGTACCGTGATGTGCTGAAGCTCTTGACGAGTTACTGTAGACTGATGACTTTTGACTTACAGTGATACCGCCCACCTGGTCTACATCCAGCCAGTTCACACACGTTGCGTACTTGACCATGATTCGATCAATGTAGTACATCATTCCTGATTTATAAGGCTCGGTGAAGAGTTCAAGCTAAACGTATCAGTAAAGCTCTGTTCGTAACGCTGTGGAACTATTCACCATGTGATAGTTTGGAAGATCTTCGCGAATGCTGCTGGGGTGCTGAGCCGTCATGTTGACGATTGCGGGAGGAACAGTGTCTTCGACTGGCCAGGCGGTGCCGAGGACGGCCAAAGCGAGGGTGGCAGCAAGGTGGAGGAACCGCATGATTGCTTCAAGGTGTTGCTTATGATCGAGACAAAGGTAGAGTTGAAGCAGGAGGAATTGGGTGGCTCGGGGATTTTAAGTCAGCAGGGTTACCAGGCAAACGCTCGGTGTCAGCTGCTTCCTTCCAGGTGAGATAGAAAAGGTAGGCGCGGAAAGGTGCGTTTGTGCGACAGGACGGCCGGGGAAATTACCTTCGACCCATGGCTCCAGAGAGCGACGCTAGCCAGTGAGTGATAGGGTCATCATATACCGTATCCCTACAAGGTATTGATTCTTCTGTCGGTGTTTGGTACTTTGACCATCTACGGAACGGTCTCCCAGTGTCAACACTACAGCTATCCGCTTTAGAAACGAAGGTATGCATGTGTTGCGTGCCTTTACCTTGTGAGCGTTGTTTCCTGACTCTTCCTATTGGCGTGAACGGTAGCTGGGCCCTCGACTCGATCTCACGAATTGTTAATAGAGCGCAGACTCTTCCCACCCCAGAGCCGCATTTGCATGGCTTCAAGACCGACCAATGGAATATTGAAGATGCATGCGTCAGTTCAAATGTTCTCATCGTACATGGCAAGCACGGTCAAGGTACAGTACAGAAGTAAAGCCTGGTTTCTTTTCTGAAGCGAACTCCCTGGAACCATGCTTGCGCACATGTCAATTGTACGCAACCCTCTATTTCACTTCGTAGCCGGCATCATGTTTGAGCAGCGCGCAGTCTCAAAGCTCGTAGCATCGTGTACCTGCCGGTTGGCGACAGGGCCAAAGAGGACTCGACTGTGTCGCCCCTATCACCCTGGCCCTTTGCCTCTTCTTGCAGATGTTACGACAGAGAGTGAAAGGTATTCTGCCTATTGTGGACTCATATGATGCTAACCTTGCAAATGGGTCTAATGCACTGCGGCTGACAGATGCTTGACATGCAGCAGAACCGAGCCGAGGGGATCTCCATGCTGATTTCTTACACGATAACTCCCATATACTTTCTTGAGAGGCATCCGGCGGTGAGTGAACACAATGAGACCGATGGAATTTCCAACAAAGATTCATAAGGGTTAGCGAAATTGGGTAAGATGTACTGTCAACCAAACTGATGCCACCAATCGCGTGACCCGGAAATGTGCGTACGATATTCGTGGGCTTTGAGGCGGAGCATGGCCACATCGTGGTGTGATGAGAGGCCTTCACGGATGTTGAATGCCCGGTAGGCCGCCACTCCGCCAAGAATGCCACCGCTTTGGCCCACACGGCAGGTACGACAGACCGACAGGGGTTGGGTGGCCCGAGCGCAGGCGTCCCCAGGGAAATTTGACGACTACAAGATCGCAGCATTCGCCCCTTCCCACGCTCCAAAGCCTCTTGCGCTGCCATTTTCGCCGTCATGGGAGTTCTCGAACATGTCGCCGGCCCGTTGGGCAACTTCACCTCGCATGCGCCCACTCCCATCCTTGCCGTCGCCGGCTTCGTCTCTGTTATCGTGCTCGCCGTGGTCTTGAACGTCCTGAGCCAGGTGCTCCTGAAGAAACCCAACGAACCGCCTATGGTCTTCCACTGGTTCCCGTGGATCGGCAGCACCGTCACTTATGGAATGGACCCGTACAAGTTCTTCTTCGCAAATAAGCGAAAGGTGCGCGGGGTACTCGTAGGCAAGACATAGTATGCTGACCGTCATGTAGCATGGCGACGTTTTCACATTTGTTCTGCTCGGCAGGAAGATGACCGTGTGCTTGGATACCAAGGGCAACAACTTCATCTTGAACGGCAAGGCCAAGGACGTCAACGCAGAAGAGATCTACAACCCCTTGACTGGGCCAGTGTTCGGCAAGGATGTTGTGTACGACTGCCCGAACTCGAAACTTATGGAGCAGAAAAAGGTAGGTAAGCACATCTAGGAAGGCATTCACATGCGCTAACAGGAATCTTCAGTTCGTCAAGTTTGGTCTCACATCTGAGGCGCTCCGCTCCTATGTTGAGCTCATTACCCACGAAGTAGAGGACTTCGTCAAGCGCCATAAGGCCTTCAAGGGCCAGAAGGGCATTTTCGACGTTCCCAAAGTCATGGCCGAGCTCACCATCTATACCGCTTCACGTTCACTCCAAGGAGAAGAAGTCCGCAACATGTTCGACTCCCGATTCGCCGCTCTTTTCCACGATCTCGATCTAGGTTTCTCCCCGCTAAATTTCCAGCTGTCATGGTTCCCGCTCCCGCATAACCGCAAGCGCGACGCCGCCCACAACGCCATGGTAAACGTGTACTCTGAAATCGTTCGCAAGAGGCGCACAGGCGAAATCAAGCGTGGAAACAGCCACGATATGGTCTGGCATCTTATGGAATGCCAATACAAGGATGGCACTCCTGTTCCCGACCACGAAATCGCTGGCATTATGATCGCACTCCTCATGGCGGGCCAGCACTCCTCTGCCTCGACTATCTCTTGGATGATGTTGCGCCTGGCCACCAAGCCTGAGATTGTAGAAGAGCTCCTTGAAGAGCAGAAGCGCGTTTTGGGCGAAGACCTCCCTGTTTTCACCAATGACGACCTTCCCAAACTTGCTCTCCACGCCCAGGTCGTCAAGGAAACTCTTCGCTTGCACTCTCCCATTCACTCCATCATGCGCAAAGTAAAGCAGCCGCTTGTCGTCGAAGGCACTAACTACGTCATCCCCACCTCCCACACTCTCATGTCCTCTCCTGGTGTCTCTGCACAGATGGACTCGCATTTCCCCAACCCCTCTGTCTGGGACCCGCACCGCTGGGATGCGCTGAACTTCGAAGACGATGACGAGAAGATCGACTACGGGTTTGGTATGATTTCCAAGGGCGGTAAATCGCCTTATCTGCCCTTCGGCGCGGGCAGACATAGGTGCGTGGGTGAACAATTTGCGTACGTGCAGTTGCAGACCATCTTGGCCGCGATAGTACGCGAGTTCAAGATCAGGAATGTTGGCGGTAGCAAGGATATCGTCGGCACGGACTACACGTCGTTGTTCACGAAGCCGTTGTCACCTGCCGTTGTCGAGTGGGAGAGGCGGGGTGCTGAATTGTAATGGTTGTAAGATGGAACGGGGGTGTATATGAAGGAAGAAAAGATTCACTTCTTGGTTGATCTAAACGGATTTGAGGTCCGTCGGATGCTATAGACTATTGCGAGTATAATATTGAGATACGTAGTAATGAGCGCATAATGCAAATTCAGCGACTCCTCACATGGAGCAATTGTAAAAAGGGCGTTGTGTAGTCAGCATTATTCGAGTGAAATGCAGTGGTAAATGATTTCATCTAGATGGAGGTAACTATCCCTCCGATGCAGAGCTCCCAGTGCTTCTTGACTTTGGACCAAAGTTTTTCTAATCAAAACTACATCATAACTCATGCCAATCATTTTCCTAGATCCGGTTATTATTCATTCATGGCAGCTGGTCGACGGTCTCCTCTGCGCCATTCACACCATTCTTGCCCCATTGCTGCGGCCTCTCGACCTTCAGTCGCCAGCCTTGCTTGTCCTCAATGTTGCCGAGCTGGATGCCCTTCAGTGTGGAGAGGAGCTTAACGCATGCGGGGCCTGGCTCCTCGGCGGCATCCTTGTACGAGATCTTCTCGCCCTTCGACTCCAGGGTGATGGACCTGATGGGAACAAGAGCTGCTGCGGTACCGGCGGCGAGGACCTCGTCGAAGGTGTTGAGTTCCTCGTAGGGGATCTACGAAGTGTCAGTTTCCATGTCTAACGGGGAATGTAATGAGTCTACCTCGCGCGACTCAGCCTCCCACCCAAAGCTTTCCGCAATCCTCAAAATCGAATCTCCTGTCACACTCTTGATAACATTCTTACTGTTCGAAGCAACAAGCTTATATTTATCCCCATTCTTCTTCACACCAATGAACGCACTAGTCGAGAACTCATCGATGACAGTGCGCGTCTTGCTGTCCAGATGCAGCGTGATACCGTACCCGGCCTTATGTGCCTTCTCGCTCCACCGCAGCACGGGCGCGTAGTTGCCTCCGATTTTCGCTGAGCCGGTGCCATCGGGCGCCGCGCGGTCGAAGTGCTCGAGGATCAGTGCGTCGACGGGGTGCGTGCCGTGGTAGACACCGGTGGGAATTACGAAGACGACGAAGGTGTATTCTTCCGGGGGATTCAGGCCTAGTTGGGCGGAACTGCCGAACAGCAACGGGCGGACGTACATAGCGGCGCCGGTCTCATGGGGTGGAACGTACGCGGCGTTCATGCCTACGGCGAGCTTGCAGCATTCGAGGAAGTGCTCCGTAGGAACCTCAGGCATTGACACAAAGGAGGCGGAGTGCTGCATCCGCTCGGCGTTCTTTTGAGGCCGGAAAATGCTGATTTGGCCATCTGGGCCGCGGAAAGCCTTGAGTCCTTCGTAGCATTGCTGGCCGTAGTTCAGGGCGGGGGCCATGCCGTGGATGCGGAGAAAGGGGTCCTCGACGAAGGCGGGGGTAGTCCATTGGCCGGTTTTGACGGAGTAGTGGGATTCGACATGGCCGGCGACTGGGAATGCTTAGCTGCTATATTGAAGCATGGGGTACTTTAAGGGACTACGAGATGTAGGGGCGATTTCAAGAAGACGGAGTGATGGCATCAAATATACATCATGCCCAGCCGCAATCCGTCTCTTTCTAATATCAAAACCTCAAGTATATTGACGAACGGACAATGAAGAGGAGTGTAACGGCAACAGAATGGCTGAAAATATGAAGCAGCCCTCACGAATCAGGTCTTACCTTCGCGGATCTTGAAGCCTACATTGCTCCAGTCTACAGAGTGGTTAGTCGCGTGCTATGACACAGACGTCAACCCATTTGAAGGATTTGCAAGACTGCAGACATACCAATGGTGTTTACGGGAGGTGGAGGGTAGTCAGACATGGCGGTAGTATATGGGAAAGACTGAACAGAACGTTGGAATTGGGTTTGGAGTCAGTCCCACACAGGAGCTAGAATTTCGTAGCTTAGTATTTGAGGCTCATGAGTGGCGCGCTGCGATATCGGTGCGAGCGGACCGGCTCGGTACTATCCTGCGCGACGCGTAGAGCAACTAGCACTCTATGGCTGCTGTCGTCAGCCTGTCGCGATGACAGTTACTCACACGAATCATGTTCCATGTATGTCTTCACGAAAAGCGAGGTTGTCCTTCCAAGAAGATAGATGTCCGCTGCGGCAACCAACGCGTGGGGAATCGGTGTTAAGCGAGCGGACCTCGATGACCTTCGGGAATCTTGGGAGCTCTCAATAGGGCTTGGCACGTTGGAGTAATCCGAAACTCCATCAAAGTCGCCAGTTGCTCAGACCACTGGCTTCCTACGATATACATACGACCCTCGACCGCGACTCCATTTCTAATCCTGCATTTTGGTTCCAATTCTCTACAGCTACTCATGGCGCCGCCCGCCATACGGAGTCGCTTCGTGCTACTGGCCTTGTTCGGCGTAGCACTCTTCACGTTCCTCATTCTGGGAGGCCACCGCTCCATAGACGGACAACCTTCGCCGATACAACAAGCAAATTCAAACAAACAAGGAGGAGGTTCAAGCGGGGCGCTGCTCACAGGACACGCAATAGCTCCAAAACTGGGCAACGCAACGGCGAAGTACGACTGGCAAACATGCTTCTCTTTGCATGACAAGATCACACATCTGACCAAGTTTTTAGGGCCGAGCTAGGTCGCGCAGCATGGAAAGTGCTCCACACGACGTTCGCACGCTTCCCCGAGAAGCCGTCCGAAGAAGAAAAAGAAGCCTTGCGATCATACGTACACCTGTTCCAGCGCCTATACCCCTGGTACGCCACTCAGTCGTATCCCTACGGCGTAGTCGCAGCTGAATGCAGAGTGCAATGAGCTAACTGAATATGCAGCGGCGAATGCGCCGAGCACTTCGGAAAGGTGTTAGCCAAATACCCTCCCCAGGTCTCGTCGAGGTCGGCGGCTGCCATGTGGGGCTGCATGGTACACAACATTGTCAACAAGCGCCTTAAGAAGCCCCAGTTCAACTGCGAGAACATCGGAGATGCGTACGACTGCGGATGCGGCGATGACGAGAAGAAGGAGAAAGACGCGGCGCCGGCATGAGCAGTACACTCAGATGAAAATGTGGAGACGTATGGCGGGCCGGATGATACCAAGCTCCAAGATACATAGTACACAAGCAGACTATCTAGAGACACCTGTCCTATGACCGTACCCCGGAAAGCGCTATTGGGAGCGACGTGGGCGAAGGTGAAGGAGGCGCAGGTTGAGACAAGGTACCCCGGGACCGCAAGCAAGCAGGAGCGAGTGTCCGCTCGGTCAGCGATACGCAAAGATGGGAAGGAGATTGGGGCGCAAGTCACCCATCACAAGTCACTGCGGACGCTAGCGCTACAAGCAGAGGGTCATGTCTCACGAACTGGTGTTCAATTGCCCCATTGAAGCCGACAAACACGGCTAAGCACCGCTGGATAGGATCCAGTGGGGTGAGTGAGCGACCCAGGGAGTTGGGCCTCCGACGCTCCCGCACGCAGGTCACGTCAGCCGGGGGTTTCACAGGAGCATGTCGCGATGGCGCTTTGGTGGAAGAGGCGCGTAGATAGTGCCGGACTCGAGGCGGCAAATAGAGACTCGACGGGGACGCCTTGCCAAGCGCGCTCACGAAGGACGGTGCCGCAGGACGGGTACCTGGTCATAGCAAGCAAAAGGCCACAATACAGCTCTCTACGTGCGACACGGCGCATTCTGCCAGATGGGCGCATCACGACGCCGCGTCACTTGCGAGATTGGCATGTCAGAACGCGCACTATCGAGTGTAGTCGACCAGCGTGATGAGGATCGGCCACACCACCAGCGTTGTACGTGACGTGCGCGCGCAGTCGTGTGGCTTGCGCTGGTTCGTCGCGTGATTATATTTGGCAGCGTCAAGCATGCATTGCATGTGGGCGGCAGTGTGCTGCAGGGGGCCACTACGTCCGACGCTTGCGCTAAGGGCAGCAAAATACTCCCGCGCCTTCGCGTTTGATGTGAGCCAACACCAGCTGCCCTGAAACAAGAACCCCCGCCGCACTCGACCCGTCGCCCATCATGCCCGCGCTGCTGTAGCTCACCGACTCTTCTTCATCTACCAACGACGACCCGCCAGCGCTACACCGCTACTTCCAAATTCCACCATGGTGTCCTTCTCCTGCGAGGTATGTTCTGTTTACACCCTCGCACCCCGACGCCAATGGGCGCCCCTCCGCCCTGGCCCGCTGCGTGACTCCCGCTGACCGCCGCCTGCATGCGCATAGGGCTGTGGGGATGTCCTCACCAAGAAGAAACTCGATCCCCATCGCAATCAATGCTATGGCGCCTCCTACACCTGCCTGGACTGCATGGTGCACTTTGACGGCACCAGCTACAGAGCCCATACCGTACGTCTGCCACCTTTCCACCTTTCCACCCTTCCCCCTATCCCCTCACCAGTGACGCGTTCCGTGGCTCTTCACCGGAATGGCTCGTAGAAGCTTGCCATGTTTGTGTGCGCGCGCAGAAAACTTTGATTCGTTGCGCATTGAGCATGGCTAACCAATGGCTCGCAGTCGTGTATCACCGAAGACCAAAAGTACCAGGGCAAGCTCTACCGCGACCCCAAGCAGAACAAGAAGCAGCCCCAGCACCAGAAGAAGGACAGCGTCCAGCAGAACTCGCAAGCCCTCGTCCCGCGCAACGCCTACGTAGAAGATGCCGCCGATGCAGACAACGGTGCCGTCGCGATCGTCGATGCCCCACCGCGCGCACCCACCCCACCACCCGCGGCGCACTCGCTGGGTTATAACGAGCAAGCTGCGATCGAGGGTGTCAATGTCTTTGACTTCTTGGACGCATCCGAGACCCCTGCGCCAGCAAGGACACGCCCAGCTGACGAGTCGCGGATGATCGAGGATAGCATGCCGCCCGCCTACCAAGAAAAGGAACCCAAGATAACAGTGACGGATGTCATGAAGTTCCAGGTCCCAGAAGACGACGAGTTCGCTGAGAGTGGCTTCGCATATGGCGACGAGCCTGTGCGACCTAGCAACGAACGCTTTGACTCTTCATACAACATCCGTGAGCAAGACCCGCAGTACAGCTACACCACACCCGCCCCCAAATCCAAGCATAGCCGAACAAAGTCGCGCGACAAGAATCTCGACACCACGATAAGCAAGTCTGAACGCAAGCGCAAGCGCAACTCGCCTGCTGGGCTTGACATGTCGCTGGTCCGCGCTCAAGAAGAGAGGGACGTCATGATGGCAGAGGCACCACCAATCCTCCACTCCGGCTTGACCGGTGGCCTTAATCGTCTTCTTCACTCTTCACAGTTTCCCCCCACCCCTGATCACTCTGGTGATTGGGTGGAGAACTCGCCCCTGAGCCCCATGAAGCGAGCGAAGCAAGGGGCTTCGAAGGCATTTCTCCGTGCGCAGAAAGACTTCGAAGTTCAACAAGAGAAAGATCGCAAAGCCGAAATCAAGGAAGAGCGCGCCCGCGAGAAGGAAGAGCGAAAGGAGCGCGAACGTGGCCGTGAACGCGAGCGCAAAGAACGCAAGGAAATTAAAGCCAGCACCGCCCTCGTCAAGATCCGACCCAAGATGAAGCGTCGTGACGATTCCGAACGCTCCAGCCACAAGCACCGCGAGGGCGAGCGACGTCGTCGCCGTGAGACAGACTCCTCAGGCTCGCCACCTCGCCCACGCAAGACTGTTAAAGCGATCGAATACCACCGCTCCGAATCGCAATCTTCTGCTGCGGACAATGACAGGCAGCTGATCATCCGTCCGAACGGAGACGTTGTACCTGTCAAGACGGAGCACGAGGCCCGCGCCGAGCTCTTCATGTCGTTCATCAACAAGGGGCCTGAGTCGGAGCGCGGCATGAGCGTCAACAAGACACTGAAACGTTACCACCGCGAGCGTCACGACTACGATCACCACGTATCGAAGGTGGATGAGGAGAAGGAACTGTGGAAGAGTTTGCGTCTGAAGCGGAACGACCGCGGCGAGGTTGTGCTTTTCTTTGCACCGCCGGATGCAGAGGCCGCATGACTAGAAAATCTGGATATCCTTATGAAGATAGAGGCGTGGAGTTGCAGCGATCCGAGTCCCGAGCAGGCGAGTTTTGATTTGCCGCCTTCGTCGGCGTGACTGCAGGAGCTCAGCTGGAGCACAAGGACGTGGACGGGGATGGACGTGATAGGATGGTGGTGGATGTGGAGGAGATACCCCATACCCCTTTTCTCACTTTCCGACATATCTACTCACAGTTTCTTGGTTGATACCCGACACATTGTCAACATACTTGTCATTTCTCGGGTGGATTGGTGTGTGCATTGGAGAATCTGTTGTGCATTTTACTGTCTTGCATACGTTTTGTACTACTCCACTCTCCGCAACACCTTTCTTTTGTCAGATCTCATACGTTGGAACGGCGTATTCTTGTCGAGGTCTGCGCAACTACTGCACTAATGCTCCTGGGCTGGGCCCGCCCTTATCGGATTTCTCTTTTGTTGATAGGATAGAGGCTCGGCTCATGCTACGTTATTCTTGGTTCTCCTGAACTCGTCTATATGCTATGGTTCGTGACTGATGGTGTATCCAATCTAGTATGTGGCCATGAACAATACCACTCGAGGCTGTATCATCACTCCAAGCATGGCCCCCCGATTCAATGCGCAAATTCACAACCCTGACGCGCAGAACGTTCGCAAGGCGAAAATCGAGGCCAGGGTGGGCAAGATGGCGCTAATTGGGCAATGACGAAAGGGAGCAGCCACCCCTGCACCTGCCGGAACCCTGCAGGCAGTCGCGTTCGCTGCCCCCGCCCCGCGGCTGATCTCATTGTCCCGCAGCCGCCGTCGTCACTCTTCCTGGAATTTTGGCGTCCGTCCAAACAAAGACCCCTACCTCATTCGCTGTGCCACCGGTACACCCTTCACTTGCCAACCGTTTGCATTCTCTGGCTTTGTCCACATTCCTCTTTATTGCACTGTGAGCGTTGCAAGGTACACATACGCAGAGGCAAAGCTCGCGACGTTATGCACCTCTCCAACATGGTGGAAAGCGCGAAAAGGGCTATAAGCCCGGGTAGGAGAAGTCACAGTCCTAATCCCGGCAGGGGATTCAAGAATTGGCGGGGCGACACTACACACTATTTCATGTGTGAGTGCATCCCCAATGCTGCGATGTGAGAGCTGACCGGGTTAAGATCACGATTCACAAAGTAAGCAACGTCGCACGCACTTAAGCATACTTCGAATCTTGGGTTAATTGACGCGTTCAGTAACACGCAACGACATGAATACATTGGCCGATCCGCAGGGATGGCTGGAAGACAACGTAGGCACTACATTGTCTACTATCAGGTGTTGCCACTAACGCAGATAGACGATCAACTTCTGGATGCAGTACGCCTTACTTGTTTTTACTAGTTACGATTTATCATTCTGATATGTTGACACAGGTATCTCGAAAATGAAGAACTGCACAAGTTTCCAAAAGCCAAAATCCAGCTCTTCGCCCCAAGTATGGCCACTTTCTTGAAGCACAATGAAACCTCCATATGCAGAGATGTACTTGGCCAGATGCCAGACTTGGCTGAGAATCGAACAACACACGTTTTCATACCTGTAAATAGCGATGAAAAGACCGACCACGATCTCGACTCATATCGTCCCTCCGACCTTTCGGCGGGAACACACTGGTCCTTACTTGTCATCTCTTTGATCGACAACGTCGCTTTCCACTACGACAGCCTCGATGGCGTTAACAAAAAGGATGCCATGCAGCTACTCACTGGAATCGAAGCAGCTCTGCCTGTCCCAAGAACCCTACGATATGTGGATATGCACGACTCGCCACAACAACCTGACGGATGGAACTGCGGAATCTTCGCCATCGTCATAATGAAACATCTGCTGCTTAAGCGACTGCTCAGGGCGGATGCAAATCAGAAGATTACAATGAGTATGTCAGATCCACATATGATGTGGTGTACTCCGAAAGGCTATTGGCAGGGCAAATACGAAGTACATCAATGGTTTGTAGACTTGGGCTGACTGCGTACCATCTTAGGTATGAGAGATGAGGACATTGACTATGAAGGTGCACGCAAGATGATCCGTGCCTTGATCGAAGAGCGAAGGGAGGAAGCTCTCTCGAGAAAGTGAGTGCCCAGTTTCTGTGGTATCCTGACATATCCCTTCATCCTCTATCGTTGTTTCTATTGAATGCATGTGTTGACAAGTGCAATTCAGGAGTGTCACTGCGGAAGGTGTGCCGATAATACCATTCAGAACGGCAGACATCAAGAAGGAGAAACGGACGTTTTCTTAAGATTTGAAGACCCCCGGTTCCAATCTACACCAGATTCTATGAACGATATCCTCTCCGGTGGCTTCCGGCATTACGCCTGACATTCGATCGCGGTCAGCCCGTTCCATTGTGTGCAGAGGTGCATATTTTTTACGCATATCTCCTTTAGCGGCACGGCACCTGCCCAATAGTTAGAGGGCTGTACATGCGTCAATTTCTGCTTTAATTGTAACTATCAGACCAATCATAGATACAATTCAACCGCAGCGACCATTGTATTGTATCCGTCCAGCGCAAACCACACCCTAATGCTACATTTGAGAATCGTTCCGGCAACTCAACACTGGCTGAGAGATATCAGACCGTGGTAATCTCATTCGCTCTTCTGCTTTCGGATGCGATGAGAATACAAGGCCAATTCTGTCTCAGGGCTTGTCCGATTGTCTTGTACGTCTAGTTTCTCGAGACGTTCACTTCGTGTGGCAATGCTTTGGCCTGAGCGGACTAGCCCAACACATGCGTGTAAAAGATACTTGTTTTTGCCATTGTGTGCGCATGTAGTTCGCCTTGCAATGTACCATAATACAGTGTAATCGTACAAAGCGAAGCGCCGAAACTCTCCTCCACGTGACCATGAAACAGGGTAACCATCACATCGTGCCACTTCAAAAGACCATACGCCCCAACCCACTGCCAAAACGCAAAAGGTATCCGAGCAAACCGATGACCCCATATTCAAAACCATAAAACAATGCAATCTACCGTCTCCTCGGCTGTGTCCCCAACAACCTCTCCAAATCCGCAACCCCCGCCGCTCTCCTCCTCTTCCCGCCCTCCTTCTCCGCAAATGCCAACCCCATCAACTTCCTCTTATCCTCCTGGATCCCCAGCACGCGCTCCTCGATACTGCCCTCGACCACCAGCCTGAAAACCTTCGTCTCCCGCTTCTGCCCCAGCCGGTGCACGCGGTCGACAGCCTGGTCCTCTATCGCAGGCGCCCACCAGCTGTCCGAGAGAATGACTTGATTTGCTGCAATGAGATTCAGGCCGACGGAGCAGACGGAGAGCGAAGCGAGCATGATAGTGCAGGTAGGGGAGGTATCGAAGGTGTCGAGGGCGGCGTCGCGCGCGGTGGCGGGCATGCTCCCGTCGATTCGGGTGTAGGTCATGCCGGCAGCGCGGAGGTGTGGTTCCAGGAGGGTGAGGAAGGTAGTCCACTGGCTGAAGACAATCGTTTTGTTTGTGGTGTCCTGTGCGCTAGCTTTGAGGATGCTCATTAATGCGTTTACTTTGCTGGATGCGTTGTTCTCAAGGGAATCTTTGTCTGCGAGTTGTTCCTGCGTTGGGGGTAGAGGGGCGGCTAGGTCTTTTGCGGGCTTCACGGTCGTGGTGGCGAGGGTGTCGAGCTCTGCGCGACACATGGGGCACTTGTGCTGGGTCTCTATGACGCGCTCGATGCAGGCGGTGCAGAAGATGTGCGCGCATTTCGTGATGATGGGGTCTTTGTAGGAGTCTAGGCAGATGGGACAGTCTTCTTGGGAGTCGATGGAGAGCTGGAGTATGTTTTGGAGGGCGGATTTGTTCTCCTCGGTGAGGTCGACGATGCCTTCGGCCTCCAGCTGCTTCATGATGGAGTCGATGCGTTCTTCGCTGATCATCTTCCAGTGATTGCAGAGCTGGCGCATGCGGAGGAGAACTTCGAGCAGGTGACGGTAAGTATCTGATGCGTCTCTGCCCCCCGCTTTCTTGCGGTATAGATCGAGTGTACCCTTCGCTTGGGCTTCGAAAGCGTCGTACTTCTCCTGCTCATGGGGTAGGAGAGTGACCTTGTGAACGTACTCTGCAAGGTCGGGTAAACGCAGGTCAATGAACGACATTCCCTTCTTGCGACGGAGACAAATACCCGCCATGAGCATCTGGAGCGCCCGGCTTCCACAAGCGTCTCCTGCCATGACCGGACGCATGATAGCGGCATGGAAAATTTCCAAACTGTCCAAACCACCAGAGAGACCTAGGAAACGGACCAAGGAGAATAAGTCCTTGAGATTGTTGATGATAGGTGTACCTGTTAATGCCCACCGTGACTGAGCCATGAGATTGGTCGCCGCGACTGTCTTCTTCGCCTTTGGATTCCTAATATTATGGCCTTCGTCGAGGATGACCCTGCGCCATTTGACGGAGAATACGCCTGATTTTCGAGGAACTGTGGTGGACTTCTGGGAATGCCACTCCGATGACACGCTATCGTAAGTGCTGATGACTACGTCGAAGTTTCCAATCGACTTGGGCGTGATGGGCTCTTTCCGGTTACCATGGTAGAACATGACGCGAAGAGCATGTTCCTCTTTGATATGCTTCTTGATCTGTGTGCTCCAATTGCTCATCACACTGACAGGTGCAAGGATGAGCGTTGCGTTACATACATCTGTTGCTCGACGCCCAAGCTGGCGGTCAGCCATGATCAGGGAGATGATTTGAATAGTCTTTCCTAAGCCCATGTCATCAGCCAGGATACCGCCACTGGCTAGAACTGGTTTGGTGACTGAGAAATTAGTTGCAAGATTGGTGAAAGCACCGCGTATTGTTGAATGTGGTTGCCACAGCTGTACAACATCCTTGGTGCCCTCTGCGGGTAGCTTAGGACTCTCCTTCTCGAGCAGCCAATGCAGGCCTTGGAGTTGGAAGTCGTGTAGCTCAGTGGAAAGAGCTTTGGGTTGAGCAGCCTTCGGCATTGCGGCCTATGGCTGTTAGCATGCTACAGTTGTTAGAGCGTGCACAGCTTACTAGATCCGATTCTTTAATGCCGAATTCCTCCACGAACTGCTCAGCGTTCCTGGGATTAAATCTCTCGCTACCCCCGATAATGTCTTCCAAAGTTGGTCCTGGCTCGACACCCTGCGAAGACCCAGCTGCATATTCTGCGAGTCCGCCTCCGTATTGTTGACCTCCACCGATGACCACAACGGCACCACCCTGCTTCTTCGCCCTTTTGGCGGCCTGCGCAGCGATCTTCTGTCTCTCTTTCTGTCGCTGCGTCTCCTTTTTCTGTAGTTGTGTCACATCCTTCCAACTTGAGGTAGGAAGGCCGGCACTTCTCATGTTATCAATAAGCATCTGGCGGGTGTTGGGGTCACTAGGACCGTAGATGCGAAGCATGAGGGGGCATTCATAGTATTCCTTGCGTCCGGAAATTGTAGCTTCGATAATCAAGCTATGGCGGTCCATGAATGGGGCAAGCTTCGCAGCTTGAGTTCTCGGTATGTGCCCTATCTGCTCACGATTCACGTTAAGCACTTGGATCGCATTGCCTGGGGCCCGTCAGCATTGGGGGCTTCGGTATTTTTACGAACAGCGCAGACACTCACGATCATACTGATTGTTTGGCTCGCGGCGAGGAATGGCGATTTCTCCCAAAGTCGCGTGCCCACTGTAGAACCTGACGCCCACGATTTTCGTGCTAATGACGCCATACAGGACGTAGCTCTCTATCTCGCCAAAGCTCTGGCTAGAGTCCTGTACCTCTTGCGATCCATCGTCTTGGTCATCTTCGTCGTCAATGACAAAAGGATCGTACTGGGAAGAGCCAGGTGCTGCGTGCGCGGGCTGAGAATTGTAGCTGGTACGCGCTGACTTGGATGGACGCGACTGCGATGAAGCTTGCGATGACACATGACCTCCGTTTGGAAGGGTTCGGGGCGCTCTGTAGGCCCCGTAGTCGTTGTAGTAGGGTCGCTTCTGTCCCGCCATGATAGCTGCTGTAGATATGTTGCTACGAGTGGAGGAGCGAGGGAGCGGGGGAGGGCGACTATCGATTATTGTAGGGATGGGCATCCCGGAAAACTGGGTCCCGGGTGCGGAGAGTTTCAACGTTGAGCTGTTCAAAACGCGCTAAGACGCGAGGTCCAGTGATCCCCCTGGCGATCAATATCGGGACTTGGCGTAGAGGGAATTTTTGCTTTTGATAGGTATCTAGTCTATGTAGGGAGCATTGCAGTCATGCGAATTAAAGTCAACCCACCGCAAGCATGTTTCCGACATTGGTCTTGATCATCTCCACCTAAGACGACGAATCTTCATCGCGCCTCTCGTACTCCCAAGCGTCCTGGAAGACATCGATCAAGCAACTAGCGGACCAAGCTTGCGTCGGACAGCTATCGCCGCAGAACACTCCATCCTTCTGACTCAACTCTGTGAGCCCCGCCCATGGACTTTCTTCGATCTGCCGCATCATACCCGCCATTCTCCTCGTGACCTGCTGATAACTCTCGACCCGCTCCTCGGGTGTTTTCTTCCGCTGCAAATCGAATTTCAATAGGGCGCGGCAGTGAAAACCCAGAGGCCAGCCCCATTCGGGACCTTGGTGATAGTTACGACCCTTGGAGGTGTGGAAGTCGGTCGAATCCTCACTGTTGATGTAGAACGGGCGGTAGTTGTAGTCGGAGGGGTCAAGTGTTTTCATGCCGACTGGGCCGAGGAGATTCTTGTCCGCGACTTCGAGGGCGTAGAGGGCGTGGTCAGGGTCAAAGAGTTGGGGCGCTACCGTCATGGCTATGCTATAGTTCGGGCGGAGCTGGTAATCCTCATACTCCTTGCCACCGCGGTAAGTGTCTTTGTAAATACCACGGCGGTTGATGATCTTCGGGTTCACATCGTAATCGGCGTCTTCTTCAGGTGTGCGTGGGACGTAGAAAGCGCGCTCGAAGTTGGCCTTGATCTTGTCGGCCCATGCTCGGAACGAGATGACTTTCTTGCCGCCTTCGAGGGTCACGCCTTCGTACTTGTATTTACCTTGGTCCCGTAAGTCGGCCACCCAGTTGAGACAACTGTACAAAAGACCGATGATCTCCACAGGGGCACCATCACGAGGCGTGCCAGGCACACCTTTGCTGCCTGCCTTCTCGCTCTCACCCATCTTGTCCATCCATGTGCCACAGTTCCATTGGTTGCCACCAAAGATCAGACCGGTCTCCCAATCGGGCTGCACTTTGATGTTGAAGCCTTCGTCTCTCATTTGACTGTCGATGTTCGGACCAGCATCGTACTCTCGGAAGTCCAGGCCTGTGGCATGGCGTTGCAGTATCTCCTGGATCACATCTTCGATTGTTGACGACTGGGAGTAGGCTCGCTCGTCATCGTATGGGAACCAGGTATCATCGTAGGGAAGGAAGCGTCTCGGCGCCTTGTCATGGAGCAGATCAAGCCCACTTGGAACAATTTTGGTGTAATCTTGTACATTTTGGGTGAACCACCAAACCGAGTCCCTGGAGTTGTAACGGGGCAGCTTGCCACTGCTCAGAAGGTTTGGAATCATGCCATGTTTCACAACGCTTGCGAAAGCTAAGATGTGTTCTCTGGCATCAGCATACCGTCCGGTGCCCATAAGAAGACCACGAGCAGAGATGCATATGTCACGACCCCAGCAACGTGCCCAATCGTACGCAAAATGAGGAAGACCGGCTGCCATGCTGGGAACGCTTTTCTCAGGCCAAAGCGAAGTAGTGTTCATGAGACCGGTCATCTGGTAACTGACCAAGGAGAGACTGCGCAGGAAAGCCGGGCCATTGCGAACGTTCTCGCCCATAAGTTCGACGGCTCGATCTACGGCGGCATTGTACGCGGTCTGGATGACCATAGCGAACGATCTTGGCAAGAGGAAGCTAGGGATTTGGCGGATTCTATCGCAACGTTCCTCGAGCCACTTGGCGGGTCCTGCGATGCCAGGGTACTGCTCTTTTTCCGCGAGCCGCTTTAGACGGCCGACGCAGTAATCCAATGCCCACTGGCCTTCTCGAAGGTGGTTACAGACTGGGTGACCAAGGTTGTTCTCGTCGACAACAGTGCGCAACACACTCCACCAGCCTTGGAGACCGGCATACACCAGCTGACCATGTCCAGGGACGTTGTAGGTGCCATCTCGGTTGTCGGAAGCGTCCCGTTCCTCTTGATCACAGCGATACAAAATGTGGTTGAGGTCTGCAAGAGTACATTTGCTGAACGCCTCTCGCGCACCAGAGGTGACAAACTTGTCAAGGCCTTCGTCATGCTCTGCAGAAGGGACCGAGGTCTCGAAAAGCGCGATACTCCCAGGTGGGAAGCTGTCAGGGATACGAATTGTAGTCGAGTCGCCAGCCGATTCGATGACAACGCCTTGAATATCCTTGGTTCGGCTGGGTAGACCACGCAGTATCTTGTCACCGATGACAGTCTTCCGCGTTTCGGCGCTGTTATCAACTTCAAGGTTCCAAGCCCCAACCAGCTTCGCTTGAGTGCCTGGGAGGTTCGTGGGCCCAAATCCTCCATTTCCATTGCCGTATCCAGGGAACGCAGTGTGGGCGATCAAGAAGTAGCCTTTTCTTGTTCGAGGGTTGACGCGGTGAACGGTAATGTACTCGTTTTCGTGATGGATATAAGTCTCGGTGTACTCCTTCTTGCCCATCTCCACATGGATCTGGTTCAAGATCTTCCGGAGGCCGCCGATACCGCCCTCGCCTGCCTGTGCCTTGATCCGGCCGCCAGTAGAGTTGATTGATGTGTAAAGCCTCTTTTCATGGACCAACTCGATTAGCTCAGGATAGACTTCGTCAAAACCGAAAACACTGCCAGTAGCACATGAGCACATGGCCACCAAGGCGGCACTGGGTAGCGTATCGCGGGCATCACGTTTCTGCGCGGGCGTCTCATTGTCGTGTGTGCAGTCCATGAACAAGGCGTGTACTGGACTCTTCTTGATCTTCTTTACAACACGCCGAGCGCCATCTGGCGTAACCGTTGTTGCCGATGGATCGGCATTCATAACCTCATCCGTATCGAAGCTGCCAATGGGCACGCCACCATGACGATGCACCAATCGGCTGAGTTCTTGTGTGCTCCATGCTTGCATGCATTCTCGGATGAGTGCATGTATACCAAGCTCTTTTACGAATTTAAAGTCCATCTCTTCAGATCCAGAGAACAATTCAGCAACGCAAAACAAGTCGGGATTGACCGTACGGGCCTGATCGAGCATATAGCTGGCGAGATGAATCGGGGTCGAGTGACAATTGTCGATTCGAAAGCCCTGGAAGTACTTGGCCATCAATCTTGTATATTTTGCCATGTGCTCCCAGAGGTAAGGATTGTCGTCCGGCCCATTACCATAACGGAGCTTCACGCAGTCGCCCCACACGATAACCTCTCGTCTCAAATATGCTCTGGACTTGGAACCAGCATTGTCTCTCATCGCATCCGCAGCCCAGACCCAACCGTTGTTGACAAGGGCCAGCGCTTCCGGGTTATGCTTCTTGGTAGTCTCGTTGAGAGGCAGCCGCGTGAAATATGGCTCAGTGAGTGGGCTGCTGTCGGTAATTTCGCCCATTTTCGGACCATGGTCATCCAAGCGGCAATACTTGATACGGTTGAAAAGTTGCTCCATAATCTCAGCGGCATCCGCGTCGTACTCGCGATAGAAATGGAGATTGAGTTCATCGATGATTTGACGAAATGCTTCGTTTGCCGCACTTTCGTCGGGAGCATCGCTATGTCTGGTATCATACCGACCAAATAGAGCAGTGAGCAGTGAGGCGCCAGTGTCTGCATCAACAGAACGGCGGTAGCGTTCGCCAAGTCTATCACCACCTTGCAAGGCATGATCAATGATCCAATCGGCCTTCTGCTTCAGCGACCAAGCCTTTACAGCATCAAGCCCACGTAGACCAGCCTGTCTAAAGCTGTCATCGGGGAATTTGACTTGTCCGGCAGTCCAGGACTGCACCACGGCTTTTGCGGCACTCTCCTTGTCGACAACGTAGTACTGCCACAGCTTGGTCTCTCCAAGCACGCGCGTCTTCACACCATCCATGATCCGTAACAAGTCATCTTGACTACTGATCTTCGTTGGCAGGCCCAGTGAACGCAGGTCACGGCTGAATTTGAGGAGCGCTGTGTCGAGATCAAGTGCAGGTCGAAGCCAGGGCGCCGTATCTACATTGTACCCAGACTCAGGATGCTCCTCAAGCCACTTGCTGTTGTTGGCAGTATGATTCCAGACCACGTCTGTCATCGCCAGTAGGTTGTATTCCTCATGCATCTTCTGCACGAGAGACGCAATATCCTTCTCGCCATTGGGAAATATGGCGGGGTCAAAGCGGTGCTGATCATAGATGCTGTAGGGCGAATTCGAATCGCCTCGGATGTTCAGCGGCGTGAAGTGCACCATGTTGTATCCACGCTGGCTGATGCCGTGCAAGTGGTTGTTCCAGTCGGTAGGATAACTGCCCATAAACTTGGAGAGACAGGTGAATAGCGAGATAGACTCAATGGGGACTTGTTCGCCACGCAGCGTAAGCCGTGGACAGACATCGATGTAGTATGTTGGTGTGCGGGTAGGTCTTGTCGGAGCAACGTCCGTGAAAGACCACTGCGGCAGTGGCGTGTAGGTGGTGTAAAAGGAATAGGCATTGGCCTCGTAGATGGGTATGTCGTGCTTGATAGTGCCATTGAAGTCTGGGTTCAGTCTGCACTTCGTGTCAGCGCAAGGCCAGTGGATGGATTGCAGATGGATGCTCACTTATATTCGCGATAGTGATCGCGCCTGAACTTCTCGCCTTTGGCGGGGATGTTTACCCACAGACTGCCTTCACGACATATCGAGCTTGTTCCCTGGATCTCGAAGCAGACATGGTACGGGTTGTCCCTGTTAGGCGGCGGCAGCAGTATGTACTGGCCGTCCACTTTCGGGGCACCGTTGTCGGCCAAGGGCAGCAGGTAGACATCCTGCGTTCTTGGTGTCGTAGGCATAGCTTTGTGTGCAATTGAGACGTATCAAAGTCGGCTGGGGCGGTGGGCTGGCTAGTAAACAATGGCAGATGTGTGTAAATGTGCTGCAACAAGCAGTAAAAATAGGTGCGCGGCGGAGGTGCGAGGGTGATGGAGGAGAAGAGGGATCGGCCAGGCGATGCAAAGGATACACACAGCGTCGCGAAGTGGCAGGAAGGATGAGGGCGCAATTGCCCTTTCTCTCTAAAGTGGGAGAGAGCGCAAAGGTGCGGGCGATGTCGATCGGCAGCCGATGCAAGCAACGCTCAAAACGCGCTGTCAGCCGCTGGCCGTTCCTGACCATACGTCATGCCGCCCAGTTGCAGCATCCCGCGGTCTGGTCTCGAATCTCTCCGCCTTGGTTTCGCGTAGCGCGGAGCGGCGCACGCTCCAAGAGATGCATGGTGGAGCTAATGCACGGCCATTGCACGCTTGTCGGAGCACACCGCAAAGTTCAACGGAAATTCTCTTCGTCCACCTCTACGCTATACCGATATATCGTACAAGTCCCTCTCCATCCCCGCTAGTGCTCCGTCAAACCATCGAACCATCAAAGCATCGGGACATGGGAAGTCGACCTAATAATGACGCCAAAATGCAACTCGCATGCAACCTAACTCCACCGCTTAGTGCTAATTGACCAAAAGACTACAAGTGCTGCCACGAGCCCAAAAGGATTCGAGAACGGGTATCGCGACATCGCGGCAGCCAACACAGAACCCAAAACATGCAGTAGGTAGGAAGTAGAAAAGCAAAATCGAGACTGTACCCTCGTTCATCATCCAACGCACATGAACACTTTCCGTAGAAAATCATGGTCCGCGTTGTACGTCTTCCGTTATCGTCCATTAGGTCCATTAAAGTCTATTGAGAATGGGGAACTGGGCGGATTGCTGAGATCGAGGCGAAACTGGCTCTCCGAGGGGCCTCTGCTGTGCTGCGCCTGAGTGGGCGTTGCGCCCATGTCTTCGTTGTCTACCGCGTCGGCCCTGACTGAGGGTGGTGCTCGTTTGGGAGTCGCACGCGCATTGAACGCTTCGCGGCTGTCCGACGAAGAAATCGCTCGGTCCGCCGAGAGGTCCCTTTCATGCGCACCTCCACGCTTGGAGCTACTGGACTTCTCGGAAGAGAGTAGAGACACGTTCGGCGGAGTAGCACGTCCGGAAGCCAGGCTTCGGTCTGAAGATACTCCCCGCGAAGAGGGAGCTTTTCGGTCCCTCGACTCGTTTCGTGCTGAAGAAGACTTGAAATTGTCTCCGAGAAATCCCGATGATTGTGAGCCTTTCGTCTTGCTGGAGCCGTGTCCGTTACGAGATGGAGTGGGTTGGGGCCTTGTCTGGGTTTCTACGGTCTCCAGCAACCTCACCTCTTCAACAAGATATTCCTTCTCCGTCCAGCACCCCTGCCAGCAATTGCGCCAGTCCAGAATCAGGAATTGGAAGCAAAACGCATCGATCTTGATTGCGGGTTGAAAGCATATGCACAGATTGTTGTAGTTCATCTTGTTGAATTCGGAGCACGAGTGCAGCAGGCTGATGTGGCAGGTGATGGCGAACAGGAGGTAATAGTTGAATGGCGGCAGCTTCGAGAGCTCGTCTTTCAGAAGCTGAGGTGTACTTTTCGCACCTTGGCACTCTTGTTGAATCCGCGACTGAATAGCCTTGGGAAAGATTTCGTCAGGCAATTGTCGCAGCCAATTTTTGAACAACGAGCCGATGACATTCGGGTCGTTTAGGTTTTCATCAGCGATGAGGTCGATATCTCGATCTATCAAAAGTCAGCCACACGCTGGGCGTGATGCAACGGTACACGCACCTTGATCGAACTTTTGCTCGTAGTATCGGATCTGATGAGCGGCGCCAGGAACACGATAAAGGCCTTCCTCTTCACATCCTCTCATGTTTAAATAGCTGTGACGCCAGTCAGTGAACGTGATCTCTCAAGCAAGCAGCAGGAACATACTCAATACAGCGCCAGGGTAGCGCTGGCATCCAGAACTCTGTCTTGTCTTTGGAGTTTTCCAGACGACTTGAGATTCTAGTTAATCTCGTCTGTTCGACCAATGGCGTGTGGATAATCTTGAACTGATATTGTTCCTTAGGCATTTGGAGCTCTCTTTCGTGGTTGCTCGAGCTCCGTCCCAACTTCCCAAAGAGACCCTTACGAGCGGAATTGAGTTTCTCGCCAACTTTCATAGCACCTGAACCCATGTTGGACATCAACTGAGCGCCACGACTCTCGTTGAATGAACCCGAGGCCACCGAGCTCTGTTCCCCTCTGTCTCTTCGCGCATCATCTGGATCACGTGGTGCGAGCTGAGAGGCATCGTGACGGTCTGCAGAGTGCGTTCGTAACTTGCCAAAAGCCATGTTCGAACGCCATGATTTGTCCTTGTCCATCGGCGCACTTTTTAAAGGTACAGCATCGCCATTTTGCGACCAAGATGCAGTCGGATCTGGTGACAGTTTGGCAGGCTGGACTTTGTTGAGTTTCGTTCGCCCGGGCCCTTCATCGGTTTTAATCGACCTCGATCGTCCAGGCATACCGCCCTGTTTCTTCGCTTTCGTTTTATCGTGCTTGGAGTTCGGAGTATCTTGACCGACCTCTGCTGCCTCGGATGACTTGCTGGAACCGCTTGGCTGCTCGAATGCAATGTTTTCGGATCGATTGTCTGTTGCTGTCAGTTGGCAATGCAAAGTAATAAGACAACACTACGCCAACAAATCGAGATCCGCATGGTTCCCTGGAGAAGGAAACAATAATCGCACGGAATCGAACGTTCGGCATGTGTGCTGTAGGTCACTTACCATCGGAATTTGGTGTTTGGACCGGACGACTCAGGTCTGGCGTGGAATTACCGCTACGACCATTCACATAGATCGCGGCTTGACCCTCTCGTGGTTCGGGCAATTGGCGACCCGCCTTTTCGGGATTTATCAGGCGCGATGAAGACCGCGTGGCGGAGAAGTTGGAAAAGATGCTCTTGGAGTCCTTTCGGGGCTTAGGCGAGGCGGGCGATGCAGGCATGTCGTGGTAAGGGGCGGTCGGTGTTGTACCGTTGAGGCCGTTGCCGTTCATGTCTGGGGACGATGGGCTTACAGGGCTAAGCGGAGAGTTTACGTTTTCGTTTCCGCCTTTGGACCGCATGGCTAGGGACAAAGAAGACGATTTGGGCATTTTTCGAAGTGATTTCCGTGGCGGGCTCCAAGACTGGGTACGTCTTAGTACAGCTGTGGCATAGAACAATGCCGATCTCCTGCTTCGCGGACGAGATATTTGGAGGTGGGCAAAATACCTCGGTGTATGGCGCCTCGACCTGGGAGTGAGTGAAATAGTTCGGTGGGTCGGGCGAGCGGTACGTAGGGCGAGGAGACGGCTTTATGAGCACGGGAACATGCGGCGGCGGGTGATGTATGTGGTATTCGAAAGTGGGCGTACGGTTAAGGGGACTGTAATCGCGCATGGTTGTCAGCGTGTGTAGAAAACGGGCAGCAGTTCCAGGCTGGGGAGTATTAGAGGCCAGGAGAAGGTAGCACGAACCGTGGCAACCCTGCTGTGGTGGAGGACTGCTCTTTGCACTGCCGTCTGCAGGAGCACACGAATGCGTGCGCAGCGAGGGGCGAGTGTGATGCTGCGTAGAGCAGGGAGAACGGCAGGCCTGCGGGATCCCGCTGTCGATCCGGACGCGGCGTTTGTGCGACCGACGAGTGCGTACAGTCTACGCTTACGGTGCTGTTGACTCAGAGGGCGATTCGGCGGGATGGCGCGAGGTTCAGGGCTGCGTGCTTGCTACTGTCAGTACGAGAAGCCATAGCCGACCTGCGGTACCACATTGACCTGCCACGGTGTTGAAACAAAGGAGGGGGCAGTCCCAACGCCGGGTCGGGCAGCACTCACCTGCGCCAGAACAAGGGAGAATGACCTGAGCAAGTCAAAGAGGCGTGCACCGTCAATGTGGGCTGCGTACAGGGAGGTCCAGGTCGGCGCAGACGGCGGCTGCGCTGCCAGTAAATGAGTGCTGCTGGGTGCTGCTGGGGGCCCGTCGGCGGGACGCGTTTGGCAGCAGGCGGTGCGGCAGGGCGCGGTGAAGGGCGGCGGTCGTCGAACGGCGAGGTTCTGGCGACGGGCACAGACAGTCAAAGGCTCACGGCGGGGAGAGGTCTGGAAAGGTCCCGTGGCCTGCGGGACGAGAGGAGCAGCGGCAGCGGCAGCGACAGCGACAGCGACGTGTGAGGATGCTGGAGGACGCTCGGGCCCAGGGCCGTTTGCGCCAGGCACAGGCACAGAGGTCGCGCTTCTACAAAGTATACTACGGCGCACTAGTTGGGGGCCGGCGACAGCAGCGGATGGATGGATGGGGAGGGAGGGATGCGCGACGGGGCTCTGACGCGCAGAGACAGCGCGTCGACGGTGCAGCAGGAGAATTGCCTGCATGCGGCGGCAGTCTCAGCACCAGGCGCTCGCTCACACGCAGCGTGTGAGTGAGCCCCGAGTAGGGCCAAGGCTCTGCGAAGAGGGTTTCAGGCGCCGGCTCCCGCGGACGCCAACAGCCTCGCTGACGGGCCCATGGCAATGGTCTTTATGCACCAGTCTCCGCTCCACACACAACCGCAGAACATCACCCGCTGCCCGTCCCAGCGCCAGGGCCATGTCTCTTGTCTCTGGGCCTGGTCGAGGCATGGCCTCCCTGCCTGCCGAGACGCGCTTGTATGTCGACAAGCACGTCAGCTACATCCAGAGTCTCGATACTGTGCGTCTGCCTTCAGTGCACGCTGCGTTTGGGGTGCGCACAGGATAGCACTGACTGCCGCAGCGCAAAGATGAACTCGAGTACTGGCTCACCGAGCATCTCAGGCTCAACGGCCTGTACTGGGGCATGACCGCCCTGCATCTGCTCGGCCATCCTGAAGCGCTGCCCCGCGACGGCATTCTCAAATTCGTCTTCTCCTGCCTGCACGAGAGCGGTGGCTTTGGTGCTGCACCGGGACACGATGCACACATGCTGTACACTTGCAGCGCCGTGCAGATCATCGCGACGCTGGACGCTTTTGACAAGCTTGAAGCGCACATGGAGCATGGGCGCCGCAAAGTCGGCCAGTGTATGTTTGGACTAGTAGCTTGATATCGCTGTGCTCACGAGATGTAGGGATTGCCAGTCTCCAGGACCCGGAAACAGGCACCTTTGCTGGTGATGAGTGGGGCGAGAAGGACACGAGATTCATATTTAATGCCTTCTTATCCCTATCTCTCTTGGGACTGCTCGATTTGGTCAACGTCGACAAAGCAGTCCAGCACATCAACTCTTGTGTCAATTTTGACGGCGCGTACGGGACCAGTCCGGGCGCTGAGTCCCATTCGGGCCAAGTTTACACATGCGTGGGCGCGTTGACCATTGCGGACAGACTCGACCTGGTCAATCAAGAAAGGTTGGGGGCGTGGTTGAGTGAACGACAGCTCAAGAACGGTGGGCTAAACGGAAGGCCGGAGAAGACGGAGGATGTGTGCTACAGCTGGTGGGTGATGAGTAGCCTCGCTATGATCAACAAATTGCATTGGATAGACGGCGAGAAGTTGACTGCATTCATACTCGGTTGCCAGGTGGGTAAGACGCTGAACCTCCATAGCGCGTCTAACAAATGCAGGACCCTGACTTGGGAGGTCTGTCCGACAGACCTGGCGACATGGTAGATGTTTTCCACACGCATTTTGGCATAGCGGGACTCAGTCTGCTCAAGTATCCTGGGCTTGCGGAGGTAGACCCTGTGTAGTAGGTCTCTCGCCCAGTCGCCTATTCTAAGAAGCTAACATAGGTGCAGTTGCATGCCCCGGGATGTTGTGCAGCGATGCCTAGGTAAATGAATGAGGCGAGGAAGTTTCTCAATAACCATGATGCCTGGTGACCATGAAGTGAGAGAGCCATGTGGACGGGTAGACATCTCCATGGATGTTGAAGGCGCGGGTCAGCACGCTCCCCCAACGACTCAAGTGCTTGAGCCTCCGAGCTAACATTGTTCACGTGCTCACGCGCTACCTTGGTGCATCGAAACTACAACTGTTCTCCTCTCAATCTTCATACCCTTCATTTCATATTGACAGAATACTGATCCTCTCACTACGTTTTCTATCCCGAAGAGTTGGGTACTGGGTCAAGCATACCGACTGTTGCCGTTCTTGCTAGTTCTCCCACGTGGTACAGGCTGGAAAACGGCATCCACCGTCCCTCACCCTTCTCCTCTTTCTTTCCATTGCTTGCCTCTTTCCTCCGTTGTTCTCCCGAGGCCATCTGTGCCTGCTTCCAATTCCCGTGCTTCATCCCTCGCGTCAATGGTGCAACTACAGCTGCGGCAGTGACTGGGAAGCCTAGCTAGTCTTATCAAGCCTGCTCTTTCATCACCTCTTCTCCTTCTCAATCATCCACCCGCTCCTTTCAAGTCGCTCTCTTTCGTTACCAACTACGCTGCAGGGACAGCACTTTCACTTTTCACTTCATTGTGCCGCGTTCTGAGCGTCTGCGTTCCACAGTGGCGGCCATGGCCTCCGCCAACATACCCCTTCACTGCAGCATTTGCCCCAAGCGTCCTAACTTCAGCGATGTATCTCATTTGCTCACCCACATTGCCAGCAAGGGCCACCTTTCCAATTACTACAAGATCAAGGTTCGTTCCGGCAACGATGACGCTGCACGCCGTCTAGTTGAGTCTTACGACCGATGGTATGCCGAATGGAACGTCGAGGATCTGATGTCGGACCGGATGACACAGAAGGACAAACGCCGCTCGCGGACGAGGCCTGTCGGTACGCGTCTTAACCTGCTCTGCCTGCTTCACTCCGAAACGTGCATAAGTACTGATTTCTGCTGCAGCTCGCCAGACGCCCGCGCCAAAAATCGAGGCTCCGATTCCCCGCCCTGCTCGTCCTCGCGCTGCCGTGGGTAATCTACTCGACCCTCGCCTGTCCGAGCAACAGTTGATCAAACTCGAGACCGCCGTTACGCCCACGTCGACTCCCCGGCCAGGGCCCGTTCTACGGCAGCGACCGCCTCGCGTATTTGGTGCTCATATGCAGTATTGGCCCGGCACAGATTCACGTGCGTGTTACCCCCGGAAAGACAAGACCTGATCTAACATTGCTCAGGTGCAAGCTCTCGCAGCTATACGAACGACTACGACACGTCGAGCGAATATTCGGACCCAAGCGAGCGCCATCGATACCACAACGCAGTCCGTGAGGATTCGTACGCCATTGGCGACGATCCCGCCGATATAGGCTCAGCAGACACCATGGCGGTTAGCGAGAGCACCAAGCTCAAGGGCGTCTATTGGCCAGGCATGGACATATTCGATTCGGCCACACCTGAGATGCGTCGCAAGCGCAACCAGAAGAAGGACAGCTCTGTCGTTGAACAGTTGGAGACCAACTCACAAGAAGTGGAGCCTACTGAGCTCATCTTCACGCCCACGGGCTCTTTCAAGCGCCAGCGAAGGATTTCAAGCTCCGTTTACGACGATGAAGATGACGAGATGATCAAAGCCGAGAGTCCGACGCCCGCGTTGGCGCGACCGGCCCTAGCTGCCCTGGACGTCAACGCGTCCCGCCGGCAGCGCCGCGTTACTCTCGTTCAACAATCTCATGTTGGTCGCGGAAGCCACGAGGACGAGCACGCTCGGTCTGACCGCGGGAACAGCTATGGAGATCGCGCTCCCAAGCGAAAGCGGAGGTTTGAAGTCTTCCAAGATGACGATGTATCTTTCGGCCAGCCTGCGCCATTCCATACTCTCACTGCTGGCTTCCACCATCAACTTTCCCCAACGCCGGCTCCGACTGTATCTCCATATAAAAATTACAACCGCCACCCTTTCCAACTCGAACACAGGACTGAGAACAAAGAGAACATGCCACCTGTGTTCCACCATGCGTCAGCATATGAGAATCACCACGCCCATCAACCTGCTGCCTTCCACTACCAGGCCTTCACTTATGGGCTCACCCAAGAGCATCCTGCCGTTCAATACCACAATCAGCTTTACATGCCGATGCATGGCTACCACCCGAGCCAGGATGACGACGATAATCGCACCCTCACGGCCCCGCCGTCGCCATCCACAGCTTAACTGACACCGCTGTCCAGCGATACGGCTCCTTAGAGCCACTCTCATCATTACGCCACGAAAGGGGGTACCTTCGTGGCTTTCAGTGCGGGCCATCTTGGCACCACTCTGAGCACTCAGCTGTCGACTCTCGCTTCTTGTTTTGATTTTACGTTTCATCTTCAGCAGGCGAGAGCGACAACAATGTATGCGGACTGTTTCCTCCTACTTCAAGCTTACGGTTTACGGCTTATGGCATCATGTACAAGTAGTATAATTATGATCATGGCATCTCTTACCGTTTGGACATGTACTATAGCAGTCGTTGACTGCATTCTTCTTCGAGGGTTTCCTGGCCCTTGGTTTGGCATACTCTCGTTACCCAAATTTGTTTGCGAGCATGGATGGAGACAAGGCTGATGGGCTTGTACAATATCCACTGCAAATGCATGCTTAATGAAGGTGTTTCGGTATATCATTCGCCCAACTACATGGTGCGTATGATACTGAATAGCTACGCTGGCCAAAATACATGCTGTAGGCAACAAGCATACCGAGGCAACGCTACGAAAGACGTCTATATTAGCAGACTCGGCTTGTGGATGATCCATCTGGGGTAACATGCTCTCTATGTATAACGTCGTATTCAAGGACCGTACAGCGTCCAGGCTGCCCCCGCACTTCATCTTGTCACAGACTCCTTCCGCGCCGAAAAGCCGTTCCTCGTACCCTCTCGATCTTCACACCTTATTTTTCTCACCATTGCGCCCCTACGTCCCATCTACCTCGCTTTCTTATCTTCTTCACACTCAAGCGTGGGGTCCGCTTCAATACCGTTGATAACGCGGTAGCACCAGCGCAGTCCGGCGCCCACGGCCCACATGGCGACTCCGCTTGCGGCGAAGAGACCAATGCGCTGGGGCGTGTTGAGGAGGGAGAAAATGGGGTAGGGGTAGAAGCCTGCGGGTATCAATCAGTCGGGAGTGTGGGGTTAGGGGAGTAGAGGTTTGTCGAGGGCCAGGGGTCGGCCTGGTGCGGCGGTAATCAGATGGAGGAGACTACAGGAACACGCGAAAACCTTCGAAGAGATTGGCGTGCAACAAAGTCTGTGAAGAAGGCCTGTTTGGTAGGAAACCGGGGGCAGACGCACCGTTTCGCGAGTAGCACAGCTCGATCCAAAACCAGTAGAGGAAGGCGATTACTGTGGAGGAAATCAAGGAGATGAGGGAGGCGCGCGGGTTGACGGGGCTACTAGGCCAGGGAGGCGAAAGGAGGAGCGCGTCTAGCGAGAGCAATAGAGATGGGAAGACTAGGTCGGGCAAGTCAGCCATTGGCTTCTGATTTATAGCATAGGAAAAAAAAACATACAGTGGAAGCCTAGATCGTCCATTATGGGCGGCATAGGCAGATCAGGCGGGATGACAAGCTTCGGATCGATCTGTCTGTGTTTAGTACCTGGCTTTGTTAACAGCAGAGATGAAATGCGTACGGCTCGCAGTCCCCAGTAAAGTATGCTAATGAGAATCTCTATCGGAGCGGCGACGAGTGCAAGGTAGTTCTTGATGGCGAACAACCGTTGTGAGGCAGTTATGTCTGCGAGCAGGCCGATGCTGAAACATGTTGTTGAGATTGAGAGACCGAGAATGGTGAGATATTGGAGGTGCCAGCCGAATGACTCATTCTGTGAGAGAAATTAATAGACATAGGAAGCGGAGTTCCTGGCGGAAGTGTCTTTTGAGACTTGCACATGAATGATGACTGAAGGTGACGACTAAAGACATTGGGCAAGATGTAATTGATTATGGTGTAGGATGAGTCGGGTCGGCAATCAAAAGAGATAATCAAAATAAACGTCTCAAGGAGAACCTGATAGGCAGAAGAATGGGACGGATTTAGAAAGTCGGGCTTATAGTACTCCATAAATGAGACGAGTCAATCATCTTTCACGTACAATGATGTTAGGGTTGTCAACTAGGCTGCGATAGTCTTAGCGTCTGCGCTTGCTCGGGCCCACGGAGAGGATTCTCTTACAATTTGAACGAGCGGTAGAAGCTGATGAGGCCAACAACCTAATCAACATCAGAGCGGATCAAGCGAAAGCCACGCGTGATGAGACGTACGTGAGTTGCGCCTGATACTCCTTTGCCAGGTGCATTGAACCTTTGCAATGGGTGCCGCCGTTTCAGCTCGGCAGCTACTCGAGTTGCACTCATCGTGTTATGGCGCCACAAAACAAAATAACAAGTAGGAAAGAATGACGCCGAGCAAGCTTTGCTGTTTGATGGAGGAACGATTACGATAGACGTTACTACGCAGGACGAAGTACAAGTGCAAGCTAGCGCACGTGGGTTGGCGTGTGCACAGTTGTCTTACTAAGCCACGTTGGGTATTTCCGTCAGCTTGGTTCGTGAACCATGTCGCTACGCAACCCCCCACAAGTCGTGTCTCCTCGTATCCTTGAGACCCCACATCTTACGCGCATCTGCTGACGTCCAGTCTTCTGTGATGGAGAATCATCGGGATATCATCGCTTCCTCTACGGCTCGGCCCTCGGCCTTACGCCCAATGGGCAATGCGCTGGGTGAACTTCGGTAACGCTTGATATCGGGCTAGCCATATCGGATCGCGGCATCCAATCGTGTACATCTTGCCCACTCCACAGCTGGGGATGTCGCGGAGTTGCGGGCCAGATGGCCGGGCTATCGAAGTGTCGATGGCGTATAAAGGCTATTGGCAACCGACGCCAGTGTCAAACAGGTCGCGGATACCCCTCATTACAGTGCTGAAGCCTTTTCCTTGTGGTTTTCAGATCACATTAGGCTGCCTTTCTTCATCATCTGTTGCATTTGCGGATACTCAAAATGGATGCGAACGTTGAGGATATTCTCCACACCCTGACTCTGGAAGAGAAGGTGTCTCTTCTTGCTGGAAAGGACTTTTGGCAGACTGTACCAGTCGCGGAGAAGGGTGTTCCGGCAATAAAGGTACGTTAGCTGAACACTAATGCATGATCGCAGTTTGACACCACCAGGTATCTGATGGTCCCAACGGTGCCCGTGGCGAGACGTTCAGTGGCGGGACACGAGCAGCATGCTTTCCAGCCTCGTGCTGTTCGGCATCCACTTGGAACCCCGAACTTATCAGACAAGTCGGTCATGCCCTTGCCGAGGAGACACAAACTAAGGGGTCTCGAGTGTTGTACGTTTCAACACGTCATACTTGTAGTGAGATCTGACCCTACTTAGGCTTGGGCCTACCATGTGTAACCACAGGCACCCGCTTGGAGGAAGAAACTTCGAAAGCTTTTCCGAGGACCCCCTTCTCACCGGCAAGCTTGCTGCCCAATATGTCATCGGACTACAAGAGAAGGGAGTGGCCGGTACATGCAAACACTTCGCTGCGAACGAGCAAGAAACCGACCGATTGACCGTGAACGAGGTCATATCAGAGCGCGCTTTGCGAGAGATTTACTTGAAGCCCTTCGAAATCGCCGTCAAGGAAGCTAATCCCTGGGCTTTCATGACTTCCTACAATCAGGTCAACGGTACTCACGCAGATGCTAGCAAATTTCTCCTGGAGAAAGTTCTTCGAGGGGAGTGGGGCTGGAAAGGTCTGGTGATGAGTGACTGGGGAGGAACCAACTCTACGGCGGACTCGCTCAACGCCGGGCTTGACCTTGAAATGCCTGGCCCCACGCGTCATCGAACGTACAAAGGTGTGAAAGATGCTATCAAGAACGGCGAGGTGAATGAGGAAACGATTAACGACCGCGTGAGAAATGTTCTGGAGTTGATTCGGAAGATTGGGGCATTCAAGGATCCCAGAATCCCCCCTGAGCGGTCTGAAGACAAACCAGAGCACCGCAAACTCATTCGGAATGTTGGCGGACAAGGAATCGTCCTTCTCAAGAACGAGAATGACGTGCTTCCTTTGAAGAAAGATCAAGTGAAGGGCAAGAAGGTTGCGATGCTCGGTCTTGCGAAAGAGGCTTTGATTCACGGTGGTGGAAGCGCTTCCTTACATTCTCATTACCGAATCTCACCCTGGGAAGGCATGCACAACACCTATGGCGATGACGTAGAATTCAAGTTTGCGCAAGGTAAGTTGATTTATACGTCCATTGAAGTCAAGGTCTGACAGATTCTAAGGTGCTCATACCTATCGTCTCTTACCTCCTCTAGCAGTAGGCTGTACGGACTCAAAAGGCAGGCCTGGATGGACTCTCAAAGCTTTCGAAGCCGGCAAAGGTGACAGACCTACTTTGACACTGCACGGTCACAAGGAGGCTGCTTTCACTGGCTTGTTCAACGAGGACGTGAAGTGGAAGGATCTTGAATTAACGACCACCTTCGTTCCCACTGAGACTGGCGAACACTACATTGCAGGCTCTGGAATTGGACCCAGCCGTGTGAAGATCAACGACAAAGTCGTGTTTGAACAAAAGCAGAGTACAAACGACAGCATGGGATTCTTGTTCGGAGGAAATCCAGAGACAGAGTTCACCTACGCCTTCACCGCGGGCCAGTCCTACAACATTCGCATCGAATCTGAAGCGCCGGGTAAAGAGGGATCCGATTTCGGGGGAATTTTGGCTGGCATGCCGGGCTTCCGAATGGGCTTTATGTACGCGAAAGAGCACGACCAAGATCTCGTTTCTCAAGCAGTGGACGTCGCTAAGGAGTGCGACTATGCGATCGTGTTCACAGGTCACACTCCTGTTTGGGAAACAGAAGGCCAAGATCAAGCCGCTTTCCATCTTCCGAACAAGGACCGCTCTCAGGACAAGCTTGTGGAAGCTGTTGCGGCTGCTAATGCCAAGACGATTGTCGTAAACTCCACTGGAGTAGCTGTTGCAATGCCTTGGCTTTCGACGGTCTCTGCCGTGGTGCAAGCGTGGTTCCCGGGACAAGAGGCTGGAAACGCAATCGCAGATGTTCTCTCTGGTGCAATCAATCCATCCGGCAGACTCCCTGTGTCTTGGCCCAAGCGAATTGAGTACTCGCCCGCCCACGGCAATTTTCCAGGCGAGAAGAAGGACGGCCAGCTTACGGTCAAGTATGAAGAGGGCGTCTTTGTTGGATATCGTCATTACGACCGCATCTCGCAAGACAAGGTCCAGTTTCCTTTCGGTTTCGGTCTCTCGTACACCACTTTCATCCTCAAGGATGCCAAGGTCTCGCAAGCGTCAAACGGCAAGTTCACAGCTGAAGTCACTGTTTCCAACACTGGGAAACAGGCCGGCGCCACCGTTGTACAACTCTACGTTGGCAGGTCCAAGCAATCTTCCGAGCATCCAATCAAGACATTGGTTGCATTCAAGAAAGTATTTTTAGAAGCCGGAAAGGAGGAGAAGGTGACGCATTCAATAGACCTGAAGGACTTCGCCTACTTCGACCAGACGAGCTACAAATGGAAGGTTGACAATGGGCGGTATGACTTTTCGTTTGGCCAGTCGACACAGCACATCGACAGTGTTGTCAATGTAGACATTGAGGGGAGCTAGCCGAGATCTGAAGCTGTAGATGCTCGTAGATGGACTAATAACAATAATACTCTGATGACTGAAGTCGTCGAATTTTTCGTAATTGCACGGTTAAAAGTGTGAATGCTCTAGATTCTGGTCCCGCATGTTAATGAACATGATTCGCATGCATCTGTCGCGGCTTATTTGTATATGATACCAGCGTTCATTGTATGTTCGGGTTAGAAAGCATGACGTCCGTTTCAGCTTAGGCGCATGGGTCGTGCACAATTCTTCCGCCGAAAGGAGCCGAGGCACGGATCAGCAAAGCAACGCTCCGCCTACTCAGTCGTCACATCAAGTGCTTTTACACTACGTACGGAGGCATCGTTACCTCACGACGAGCAGTGACTCACGTTTGTCATGCACGAGTTGGTATACCGTGTTCGAGGCGTTGTTGTTATCCAGATGAGCAGCAATTCGACACGAAAGAATGCCAAATGTCGGTAAGCCTTCGAAAGGCTGCAAGCATTGTCGAGATAGGAAAGTCAAAGTAAGAAACGAAGATGTGTCTCCGTGTGTGATTTCTTAACCGCTTCCAGTGCGACCTCAAAAGGCCATCATGCTCCCAATGTATCAGGGCTGGAAAGGAATGCCATGGCTATCGAGACCCTCTCTCGATGATGTTCAAGAACGAGAGTAACGTAGTCATGAACAAGGCACAAAAGAGATATGAGGTGCTTTCAAAGAAGAAGAAGGAAAAGAAGTTGACCTCCAAAACACTTCCGGTGCGGGTTTCATCCGAAAACTCTCCAAGCGATTCTTCATCATCTTCGGAATCACTACGAGCCATTGCGACGGTGTCACGATCAGGAAGTCCTGGAAGGTCCATGAACCCCTCGATCGAACACCAAGCGCTTGCTTTCTTTGCCGCCAACAACTTATTGCAACCAGCTGTCGCTGGGCGAAGCAACTACCAATGGCTCTTTCAGATGCTGAGTGGACCAGAGATTGATGCGTCTCTGCAAAGCAGCGCGCATGCTGCGAGCCTAGCAACACTTGCTACAGCAAACAAGTCACAGTCGCTGATGAATAAAGCTCAGGAGCATTATGCGCGTGCGCTGGCATTGACTAATGAAGCATTGGGCGACTCAGTCAAGGTCTACGAAGACAGCACACTGGTGTCGGTTATTCTCCTCGGAGTGTATGAGAACTTCGTTTTCGAAAAGCACTCGTTGCGGGCATGGATGCAGCACCTTAAAGGCGCAGAAACTCTTTTCGCACTCCGTGGCGAAACCCAGTTCAGGAACGACCTCGCCAGGCAAATCTTCGTGCAATTCTACAGGCTCACTATGACCAAAGGCGTTGAGCTTGGGACGCCTATACCGAAAAAGATTGCACGATTGTATAAATTTCTAACTTCTCTGAATGACTACACCATGCACGGTACGTACCCAAACCCTTGAAGGGTTCGTTCAGCTTTGGAGCCCTTGAATAGGGTCAATTCTTGACCTTTGTGCATATACTTCTAATGTATGGAACGTGACTGACATAACAAAGGGGTGGAACACCAGGTTGAGGTATTGGAGAAGGCAATTGCGCTCATGCAAGATGAAGACGGCGATCCCGTGTCCAGAGTGGCCGATGTGTTGAAACTTGACGCTGAACTGGACCTCATTAAGTTCATGCTTCAGACTCTATGGAGATATGAGACTGTGCAGTTGAAAATGCCCGCAGAAAACGTCTTTGGAAACTTTTACCACATCTACACGAATCCTTGGGTCATCAACATGTGGAACATCCTCAGAACATGCCGAATACGTCTCTTCAAGTTTGTGCGCACCCAGGTCAACAAGGGTCTGCAGTCTTCTCCCCCGCTCTTTTCATACGAAGAGGCATGTGCTCATATCAGCAAGTGCAAAGATGTAATCAGTTCACAGATGCTGGATATATGCGCATCAACGCCTCAGCTCACGGGGCAGGTCGCTTTCCCGCACCAAGTCAAGCAAGATCTCGACCTACTCAGAAAAGGCATTGAGGCAGTAAACCTGCGCAATAGAATGTTTACAATACATCCTCAAGGAACCTTTTTGGAGCCTTTCAAATCGACCGGACTGGACCATCTGATCGGGCCACTTTATGAGATTGGACGAAGTGAATATGGTCCACGACTGACACGATGGGCTGTCGATCAGCTCTACTTCATGGCTCGAACAATTGGGACAAGGCAAGCGATAATGCTAGCGGAGGAGCTGGAAGGGAAGCTGAAGGATGAATCTAATTTCATGGTCTGGAATGATCCCTGTCCGACATCCGCGCAGCTGGCCGCGCTAGCGAAGTAAGGAGAACCGGAGTGCACAGCTTGGGGATTCGACTATTTCCCCGCGCTAGTACCAAACCACGGAGATAACAGACGTAACGTCATCACTGTTTCCGAGTGAGTATCGCTTAGTGCGTCGCGGGGCTGGGGTTCGGAAACATCGTTGGACCTCGGAGCGTCTCCTCCAGGGTTCAAATACATCATGGCGCGCTTGGATATGGTCCGGACTGAACACCTGTCAAATACCAGAAAATTTGAGCGCTCAAGGAGAGCGCCGCACACAAAGCACTAAACTTCTCTTCCAACGGGATAAGAGCTATCTCGAAGAGCAACATGGCTTCTCAACAGATACCAGAAACGATGCAAGCTGCACAAGTCATAGAGGTACGCCGCTCCCTCCAAAGTTCATGTTCGGTTCGCACATCAGCGATAATTGCAAATGAAATATCCCAGCACACTTCAATCCCCAAAAAGTCCAGATACGCAACGGATCTCCACATACCACAGCTAATAACTTCCCCAGTTCGACAAACCCTACAAAATAAACAACGTCCCTGTCCCCACTGACCTCGCCCCCGAAGACCTCCTCATCCGCGTTGCCGTCGCCTCCCTCTGCCACACCGACTTCATGGTCCAACACGGCATAATGGGCACAAACCTGCCCTGCACTGGTTCACACGAAGGCTCCGGCACCGTTGTCGCGGTCGGCTCCTCAGTCGAGAACTTCAAGCCGCATGACCGCGTAATGGGTGGCATAATCTACCACCACTGTGGAGCGTGCGGCGACTGTCGTGGCCCTGAATCCTCTACTCAATACTGCGCAAACGCCGCTTACTGCGGTGTCAAAGGCGCAGATGGATATTTCGCGGAGTATGCTAGAATCGATAGTCGGTGGGCTGCTAAATTACCTGACAAAGTGTCTTTCAAAACGGCTGCCCCGCTAGCATGCGCGGGTTGCACCGTGTATAAAGGCATAGTGCTTGCGGGGCTGAAAGAAGGGGAATGGATTGCACTCGTGGGATCTGGAGGCGGGCTGGGCCATCTAGGCGTACAATTTGCTAAAGCGCTTAGGTTGAATGTTGTGGGTGTCGATGCGCGAGACGAGGGGCTGGAATTGACGCAGAAAGGAGGCGCGGATGTTGTCATTGATGCGCGGAAGGGCGATGAAGCAGTGGTGAAGGAGGTTAAAGAAGCCACAAATGGAGAGGGGGTAGCTGCTACAGTCAATATCAGCGACGCCAAGACAGCAGCGGCTACGAGTTGCGCGATCACGCGTATGCATGGGACGGTTGTTCAGGTTGCACAGGTATGTGTATCTTCTCTATACTCACCAACTTCAGTGCTCTATAGTGTACTTGAGGCAACTGAGCTCAGGACACCATGTCCGAATTTCCTTCTTCATCATGCTCTTGCAAACAAATTCGAGGCTGACCTTAACAATCAACAGCCTGACAACGTATCCATCCCCTTCCAAGAGCTGATTTTCCGAGACATAAGATTCCGCGGCTCGCTGATCTGCTCGGCGCAAGAGGCCAACGACATGCTCCAACTCGTCGCTAAGCACGGCATCTCCGTCAACGCGAATGCTTTCATGGGTCTTGGTGAGATGGATAGGCTGATCGAGTTAGCGGAGAGCGGGAAAATGAAAGGCAAAGGCATCGTGATCATGGATCAGGCACAAATCGACGCGGAGGGCAAAGAGGTCGTATGAATGTGAGATTTAAAGTCATGATAGTAGTGATGGACTGAATTGCAGAGTTTCGATGCAATCAGATCTTTGATGAGGTTCCTGTTCATGTGCAGTGCTAAATACGGGTATCATGCCGCCTCATTTCCCTTCCATTGCCACTTCCCTTGTCGACCGATTTCTGCAGCTGTTCATTCCTACACCTTCGTTTGCTATGAACCCGGCTGTACAACACCTACCTCCACGAGCTCGACCTCCAGCGTCTCCATGTCCACCAACACAATCTGCCCGGTTTTGCTGAATTTCGGTACTCCCACAATCAGCACCTGCTGCCCCGCCGGACCCTCCACAACATTCGTCTCGAACTTCTCCCTATTGCCCGCAAAATAGATGTGAGGGCATTCCCTCAATATCAAAGGATCATCGTCCTGAAATGGATAGCACCACAATGTGTCGGGCGCTGTGGGCGCTAGACACCGCCATCTCAGCATCATCTCCATGACCTCAAGCGGCTGAACGCCATCCACGTATTTCAGCAAGTCGTCGACTGTCTGACCACCGGTGCCCAATACTCTCCAGCCCTCTACATCAGCTTCCCACGGGTTCGTTACGGAATCGAGGCCCTCAAGTGACTCATTTGATACTGCTGGCGGATTTGCGTACGCTCTGCAGAGTGGGAAGAGCGCTGGGTGAAGGGGCTGTTGCGGGAGGGCCACGTTGGCGGGGTCGTTCTCACCAGGGAGGAGGGTGACTGGTAGGGTTGAGAGAATTTCAGCGAGGAAGGCGTCGAATTTCTCGGCGGGAGTGGCGTTGTAGGAGGAGGCATCGTAGCCATAGTTTTTCTTTGCACCTTTCTTTACGTTGAACTCTTCTCTTGAAAGGATTGGAGAAGCGTTGGAGAGTGAGTTGCCAGCTATGACAAGCCGGCTTATATTAGATGCACTGCTCTGGTCTGGAGGCCCTGATGCTTCGCCTGTGAGGTACTCCATCAGCAAATCTAAAATAAGGTCGTCATCTTCTGTGCCGGTTATATCGAGGCCGGAAACTAGGGCTAGTTTTCCCGATTTCTCGCGTTTTGGGATCGGCTTCTTTGCCACTGTGAAAGCCGAATCTTCGGCCTCCCAGCGCTGCGGTTGTCGTGGGAGGTCAGCGTATTGTGTTGCAATGACTTGGAAGGAGCCGTCGGCTTGTTCGGTGCCCAGTGCGGCGAGGATACAGCCCGTTACGTAGTGTGAGTTTAAGGAGTCGCCGGTGACGCGGAGGCGTCCTGATTCGTCTTCGAGCATCATATCGTCTGTGCCGGATGGGCTTACGTAGGTCTCGCGGGGTGGAGGAGCTGCAATCCAGTGCTGCGTGGCGTAGCTGTCAGTTTTGCGTGAAGCAAAGAGCCAACATAGCATCATGCGTACCTCTTTCGATATGTCGTCGAGCACGTTGGGCTTCAGCGTCATCTCCATGTACACAGTCCCCACGACCCAACACAGCTCGCCTTGCCGCACGTCGAGTACTCGTTCCACAAATTTCGCTTTGTCGCCGGCCAACTGATCAAAGTTAGCTGTTAACCTCGTTTCGCCCATCCACGACGCTGTGTATACATCCAGCTTCCTTGTATGCGGTGTCGTACCTCGAATTCATCCCACGCCTCATGCGCCTTCTGCTTCACAGCTTTCTTCAATTGTGCTAATCGTAGAAAGTACATGTCCGCAAATTGCTGCTGGTAGTGTTTCTCGGGTCCTTTCGGCAGCTCGAAAGTGTGTAAGGGCCTGTAAGCGGATGCATTTCGAGACGACACGGACGCGGGGTCTTCGCTGCGAAGTGATTAGCATGTATGCGCAGCTTCATTACTGCGTCAAACTCACAAGGGCTCCCCTCTCAGCAGATCTCCATCCTTTGAAACCATTGTTGTGACGTGGCAACGTTAGAGAAGGGAAGACGTTAAGTCGTGATGCTGTCCTTGTGCCCATCGCGATTCAGAAAGTTGGGGAACGCGTTCGCGACGCGCTTACCCATTTAGGCACCATAAGAGCGTCTCGCATCACTGATCGCGTAGTCTATCCTAGGATTGGCACAGAATAGCCTTTACTAGGAAATTTCATCGATATTTCTATCTTTGCCCACGGAGGCCAGTACGAAGCTTGTGGCTACTGACATGCGCGAGCTGGACTTCGACGACAGGCACCATCTATCCGCCTCCTGGTTCTGCAGCCTAGTCAAGGGAGGCAACCACTCCACGGTGAGCTCCGGCGTATCAATCTCGGTAGACATAAGGACCTCCAATCTACGATCACAGGGATTGCAAATTTTGCTATCGATGTTTACTTGCAGACGAAGTCAAACACTGGACTCGAATTGGACCGTATGAAGCATCATCTAAGGAAGGATATCGATGCAGCTATATTTAGACAGGTCAACACTCGGAGCAGATTCCTAATCGATCAACACTCACTCAATTTGGCCTAATTTTCTTGTGAGGCATGCTCGCACAATCTCCTGAGAATGAGATTGGACTTGCAGAACCCGTCTAGGAAAGAATGACTAAGACAATCTTGCTCAAGAACCTGAGCAATGATCAAGCCCAGCTAATAGGTGCGTGTAATCGGCAGGAAGACCCCCGCAAACTTCCGGTCACCTGTTTAATGCTGTTCAAGCCGATCACCACCAACAAAATAACCGATGGCCGTAGTGGCCTCATTCAATTGGAACGCATTCTCGATCATTGGCCGTTGAAAGATGACATAATGATCTAGATCGCGCAACAATGGCCACTCTTATATGAGATTTAAAAAGCTTAGAGTAGCTCAAAGCAAACGTCACTGATACAGTATCCTTTCTTGACCTTCTGCATAGCTTCGAGCTCTTTGATTGCATGGCCTACACACAAGTAACTTCGATCCTCTATGTCGAACTCCTTTTCCCCAATTCGTGGACAAAGGCTGTTCTCGTCTTCTTGCTTCCTTGGTCAGAATGGGGAAACGAGATTGCAATCAGCTCTGTCATTCTTCAGTAGTAGCACCAGATGCAGTCCCTCTACTACAGAACCCGTCTATATCACAGCTCCGGCTCCCACAACGCCTACGGAAGTGCTAACGACTGTTCACACGACTAGTATGCAAACCCTGACTTTGCCTGCTTCTTCTTATCACGTCACTGACGGGATTTGTGCCCACTCCTGTTCCTGGGACTTCTGGATATCTCGTCGGCTCTAGCCCTCTCCTCAGTATTTCTTGAGTCTAGCATAGTCCCGGGTGTGAGTTCCAGCTTGGTTCATGTGCCTGAGTCGAGTGGATGCCCAGTAGGTGTACACAGCTCTGCTCTTGTCGCTTGACCAGTCGCTCCTTCCTCGCCAGCTGTCTTACCTTCTTTTCTACCGGGGGCTCAGCTACCCTGCTACTACACCTATACAGCCGACTCGTTCTTTCTACAGGGGTGGCCCTCTGTCCTCTTATGGAGTGAACAACAGTACAGGTGGTTATCCTACTGTAATGGCGCCTTCAGCATCTTTCACGCTGGTCCCCACATGCTATAATCTAGTCGTACTCAGCTCGTCTATCATCACTCCCATCGCCGTGTCAATGACCACTCCGGGCTACTCAATGGCGACAAACAATGACTCAGTGATGCTCACGTCCTATTCCACTGTCACACCCAGCTTCAGCGCGATGTCAAGTTCGACACAGGTTTACCAAACTGTGACACCAGCCTCAACGACCGCAGCCGCTACGTCTAGTGTTATCGTCGTCCCTACCGAGTCGCCCTCCACCATCGCCACCGGCGGGTATGTTGCGAGCGTATACAAGCGGGACGCAATCACTGTCAACATCAAGATTCCAGTTGCGCAGTCTCTGGTGAGCACCAATCTCAAGACTGCTATTGCACTCAAAACATCTTCTAAGCCTACTCCTAGCATGCTTGTGCCGAACACTAACGCGCCCGAGCCTACTTCAGCACCAGAAACTAAATCTTCGTCGAAACCTTCCGTAGCCGATGAAGTCAAGACTATCGTGGTTTCGCAGGGTCCGCGCTGTCCGTACCCGTACCCAGGCATCCATTGTGGAAAGCCGATCACGACAGTTACGACGGTGAAGAAGGCTACACCAACGTCAATGCAGAGCATTAAGAAGGCTAGGTCTGCCGCCCGGTGCCCTTGCCCTTACCCTGATGGTAAACGAGACGTTTGCCCATGATTATCGTCTGTTGTTGTTGTTTTTGCTGACTTTGTCTTCGTGTGTCTAGCGTTAGAAAAGGGTTGTCGTGGACGCGGACGCTGATCGTTGTTCTTAGTGAAGACGCCGTTGCTCTTGAAACTACGAGTTCTGCTTTGCCCGCGTTGGATTCGGCGAAGGGATTCTGTGATGGCGGTATCTGGGCGGGCTGTAAGTAAGGTGTGGGGATGGACGGATAGGCGCATTGATTTTTAAACTTTGTTTTCTTGTTCCAGCATCCAAGATACCTTTCTTGATCCCACACCTGTGCGATACCTATGGTCGCAAGGGCGCCGTATGACTGCGCGACAGAGTTATTCACATGGATCGATTTCTATCACTCATACCACGCAATTGAAGTTTGGGGGAAACCAATTTCAGCAGTACTCTCAAGATATCCTTTGGATGGTTATGTTCAACAAGCGCACAAAGAATGAGGCTCATATGGCCGACAGAAATTAGATATGGGCCTCCCAATCCGCCCCAACAATAACAACGCGCTCTCCGTGGAACCCATCAAGCGTGAATGCCTAAAGCAGTCGTGCGAGAGCGCCCTCGCAGGAGCCATGTCCGATATTTCGCACAGTCAATGATTCAACTCAACGATGTCTCGGCAAAGTGCCGGAAACCCTCTGTTAGTGAAGGAGCAAGTAGCCGCCTTGCTGTGAATGGCACAAGCGCACCTGCCTCCAGCTTCCTGTGCCGCACGTGCCTTCTCAGAAACTATTTGAACTGTGCCTCCAGCTTGTTTCCACCCACGTCTGATGCGCTCTCGTTGCCAACTCAGATCTAGCACTCCCAAAACTACAGCCATGGCGTGGATGCGAGGTCTCCGATCTCTGCTGACTATGTTCGCCGTTGTCTCCTCGGCAAATGCACTGAAGAACGTGGCAACCGTGAAGACCCTCGCCGTTGCCGGCGGCCATACGTACTCGTACACCATCGCACCCGCAAGCTATGGACGTGGAACATACCTCCTGCTCCATGGCTTCCCAAGTTCTTCATACGACTGGCGCCACACTGTCAAGGATCTGACAGCTGACGGTTTCGGTGTCATTGCGCCAGATCTTCTAGGCTATGGTGCCACTTCGAAGCCTACTGCAGTAGAGGAATATGCCCAAGAGAAGATCAGCGGTCATGTTACGGAAATTCTACAGCATGAGGGTATCGCGAACGTCGTCGGCGTCGGGCATGACTGGTATGTTACCGCCACAAGACTAAGCAGAGATTATCTAACGCAAAGAAGGGGATCGGGTCTTCTAAGTACGATGTGGTACTGTCACCCGGAGTTGTTCAAGAGTTTGGCTTTCTTGGCGACACCGTACTCACCCGTAGGACCTAATCCGATCAACTTGACCGCCATCAACACAAAAACCCAAGCGGCTTTCGGGTACCCTGTCTATGGGTATTGGAACTTCTTCAATGAGAGTGATGCAGCGAGCGTCATTGAGAAGCATGTGAGTCAACTCTAGCAGGCGTATTGAGCAAACCGCCACTGATTGTTTAACAGCACGAATCCTTCACTTCTCTACTATATCCGCACAACGCTTCAACCTGGAAGACGGATGTCTGCCCAATCGGTAGCTTGAAGGCATGGCTTGAAGCTGATAAGCAATCATCTAAGCCTGGTTATATTACGGAGCAGGAGTGGAAAATCCACGATAGGATCATGTTGGGGGGAGGATACACTGGTCCGTTGAATTGGTACGTTGGGATCATGAATCGGTCTACCAACCCGCTGACGTGAGATTATAGGTACAAGGCTGCCATGGCCGGACTGAATAGATCTCCCACCTTGGAAACTGCCCGTCAGTCCATCAACAAGCACGTCGTCTTCATCTCTGGGGCGGCTGATGCTGTTGGCCGACCTGAGCTTGCCCAACAGACGGCTGATGAAGGCCGCAAATCTGGTCTGCTCCCAGATGTCGAGACTTTTGTGGTGCCTGACGCGGGTCATTGGGTGCAGGTTGAACAGAGCTCGCGTGTACTTACCGTACTGAAGAGCTTGGACAGCTGAAATGGGCGAACGTTTGCTGCCTGACGAGGTTCGGTGTTACGGTCATGTCATTCAATGGACCCAAGATGTGGATTTTATGAGCTGACCAAGAGACATAAGAGAGAGCTTCCAGTTACATGAAGGATCGAAAATCGATCTGGCCTGCAGTTTCTTGTTCACATCGTAGCATCATCCTATTGTGATCCCTTCAACTAAAGTCCTCCCATATTGTACTGCACTGCAGCATGCTAACGCTTTTGTGTTCGAATATACAATATTACTCCTCATCTCCCAACTCAACCTTGTGAGAGAACTGCAATCTGGCGTTGCCGGAGGCCTGCGAAAATTCGATGTGTTCGTGATCGTGAAGGTCGATACCGTGCCGCTACTATTGCGGTTTGTATTTCTTGCCTGCAGCTTCGGCAATCAGCCGTTGTTGAACGTTGTAAGCAGTCTGCGCATAAGCAACAAGATCTTGATCCTTGCCCTTTCCATCTGGGCCTCCATCGAAAACCTCGTAGCTGAACCAGCCTCGGAAACCAGTGCGCAGGACCGCAGTCACAACATCAACAACGGGTAGGTATCCTCCGTTGTACGGCAGCGGCCTGAAATCATGACTCCACCTGCCGCGAGGTCTGCCAAACCCGAAGGTACAAAGTCAGTGTATGTCTCATAGAAGTTCGCTTGGCGGAAAGAATGCATCCCCTTTGTAGCCGGGAAACTTGCCTTAGCCCCTGCTCATCCACTTCTTTGCTCAGCGGCTCGGGCACTTCATACGCGTCACTGATCTGCAGGAGATAGATCTTGTCTTTGGGAATAGTCTTGGAAAGGTCCTCCAAGCTGGCTGAAAATCTGTGGATGAGCTCAATCTTGGAGACATCGTCGAGTAGGCCCGATTCAGTGGTTGGATCCGCCCACTCTCCGCCAGCAGTCTGGAACGTATCGAGGCAAAGACCGATGTTGTCACGATCTACTTCCTTGACGATTCGCCATACGTGCTTCCAGTCCGGCGCATGCGAGCTCCAGCACCAATTTTCGTAGGCAACCTTGAACCCGTGAGGCTTGAGCATGTCACACAGCTCTCGTAGATCAGGCACCACCTTGGCTAAATCAACGTTCTCGAGCGGTGTATCCGTGCTCCCAACCTGCAGCATGTCTGTCCCGGCAGCTTGCATTATGCGTACCCAACCGCGTGCTCGCTCCCATGCGTCCTTCCGACCGTCACTACCTTCTTTCCAACCCTCGAAGTTGGCGAAGGGCTGCAGCATCATGATGCCGAGTTTGCGCGTGTCACATTCTTTCTTGATGGCCTCGGCGACCTTGACGAGCTCGTCATAGTCCTTTGGGTCGGGTGAATGTCCGAGGACGATTTCGCCGTAGGAGAGGATATCGGGGAAGGAGAGCTCAATGGCGGTGAAATTTGCGACGGAGATGGCGTCGAGGCGGTCGAGTAGAGGAGGTGGTGAGGAAGGGGAGCCTAGGGAGCACGAGGCGTAGCTTATGGGGATTGCGGTGAGGGAGGCGTAGTCAAGAGTCATTGCGGGAATTGACGAAGCGCGAGGCTCGAGCTATTAGAGTCTGGTGCAAATTATGTTACGTCTGTCGCCTGTAAGACTGTGAAAGCTGGAGTTGACGATGAAAGTGCAAATTGGAAGCTCTGGTGGGGTTCGGAAGCGCATCGGTTCTGTCGGAATACCATCGTAGTGACGTATGCTGTACTTTGTTAGCTCATGGCCGCCATTCGACATCTAGGATTCACCATGCATTGCAATTGGTATGAAGTTTGAAGAAACATGGCTGCGACCGCACATGCAAGCATCGCTTGGTAAATATAACATTTCTTCCAGCCATCTTAGGAACAGTGGTGTACCCGTTGTCTGAAAACGCAAGACCTCACTCAAAAGTAAAGAATCCATCGGCGTGGCATGCGATGCACCCCGGTAGACACTACAGAGCGTCTGCAGATATCATCGCCCTGCCACGGCGGAGTCTCTGGTTCAAATGTTGTCTGTCCATGCTCGGCGTACGAGTAAGGGAGTCTACGTTAATCCCTTCTTGGGATAGCCCGCAGACTGAGTAATGAGTCCGCGATTGGTCCTGCGATTGGCTCCTTGGATAAAGGATATTCCAGACGAGAGCGACCATGGAGATGTACCCACTGCAGCGCGAACTGCTACTTATCTTCGTGCTTCCGGTGCTGTGTCGTCTCCTACACCCCTTCCTCACGCACACTTGTCGTGGTATCGAAAGAGAATGGCACCAGGTTCAACTTTCACGATGGCGTCGTCCCCATCCGAAACCGGTCTGGCTGCAGCCAATCAGCATCGTGGTGACTCCGCCGTCGGACTTTATCGATAACGTGGCTGGCTTTTTGTGTGATCGACTCATAAAGAAGCTGGCTCAATTCCTCACAATTCGCCTCTACGCCCTCAGCATACCCCAGATACTCTTTGTTTCTGTTTCTGCTCCTTTGCCGTCCTGATTTTGAGCGTGCAGAAGACCGCAACCATGTCTACTGTGAGTGCGAGCTACCCCACCGCGTCATCGCCGCTCAAAGCGGGTCTGACCATATCTAGTTCTACATTGAAAACAAGTCGGTTGGCGACTCCAAAAACTCGGAGGATTGGCGCATCCGAGGCTACAATCCTCTCACTCCCCCCGACCTGCTTCAACACGAGATTGCGCAAACTCCAAAGTCCAAGGAGACCACCGTTCAGGCGCGCAATGAAGCCGCAGACATCGTACACGGCCGCGATGCGCAACGGCGATTGATGGTCGTCGTCGGCCCTTGCTCGATCCACGACCCCAAGGCTGCTCTGGAATACTGCGACCGCCTGTTGAAGCTGAAGGAGAAGTACAAGGACGACTTACTCATCGTCATGCGCGCATACTTGGAAAAGCCCCGAACAACTGTGGGCTGGAAGGGTCTCATCAATGACCCGGACATCGACAACTCGTTCAAAATCAACAAGGGCTTGCGCGTGTCGAGGCAGTTGTTCGTGGACCTCACGGACAAGGGCATGCCAATTGCTAGCGAGATGCTGGATACCATCTCCCCCCAATTCTTGGCCGACATGCTCAGTGTGGGAGCCATTGGTGCCAGAACGACCGAGTCACAGCTCCACCGTGAGTTAGCCTCCGGGCTATCTTTCCCTATAGGCTTCAAGAACGGCACAGACGGCACTTTGGACGTTGCAGTTGACGCTCTGGGCTCCGTCAAGCACCCCCACCACTTCCTCTCGGTCACCAAGCCCGGTGTTGTCGCCATTGTCGGTACCACAGGCAACGACGATGCCTTCGTCATCATGCGTGGTGGTAAGAAGGGCACCAACTACGACTCCGCAAGCATCAGAGAGGCGCGCGAGAAGCTGGAGTCCCAAGAACCTCAACCCGCGGTTGATGATCGATTGTAGCCACGGCAACTCGGAGAAGAAGCACAAGAACCAGATCAACGTCGCCCGCAATATCGCTGAGCAGATCGCAGCCGGAGAGACCGCCATTGCGAGTGTTATGATCGAGAGTAATATCAACGAGGGTAAGTTGCTTTGGCTCAAAGTACCTCGGCCGTTCACTGATGTTCGCTCTAGGCAACCAGAGCGTGCCGAAAGAGGGCAGGGAGGGTCTGAAGTACGGTGTGAGCATTACGGACGCTTGCATCAGTTGGGAAGATACCGAGGGCGTTCTCCAAGAGCTCGCATCTGCTGTCGCGAAGAGGAGAGCGCAACTCGGTGTGAACGGCGCTCACTGATGCGTTTGTTTCGAGGCGGGTTAGTAGCAATGCATTGGGTGGGTTGCCTCGGCGTGTCCGGGCTAGAGAAAAGTTACGATCAAGCCTTTCGCACCAAACACCTTGCATGTCCTCTAATTTTCCGTTGTCTCATGAGATGTAGCCGTACGCTGACCCGCGGCACTCGCACAAACGGTGCCAAATGCAGTGCATCGGAAGTTTCAACTGTGGGCTACTGCAGCGATGGATGTGGCTTCCACGCGTGCATATTGCAGGTGCATCCAGCCAACAGGAAACACCGACGAATTGTGACTTTGCTGGCATCAACTGTATTTTCTCACCGGAATCTGTCCACATCCCCGAATTCCCACAACACATTGCGCGAGTCACTGTTTTGGCTGCATTCGATCACACAGGTTCTTTCGCGCAGCACCTTCCACCCCTCGGCGATTGGTAGAAAGATGTGGCACAGTCAATCGCCACGCAACGCACGCTTGGGTGCGGAAGTGCGAAGTCGCTGTCCTCCGATCTGAAGCACCTCACAAGGCTGAGACGATCTAAGGTCATTTGCCACCGGTGTCCTGAAGCAGGGGGCTACGCGAGCGCATCTTCAAACACTGCCGATGTTTACCAAGTTGAGGATGCGTGATCGGTCTTTGTCGACCTGACCGAGAACTGCACCCCACGTTACGCTTGCACTAGAGTATTCCGTGTGCTTTCGGCGTCAGCGAGGAGGTCTTCGGACTGGCGTCAATATTCCCGCGATATGCAAAGCCTAAGGTGCCCTAGGAACCATCCCTCGTCTGCTTTGCAGTAGTTCCAGAAGTCTGCACGAGATCAACGAGTGCATCCGGATATGGGCAAAGCAAGTGTGGCACAGTCAAGTGGTGCGCCACAGCTACGGGGTTGCTTGTCGGGCTCGTCCAGGCTCGTCTTGACTACTGCATGTTGGCAACGGCAACCTTGCAGTGCATCCAATCGGCTTTCTCTGACACGTACCGTCCAGACATCGAATTCTCCCCTGGCAGCTCTAGAGTAAACACCGCAATCTTTTGGCTCACTGGGCCACGGAGCTCAACATATTCACCTCACCAAATGTCTGTCATCGTGGCTCAGCATACAGACAAGCCTCGGTCGTCATCTGCAAAGATCGTCTCAGCTAACATTTCATTGGTCCTTTGGTTCTAGGACTTATAGCATTCCGGTGAAGGGAGGGCGTAATAATCATGTGGCTACTACGCACAACTACGCTTCACTGCGGCAGTTCAATAGTAACCCGTCTGTTGTAATTCTGATCACTAAACCTTTCTTTTGAGAGGCGTTAACGAACAAAATGCAGGTGCTGGTCAGTACGTGCTCGGTTGTCTAGATCCAAAAGGAGTCAGCGCTGAATGCGGTGCACAAGGCAAACGTCTTAGCCCTGCGGTCATTAGGCCTGCATCCATACGGCCCTTCCGTCGGCCTCGCCTGATCTTTGCAATATCCCAGCGGTACATCTACAGCCTGGTATCGATGCAACAATGCCGGTAGCCCGGCGCTACGGGCCGTTTCTCGCTCACAACCAGTCAGTCCTTCGCTCACCTGTGGATGAAGCTAAGCCTATGCCACCTATCCCGTCAAGGATGGTGTCAGTGACCCGCTTCGCTTCTACAGGTCAGCATTTCATGCATTCAACGGCCGTATGAATCCATGACACAGGCTCCTGGGATTTCAAGCCACACTGATGTGCCGTTGCCTCCAGAATGTTCAGATGATCTCAAGCTTCTGGTCGCCTGCGCCACAGATGGATGATCGGGTCAATGAGAGAACGGGAGACCTCGGCGCGGCCTGCATTACGCCGTGTTTTGTTGTTGGTAGTACATCATAGCCACATTTCGATATCACATGGAGAGATCAAAGGGCACCATCCTGCCGGTACCTTGCTTCCTGGCACACGCCGATGTCCATAGTATTGGGCTGAGAGGCGTAGCCAGCAAATTGCCCTGTCTGCCGCACACTGATGATTGGCAGACATTCTACCCTGGGTCACAGCTTCGGCCGCGTTATTTCGGAACCTGACGAGACCCTTACTTTCGTTTCATGCGTCTCTTGTATCCAGGTGGGAGCTATCCCTTGTCTCGACTTGTGCTGCGAGGTCTCGGCATACGAGTCATTTGCCTATTCTAGGTGAAGGGATGGGAAAGTCATGGGTTTTGCTGTTGTTGCCGTAGTATCATCGCCTCGGCTTGCGCTGATCGATCGCGGTAGGCTGCAGCCGCACTGGCTCTGTAAGTCTGAGGCCGCCATTTATGCACGCGGCCGCACTGTACGCATGTTAACTCCATATGTTCTTGTCTTCCTCCGAGGCTCAAGAAAGTCCGTCCTGTGGTGTTGCCTTTCATCCTGCAGTGTGGCGCTGATGCGGGTCCCAGTGAACGGGTCCACACATTCGCGTGGGAAACAACCCGGCCTCCTCTTCCAAGCACAGGCCCTCCTTTTTTAGCCTCTCAAGCCTCCGAAGTATGCGAAGGAGCTCCTTGTTCCGATATATCGCTCTTTTCTTATATATCATCGCGACAGGTCGCAGCCGGAGTCTTTCCTGATCGCTACGTTGCAATCGGTCTTGACACATGACGCTGCGTACATCAACTCGTTCCTTTTGATGTTCGTGCGTCTACTCGTACATTTAGCATCATTTGGCCTTCACGACCTCCTTCCTTACCGTGCTACGTCCACTGACTCATATGCTTTTACACGGCTCTCCGTCCTACAACGACAGACACCATGTCTCCAGGATCACTAGACTCCGCTTTCGACATGGACAAATTCCAATCGCGCACTCAACATATTGCTCGGGATCCATCGCCCGATGCGCAGGCAAATGGACGTGCCGAGACCGACTTTGCGGCTGTGGGGGCGGCTTTCTGGTATCGAAGGGAATCTGAACCCCGCCCTCGCTCTCTTGACCTCAGCGAGGGAGAGGATATTGCCCAAGATCCCCTTCAGATGACGAAGCGAGCCGAATTGTTCTCCGATGCAGACGCCGTGGTGGCCGGAAACACGGTGCCTAGCAGGTCGCCTGCAACTCCAACTCCGACCCAACCTCATCGCGGCTCGTACATACAGCTTTCCGACCTGGCCCAAGTTCGTAAGATAAGGGATCGAAAGGGTCAGACGATACGAAGGCGAAACCAAGGTACGTTCGCTTCTCCTAACGTCGCACCTCTACCCCTAGTCCGCCACTCTTCGTCCTGGCTTTTGCGCTCTCATTCACTCGGACGGACCTTGGAGATCCGATTTAAGGTGCCCCATCATGGTACTTCGGAGAATCTACGACGATTTACTCGGGTCCACTCGGCGATGGTTTCTTAAGTGATGTCGATGCCCCTCTGAACAATCCTTGTCGGGTTACATCACGCTTCTTAGACACTACCATCCACGGCCTCTCACGCTGCTCGGTCGAGTACCGACTTATCGCGAACTCGCTGACAGAACTAGGCCCAGGATCCCAAAGTTCAATTGGCACGCCAGATCGAAGACGTCGGACATCCGACACTTCGAACGATGACGGCGCTGGTGACGAGGCCCATGGGGACGATGAACTCGATGGACGAGGCCGCAGCGCCACTCCTATGCCGTACTTCCCGCAAAGCTATACTCCATCGCACCATTCTCAACAAACACAGGAAGAGCACAGGGAAGGCCAGGGGCCACTCTCGCCAAATCCTTGGTCATCCAACTTTCTTTACAACTTGGACCAACAAGAAAGAACTAAGGCTCTCGAAGGCGCCGATGCACATTTTCCGGTTAATAAACAGCCGCGGGCAGAACGAGCGTACCGTGAGGACGCACGTTCTGCGAAGGAGGATTCTGCTTCGTGATCCAAGAACGACCGAGGACCTCCTGGACCCTACGGTCACTTTCTCCTTCTTCTAATTTCCAGCCGTTCTTTCATCTCTTATGTTCTCTCCTCTCCACTCTTTATTTACCCGACCACCCTGCTGCGCGGGAGCACTCTCTGCGCCTTCTCTTTCTTTGCGGTTCGCCAATCCTTGTCCCGCTGTTATCTTATCTCATAGTGAACCTCGCGCATATCTTTCAATATACTGCTGTATCGTTGCGCACTTCTCATGTTTACGCTGTCGTCGTAAGACTTTGTCGATCTGACCTATATCTTAGCCGTCGTGTAGAGCAGGATACAAGCACCCTTCCTTCCCTGTGGGCGGCTGATACATCCTTACGGCCAGCTAATGGTCCAGTTCCTACGTCTTCATAGCGCACCCGATGACAACGCATTCGCGCAGAGGTCCACTGCGGTCGAACACGAGCGGCCAACGCCCATACATATCCATTTGTGCCTCACGAGGCTCTCGAAGCGCGATGCGTTGGCAATATGTACGTTGGCGGGGCGTGCAGACACCTCGCCGCTGGCCGGAAGAACCTGCTCCTGCGCCGCGGTAGCGACCCGCCTTCACATGCGTGCCGTCTCGCATGCCCATCTTCATGGCACCACGGAGATGTACCGTAGTTTAGACCCGCGCGTCCGACGTTGCAATTAACTCGCAGTGGACGCCACTAGCTTCACTCGGCACGAGGGCTTTCCGCAAGCACGGTCCTTGTTTGCGGGTAGGGCTGCGTTCGTGCCACCGCACACGCCAGCTCAAGGAGACCTCATCTATTCCAACGTGCGTTTCATTGATGTCATCACGCGAGTGAGCGAGCGAGCATCGAACGGAAGGTGGGATATCATGGCAAGATTATCGGGCTTGCAGAGGGATGTGTTGAGCCTGTATCGGCAGTGTTTAAGGGCCGCCAGGGCGAAACCTGCTGTGAGTGTTTCAGACGATATATCGAATTGTAGTCAAATGTGGATTGAGGCTAACGTGTGCTCGTGTGTTTCACAGGCAACTCGCGAACACTTCAGGTTTCTGGCTAGGTGAGTTGCTCTCTTCTTTGTTCGCCAATGCATTGGCAAGAGATTGATGGCGTTGACTGTGGGTAGAAACGAGTTCCACAAGCATCGCGCGGTGGACAGGAAGGATTTTGGGACCATCGAGTATTTGCTGAGGAGGGGAAGGAGACAATTGGAAATGTATGAAGAGGCGGGTGTGAGGGATGTGCAGGGCTAGGGCTTGATAAAGATCGGCGCTCTGGACTAAAGTGGGAAGTTCACAAATGGAAGACACGCGCAGAAGGTGAGAGATTGATAAATTGATTCAGATCTTTTTTTTTTTTGGCTGCGAGATCACTGACTGCAAATAATCAGATGGTTGAAAGGTCCACGCGTGTGCGTTTGAATCGCGCAGAAAAGACGCCTTCACAATCCACTTGCGAAAGTTCGTCAAATATCTATGTATTATCGACATTGAGGGGACGCAATGTACGCTTTTGTCGAGACATTTTGTTGCGCTACATGCCGTTGCCTTACGAGTCGCCTGGGGTCACTTTTTGTAGTTTGCAATGCCAGATCTGCGAAGAAATTCGGCTGCTTGTGATACATGGCCTAGGTCATGCAATCGTACTGTTGTTGTGGTGAGCGAAAGCGGACTTCTTAGTTGAAGGACTCGGTGACGGAAGCTTTCTACAATATCTCGCGCGTGTTGCCTGTATTTGTCTTCAAGTTGTATCTAGCTATAAGGGTGGGAGGCTAGCATTGACCTCGCTAATCCTGCGCATACCCCGGTGAATAGCTATTCCAACCAGGCGAAGTATACAGGGCTCGAACTGCTGGCGATCCTACCCAACCTTTGCTCATATACTACTAATGCCATGCTCAAAGGCGTGCCCTGAGATACAAGCTAGTAGAACCAGAAAGATTCGTAAATGTCCATTCACGAGGGTATCTAATATCGTTCAAGGACCCCACTCAAATCAGTTCGTCCAGCACCAGTGATTGATGCGAATTTCAGATTAGCTCCCAAGAAGCCCTTGTGCATTTCCCGAATCACACTATCTTTTGTACGTCGAACGGACCTCCAGTAGTCCAATGTATCCTTATCGTGTGTCCGCTTCCTGAAGGTATATGTCCAACGGATGAGTTTGTACGCGGAGAGCGGTTCAGTCTTGTACTCTACATCGAACGTCTCGTCTCCTGAGAGGACGCGGCCATGCTCCTGAACGGCATCCTGGATGAATTCTTGAAGTGACTTCAATCTCATCTCGCGAGAATAATGAGGCCTTATGCTCTGATCTGGCTCCATTGGGTTCATCCAAGTGAAATGTTCTACGAAAGTAACGACCTCTAGATGCTTTAGAGCGGAGAGAAGACCGGATATACAATGAGGCAAGTCAACTTCATAGTCAGCCACGAATCGATTAGTCCGCTGAATGAACTCGATCTTGAGATTCCGGATACCACGTAATTTGCGTTCAAGCTGGAGACTGGAATGTGAGGGGAAGTGGCGCGCTTGATCCTTTGCTACGCCGTACCTTTTGTGACCGACAAGACCGTACTCGAGATTAGTGATAGTCAGTGTCTGGATATCATTGATGGGTCGCACAAGGTGCCTATGCATGCCATGAAAAGGATCGAAGCATCGTGACATCACGAGGGTGCTCTTTAGACGTAGCTGGGCGAGTCCCTCGCATAACATTTGTTTGTTTGCTAGTAACCACGAAGGAAGGCTGGCGGGCCCCCATATATAATCCACTTCATAGCCTCGCCGCGTCTGTTGGATGGGATTATTGTCATAATCACCGTACACGAGGATCATGTACGGGGATTCGAGCCAATGGTCGGGAAAACCCCGCCATCCCCCATAATAGCGCTCTTCCCAACCATCAGGTTGGCGGTAGTTGACTTGAGGTGTGTTCTTCCAGAGCTCATGGTATACTCTAGTACGCAATTCAGGCGGTAGCGAAAAGAACTGTGGAAGCTCATTCGATCGCTTTTGCTTTGCGAGACGGCCCATCTCCAGAATTTTCGCGACTTCGCGATCGATCCAGTCGTGACGCACCTTCCAGTCGATGAACCCAATTTCCTCATCATATTCGAATGGTTGCTCCTTGATGATAGTGTGTGGTTTCTCTGGCTCAGGGAGACTGCGCTCAAACTTCCCATCGGCTCGTTTCATCTCCTGCTGGGCGACAGCTTCAATCAATTCCGTGATGACACGGTTCAAATGAATACCACGAAAGTACTGTAGGGCTGGCTCGTTCGAACACGATAGTGGGATCCATCTTCTTGGGCAACTCCTCTGCCGTGATAGCTTGGAAGAGAAATGGGTTCGAGAAGAAACTGAAGCGAGGCTTAGACCTGACGACAGGTTGCATCATGTTTTTCATCTCCCCACATTCAGCTGTGGCGCGCAACGAACTTGCGGCTGCAGAGAGATTGAACCAAGACTTACGATCGATGGAGGAAACCACCGCATCGGTCTGTTTGTTTTCTTCGATTGGGCGCGGAAACTCTGGAAATACAATGACATGTATGCTGGCTTTGGGTTTCACGGGGCCGGGACCTCTACAGATCAGCTGGCCGACCATTCTGAGGGGTTCCGGTTGAAAAATGATGTTGGGTTGATGCGGAGTGTAGAGCTCGAGTGCTTCATGCAGACCGAGGAGCAGCCCAGTAAGCAAGGCTAGGGTATCCAAATTGAGTATGTTGAGGTTGAAGTGGTGCTTGAGTGCGAAGTGTGGATTCGTTTCGGCAGCGAGGCGTAGGCCTCGGTGAGAAAGGAGGGCGCCTCAGCGCATAGACCACTGCATAGTATAAGGTAGAAGAGCGGGGGCCACGGTACCTTAAGTTAGTGAAAGATGACGAGGAAGCGCTGGGTATACTTTCACTACTTCTTGCCCTGGTCCAAAGTTGATGCCAGGGTTCATGTCGCCTGGTGCACCTAATAATGTGTACCAGTGAAAGTGCACTCACACTGGATGTTGCCAACTATACCGCCGCGCAAGAGTATAGACGCCCTGAGCGCTGAGCGCACGATCAAATACACGTGAAGGCATGATATAATCAAATTAATAGAGATCCGGGTGAGACAGTGGGCATTTTGGAAGCTCTCGCCTCAGGCCAGGAAAAGTTGTCCGCTTTGAACATGAACATGTGTACGTGTCAAGTGGCATCTAAGGTGATGATTCTCGCGTACCATGATTACGATGGACTTGACGGCGAGGTCAAGGCAGGCGCTCTTCCATATAACTCCTGCTTGCCATGAATACAGACATGATCAAGTCACGCGCGAGGCGCATCGAGACAGGATGGCATGCGCTTGAGCCTCAGCGCAGAATTGCCACCGAAGCGTTTTGAAGCGCGCCATTTTGCAAAGCATAATGGCTATAGGCGCGACATGACGCAATTCTGAATGCTGTATTGGCAAGCAGGTGTACCGACGTGTATTCGGACAAAAGACGCCGACCAGTGTCCATGTGAGGTGGACTACTTGCCTCGGAGTGGGTGAGGGGCTGTGGCCATCAGGTGCTCCTTGCAAACTGGAGCCTGAATAGTGGTGTTCATTGACAGGTCGTTCGCATAGGGCCAGCAAGTGCAAATGCTCATAGTTCTCGCTTTTCATGTCGTACGGGAGAGGCAGGGTTTGGACGTTGTAGGCTGAGACTGTGCAAGAGTCACTTGTGGAGAGGCCGATCTCGGGATGATCGGCGTCGGCTTACTGCATTGAGGACCAACATCAACAGCATACATTTAATCATCGAAACGCAGCTAAAACAATTCTGGTTTCATGCTGACAGATGCTACAACCTTCTGAAAAGAGAAGTTTATTAACGGGAAGAGCTGTGTTCGTGCTATTAATTTCTACTGAGAGGCGGGGTCGCTAGTGCAGAAATGTATCTGTGAGTACTTGCTACGGTGTATTCACCATCTTGCGTTCTCTCTCGTACAGTTACCGAGTGCTTGCATAGCTGTCGTCCACAGATGCGCTGCATGGTGCCTTACTCCCACCACGGCAGATCAGTCTGGCGCAGGGTGTTGGTTCCGCAGTGAATTTCTCCTCCATGTGAATGGTGGCTCAACCAATCATCAATATAAGTAACAGTCATTCCAGCTCTAGCATATGCTGCCTCGATGTGAGACATCCATACGTCTTGACCATCGACCATTGGACCCCAAGGCTGAGGGCAGAGATACTGGTCTCCAATGATGATACCGTTCACGGTGGCTGGAACCAGACCAATGAGCTGCCTCTCACCTTCGATGACAGGCCACCAGTACACGTGCAGTCCATCTGGTCTGATAAACTCAGGGCCGGGAGCTGCGTCTTCGAAGAGAGCCGGGAGACGGATGACGTCCTTGTGGTCGAGCGGGACTTCACTGAGGAAAATGTCTAAGTTGGCATCGAGGTGCTTCTGTGCGTAGGCCTGATTCTCCTGGAAGGTTACATTGGCGAGAAGTTCGTCAACGCTCATGGTCAGGCCCGGTTGCGTAGGGGGATCAGCTTCCAGAGTTGCGGCTCGGGACACATTGTAGCTTTGCGCCATCACACCGCCATGGCCTGCTGCTGACACATTGCGCAGGATCTCCAAGCCTAGCCTAGTATCTCCGATAGCTAGAGTCCATCCAAGTTCATTGTCATAGGGAAGGAATTGAATGATTTCATCGACGTGTCCAACGTTCAACCAACCGGTCTCGAGGATTAGAGGCATCTGCACCTCGTTACCGTACAGAAGATCCCTCACAGGCTGCGAGGTGAGCTGATCCCAGTGTTTCCCAAAGATGGCACGCCCAGCTGGGTAAGTTCGACCCTTCTTTGATCGGTGAGGCGGAATCGTCTCCAAGTTACCATAGCTGTTGATGGTGTCATAGCCAAAGCCTGTGCCAGTGTTACTTCCTGGCTGGAAGCCTCCTACGCCCGGGCCTCTCAGCTGTTCAAAAATCTGGCGGCCACCAGTACGTGTAGACTGCGCTGACCGCATCATGATGCGAATAGCGATAGGACCGTTGGGCCCAGGCATACTAGCATACGCAGGCTCCAGGATATCCTGGGCCCAGATATCAGATGACTGGTTGAACAATAGCAGTGGATTCTCCAGCCCTATTTTCTGACGCGCAGCATCGATCTGTGCCACGAAATCGCTCTGGACGAGGTTGGTTTCATTGGCTGCTGAACTGACCAGAGTCTCCACTCGCTGCAGAGGATGATGTGTCAGGACTGGTGCTACTTTCATCGCAACCTCATCCGTCGAAACCTTGGCTGGGACCGAGTAAGAGATGGCGTCTGTAACCTCGAAATGGACGGTTGCATGGCCGTCCCAGACAGCAGCATTCTTCACGAACTCCCTGCCATCAATAGCAAGAACAAGCCCTGCACGCAATTGAGTCGCATTGAAGTAGAGCTCGCGGTCGACCAATCGCCACGACTTGGTTGCGTTAGGCTTGGAAAGATCTTCTAGCACAAAGATACGGGTCCGATCGTAGGCAGCTTGCGGCGTGGTGTATACTTGAGCCGTGGCATTGTCGGAGATATCTGCCATAGGCACTGTCCTCAAGGGCGCAAGGTATTCAGGGGCCAAGAGGAGGTGACCAGATGCGTCATTGCAGTAGGCCAGCTCATCATTGCTCAGAGGGTTACCGGTAAGATCAGTGGTTGCACATCGCATTTGTTTGTCGCCGACATTGGGGAGGAAGATTGCACCGTGCGTAGAGGACCAGAAGGCCTTGTCTGTCGAGTCCGACGTTCCTTTCAGATCCACGTGGCCATCGCGATTGGTGTCGGCGCGAATGTCGGCTTTGAGCGTAGCAGTTAAGCCAGCTTGAAGGCTTAGTGCCAATGCGAAGAGACCAATCCGTTGCCTCATCTTGGGATTGGCAAAGACTCGAGAGGTAAAAGGCTCGACTTGATTGTAGAGGAGTTGATGATCGCTGAGCTGCGGTGGTACCTCGTTTTCCGTGGAGATTTCGCTTCCTTATATACTTAGATGGTTGTCTACATGTAGCAACATCCTCTCGGTGGTAGGAACCCGAGATCAGTCTTGCGGTGCACGGGTCGAAGTATCGGCAGCACGCCCACGCTCCTTCCTTATCGTTCTGTATGTTGCCGTGATAGATAGAATGAAAATAAGGCATATTCCTATCTAAAAGGGCGACGGCAAGAGTATGTTGCTGAATCTGTTACAGAAGGTATGTTACTGAATCACTTATCGAGGCGCGGTGCTCAAGTCCATTGCGCGGCGGGCAGATACGAACCCCATTCTTCTGCTCCGCCTTGCAGGTGTGATGTGGAGGACGCATGGTAAGTGGACGGTACCTATCCGAGTCCCCTCAATGTTTTCTACGTTAGAGCCAAAGATGCTTAAATCCGGTAGGAAGGGGAGTACCTAGGAAAGGTGGGTCTTTCACCAATAGTCACGGCTTGGGCCTTTAGGCCACCAACATTCCATGTACAAAACTTCTTGGCAAGTGGCTCTCTTACCACTTGGCATCCGAATCACTCCACTTGCAGCCATACGACTCATGCTTTCTACCACTAACTTGGGTGTACAGATAGCTCCATTTGAGACCACTTGCATTTATCCAGAGGCGGTGCGCAGATAACGATCGAATAATTGACACATACCACCTCACGTCCAGGCCGGTCATGCCAGATATCATAGCCTTGTGTTATACAGCGCCTGTCATAGCTTCCAGGAACTGGCAATAACTGGTATTGAGAGCCGTAAGTACTGAGCAGCCGTCACTTAGCCCGGGATGCTTCACGCGATCATTGTAGGTATCGCTTTACCAAATCATGACTTGCGTACGGCGTCCACGCGGAAGTCGGTATACTATCCTTTCTTGGTGATTTATAAACGGGCGGACGGAATATGAGCTGTAAAAGATGGGTGATCAAGCCTCCTGCGAGATAGTCAACATAAATATTTGAATGCCACGATCTCCAAGCCGCCGCATTGAGATAAATGCACCGAGTCTGTACTAGATGCCTCACAAGCGCGTCTTGCAGATGTTCATTGTCCTGGAAACGTGGAGGATCTCGCATTAGGCTCGCGGTTTCCCCCACCTGAATGACGGCATAGAACGGGGGCAACTTATCAGAAGAGCAAGAGGAGTCTTTGAAAAGTTGATAATGCTGCGGTATATAAGCTTAGCTATGCAAGTTTTGGGTCTCTGCAAAGCAAAGCTTTCCAGTGCTCAGTTGCAACCTGAGGTTTACCATGGTAGAAATTCCGACACGGAACGTGCGAAAATGTTTCCTCTTCGGTCTGCTTTCGCTGGCTTCAGCATACCCGGTGCCACCAACAGTGATTATGCTCTCCAAAGCTGATGAAAATTACCTCGCTTACAAACACTGTAGACGCTCAGCATCGTTGAAGCAACCATTGAAGACCTCCAAGGTGCTCTCAGCTCCGGCCGGACGAACGCTGTGAAACTTCTCGCAAAACACCTCAATCGGATTGCGCGATACTCCCGTCGCGGACCGGAACTCAATGCTGTTCCTGTTCTGAATCCAACCATGTTCGATGCCGCGCAGGCTTCAGACGAATTCCGTGCCCAAAATGGTGGAAAAATCAGGTCGCTTCTCGAAGGTCTGCCTTTCACAGTGAAGGATAGCTACATGCTCGCCGGCCTTCCGGTTGCCGCAGGGTCTCCTGCATTCCAGAACTTGACTGCCCATGACGATGCTTTCACTGTCGGTCAACTTAAGAAAGCTGGTGCGGTGGCTATTGGAAAGACAACTATGCCTCCTATGGCCAACGGCGGGATGCAGCGAGGTCTATATGGAAGGGCGAACAGTCCATATAACGAAGATTTCTTGACTGCAGCTATGGGGTCAGGCTCTTCCAATGGTTGCGGTACTTCTACCGCGGCAAGCATGGCTGCCTTTGGTATGGCCGAAGAGACTGTATCATCAGGCCGATCTCCAGCTTCTAACAACGGTCTCGTGGCCTACACACCGTCCCGTGGTCTTCTGTCTATCCGTGGCAATTGGCCTCTGCAAGTAATTGCGGATGTTGCTGTTCCTCATACGAGGACTGTCGGTGACATGTTAGCCGTGCTCGACGTGCTCATGACTACTGACAACGATACGTTCTCGGACTTTTGGCGAGGACAACCTTACGTCACTCTGCCCCGTGTCGAAGACGTAAGACCAGATTTCTTTTTCACATTAGCGAACGCCACTGCACTTGCAGGAAAGCGCATCGGTGTGCCCAAGATGTACATCGGTGGTGAAGACCCGGCAGCCATCCCAGTCTACAGTCGTGACTCAGTCATTGAGCTCTGGCGTGATGCTCGAAAAACACTCGAGTCCCTCGGTGCCACCGTAGAAGAAGTCGACTTCCCCGCGGTCACCAACTACGACCGTCCCCCAGCCCACAACGAGGTGGGAACCAAATGGCCTCTGCCCAGCTACTACAACGGCAGCAGCGGACCGAACTACACCGATATCAATGGATACGCGTGGGACAACTTCTTGTACATGGTAAACGACACAAGCAGTTTCACCACGCTTCTCGACGTGAACGCTAGCCTCATCTTCCCCCAAATTCCAGGAACCCTTCCTGATCGCTACGGTAACACCTTCAACAACCGCACAAGCTCGTATGACGACCTTGTCGAAGCTGTAGCGCGCCGCAACGGCCGCAACATATACGATTTTCCTGGCCTGGATGCCCACCTCCAGGCGCTGGAAGATCGCCGCAAGCGCGACCTGGAAGACTGGATGGTTGAAAAGTGTCTCGACCTCGTCGTCTGGCCCGCTGCAGGAGACATTGGCCACGAGGATGCTGAAACCAACGTCACCGCCTCAGAAATCACGTGGCGAAACGGTGTGGCGAGGTCCAACGGAAATGCAGCGATTCGGCAGCTGGGCATTCCTACCGTCAACGTCATGATGGGTGCTTTGAGCGATATCCATATGCCCATGGATCTCACATTTGCTTCTAAAGCGTACGACGATATGGCCCTGCTGAGCTATGGCTATGCTTTTGAGCAGGCGCACAAGCAGCGCTTTGCTCCTCCACGGACGCCTGCGCTGGACACGGACCTTATCTATACGAACGGTGAAAGCAAGTACAGCGGCAGCACAGAGGCGCCCGAGTTGCACGTGCAAGTCGCACGCATTGACAATTTCACAATCTCCATCTCGGGCCATGTTGCGCACCACACGAGTAGCGAAGTCGAGGTCTCTGTTGACGGTATCAGTACGCAGGTCTTCCCTTGTGGTGATGAAACCTGGACTATTACAGCTCAGACAACACCGTGGTATGCGGATGAGTTTCCAAGGGTGTCTATTCCGGACGAGGGGCTGGCAATGGTTGTTGTGGTGGTGTCTGCGCCTAACGGGAGATCAGATGGGAGCATGTTCTTCATCTAAGAAAACTTGTCATGGGGTGGTGAAACGCAACGATGTGACGGAAAAGGTAGAGAATAAACGTATCCGTATGTGTGCTGCAGGATTTCGATGACCGAGAGTATGTGCATTGCTCAGTCTACATGGTCCCGTCAGTCAACCAAGGAAGGCCATCTACAGCCTCATCCACCATGTAAACACCTCGCACGCTTCTGCGCAGACCGATCATCCTCGTCAACTTGGCCCACTATCTTCAAGCCGTTCCCACATTGCGTTGTGCTTTCCCCTCTCTCTCAGTAATGCATCCGCTTAGACAATATACCGTGCTGTCATTACCCGGCATCGGTCACCGCGTGCATGTTTCTTCCGGGCTGGGGCAGGCCCAAATGGCGCCTCAGCAGCTCGCTGTCTCGAAGATGATGGCATGTTGCAGAAGGAAAGGCAGTATGAGGAGGGCAGTGTTGAGAGGCAGATGCGGAGGATGTGAGAGGCAAAGCAGGTACATGGCACGTGTGCAACTCTCTTGGAAGGAAGTGATCACACACCAGATGCGGAAGGCGCCTGACACTCTCACTTGCTGCGTACCCCGCCACGCGCAATGAGGAGGTGCACTGCATCGCGACCAAGGGCAGCAGCACCGGCGGCGGGCGACTCGGCATGACGCCTGCAGCGGGCGCGCTCTCCAGCCTCGTGGATTGCCGGGGACGCAGGCTGCGCTGGTCAAAGACGTGTGCTGGATGCTGCTGCTGCGGCATCGCAAGCTCCGCCCTGGCGCGCTCGCAGTGCATCTGTTCCTTATCATTATCGGCGCGCCCCGGCTAGCCGTCTTCGGCATCGGCGGCCTCTTAGCTATCCCAGTGACTCGCAGTGCTCACCCAACAACGCGCCCAGCGCTGCTTGTCGTCCTCCACTGCGAACCCTACTTCCTCTTCGCTTCTCTCCTATCTTTCCTACATCGTTGCGCCTGTCGAAGCCCTAGCCACCCCCCTTTGCGACCTTCCTCCTACCTACTTGTGGCGCCTCGGCGAGCTGTTCCGCTACAGCTGCCTACCACCCTCGCTCGCCATCCTCTGCACCTATCACACCTTTCGCCTGCGCCTCTGCCTGTAACTTCAGGCCTTGGTTACCATCGCCGTCCTCTTCCTCGAGCCCCGCAGCAGCCTGCTTCCTCCCACCTCCCGCCACGCCACGTCGCATACCCACGGTCGAACCAACATTCTCGACCGCCCTACGACAGTGCTACGACCACGCAACCGCGGGTGCCCTCGACGCTCTTTCCTCCTCGCCACTGCAACTTCATGCGCAACGTCCTTACACCGAACCTATATCCGCATCTTCGACGATAGTTAGAGCAAGTCGGACACTGCAAGAGAGGGGTCGAGACCACGCTGGTCGCCCAGCGACGCCATCATGGCAGCTCCTTCCAACAACCAGCTGCGCTCACGCAGGCCAGCTCCTGCGAGCCAGTCCTCTTCCTCGCCCGACATGATTGGCAACTTCAAACGGCTTGAACACATCGGCAAAGGCAGCTTTGCGGAGGTCTATCGCGGCATTCATGTCGTACGAAACCCCTCTTTCATATCGTCCCTTGTTTCAAGGCATGTGGAGCATCTGCCTGATTATTCCCGTTGCAAATTCGCCTTGAGCTAGTGCTAACCAAACTTGTTGTATAGGAAAAGCGTCAATCTGTCGCCATCAAGTCGGTCAACATGAGCAAGCTGAACAAGAAGCTCAAGGACAACCTCGCATCCGAAATCTCCATTCTGCGCAGCCTGCTTCATCCACACGTCGTTGCCTTGATCGATTGCCATGAGACGCCCTCGCGGATGCATATAATAATGGAATTCTGTGAGCTAGGGGACCTATCGTCTTTCATCAAGAAACGTGCCGATCTTGTAAACCACCCATCGACCCAGCGAATGATTGAAAAATACCCGAATCCTGAAGTGGGAGGGCTGAATGAAGTAATCGTTCGACATTTCGCAAAGCAGACGGCCAGTGCCCTGGAGTTTCTCCGCTCTAAGAACTACATCCATCGTGATCTGAAACCGCAAAACCTACTCCTGAATCCGTCATCCATGTTCTACTCCCAAAGCGGCATACTCGATCGTATGCCTCTGGCCGCCTCCGCCAACTCGTTGATCCCTGCCGCTGGTGTAGAATCTCTTCCTATGCTCAAGATTGCTGATTTCGGATTCGCCAGAATACTGCCAAACACTTCCCTCGCTGAGACGCTCTGCGGCTCGCCGCTGTACATGGCACCAGAAATTCTGCGATACGAAAAATACGACGCAAAGGCTGATCTGTGGTCTGTAGGCACGGTTCTATTTGAGATGATGTGTGCGAGGCCACCATTCCGGGCAAACAACCACGTCGAGCTTCTCAAGAAGATTGAAGACCGGAAAGACCAGATCCGTTTTTCAGAGGGTCTTGTCGCTAGTAGGGCAATGAAGAACCTCATCCGCGCCTTGCTGAAGCGCCAACCTCTGGAGCGCATGTCCTACGAAAGCTTTTTCTCGGATCCGGTCATTCGCGATGAGATTCCTGGTTTGGTCGATGAAGATCTCCCGCAATCGGCGTCGCAATCTATCGCGCCAGAGCCGATCGCTGAACCTAAACGAGCGCCTAAGATGCCTACTGAACTAGATCGGCGAGCTTCAGAAAGTCCGTACTCTCAATCGCCCAGAGGGACCAGCTATGGCACTACACCACCGTCGCGACCCAGCTCTCGGCCAACTTCTGGTCAGTTCACGGCCGCTCAGCTTCGACCTACTTCAGCCGCTCGTCGATTGAGCAACACTCCGCAGTCGCCGGTGGAACAACATCCCTCGCAACGCGAACAACGACGGCCTAGTCTAACTAATGCTGCTACTGCGCCGATCCGTCCGGCCACCCTGCATGACCAAGTTGTTGACCCTTCATATACCGGAAGCAGGCGCCGCGTTTCCCGCGACGAGGTCCTGCCTCCGCCCTCCGGTCTGAAGGAGCACCTCGAACGTGAGCGTATGCCGCAGCGGCCCGAAGTTGCTATGAGAGAAGCAGCGGAGCGGGCTGCTCAGGATACTGCTATTGACGAAGGGTTCGTCTTCGTCGAGAAACGACGAGTGGAAATCGATGCACTGGCGGACGAGATAGCAGCAAGCCCACAAACGACGAGGGATCGTAACATTACTAGAGAAACTGCATTGAAACGGCGAGCGACAACTCAAGGCTCGCCGACATCCACCACAGGCGCGACGGTTCCATCGAGAGCGATTCAGATTCAGCAAAAGCAGACCGCTGTGCATCAACGAACTGGCTCGTATGAACGTCGCTACCGGCCGAGCTTCGAAACTGCGACCTCAGCGCTTTCCAAAGCCATGAACATGGTCAATATACGAGGCCTTGGACTTTCGCCGCCGTTGATGAAGGGTGCATCTCCACCTCAAGGTTACGCTGGTTTCCCAATTTATCCTACAGCTCAAAGCAGTCTCCTACTGGTAGGAGAAAGTGGAAAGGCTCCAGATAAAAGCGAAGATGCATCAATAATCAAGAGGATTGAGCAGCTTGCTCAGCTTAGCCACGTGGTATATGGTTTCGCAGAAGTCAAGTACAAGCAACTTGTACCGGTTGCGCCAAGTGATCAAGGCCTAGGCATTGGAGCAAGGGGCGTCAGGAGGCCGAACAATGAAGAAATTGAAGACGATGAGGATGATGACCTGACTCCAGACACCATCCTGGTCATCTCTGAAGAAGCTTTAGTTCTCTACGTCAAGGCTCTCGGAATGCTCAACAACGCCATGGACATCACCGCAAGCTACTGGAACCGGACTGGCCGTGGTCCATCTTCCGAAGGCGCCAGCCGCGCGGCAATGAACACCGAACGCTTCCAGGATGTGGTCAAGTGGCTTCGCGATCGGTTCAACGAGTGCTGTATTAAGTCTGAAATTGTCGCGCGCAAGCTCAAGCAGGCACAAATCCTGCTCCCGTCCGACCATCCGAGCCATCCCAACAATCGATCAACGGCTTCCGGTTCTGCGACCACAGTCGGCTCTGCCGATAACATCCTTCTCACGACGGGCGTAACAGCAGAGAAACTGATGTACGACCGCGCCCTTGAAATGAGCCGAACCGCTGCTGTCAACGAGCTTGTAGGAGTTGATCTTCCGGGTTGCGACTTGAACTACTGGACCGCCATCCTGATGCTGGAGGCGATTCTCGAAGACGAGGACGAGTCTTCGAGCCAGAAGCTTGGCAGCGAAGAGATTGACGGTCTTGAGAACGATGACCGACAGGCTATTCAAAAACGTAAGCTAGGCTCCAATGGCATCGTTACGGACGTCGCTAACTTGGAAACAGTTCTAGAAGGCATGAAGGCTCGTCATGCGGCACTGAAGAAGAAGCTGCAGCTGCAAAAGGCGCAGAAACGTGCATCCATCACCAGTGCGCCTGCACCTCATTCCGCTACCCGCAGCTCGCCCTCCTCTCAAGGCACCGCCCGGTGATATACATTCGCATGAAAGACGTACGTTGTTGAATACTGTCTCGCATCTCTGCATTTAGCATTTTGTCTCGCAAGCATTGCATTATCAGGCGTTCAGGTTGGCGCACCAGGTATCTATCTCCCCTTCTTCCTTTCCTACCCACTCGTGCGGTTTTTATACCATCTTTTAGCATAGTACGTTTTTGCTTCCTCAATCGATCGATGCGCAGGCGTACGCAACGGCCTATTGGGGCAACACACCAGACTGTCTTGTCGCGCGCATGATACCCGTCATGGCGTTTTGGGCTTCATGTTCCGCACTTCCTCTTCTGCTGCTTTTTTTCGTCTGCTTTCGCTTTACATAAGGAGGATGGGGTGGCGTACACAGGGTATATCATGGCTTGGCATGGGTTCGGGGGCTGGCTGGCCTGTTGCAATCGCCCGGACTGGATTAGATTGACACCTCAGGGACGTTTGCTTGGATCAGTGTGAGGTATGGGAGGGAGGAGATTATACCGACCTAGTAGCTGCTTAGTGTTTAGGTGATTATGAATAGCGAAAGCTTGAATAGACTGGGAAACTACTCTTTCTTCCTGTGTGACATCAAGTAAGGAGAGAGGGTTGTCCGTGTAGCCTGGGTAGATGCAAGGCGGCATGCGAGTAAAGGTGTAGTGGCGGAGGATCGATGTGTAAGCTCGGGCATTGAGCCCTATGAGAGTCCTGTAGGTGCTTGACGTTCAAGATTATAAGCAACAGTTGGTCTGCTGCAAACGACACCAATGAACAGTTCGTCTCTTTGTCGGATTAATATGGACGTTGGAGGTTTGCCTTGCTCTCCTTTCGCCATCGTCGAACTTCCGAAGCGAATATGCCCGGACCGTGAGCGTTCAATGCTCCTTGTTCACTTTACTACAGTCTGAAGTATCAAAGTGCGATGCCATTGTTTTAGGACACGCCGTAGAGGCCTTTCAAACCCCTGCTGGTTTTGAGTGATTTCACTCACTATAATCGACGACGCGGATGAACTTGTTATAATAAATGCTGCTATATATGCTAATGGGTATGAAAACTGCCACAGATGCAGTCGCTGATTACATAGACGCTGAATGCAAATGCCGTTGGCTTTCTCTATTTATGCCCGCTGAAATGCTCAAACACAATCCCCAAAACTTTTTTCTAGGCTTTCTATTGTAGAGCCCTTCCCTACAAGGCCACCTGAAACTTCGGATTCGTGCGGATACTCTCGCCTCTGAAGCGGAAGAACAACGGCACAGGAATCAATGCAAGTGCAATGAAGCCCAGCAGTGAGTTACCCCATCCAAGACCTAGCGCATCGAACATGTCGAGGCCAGCGAGCGGGAGGAAAGCCCCGAAGATAGATCGGAGGACGGTGTTGGCCGCGATTGCGGAGGCGGCGTGCACGGTGAATGCATCAACCAGGTATGTCTGAATAGTCATCATACCAGTAAGGTTTCCGAGACCGACGAGCGCCGTCCCTATGATGGGCACAATCCAATGCACACCTTTATCCGTCGTCCAGCCGTAGATAAAGATACCGATAGGGAGGAGGATGGCACCGGGAATTGTGAGAGGAAGCTCGAGACGATTTTCGGGTTTGGCACCACCGCTTGCTTGGGCCTTGCGGACATAGACGTCTGACATCTTGCCGACGTACCCCATACCTAGGATAAGGCCGACGCCCATGCCCAGGTAGGCGAGACCAACGGAGCTGGAAGAGAAGTGGTATGTGTCCTCGAAGACGAAGGTCATGGTGGTGAAGAAAAGGTACATGATGCCGTAATTGATAGAGACATAGACCGACATGAGGAGTACGATGGGCGAAAAAATCAGCATCTTGATCGGACGGACGATGGAGCGAGCGAAGATCTCGCGAGGAGGTAGCCCACTGTCGAGTTTCGAACGGAGGTTCATATTTCCGGTTTCTTTCTGGAGGCGCTTAGTCTTGCGCGCAAGCAGGGTGGGGTGGTAGGTCTCGCGGCCGAACAAGTACAGGCAGATTGCGAAGAAGCCGGCGAAGATGGCGATGATCCAGAACACCCATCGCCAGCCTTTGGCTTTGACCAAGAAACCGCCGGCAACGGGCCCCAGGACAGGGCCTAGCAGCGGACCCATGGACCATATGGCCATTGCTCCTGCGCGTTGCTCTTGTGGAAAGATGTCGGCGATGGTTCCACCTCCAATCGTCAAGGGTGCAGCACCAGCCATTCCTGCTAGTATTCGAAAAGCGATGAGCATACCCATGCTGTTGCTCAAAGCACACGCGACAGTAAAGATTACGAAGAAGACATTGCAGACGTTATAGGTGGTGAATCGGCCGTACATCTCGGACATGGGAGCAATAATCAGTGGTCCGATAGCGAAACCGAGAATGTAGATGGAGACGACGAGTCCGGCGAGGATATTCGAAGTTACGCCAAAGGTTGCCATTACTTGAGGAACACCGGGAGCGAAGAATGAGGATGCGAGGGGCCTATGAGAATGAGCATTGAAATGACAGCGGTCTCGGTGGGACATACGTGACTAGCGTAACCATTCCCAAGATACCTGGTACGAAGTCAGTCATGGAAGCGAGGATGAGTGTTTTGTAACGCACCGATTAGGGTCCATTTCTTGCTATCGGGCCAGTTCAACGGGTTCTCAGGATCATCTGGTCCGTCCCAATCTACTATATCAGGATCTTGTTCTGTTTCTGTCCTGGGATCACCTCCTAACGTCATCTCGTCGCTGTTGGTAGATGCTGCGCTTGGAACACCTTTCTCTATGTCGAGGTGTGACGATGTGTCTACTTGATCTGAGGGAACGTCCGCATCATGGCCTTTCTCGTATGCATCGGCAGCCCTGTCATCTAGGCCTTGGGCTTCTCGCGCTGGATTCAAGAAAGTGGCAGGAGTTGCCATGCTGGGTACGTGCTGCAAGAACATCAGCATTTGTTGTATGGACCTATAGTCTTTCCACAATGGGCGCGACGAGATTCCATTTGAGTGCAGTGGCTTGCAAAGAGATGTGCTTACTAGATGTGCAAGGAAGTAGAAGGTCGATCGGCGAGTAGAGCCGATGCTCGAGCGTAAGGTCTCGTATTTATTATCGTGCTATAGATTGACGAAAGCCTTGAGAACGTAACCGACAGTGTTGCTTATAAAAAGTTCGAAGCTTAGCAAGAGAAGTACAAAGAAGCAGACGCTGTGAGATGTTATACACCCAGGACCAGGCTGGCGTTCCTGTGCGGTTCTTTTACGGAATCCCGGCTGCGGGAAGGTTGCTGGTCCGTTCCTATCACCGATGCTCCTTCTGCCCTTCGCGAACCACCAAGCTTTCTCGCGAACCCTGAAGGGCTATCAATCTAGGGGGTCTTCTGGGGGTCTCGCGTGTTTTGATTGGCGTTGCCTCGCGTACACATACGCCAGGCTGTCTAAGCGTGCGCCCCGCGGAGCAGTGCGCGGAAATACGCCGAATACGGCGGAGGATCGGAGGGTGGAGGAACGGAGCGGAGGGTGGCGCTACTGGCATCGTGGGCATGTTTCCTCCAGTTGGAGAAGGTTGCAAGGCGTGGCATACACAGTAAGGAATGAGTAGCGCCCTTTTGCCCTCCCTTTGATGCCCTCACACCTGTCTAGGGCCCATGGCAGCGGGGCGCCCGCGAAACTACATTCACGTGAGCTGCGGTGACATGGTTGCGCCATGCTCTCTTGGTCTGCGTCCGCGCTCTTCAACGCGAAAGCGATTGCGAGGCTCCACGTCTCAGGCTGCATGGCGCGACAGGTGTAGGTACTCTTAGCGCGGCTGGTGTAGACATCTCCAAAGCGTCCCGGAATCCCGGTCGCCGACTCCGCAAACAACCATCTACGTCGTGCGTGCATCTCCGTTGTCAGATGATCAGAGAGTTGGAGACGCGGGGGATATATCGTGAGAAAATGTGGGCAGTTCAAAGACAGTCAGGCAGCATTGTGGGCGAGGGGATTTCTTTGAGACCGCTTTCAAGAATACCTTTCAATCGCACTGCCCGCAACTCCAAACCACTGATCGTGAATATCATGTTCCCGATCTCGACCAGCTGCCTCCGCCTGCTGGCTTACCGGCTCATGTGAAGGATGCAGAAGTCGTACAGCCACTTTTTGGGTCAGTCATCGAGCACAGGAGAGAATGTACTGGTGGTAGCGCACTCCAGTGGTAGATGGTCAGATTGTGTGTGTAAAGCCGCAATTCCAAAAAGAGACCTGAGGCAAAGAAGGGACAAAAATCATATCTGCGATTACAGAGGTGATGAGAAAAACAACTGTTCAAGTGCAATAGCGAACACGAGAATTTCCGGGTCCACCGGGGATGCATGTGAAGAGTATCGTAGACTTGGCTAGGACCTGTGGGTGAGGGAAACGAGACGAATGGCACCTGTGTACGTAAATGTTTCGAATGCATTTGGAGCTTGAGACCGAATGGTATTTCAGAAGCCAATATAATGCTTACTACCGCGCCTCTGCCATGAAGAAGATTCCCCTAGAATGCATAAGACCGGGCCACGCCTGGGCCTTTTCCGTGTCGGTATCGTCGCTCATATCCACTGTATCGTCACCATCGCGCCAACCATTTACCGCAGCCTCCTGGCCTCACGCTCAGATTCGAGCAAGCAGAGGATGTCGTTCTCGCGGACTGCCGACGATTAGTCCTCAAAGTCCACCCCCAATCTCGGATGCATGCGTACCTGGGCCCTTGACGTTGCGGATAATGCTTCGGGTAGTGTCGTCCATGAACTCGACGCGGCACTGGGTGACACCACCACGGGAGCCTGCCCAAGTCAGAATTGTATTCCTCATGTTTCCTTCGCATCATTGTGCATCCGTCGACGACGTACCGGTGCGGCCGAGAACGCGGGTGACCTTGACGAGCTTGACGGGGACCTTGGCGGTATCCATGATGATAGACTGCGCGGGTCAGCACTTGCGATATGGGGCGGAGTATCTCGAAGGCGATCGTACTGTGGGAAGTCGTGCGACTGGTGGTTTGTCGGGGGTCCGGGTGTGGTGTTGAGCGTGCAGGTGACTTTTCAGCGACGGCGAGGTTCCAAGTCAAAATGAAAGTGTGCGAAGCGAACTGCCGCGGCCCACCGCCCGGAAAGCACCTAGTCCCGAACCGGTTGTTAGCGCACTTTGGCGGGGCAGGAGCGAGGCTTGATGCATGCGTCGTCATGATTGGCGCGCGATTCACCAGATTTCAACGTCGACGCGATACCGGAGGACCATTCCAACACGCGTTGTGCAGTGCGGCCTCTTCACTGGTGCGTTGTGCTCCTGATACTGCGCTCTTGGACGGAGCAGGTAGCCTGTACCGCCTAGGCCCTTCGTCTCGTTCGGCAGTGGCCTTTCGGTCCCTGAGAAAAACCCTCTTTGACGCTACCGAGTCATCCAAGTGACTCCAATTCTGTACACACCAAAACGACAAATCTGCGTATCGGTCCCACGCACGCCCGCACTTTGCATCCACCCTACCCATTCTCAACCCTCCTAGATCCAATTACATCTCCGTACGTGGGCACTCGTTGCAAGTCTGCATCCCCAGCACTTTGGGCTAGCAGATCTTGACGCCGACGCACCCCAGAGTGAAGCACGGAATAAGAACCATGGAGTTCGTCAGTTCGTACGTCGCTCCCTCTTTCACACTCGTTCCTCCACTATGCCTTCAGCGGATCCTACAAACGGTGTCAATGGCATCGTCGGCCAGGACCGTCCGGTCATGCGCCAGCGCATGGGGAGTAGGAGTCTTCCGTTCATGACTGACATACTGGGAAACAGTCTGAACGATCGCCTGTTGTTTGCGGTTCCCAAGAGTACGTTCTCCCTTAAACACCAAACAACCCCGCGGCTTCGACCTTGTGTTGCGTCCAGGATGCGCAATACAGAAGCGAATGATTTATGCTTCCGACATACTAAAATTCCATGGATCATGCTATGGTCGATCTGCGTAGCGGAGTTAGCGGGGAAATACAGACTGTTGCGCTTGATTCTGGAGCATTGTTCTGACTCATGCTAGAGGGCCGACTCAATCAAGCCTGCTTGGACCTGCTCCACGGCTCCGACATTCAATTCCACCGTCACTCGCGCCTCGACATTGCCCTCGTTAAGAACCTTCCGCTCGCTCTTATCTTCTTGCCCGCCGCAGATATCCCGACGTTCGTAGGAGAAGGTAGGGTCGATCTCGGTATCACTGGGAGAGATCAGGTTGCAGAGCATGAGTGCGCCGAGCCGCCTACGGCCACTACTGGCGTTGTAGAGGTCATGGACCTTGACTTTGGAAGATGCAAGCTCCAGGTCCAGGTGCCCCAGAAGGGCGACCTGATGAAGCCAGAAGATCTGATTGGAAAGAACGTTGTCACAAGCTTCACAAACCTCACGGAGCAATACTTCAGGAAACTAGAGGCGCAACAGGCTGGAGATTCTACCAACGGCGAGGCGAATGGGGAGAAGACCAAACTAAAGACGAAGATAAAGTACGTTGGTGGAAGTGTTGAGGCTGCCTGCGCTCTTGGTGTCGCAGACGGCATTGTCGATCTCGTTGAGTCTGGGGAGACGATGCGCGCTGCTGGTCTCCATGCCATCTCGACTGTCGTCGACACGAGCGCCATCTTGATCAAGTCAAAACACCCATCAGACACCAAGCTCGTGGACCTCATCACTGCCAGAATAAAGGGTGTCATCACTGCCCAGAGATATGTTCTCTGCACTTACAATGTCGAGCGAAGCAAGCTCGATGTCACTTCTAAGATCACTCCGGGCAAGCGCGCGCCAACGGTCAATTCTCTCGAGGAGGATGGCTGGGTTGCAGTTTCGGTCATGGTAGAGCGATCACAGATTGCAGTTGTCATGGACAAGCTCACCGAGGCTGGAGCTTGCGATATCCTGGTCACGAAGATCGAGAATGCTCGCGCCCAGTAGAATGGGAGAAGGCGAAGGTCGCGGCTGTGGTTAGAGTTCTCTGTCTTGGCCTGCATTTTGGCTGGGCTCTGGACGACGGAAACAACACGGAGTGGGGCTTCAAGAGGCATTTGCCAGTTGACATTGAAATACATTATTTCTTGAGATATCATGATTTTACGAGGGGAGATAAGGAATGACGCTTACTGCCATAGCAGGAGACAGAGTGCGCAAACAAATCAAACATTCATCACAATGATAATAAATGTCCCCGCCGCGTTGCTTGACGTCTGGACGCGAATGTGCACCTTGATATTACGGACTGATTGAAATTTCAGCTTTTAGATCGCGACTCGAAAAGCTGTCGGGCAGCCACATGGAACATCTGATGGTCTGCACAGGACTATATAATACGACCACTCGCACAGCGTCCGCCACCCATGAAATCACCTCACTCCAATGTACTTGAGGCTAGACGACCAAGCCGGGGCACGCTAGATGACTCCTTCCTCCGAGAACGGTGTGCAGGCGACGATTCAGTCAATCCCCAGGACCGCGAAGCGACGTCCGGCGAGACGAGTCACACAAAAACCGGCAGCTGCAACTCCACATGCGAGCGCTGGATACAGTCTATCTACCCTCTCGGATGATCTCAGATCGGCACTCTTGACTCAACGAGAAGATTTGGGATCTCGAACATGGAACCAGTGAGCTGATACAGTACTCCGGGACCGCAATCCTGCACGACAGCGTCCCCCAGCCCGCTATCTCATTGACTTGGTGTAATAATATTAGGAGCTTCCGCTGCCTGAAAGTCGCCTGGAGCCACCCCTGGTCGCAGTGTATACCATCAAGACGCCGCACAACAGCCTTGATAAAGAGGAATAAACATGGAAAATAATCTTGTGCTACACAATAAATATGATAGTGCGGACTCGTATTGGTCTTTCACCTGTAGCTTGTCCTCTTTAGCATAAGACACGATTCGTCCGGTGCTTTACTACTTCGTGATGTGTTTTATTTGGATTAGGCTTGTCATTTCTTGCTCGGACGGCGGCACACTTGGCTTACCAAGAAGACAACAGCTATGCAGGGGAACGCCAAACGAGTCAAAGCCTTGAGTAGTGGTAATCCCGATAGACTTTCGGGCCGCTCCATGCGTAGCCGTGTCGATGGCCGGTATATCTCGGTGCCCTCGAGAAGGCTGCAATTGTTGCTGTACGACCATGCTTCACCATCACACTTCGGCGCGTACATGCTGTGCGACACAAAATTTTTGGAACCTTCTGCAGGATGATATGATCTAGATAACGCGTACTTGACGCGTAAAACTCGCATTTTCGACTGCTAAGTGTTCCACTGCTTCCTCATCAGCTCACCAGTTTTTGTACCCTCGTGCCTTTGCCTTCAAAATCCTCCTACTGCTGCAATTGCAGAGGTCTTGGGCCCGTGGAATATGGTTCGAAGATGCACGCCCAGAGTACCCATCAATGTGCCGAAAACTCCCATGATATTGGGAACCTTGAAACAGCACATGTCGGTCAGAAAACTTAGGGCAAGGGGCACGGGTTCGAAGCCGAAACCTGCGACGCCCAAGAAGTCTGCACCAGAGAAACCCACACCGAAGGTCCCACCTTTGAGGGTAAAGGTGATCAAGGCGGTTCGTATGCTCCAAATGGTGACTAACTCACTTCAACAGGCCGATCTCGTTCACGATCGTTCTACGGATAAAGCCGAGGTGTCTTCCGACAGGTCGCTGCTGGCCAAGAGACGCAAGGAGCAAGAATGGCAGAAGAAAGAATTGGCTCGTCAAAACAAGGCTGTGGAGCGTCGGGCCAAGAAGATCGCCAATGGTGTCTTGTACAAAGGCAGATGGATTGAGCCTGTGGTAAAGAAACCTTTGGTTTTTAAGGTTGAGAACGGGCTTGAGGGTAGCGAAGGGTGTCCGGTCGTGATGGAGGACGAGGAGATGATGGCCCATAGGAGACATTCGAGCCCAAGGGTGGTGATACCTATGAAAAGCCGCGACTATCGAAAGCAATTTCGAGAGCTGGAAGAGTACGAAGATCGAGTCCCCACCCTCGCTAACGCTGTTACTACTGCCGCCATTCCTGACCCAGTACGTACAATGATCATTTGCTATTCGATTTGCTGAAATTTTCCAAGAGTTCGTTTCCCCCTGAGTACTTTTCAAATACCATCGGGAACCCTCACCTTTTTCGGAAATACGAACGGTGGTACGCACTGTACCATGCGTAATCATGGCCCTGGGCTGGATATCACTACTCCTGGCGCCATTACCAACGCCGTACGTTATTCCACCACTAGGTCGTTCTATTGGCTAACAACGCCCAAGAGTCCTTTTCCGGAGAGTGCTTGCCAAATACCATCGGGAACCATCACTTTTTTCGGATACGAACGGCGGCACACATCACACCATGCGCAATCGAAACTTTGGTCCGGATATCACGACAAGTTTCGATCGTCGATATCCACAGATTGCAGAAATGTTCGAAAACCACCTGTTGAACGAACAAGACGGTGTCGGATCGCTGTGCGACTTCGTGGTCGATGACGATGAGGAACCAGAATGGATTTGAAACGTAGGACTTGGTATGTGAGCAACACGAGGAGGATCTGGTGCTCGATAAGATAATTCGAAGACAGTCATACTGGTAGCGTGGTCGGTCTAGTGAATGCCATGTTTCTACGATGAGGTGGTCAAAGCAACTAAAATAACGATCAGATGACGAGAACAAGACACGATCATGATAGACCGATTACATAGCCAAAAAATCAGTAGGCATTCGCATTATTTTATGTCCGGTTCGACAAGCATTCTTTGAACCCAGTGGTTTTTAATCAGGATGCTAAGGCCGTTGCTACTGGTGTGATATAAGAATCAACAACTGCTGGGTGCTATCGTAGGAAGATTCTTGAGGCCTGTTCTTGTTCGATTTAGACTATCTGAAGCAGGTTTCAAGATTCATAGTACCTACGGTAGATCACGTGATCGTGCCATTCCCGAGATGGCCACGTCAGTTCACTGCAATCTCAACGTCGACATCATCCTCGGTCCTGAAAACACAGCCATCTTCGATCTTCAGGAGATCTACGATTTTCATACTCCATCTGCAATATTCCATGTCGCGTTCAGCTCCAGGATCCTCAAATGGTACTTGCTCGACCCTTCTAGAACCGTTCCGAAGCTTCCCCGAACATCCTCTCTTTTCCATCACACCACCCAACGAAAACACCAGAAGCTTTGAGTCTCATCAAGACTCATCATGCCGCGTCATAATGACATCTCAAACACCCCGTCTACGAACATATAAACCTCCCTGCCGACCTCCGTAGGCTCACCATCAAAACAACAGAAACACATCGCAACCAAAACAAACCTTATATGCAATCACTGCGCACTACCATCCGCCGAGTACCAACTCAACTCAACCGTATCCACAAGCGAACTATCACGAACACTACACCTACTATGTCTCTCTTCCCGCGCTTTACTCAGGAGTTTGCTCCCCTCTTCCGCCTCATGGACGACTACGACCGTCACGTCGTCCGCCCAGATTTCGAACGCCAAATCCGCTCCGTCAAGGCTTTCACGCCCAAGTTTGATGTCAAGGAGGTCGAAGAGGCATATGAGTTGCATGGAGAGTTCCCGGGCATCGACCAGAAGGATATCAACATCGAGTGGACCGATGCCAACACGCTTACCGTATCCGGACGTCACGAGACAGTGAGGGAGGAGGGCGAGCGCCCGAGTGCCGCTATCGACGGCTCTGGTGAAGAGGCCAAGAAGATTGAGGGAGCCCCTGCAAAGGACAAGCAGCCTTCCGTCGAGGAGGAGGGTGAGCAGCAGGTTGCCAAGCAGGGCAACCAGGAGATCACGAAGAACGAAGAGGCGCCTAAGCACAAGTACTGGGTTAGCGAGCGCTCAGTGGGCGAGTTCCACCGCAGCTTCTCGTTCCCCCAGCGCGTGGACCAGGAAGCTGTCAAGGCGAGCCTGAAGAACGGTATCCTTTCTATTGTTGTCCCCAAGGCGAAGGCTCCTCAGCCGAGGAGGGTCAACATCGAATAAGATACTGAACATGATCTTAACGACAACGAAGAAGAAGGCAGATGGGTCTCTACATCATCAACACCGAAAGACTTCGACGAATAATGATCTATCTAGCAATTTTGCAGCGTAACTTGACGATGATTCAGCATGGGACATGGAGTTCTTCGCTCTCTGATTTTTGGACAAATTGTCAGCCTCCTTCGTCTGCTATTTGAGAGTAATGGAGCGGTTGAGGGTAATAATTAAGGCTTTGCTGTAAATACTCCACCAATCAAAGTTATTCATTCACGATTGCCCAGATACCTGCCATGTGATGCCTTGGAAATGATGTTCATACCATACCTCTGGTCCTAGAACAGGAGCTTCTCATAGCTTGCCCGCAAATATACTGCTGCCTAACATATGCAGCACCGCCCTCGAGCCTTCCCTGACCTCTCGCACTATGTTTCCAGCAGGTTTGATCTCCTTCACCAATCCCACGCCACTCCCCGCATAGGTTGTCATTCGCGCCGCAGGGCCCCAACCAGCCTCACCTTTCTTCATCTCTTCCTCATATAGTTTCTTGTTCTCCTTTTCATCCATGCCAGCCATCGCATCTACATAGCTCTTGTTGATAACGCCTCGCGCATTGTGCGTCGCCGCCCATCCCGTAGTACCCCTCAAATTATCGTACACTTTCGTCCTCACAGTAGACTGCCCTCCATCGCTTGCACGAATTATCTCGTCCTTGTATCCATTGGAGATGTTGGCTTCAGGGCTGGCTAAAAGCCGCGTTCCCAACACAATGCCTGAGGCGCCGAGCGCGAAAGCGGCAGCAGCACCGCGAGCTTCTACTATTCCTCCTGCCGCTACGAGAATGGGGGGAGGGATCCGCTCTTCTCTGCATGTGCAATGAACCTTGTCGGATACTTCCGGGAAAAGTGTCATGAGACTCGCGCCTCGGACTAGGCCGTGGCCTCCAGCGTCGGTACCTTGAACAACGAGCACATCTGGTCGTGCGGCCAGTAGGATTTGACTCGCTTCCTGCACGCTGCCGATTTGCACCCAGATCTTGGTCTGAGGAGACACTTTCCGGGTTTGACTGGTCCAATCGCATAATGAGGAGATGGAGGCAGGCGCAAAGAACCACGCCGCTGCTGGTTTATATTGCTCAATGAGGGTAATGGCTGAGCTAAGGTTGGCTCCCCAGTTAATGAAGCCTATACCAATGGGCATGACGCCGTTTCCCGTCTTGATCTTAGCATCATAGATGAGTTTGGCTGCGGCTTGTAGGTCTGAGAGTAACGTCGAGGTGTCTGTTCCGGCGCCGATGAAGCCTAAGCCGCCTGTAGAACGTTACAATGAATCTAATTGTGACAGGGCTGTGGGATGGGACCAGGCTAAGTGTCGACAAAGGACGAAAAAGAGCATCGGTGATGTGTAACTGCTTTCGAAATTTCGACAGCCATGTCTGCCAATGCTACGAGGCGCATTGGCGCGCCTACTACGAGGGGCGTTTGTATCCATGGGTAGTCTTCCTTCAGCTGTTGTATGCCTTCCATTATTCTTGAGCTACCGTGCGGCCGAATATCTCTTATGATTCCTTGTCATTTACCCAATCATTAATTTCAGGATCAAGATCAAGATCAAGATCGAGTCGTCCGCGATCAGATAGCGTTGGCGAGGATGGATGGGCAAGCATCTCCGGATGACCTGGTAAGTGTCGTTATATAGAGTATATATAACGTGTTAGCGTTGATGATGCTTCTCCTCGGCTTACTTCGGCTTGCCGAAAATGGGCAGAAGGCTCAGGTTTTGGTTGGCGTATTGCGCGTCCGGCTGGTACACTTCCAAGCTGATCGGGCCATATACTTTTGAATGATGTTGCGTTTCTACGTAATTATATACATAGCCTTTCCACAGTATTGTACAAAATATGCGTTCTACAGCCGGTGTGTCCAAATCGTACTCAATCATATTCTCAACCGTACACTGGCTCTCTCCAACTCTCCGATATTGCCCATCCCTGCCAGACTCCACTTCTCAGTCACAAAGCCATCGTCAACCTTTGCGCGAAGCATACCGCTCTCCGCGTAGTACTCCATGATAGACCGTGCCTCGTCTTTGCTCAAACGACCGACTTTGATGACCTCCAAGCGCTCCACACCATCCTTTGTCGTGGGCTTGTGCAGATCCCTCAAAGCCTCCATAACGCGTGGATCGATGCTCTTGTACGGGTTCCATCGGGGAAGCGCGTTCGGGTCTACTTGTCTTGCTTCAGCTACCTGAATTGAGAAGTCGAGCGCAGGGGTAGCGGGAGCGTTCGACTGTGATGTTGCGGCGAGGACCACACCACCGTTAGGAAGAGACTTGGCGCCAGAGAGGTGGTCGATAAAGTGTCTGATGATCGTCAAGTCGAAAGAGTGGATTGGGTTCACCTCCGCGTTAAGGTAATCGGACTCTTTCATCATGTGGGCAGTGCCATCGATGGCGAGCATGATGGGTGGTCGACCAGGCTGAGTGAGTTCCTGCCACAGTGCCGTGAAGACGGGCCATGAGGCTTCCGGATTGACTATCCCAAGCTCAATGAGCTGCTTGAGGGTCGCATTTTTGGGGAGTGCTAGAGGGAGGGTGGGGCTAGTGGTGACCTTGATCTTCTCCAGGTTCGGGTTCGCTTTCAGAATCTGGCTAAGCAGATTCGCAGTGTATGTATCTTGTGTGTATTGCATCGGCTGGGAGTCTGGGAGCGGCGCGTAGTCGGTGTGGGCGTTGATGATATCTTGGGCTGTAAGGTATTAGCAGCACGTCTAGAAGTCTTTTAGAAATTCACACACCTTCAGGTAGGTTGATAACCACCCACTCCCTCAGGAAAGCCATGCTCAACCCTTGAAGCAGGAGTGTGCTCTTGCCGCTCAGTCTCTCGCCGCTCAAGATCCTCCGTGCCGTTATCTTCTGGTCCTCGGCCGCTCTCATGATGTTTGCAAGCTCAATCGTCTCCTTTCGCATCAAGGTTGCCGGTCTCCTGAACAGGCTCCATCCCTGTGTCGTCTTGAATGCTTCCGCGGCTCGGAGTGCGTCGACGGTCGCCTCAGGTATTCCCAACACCCTGCCCTGGTTGGCCTCGTTGAGTACGTCCGCTTTGCTCATATCTTTGAGCGACGCGACCTCCAATGCATTGTCGTTGGTGAGGACGATGCGCTTCCTTGCAGCTTTTCGCTCTCCTTGTGCCGGGCGCTTTCCCGTGTCCTGCGCCGAACTTCTGCCCTTCTTGACGTTCAGTGTCCTGGTTCCCTTCTTAGCGGGTGCCGACATTCCCTTCCTCTTGGGAACTGGATTTGCGTATCGTGCGGCGGACGTGGAAAAGTATGCGATCTGAGGGTGAACCAGGGTTCGCGAGGCCATCGAGGCGCGGGCTGTGGTGTCAAGGGACAGTTGGGAAAAGCTCCGCAGGCATATCGACGGAGGCATGGTGGAAGTTGAGGCGCGCGGCCTCTACAATGGCGAGCTGGAGATGATGCTGGAGGCTTGATGGAAATCGCTGCCATGCCGTCCAAAAAGCTCGGTAGTCCGCACGTCCGCTCGCTGGGAAAGCGCAACCGCTAGAGCCCGACCAGGCTAGCGACCGTCCCTTCGCCAAAAAATAATCTGAGCAGCCGGCCAGGTGCCTCCCACCTTCGCAGCGTTGCGCAACAGTTCGTTCAACAATTTTCCACAATGTCTGACACAGACATGGACGGTGGCATTTCGCTGGAAGCGCAGCTTGCGGGCGACAAATCAGCAGACTCGATGGACATTGCATCGCCGCCGAAAGCAGCCATGAGCATGACGGATTCGACCCTCGCGACGAGACGGTACGTTTCTGCCACCCCAGATACCCCGCAACACCCTCACTGACATTGTGCAGACCAGTCACCGTCGATAAGCCCACGCCTTATACTTTTGACCTGGGAAACCTGCTTGCGAACGACCCAAATCCCGTTGCGCGCGACGCCGACGAAGAAGCTCTCGCCTCCAACGCCCGCGATGCCGCGCAAGCCCTCATAAACCAGCTGCTCACCACCTGCGACATAAAGTCATCTGCTGATGGCGTACACCTCATCCTTCCCCCCAGCACCACTCCACTGCCCCGCGAAAAGCCCATTCCTGCAGAGAAGCCGCCTACCAAGTGGGAGCTCTTCGCCAAGAAGAAGGGCATCACCAAAAATAAGAACGACAAGACTAAACTGGTTTACGACGATGCGAGCGGCGAGTGGGTTCCCAGGTGGGGCTACAAGGGCAAAAACAAGGAGGGCGACAACGAGTGGCTCGTTGAGGTTGATGAGAAGAAGGAGAAGGAGACTGGAGAGGCGCATGATGCAAGGGCTGAGGGAAGGGCTGCAAGAAAGGAAAAAATTAGGAGGAACGAGAGGAAGCAGCGCGCTAACGAGCGCAACGCTAAGAAAACTGGTTAGAGAGATGGGATGTATGAGGCTTGAGAAAATCAAGATGACCAGCGAGAGATTCTTACCATGCATTGGGTGGCGTTAGGGATTTTGGGCGGCTATACAATATCGGCGTATATGGCTTGAGATGGCGACCTGGCAGTGAATAGTAGCGAGTGCAGTGTGAGGATACGAGAGGATGGCGCTCAGGTTGCAGGTGGTACCGAGTCATTATATCCTGTAGTTTGTGCAAGCAATATCAATGTGACTGGTAATCACCAAAATAACTCGCATCTTCTCGATATAAACGTTATTGCGTATCCTATCAGCTTGTCCATCGTTCTTGTTTGCCACTCCTTCAATCGAGTTCCTGAGATTCAGGATATGAGCTTTTCAAGCTCGTGGAACTCTTGCCTTCGTCGGTGATGCAAGCAAAATGTGGGCGTAACACTTCCGCATTCTGTGTGTGTCGCTATTGCGGAAGTTGAATCATCATGCGCTTCTTTAGCGAATCGACGGCGCGCCCCTTGTCCGTCCCACATCCGGCACAAAAATACCCCACCGAAACCGCACCAATATTCTGACTCTGATACTTGACGAACATGCGAATGACTTTTCATGCCATAACGGAAGTACAAGTGGCTATCTATATGCATCTTGTCACAATTTCGACATCAATTCACTGCAACTTGTAGTGGATCGTGCCCCAACCTTTGTAAAGGTTGTGTAGTGTAGCGGTTATCACTCCGGATTCTGATCATCTCAGGACCTTCCGGCAACCCCGGTTCGATTCCGGGCACGACCTCTTCTTTTGTGTTTTTGTTTCTGATCGAGATGTACGCCTGAGTAGGGTGAGGGAATTGATGTCATTTTTGCTGAAAGTGATGCGTTCAGGGTCCTGCAACACCTGAAAACGCAACTGCGATTTTTTATTCGAGCACCCTGCACCACAGGATGCAAAGTGGTCTGTATCTAAATTCCATTTATCTTCCGAGATCGATGTGCCCGGGTGTTCATTGGTGCGTTCGGGAGACATGCTGGGGCAAGGGGCTTTCTGTACGCGCGATATATATCTGGGCAGCATTTGGGCATGAAGGTTTTAGGACTCCTAAGGTACCTACTCAAAAGTCGTCCAACGGCTAGAGATGCCACTTGAGATGCCCTAATGCGACTCCATATCGCGATTAAAGATTTCAAGGTGCTTCCGATCGACGTTAGGTTCCTCACGGACCTCAAAATCCTAATGGAAACGCCCGGTGAAGAAGGCCCATAAAAGCCCTAAATCTGTGTAAGTTGATTTGCTGCTACCCTTGTGATGATTTGCCGCTACGCATTGGTACTTCCTGGGAGGGTGGAGGTACGGCGTGTCGCGATGGTGTCGTGGTTCACCCTCCGAGCCCCTGATTGGAGCCAGCCGAAATGGCGATGGCGGCCCGTCTCCACCCCCAGATTCATACCCGCCCAGCTGGAAACGGCAACAGATACATGCAGCTCTCGAGATGGCTGCCCTCCACCTCCTTTAGCTTCGCCATGTAGATTCCCTATCGCATCGCTACTTCTACCATAGTTCAGTGTACATTTGTGAGAATGGGGCTCGGCATACTCGAGGATCACAAGCTGGAGCACGTCCCTGGTACGCAATCAGGGGTCCTGACGGCAACATGCGGGGCAGCTAACACGGCCTGATAGGGACGGCGAACGTACTCGAAGATGAGCGAAGGAGACAAGAGGACCAGGCGGAATCTCGCGATGCGAACCTGAAGTATGATAAGACGGGAAAGATACTGCTCGTCCCGCAACCTAGTGACGACCCCAACGATCCGCTTGTACGCGCTCACTGCCCATCCAGACCCACAAACTACGAATGTTACACATCACGGATGCCAACTAATTGCATGTAGAACTGGCCACTATGGCAGCGCGATGTCATTGTATGCATTCTCTCACTCGTCTCTGTCATCGCAGCAACACTTTCCCCTCTGCTCGCCGCAGACACCGTCTCCCTCGCCATCTACTTCCAACGCTCCTTCACCGACATGGCTCTCCTCACGGGCTACCACCTCCTCGGCGTGGGCCTCGCAGGCTTCCTCTTCGTGCCCTCCGCACGTATTTGGGGAAAGCGACACGTCTATCTGCTTGGCGCCATCACCATTATATATAGCAGCGCATGGGGCGGCGCGAACGGGAAGAATTACAAGTCTCTTCTATGGGCACGAATCTTCCAAGGCATAGGGCTTGCGCCTTTTGAAGCGCTGGTCAATGCCAGTGTGGGTGATTTGTACTTTGTGCACGAGAGGGGTCTGAGGATGGCACTGAGTAATCTTGCTTTGTTCGGAGGTGCCTTCCTCACGCCCGTGTTGGTGGGAAAGATTGCGGCGGAGATAGGATATGAGTGGACATTCTACTTCGTCGCCATCTTCACGGCGGTGCTTTTCCCCTTGTTGTTCTTCTTTTGTCCTGAGACGACATACAGAAGAGAGCAGCGGTTCGATATCGATACAATGGGAAATTTCGTGGAGCCCACGCCGCCAACGGCGTCGAAGGAAATGGCAGTGGAGTCATCAGCGGGTACATCCGGCGAGCTGGACAGTACTGGCAATGCTGCGAACATGGAGGGAGTCAGGGCACATCCTCACCTTCGAACCAAGATCTCGTGGAAGAGAAGTCTTTTGCCCTTCAACGGCCGCCACACGGATGAACGTTACCTACACCTCCTCCTGCGACCCTTCCCGCTCTTTTTCCATCCCGGTATTCTCTGGGCCTGTCTTATACAAGGCGCTTTGATTGGATGGACGGTGATGATCGGAGTTGTTCTCGCAGCTATCATGCTAGGCCCCCCGCTCTGGTTTGGCGAAGAAAAGACAGGCTACATGTACACAGGCGCTTTCGTTGGAGCACTCATTGGCTTCATGTTATGTGGCCTTGTATCAGATTGGTCAGCCAGGTTCCTCACGCGTCTCAACCACGGCGTGTACGAGCCTGAAATGCGAATGTTTCTTGTCCTCCCACAACTTGTGCTCGGGTGTGCAGGGCTCTATGGCTTCGGCTACACAGGTGGCGACCCATACAAGTATGGCTGGTTCTGGCCGGACTTCTTCTTCGCGCTGGAGGTGGCAGGTATGGTTTGCGGTGCTGTGGCGAGTGCGCTATATATCGTCGACGCGCATCGTAAGCTGAAGTCGATTTCTGTTTACCAGGCTTGAACACTAACCATGTGTAGGCGACATGTCTGTTGAAGGCTTCACTTGCCTGCTCGTCTTCAAAAATATTTTCTCATTTGCTCTCACGTTCAAAGGCTTCGAATGGATTCAGAGAGGCAAGGTGCAGCCTGTCTTCACGGCAATAGCGAGCGTCCAGGTAGGAATTTGCATGACAACTGTGCCCCTTTGTAAGTCTTCTTCACTTAGACCTCATTAGGATGCTGATAAGGGACAGATATTTTCGGCAAGAAGAGTCGCTCTTTCTTCCATCGCAACAACATCTACTTCAAGCTCACAGATGCTATTGCGGATAGAGTCATGGTTCCTTTGGATTGGATTGGGAGTAAGATCTTTTTTTTGGAATTCTAATGTTGTTGGGAGGAAGATTGGGGCTTGAACCTGTCAACATAGTGAGTGCGGAGACTATCTTGACATAATAATGTAGTATTGTTTGGTAATGTAACAGATCCCGGCTTCAGCCGCTGCAACTTCTTCGGCGGTCCTGTGCGGGCAGTATGCATGATACTTCCAGGGGTCTCTTAGGCCTCCTCTTCACCTTGCTTCTTCTTCCCCTTGCTCTTCAACCCCCGCATGGCTTTCCCAGCCGCCTTGCCGACAGCTCCAAACCCAAAATTCCAACCCTTGATTCGAACGCTCCAAATGAAGAAGTACACCAAGGCCCAGTTGCTGACGCAGAACGCAAGGAAGATACCGAAATCGCGCCACTTCTCACTAGCCTTGATGTTGAGTGTGGCCAAGTAGTCGTCTCCCGAAGAGTATGGGCAGTACATGCAGCCAGACGTAGCATCAGGATTCAATAGATAACCCGGCGACTGTGAAAGGAAGCCAGCGTAAGAGCTGCACGTTTGACCGTCTGGCGAATCAAAATGTGCAGTCTCGCTCGACTGGCACTCAACCGGGATCCCATGCAGAGTCGCTGCCAACACGCCACCAATCCAGTACGTACTCGGGTTCACGTAGTACATCCAGTACTTCCAGAAGACCGCAAGCTGCGAGTACGGCCTCACGACGCCGTTGAACAGCGAGAACATGACGAAGAAGAACGGAAGAACATTTGAAATCACAGTGAAGCTGGGCGCGAAAGCGCATATCCATTGACCCCATGACGAGATGAACAGGTAGAACAGCATCGTCATGAGGAAGACGTAGCCGGCCGTCGAGCTGTCTGTGGGAAGCCCGGCTGGGTAATACCACAGGAGAAAATAGAGAACCGAGGAGACGATCGCAATGGGGATCTCGGCAACGACTTGCGCAGTTGTGAAGGCAACCCAGCCGTAAATGCGTGAGGGCAGCTCGCGCGCTTGCCAGAGCGCCATGTTCGTATAGAACTTTGGCACGACGGCGTTGACAATGGTGGGCGGAATGAGGAGAATCAGGAACGTAGAAAACAGGCGGTTTTGCATGTCGCCGATGGTGTTGCCTAAACGGTAATAGGTGAAGCCGTTTGCGATCGAACAAATCACGGCGACGAAGAGCTTGCCATAGAGGTAGGAAGGGTCGCGCCAGTACTGTGTGAAGACGCGCTTCGTAAGCATTTGAGTCTGAAGCCAAACCGATGCCGCGAACTCGGTCGCTTCGTGCTTGGCTTTGGAAGTCGTCTGGCTACGCTCGCTCTTTATACGGTTAATTTCCTGGAGCATCTCTTGATTGTTGGTCGAACCAGCCCACTCGTCGTTCCAATTGATTCTAGTACCATCTTTACGTCTGACCGGTTTTGCAGCGGTCTCAAGGATGAACTCAGCAACGTTCTTGCTCGGAGGACATTGAACACCTCGATCCGAGAAGTACTTGATAACGTCTCTCCCGTTGGTCCCGACCGGGCCAAAATAGAAAGTGTTTCCGCCCGGATTGAGCGCAAGGATCATATCGAACTGCTGGATGAGGACCGATGATGGTTGATGGATTGTGCAGATTATCGCCTGGCCGGCAGAAGAAAGCTTCTTCAAAAAACGCACAATACTAAACGCCGAGTTGGAATCCAAACCGGAGGTGGGTTCATCAAGGAACAGAAGTAAAGACGGTTTAGCTGCAAGCTCGACTCCGATAGTCAGCCGCTTCTTTTGTTCTACGCCCAAACTCGAGACAAGAGCATCCTGACTTTGCTGAAGTTCGAGCAGATCAAGGATCTTGTCTACGTATTCGAGCTTCTCCTTTTTGGAAATGTTCCGGTCTTGACGCAAAATAGCGGAGAACTCTAGTGCTTCTCGGATAGTTGCCGTCCCGTCGTGAATGTCATTTTGTTCAACGAAGCCTGTTCCACGCTGGAAGTCAACATCCAAAGGCTTGCCATCTACGAGGACATCGCCTGAAACAACACCCATCTTCTGTCGTTGCGACAGAGTGTTAAGCAGCGTTGTCTTTCCGGCTCCCGAAGCACCAACGAGTGCGACCATCAGGCCGGGCTTCGCGTACCCATTGATCTTATTAAGGAGCTTCCGCTCACCTCCTTGGTATGGAACGGTATATTCAACGTTCTGCCATGTGAAGATGCTCTCGCTGCTGGAGATCTGCTCTAGCGCTTCTTCCTGCTGTTCTTCGGTGGTCTCGCCGCTCAGACCAGTCCCAGAGCTCTCGCCCGCGACGATTTTTTCTTCGTCGGCAGGAGCCTCATTGACAGCCTTCTTCGCGCGATCCGACTTCTTAAAGATCAAGGCGCCGCCACCGCCTGATGTAAACGAGAATGTTTCAGTGCCCCAGACAGTGACAAGCAGGTAAAGGACCGCAAAAGCGATGACTACAGCCCAATTCCTCCACAAGTTGCTTCTCGAATAATTGAAGCTTGTCGCCAGATATGCGGATCCAGGAATGGTCCGTGAGTTGGGTTGGGCGCCGGTTAGCGAACAGCCTTGATACGCAGGATTTACGCCAGGCCCTTGAGGCACGAGCTGGGACGGCGAACAGTCCATGACTCGATCAGAGAACTCGTTGGATATGACTCCTTCGAAAGCATACGAAATGGGATTGATCCAGTACAACCATCCGAACCAGATGTACTGATGGAGCAGTTGTGGTTTAGGAATAACATAACCCGTATAGATGATAAGGAGGTTCAAAGCAATTCCAGAGAATCGCACGGCGTCATCGATCGTTGGTGACAGCGAAGCGAACATCCGATATAACGAAGTGATACAAATAGTGTTTGTATAAACAAATAACAGATAGATCCAAAACTTTGACACGTCCATATCGAGCTCGGTCAAAAAGTACATGATGAGGACGAATGGTACGACTTGAAAGAGCAGCAAGGGAAAATCTTGCAAGACACGTGCCAGTGCAACGGCGGAAGGACGGTAGAACGCGTAGTCGTTGTGGCGCTTGACGATCGCTCGACCAGAGACAGCTTTCATGAGCTCCGAGAGTTGCAACCAGCCTAGGAAGAGGATAGAGAAGAAGAGAGCACCACCTCTACTGAAAGCGCCCGATGTGTCCAGAGATTCACCGTAGAACAAGCTGCCCACAATAAGGCCGTTGCTGATGATAATGAAGAATTTTGTGACAAGTGTCGTCTTGTCGCCCCAGGTCAACCATAACTCTCTTTGCGTACAAGCCAGCACCTGACGGAAGAAGCTGACCGTGTATGGCGATGTTTTCGATACTTTCTTGCTCTTGCCCTCGTGGACAGCGCCCTCGAATTCTCGCGCATCGACGTAGTCTGACCGCTCGAGTGCTGCTTCGTAGGTATCGACTTCCCGCAAAGCTCGCTTGTAGCTCTCCGATTGTCTGAACGCTGTTTCGAGATCTTCCGGTGATTTTGGCACACTGTCTTCATACCCTTCGCGGAACTGCCGTTCGCCCGGATCAGTGACCGCGGTCAAGAAATCCGCAGTAGTTTGCCGCTCCGGAGCCTTGAAACCAAGATCGAAAAAGTACTTCCTCGCCTCACTTGCTGGACCTTGATAGATACACCGACCCTGATCGATCACCATGACTTTGTCCATCAATTCGTAAATGCCTTCACCGGCCTGATATAATGTCACGAAAGTCGTTCGGTTACTGATGTCGGTCATGATGCGAAGCGACTTCGCGTAATCGAGCGCAGTGGAAGCATCCAGACCTCGAGTGGAATTGTCCCAGCAGACTACTGTTGACTTGGTAGCCAGAGTCTCAGCAATGGAAACACGCTTGCGTTCTCCTCCACTCACACCTCGCAGGAATTCATTACCAACAGGCGTATACTTGGTGTGCGATATTCCAAAGATCTTCAGTAGCGCTTCCAGAATGACCGGTATGTGTTCCCTCTCCTTCTTCTTCGTCTTGTTCAGGAGCGCGAAGTATAGCGTCTGCCATACGTTCAGCTCAGCGAAATGCACATCATCCTCTGCATTGTAGTTAACCTCTCCACGGAATTTCTTGCCCTGCTCCTCGGCAGGTATGCCGCCGTACGAAACGTCTCCGTCTACTGAGGCATAGCTGTCCCTGTCGTTTGCGATCGCTTTGAGGAAGGTAGAGCACCCTGATCCAGGTCGACCAAGAACAAGCATCATCTCTCCGTCCTTGACAACACCTGAGAAGTCGTTGATCAAAGTTCGGGTCTGAGAGTGGCGAGATAATTTCAATGCGGGTATAAACCGAGATACAAGTTTGTACAGATCAGGTCCGAAGGTTCCGATGATTGCGTCGGGTAATGTCCTTACGAAAGTCGATGTGCTACCGACACCTCGTACTGTGAGGTTTTTCCAAACCACCCCGACTTTCTTAGCGGACTGTCCATTCTTGCGTTTTTCGAAATGGCCCTCCTTCATGAAAGCTCCCAACTCGAAATCATCCTCTTTCTCGGCGGTCGCAGCACCGGCATCACCAAGTTCCTCATCAATCCTGCTTTCCGTCGGGGCCATGGAATGTCGTCGCTGTAGTCCGCTTCGCCCACTCCGTTGGCTCATATGACTTAGCGTCTCTCGCAGGACCGCAAACTCCTCGGCGGCCACATGTGTGTTGATATCTCCCGCATCTCGTTCTCCCCAGGTTCCCTCAACCGTTGATCGATACCCATGCTCACCGGAGTCACTGGTGTCACTACCTTCCGGTGGTGTCTCGACCTCCTCTAGACGATCCGGGAGATTTTGCGCTTCATTGTGCCAAGGATTCCTTCGACTGTCCTGGGTGTTGGTCCTGGTAAGACCCGCCCCCCACATGTTGGATTTCAAATGAGGGAGAGAAGAAAGAAAATGGACTAACGACTAGCAGGCAGTGTACATGAGATGAAACAGAGGGGTATAAAACGTCAGTGTTCAATACCTGAACAGACCCAAGCACATGAAGCATGAGAAATTGAAGACGGGTGTTTGCTGGTGGAGACGCGGTGGATCAGGGTGAGTAATGTGCATGTTGACAAATGCTCCCCGGAGTCAAACGGATTTATGCGATTGTGAGGACGTCATGGTAGAATTGGCATGAGAGGGTGGGTCTCAGCACTGTGTGCTTTCGCGCTTACGGCAAGGACGATGCGGTCCACGGCCAGTTGCAACTCTAAACCCTGCGTGCCAATCGGAACGAGCTTCTCGACCCGGTGCCGTCTGAGAGGGCGCCAGACGGGCACTTTGCTGAGGTCGTGTCAGTGCGTCGTGAGAAGATTTTGTTGCACGAACGGTGGTGAGGAGCCGTTGGGTCCTTATCGATAGCAATTCACTATTCCCGTCAGCTGTGATTGGGCACGTCTTGATGACGCAGCGCGCTTCGTTCGATAATGTCCAAAAACGGATTGTGATACGCGACAAGCAGACCCTTTCCGGAAGTGGAGGCTGTTAGGCAAAATACACCGCTGTCTTCGTCCCTACAGAATTGCCCCTGGCATAGACTGACAGCGGAGTGGGTTATAGAGGAAGGACTGAGCCAATTGACATAGTCCTGACTTATCGTTCTGACTTTCTTCTGACCTTGCTGAGAAATCGGTAGCCAAGGCTGAACTACCAGGGCATGACTCGAGCCTAGAACCGTAAGATATTTATGGAAAAGCCGACATGTCCTCGCAAGGCTTTACAGTGTTATCGCCGCAGGTTGGGCCCGAGGCATGTGTGGGTGGCCTTGCGGCTCGCACAGGACCGAAGATCATCGGATATAATCCACTTTAGCCACTACAACATTGATTATTTCGTGAGTGATCTATCATGGTTGGGGATTTGAAGATTCTGCAAACATGTCTGTACCATCATGCCTATTGCGGCGCATTGTTAACAGCCTGCACAATGGCCCCGTCTTTGCCCTGGTCTAGGCCGTCCAAACTCTTCATGTCCTTGTCATCTAGCTCGAAGCCATACACGTCCGCATTCTTTTCGATTCTCTCCGGCGTATCGCTCTTCGGGAGCGGCACCCAGCCCTTCTCGAGGCAGTAGCGGATGAGTACCTGGTTCGGCGACGTCTTGTGCTTCTTTGCAATGCCATTGAGGGTCTTGTCATCCGCCTTCTGGTTCCGGACAATTGGGCAGTAGGCTTCGACGACGATGTTGTTCTTCCTGCAGTACTCGACAGCCTCACGTTGCTGGCACCATGGGTGGAGCTTTGAACAGTTAGTGCAGCTCCCCGCAAAACGTCAAATCCGCACTACATACCTCGATCTGGTTGACAGCTGGAGGCCACACCTTCCCAATCTGTTTGATCTCATCCATGTGCCCAACACCATAATTACTGACCCCGATGTCCCTGACCTTGCCATTTTCTTTGGCCTTCTCCAACGCCTGCCACATCAGTCGTCTACTCTCCTTTCCTGCGTTGGGACTGTGTATCAGGAACAGATCCACATAGCCATCTTCGCCATCCAGCTTCTTGACACTATCCTCGATAGATTTGTACGTTGAATCGACGTCTTTACCCGGAGTGAGAATTTTAGTGGTGATGAAGAGGTCAGAACGGGAGACTTTAGAGTCGCGAACGGCCTTGCCAACTTCGGTTTCGTTGGCGTAGTATTGTGCGGTGTCGATATGGCGATAGCCAGCTTTGATGGCTGTGACGCAGGAGTTCACGCAGGTCGACGGCGGAGATTGGTAGACGCCGAACCCAATTTGGGGGATTCTGTACTTGGAGTCTGCGAGTGAGAGGGTGGATGTGAGGCTTAGGTTTGAAGCCATGGTGGAGCGACGATTTATGACCCGCGTAACGATGCACTGTTCGAGCGCTCACGATCTTCAATTGTGCAAGAACGCAGAGACTGTGGAGCGCAGCAAGCCTGATATCGAGAAGAAAAGAAAGAAGCGGTTGCTGGGAGGTCTAACAAGTGTTGGTCTCAAGCTCGAAAGCTCCATTGTTCGATTAGCCATTCCTTGTGTGGTGATGTCAGAATGTTGCAGCTGGGGTGGATTGGAAGAGCGAATGCGGTTAGCAAACAGACGTTAGTTTCGAATACGCTGCTGCGTGTGGCCGCCGCGATTCAAGCATCCCTAGAATCCGTCACTCTAGGTAGAAGGCATGTAGCAATTGTGTGTTCGGGTCGATATGCAAATGCAGCTTGAGATGGAGAAGCTTTGAAGCATCCCCCAAGATGACCCCGCGCTAGTCGTTCCTGCCATCCCTGCTGCAGAGCGGGGCGGCTGCTCTCACGTTTGGGCAAACACAACTTTTTCTTCAGCACCAGAAAGCCTTCTCGCAACTTTCGCTGTCGGAAGCGAGGATGGTACTCCAGGCCATCAAGTACTCCAGGGGTCAGCTGGAGATCCTCGACCAGTTAAAGCTGCCCCATGCAGAAGAATATGATCATCTCTACTCGAGCACCGACGCGTGGCATGCGATCAAGGAGATGCGGACACGAGGTGCCCCAGCCATTGCCATCGTAGCAGCATTGGCACTGGCGGTCGAGTTGACCAACATGAAGCTTCCCTCGGTCGCCGAAGAAGTCAAGGTCTTCATCATTGAAAAGCTGGACTACCTCGTCACAAGCAGACCGACCGCTGTGAATCTAGCAGATGCAGCGCGCAAGTTGAGGAAGACGACAGGAGAAGCTGCAGAGAAAGCAGGAGCAACTGGCGATGCAGTGCGGGAAGCGTACGTGGCGGCAGCAGAGCAAATGTTGATTGATGATGTGAGCGACAACGAAAACATTGGACGCCACGGCGCAGACTGGCTAGTAAAGAATACGCCAGCTGCGAAGCAAGGTCAGATCAGCATGTTGACTCATTGCAACACTGGGTAAGCCATCTGCGCATTCCCTTGGCCATTACTGATCAAGCAGCTCTCTTGCTACTGCAGGATATGGCACTGCCCTTGGAGTTATCCGGTCATTACACGCTCAGGGCAACTTGAAACATGCCTTCTGCTCTGAGACCAGGCCCTACAACCAGGGATCCCGTCTGACAGCCTTCGAGCTTGTACACGACAAGATACCAGCCACGTTGGTGACGGATTCCATGGCCGCAGCGTTACTCCGCCAGAAGGGACAGAGCGAGAACATCGCCGGCATCGTCGTTGGCGCAGACCGGGTCGCTGCGAACGGTGATACTGCAAACAAGATTGGAACATATTCGTTGGCCATACTTGCAAAGCACCATGGCGTAAAGTTCCTAGTTGCTGCGCCGCGAACTACCATTGACCTCGACACCCAGTCTGGTGCTGACATTGTTATTGAAGAGAGACCAGGCAAAGAGGTGCTTCTCGTGAAAGGCCCCAGGCATGACGGTATAAACCTGGACCTTGCAGTGGTCGAGACGGTCAGCGTGGCTGCACATGGAATCGGAGTTTGGAACCCAGCATTCGATGTAACGCCGGCTGAGTTGATTGATGGCATCGTTACAGAAGTGGGAGTAGTGGAGAAGGACAGCGACGGCGTTTTCCATTTGGAAAAAGTATTTGAAGCGGATGGTTCGAACATCAAGCCGTCGACTGTTGGAGGGATATAGATAATATAGCGCATCCCTCCCCCCAATACGCGAATGACCGCCACAAAGCAGCATAATTCGATGCATGAACTCCCGCTATACCTCTAGACCGTTCCCTCCATATGAGGTCCCTCTGATCCTCAACGCCGTGGCAACCACCTTATAAGGGGTCTCGTGTATCTCGTAAAGAGCCGTCAAAAGCGAGGAGCTTCAAGCTGCTGGTTTGCTCCCATCGTTCGAAGACGAGTCAGTGGCCGATGGTTTGGGTCGTGATTTGCGGTCTTTCTCATCTTCTTCAGCTTTTGCGAGCATCTCCTCGATCTTCTTTTCCAGTGCGTCGAGGTGGTTCTCCAGAGCAGTGGCTGCGCCTTCCCCGCGAGCGAGCTCCTTGAAGGCCTGAGCTCGTCAACAAGCATCTCTGAGACGAGTGCTCAATTCAGACCTGCGCAAAATCTGGCTCGACATGGTCGCCGGCGTCGCCGTTCTGTTGGCCAGACATGTTGTGGAAGTGTGGAAGTGGGAGAGGCGCGCGTCCTGTGGCGCTGAGGTGAGCTCGAACCAATGGAGAGATGACGAAGCTCTAGCGTGAACCTGCACGACGTGGAAGCACGGCACAGAGAGCGCGACCTGTCACCTTCCACCCCCAACTGTTTCCTCGACCTCCGATCTCTGACCCTACTTCGAACCCACCCATGCGAGACGCCCACTGAGCTTCATCGCCGCGCTCGCTCCTCCACACCATGTTCTCTGGGTCCAACTCGTACTTAGGGGGTGGGAACAGCGCCCGACCTGGGCAGCAGCCCCAGTATGGCCAACAGCAATCGTTCCAACAGCCCGGCGGCTTCCAGGGTGCACTTGGGCCTCAGCCGACTGGATTTGCTGGGAGCCAGCTGCAGCCGCAGTTTACTGGCTATCCTGGCCAGCCGGGCTTCCAGCAGCAGCAGCAGCAGCAACCCCAGTTTACGGGCTATCCGGGGCAGCAGGGGCAGCAATTCCAGCAAGCTCCGCAACAACAGCCCTTTCACACTGGCGCGCCACCTGCACAGCAAGCTCCTCCTCCCCAGCCGCAGCGACCGCAGCCCACGGGCATGACCTCGTCACAGATGGCCGATTCGTTCAGAGCTCCGGGCGCGCCACAGCAAGCCCCGCCTCCGGTCCCTGCGAAGTCGAGCAAGATCCCGAACATCAGACTGTCTTTTATAACGGTGCAAGACCAGGCCAAGTTCGAGCAGCTGTTTAAATCGGCCGTGGGAAACGCGCAAGCTCTGTCGGGAGACCAAGCCCGCGATTTGTTGATGCGGTCGAAGCTTCCAGGAGACGCTCTTTCGCACATCTGGTAGGCTTTGAGATGGCTCCGTATTGGGCCAATGCTAAAAATGATAGGACTCTCTCCGATACCACCAAGTCGGGCCAGCTTCTCTTCCCCGAATTCGCCCTCGCTATGTACTTGTGTAATTTGAAGTTGACAGGCAAGGATCTCCCAAACTCTTTGCCGGAACGTGTCAAGAATGAGGTATCGAGCATGGTGGACATCATCTCATTTGGCGTGGTGGACGAGCAGCCCGGTCGCTCGACTACTACGAGCAATGCGCCCAAGTTCGACGAGCCGTTGAACCAGAGCTCTCAGAACGTACCCACAATCCAGCAGCCACAGCCACAACAGTCCAACAGCCAGCTCTTGACTTCGTTTGTGTCTCAGCCGACCGGATTCAGTGGGCCTCAGGGAGGTCTACAAGCTCAGGCGACAGGTTTTGGGCAGAACCTCGGAGGTGGATACACAGGTCCTCGCCCACCCATGCCCCCAATGCCTACAGGTTTTGGCGGAGGGCTGAACCCGCAACCAACGGGCTTAGCCCCTCAGCCGACAGGGTTTGCTCCCTTAAATGCACAGCCTACAGGAGCTCCGGGTCAATGGGGCCTGGTCAACAATCCTACTACAGGCTTGCCAAACATCGAAGCACTTGCCCAGCGGATGATGCCGCAGACGGGCCGTGAAGCGAGCAACAGTTACACCACCACTGGCCTTAGTGGCAATGCGACCATCCCATGGGCTATCACGAAGGGCGAGAAGAAGCTCTATGATGATACTTTTAGGGCTTGGGACGGCCTCAGTAAGGGCTATATTAGTGGCGAGCAGGCGCTTGAGATCTTCGGTCAAAGTGGACTTGCTAAACCCGACTTGGAGCGTATTTGGACGCTGGCTGACTCCGCTGATCGCGGTCGCCTAAACCTAGATGAGTTTGCTGTTGCCATGCATCTGATTTACCGGAAACTTAACGGATATCCCGTACCCAACCGTCTGCCTCCGGAACTGATACCACCCTCAACCCGTAATATAAACGCTTCTATTGGCGCTATGAAGTCGCTGCTTTCTCGCGATGCAGAAGAAAGGAAGAATACTGGCGCTTTTCTACAACCCCAAAAGACTGGTGTGAGCTACCTGAAATCTCACTCCTTCCGAGCTGGAAGCCCAGCTACAGGCGGTCGCAAGGATGCCACTGTCTTCCGTAATAATGATGACAACATGGGATATCGTTCCAGTGCACGACACCGTGTCGGTGCTGGTGGTCGCTCTCCTTCCCCAGCCACGCCATCTTCACCCGGTTCGGAGCGTTCAGATCCAGAATACTCCCTAGATCAACTCAGGAAGCTAGTGAGGGAGAAGCAAATTCTCTTAGATGCGATCGATATCCGCGACGAGAATGCAACCGATGAGGATGATGCGCTCGACCGTAGGGATCGACGAGAAGCAGATGACTTGTATCGTCGCATTCGCAGGGTTCAGGAAGATATTGACGCACACCCGCAAGCCGCCCTTAGGGGGAATGATTCCGACGCTGAGCGCCGTGCTCTCAAGCGCCAGCTTCAAAACTTGACTGATCGCTTACCTGAGCTCGCTTCGAACGTACGTCGGACGGAGCGTGAAATTGCAGATGCTCAGTTGGAGCTCTTCAGGCTCAAAGACGCGAAAGCGCATCCTGGTTCCGTGTCGGCTATTGTTGGCACTGGTCCAGGTGGCTCGGTCACTGAATCAGATCGGTTGAAAGCTCGTGCCAAAGCTATGATGCAAGCACGCTCTGCCGCTCTTACCGGCAAGCCTGTGCCGACTACTGGAGACGACACAGGTGCGGCTGCCGAGCGCTTGGAGAAAGAGAGCTCCCGAGTCCGATCTGAGCGTGAAAACAACGAGCGAATGATTCGCGATGTAGAGGACAGCGTCAGGGAGTACACCAAAGGGTTGGAAGCTAGCCTCAAGGAGGGAGGACATGACAACACTAGCGAACATGAACGTCGCCGTTGGGAAGATGCGTTGGGTGTAGAGGATGAGGTGAAGGATTTCATTTTCGATCTTCAACGAAGCAGTCGTTCCGCGCGTGTTAGAAAAGAGGAAACCCCCCGTCACCAGACGACTTCACGCGGCGAAGAGAATAGAGAGACTACATCGGCCTCTCGCTACGAGAGCCCAGCACGCAGTGCTGAGCCGACTCCCCGACCATCTTCGACCACATCTGGTGGCGGTTCATACTCATCGTACAAAACGCCTGAAGAACGTGCGGCATTCATCAAACAACAAGCTGAGGCGCGCATGGCCGAAAGATTGGCTGCTCTTGGATTACGCCCTCCAGTCAAGGGAGGAGAAAGCGCACAGCAACGCCAGGAGCGGGAGAAGCAAGAAATGGAAGAGAAACGCCGCAAAGCTGAAGAGGAAGATGCGAAGCGCGAAGAAGAACGACAGAAACGCCTGCAGGACGAGTCGATTGCGCCGCCAGTTGCGGCGAAGGTTAGCGGCAAGAAACCCCCGCCGCCGCCTGCGTCAAGAAAACAAAAGTCTGACCAGCATGAAGCCGAGGTCAAGAGGGTCGAGCATGACATGGCTGAAAAAGCTCTGCGTGAGCAACAGGACGCTGAGGAGGCGGAGCGCAAACGCATGGAGTACGCACTCTCCGATGTTACTGTATATGGATGCTAACATGTCACAGGGAAGAGGAGCGCCGGCAAGAGAACGAATTGGCCCAGCAAGAAGAGGAGGCTGAAGCCAGACTACGCGCAATGCAAGAACAAGTCGAGCAAGGCAAGCTCAAGAAGGCGGAGCAGAAGAAGCAGAAAGAGGCCGCCAAACGTGAAGCCAAGGAAAAGGAAGCACAGCTTGTAGCACAGCGTCGCAAGCTGGAAGAAATTCGGGAACGTGAGCGCCAATTGCAACTGCAACTGCAGAACCTCGATGATGAGGAGTCTTCGTCGGATGATGAAGGCCCTCAAAACATCACCCCCAATGACACCACACCGACCGCCAGTCAAGAGCTTCACCGCGACACTGCTTCACCGTCGGCGCCACCACCAGCTCCTCCGATGCCACAGATAGTTCCGCCGGTACCGCAACAAACGAGCACCCCGCCCTCTTCTATGGCTAGCCCGCCAACGTCGTCACTGACAAGCCCTCACCCTGCACATGGTGACAGCGAGACGAAGAACCCTTTCTTGAAGAAGATGCAGTTGTCTAGTCAAGATAACCACGCCTCGACGCCTCCACCTCTCCCTAGCAACACCAGCGAAGTGTCTACGAACCCATTCCATCGTTTGACCCAGGAGAATGCTAACAAGGCGGCGTTCAGCGATCCCACTGCTCCCGCACGCACGCGCGGTCGCCAAGAGGAGGATGATTGGTCTGTCGTCGACTCTGATGATTCCTCCGACGATGAAGATGAAGCGCCGCAGGGAGGCGCCAAGCAGCTGGCTTCGCTGCTTTTCGGCACTATGGCGCCTCCACGCCCACTCTCTTCGATGGACAACAAAAGTGACCGCGCAGAAAGCCCGGCAGTAACTTCGCCTGCCGGTATCCCGCCACCTCCGCCTATGCCAACTGGAGGTGCACCCCACCGCCACCGGGACCGCCACCACCCCCTGCTGGAGGACCGCCTCCGCCGCCTGGTATGCCGCCGGTGCGGCCTCCGGCTGGCGCGGCCGATCGAGGTGCCTTGCTGGGTCAAATCCAGGCGGGCAAAGGCTTAAGGAAGGTTGAGACGAAGGACAGGAGCCAGGCACCTACAGCCGGCAAAGTCTTGTAGTCTTGGATTCAAGTAGTGGTGTGAGATTCGTTGTATAGATAATGTAGTTGTGCCGTGAGTTGGTTGGCTTGAATGCATCTTGTACATGTCATTGCAGCCATCCTGCATATGTTTCGTTTGATAACTATAAGCGTGTGAGCGTGCCTGGGCGATCAACGTATTTACATGTGCATGATCGCCATCTGCCTGGACGATTCAAAGTAGAACAGGATATTTAGACTTGGGCCCCCAAGGTTGTCTAGGACACAAATGGTGTCTGAATCCCACCGCACTGTACTCGTCACATGGGCGACGTTTGGGTGAGTGAGAGAAGGTTGACAGCTCTTCAAGCTTCGGCGAACAATGGTCCGGTGGTCTGTGCGGGTTCGACAATAGGACCGCAGGTAGGTGGAAGTCGAACCTCACCTTGTGCTCGCCGCCTGCTCTTACATCAACCGTCGCCTCCATCCATAACTGTGTTCGCACTACGTCGCCACGGATCTGAGTCCCATATATCCACCATCTGCCATCTACCCAGCGGACGCCCCGGCCGTTTCGACGCATACGACATCTTTAAAACAATCCCAGCGAGCAGGATCTCGCAAGCTAAAGTAATAGACTAGGAGTCCAGTCGCAAAGATGAACGCGCCCGATAGGTACGTTCATCCTTCCGCTACTCATGCGCTTCTAGCATTCGGTTGTCGGCGATGAGTGTGGCAGTTGCAGTCCGCGCAGCGCTTCGAATACACGGCGCGGTTTCCTACGAGCGCATGAAAGCCTGGCCGTGTCAGTGACGAGTGCGAGCCCGTTTTCAACCACGGCGCTGCGTCGCACGGGCAACTAGCAATGGCAAGCGCCCGGCATAGCAACGCAGCGAGTGTAAAAGCACCCAGCTTCATGCGCCGCTCGACGAACATCCACCGCCCCGCGCAGACTCACCCGCGCACATATCAAGCTCGCTCGCACACTGCCAAATAAGATCAGCAATCATGGAAGGCTCTAAGATCTTGCGCACTGCCAAACTCATCAACGACAACCCGAACGCCCAGAAGCGCGTCCCGTATCACTACGTCAGCCACAAGACAGCTGCTGAAGAAAACCTCCCTGGTAGATTCGAGCTCTTCATTCTCGACGAGGGCCAGCAAAAGATCGAAGTGCGTGAGGAAACCAGTACGTAGCCCGCAAGGCACATTTCCCTCTGCTTTCAGCTTTCAGCTTTCAGCAAACTAAGTGTTCCCACAGAGGTCCCTAACACCACGGTCTTCACCTTCAACAAAGAAGACCACACGCTCGGCAACCTAATCTCCCAGCGCCTCCTCAAATACGACTTCATCACCTTCTCCGCATACAAGGTCCCGCACCCGCTCTTCGCAACCTTCGAACTCCGTGTCACTACTGACGGCAGCATCACGCCCAAAGATGCGGTTGTGCGCTGCTGCAAGGATGTCATCCAGGATCTAAGCAAGGTCTCGTTGAGCTTCCAGGGCGAGTGGCTCAACCAGAAGATCATCGAGGAGGGACAGCGGGATGCTGAGGTCCGGGATCAAGGCAACTACTAGGTCCCTTTTGATGGAGCAATGAGTATGCATCTTCGGCGTTTTGGATGATCGCATGGAAAATGGACGGCGTATGGTATTAGTCTGAATTGCTAGAACGGTTAGTGTCTGGCTGGTGGATTCAATGTGCCAGGTCTAGGTCCTAATATATCGCTCTGAGGCGGACACAGTTGTTGCACATGGCTGCCTGATTTCTAGCACGGTGAGTATACCCAAAGACACAAAGTCACGATTGAGGTACAATTTCGTGCCCAGAGGTTCAGCGCTTTGCGTCACCAAAGATTGCCAGCATGGGCACTCCATCAGTTCATCCATCAGTTAAATGAAAACTTTATTTTCTGACTGACCGAATGGCAACGGTCGCTCTGGAACATTTATCGACACTTCCGCCGAGAAGTCGCCATTGTCCTTTATAAGCATTCTGGCATGACAGTGAGCTTTCGCCGCAACGTGCAGTTCCGCATTCCCTTTTGTGGTTGTTACTGTACCCCATGAATGAATACGGAGCTGCTTGCTGGCTAGATGCCAATACCGGGCTTTCCAGAACGAGATCTTGCATAGTCATGCTTCCCATCGGCTGTATTTTGGTCTTTCGCTTGACGTTGTGTAGAGTACAGTCCACCAACCTGAAGCCTGCCCAGATCACGTCTTACGAACGGAGACAAAATGCTACTCAGGGAGAATCGATGCTCACGAACTGCGGATGTGAGCCTGACCACGATGCGAAGAGCGAAGTTTCTAAATCTTTCCGTGTTTGTTTCCGCTCCCGCCGTTGTACACTATCAATGGTTGTATCCGCCCAATGAGCGATTCACTGTACTTCCTTTCTTGTTCGGGTTTGTGGTCATATTGAAAGACTCTCTCCACATGTTGACGGTGAGAGTACAATCATTTTCATTTCGTTACACAAGGTCCAACAGACCCCGACACCGTTTCGGCCGCAGCTTCTCAAACCACTGGGGAGTGGGGTTGGACTACTAGTCAATAACGCCGGCATCAAGGAAGACTAGGTGCCCATGGCGTACGCGTAGAGCGAGCCCATAGAATGGTGGAGCAGCTTCGTCATTAACATCAAAGGAACCTTGGAACCTACCGGATCACGCGCGCCGCGCTTCCAATGCTCCTTAACGCCCCTACATCCTCGCTCATAACAATTTAATCACGCTGACCTCGCTGCGCTCAATCCTCCTCCAGAATGGCGCCTCAGCTTACGAAGTTGCCAAATTGGCGCCATATCGCTTCACGGATTTTCTGAATTTGGGATGCTGCGACCAGGGTATTTTGGGTTACTTATTCATCCTGGGGATGAGCGAACGGCATGGGGTTGAGTTTGGCGGAAATGCATCACGGGGCGATGTCGGAGACGGCGGACCGGCAGGTTAGATTAGTTGAGTGTAAGGAAGAGAAGGGAGTGGATAGGTGGGAGGTAGTTTGATGTTATGTGACATGTGGACGTTCTGTTGGAAAGGGGGGAGGTTGTTGTTGAGTTGATTTGGTGAAGGTTAGCACATCGGTTGAGGAATATCAGGGGGAGGTTCTTGGCCAGCATTGCGAAAGGGGATTTGTGATCAGGATCGCGGACTCAAACATTATGTAATCGTCATTGAGTCGTATCTAAAAGAGCATCTGTATTGGGCCAGGGAGGTTTCATATTGGTAGTCGGATGTAAAGATCCCTCGGTGCAGTTTTGCCTAGCCGCCGCATGGGAGAAAATGCTAGAATGGAGAGAACCTTCGAGCCACAAGCCTCTTAATATTCCAGGATGTGTTTCTCAGAAATCGATAAATTACGTACTGAGTAGTCACTGACAAGTGACATACAACTGCAGACAACAGAAGATTGTCATGAACTCGCCTCTGTATTACATAGGTGAGGAAACAAACAGGCCTGATACGTCTCCCGGTCCCACTCTGCGCTATCGGCACCGATTCATCTACGTATTCGCAATAAGCGGCGGAAAAAGAAACAACACCAGAGTAACGACAACGGGCATTATGCTCGCCAGCGTATCCAGGGACTTCTCGAAGAGGTCGGGGTGCTCCGGACTACAAATCATTTTCATTAGCCGCCAGCATGGATCGAAGAGTGTATTTGGATGACCCACTCCCTCATGAGACGCTTTGTGGCCTGGAATATGACGTATTCCTTAATGACGATGCATATAATGAGCATGCCGGCAGAGGCGAGGTAGACGATGGGAACAACTTTGTAAGGATTGTTGTACAACGCATCGCTGATGCAGAAGTCGATGAAGCCGATGACGTTCCGAATGTGGCCTTTCTTGAAGACCTCCGGTGGTATTGGATCCTCGTCGTCGTCAAGGCCGTGCTCGTAGGCATAGGCCTCCATGTCGTCTATGACTTGCTGGCCTAAATACCATGAGTTTAGCCATGGACACATAATGTGAAAGAACATACGGAGAAGGCTGTAAAGCGGGCTGTTGACGAGCGTCTTCTGTTCTTCAGTGTAAAGGTCTTCAGCGGTTGCAGAGTTGGTAGAGGAAAGTGCACCGGACATTGTGGAGCTGTGTACGCTTGCTGTGGGTATGGCTTTTGTTGTGTTGTCTCAAAGTGAAGTGTTGTGGGGGGTTTACGACTTTAGATGGAACAATTTGGCCGGCATGCTTTCAAAAAGGGAAGGAGCCATCATCCTCACGAACAAACTCTATTCGAGGAAGCAGCAACTTCTACGTGCAATTTTTCGAAAGCTCTTGAATTCTAGATTGCGATGTGGCCTCCCGTTGGTTACATTCAATGGGTATCTTGGTCTCAGTCCGCAAAATCGGGGCTTGTGTTGTATGGCCCGGGCTTGCACGGCATTCTGCTCGTTTCTACGCTCTCTGGACTAACATCGTGCCGAGCCATGGCATGCTACCGATAGAGTTGCAGAGAGTATCGTAATTCGTCAAACATTCCCTCTCTACTTCGCTCCCCTGATCACCGCTCCACCTTGCCGTCTCGGTCGAGCAGCTCCCGGGCAGCTATGACTTCGGCCTCATCATACCCGCTCTGGCCTGCCTTGCTTGCGCTGTATTGCCGTATAATTTCACCAAGCTTGGCGGTTGCAATCTCTTCCAACTTCTTCACGGACTGTGGCTTTGGCGGTGCAACATCGTCCTCGTCAGCGTTTCGTTTCGACACGGATGACTCCGAGAGCAAGGGAAGTAGCTTCTGAGATACGAGCTTCAGGCCGTAGTAGCCGCGAAGGTACGAGTCATTGAGCTCCACGGAGCGAGCGAAGTGTCGCAAAGCTAGGGTCAATGCAGGGATGGAGGTAGACCCGGACAGGTAATGAAGGGTAGCTACTTGAGCGTGTGCCTGTCGACCGTATCAGCTGGCTAGTCCCGGGGGATCAAAAAGAGAGCAGACGTACACTCCAAGCGTTCGGCATGATCAGTAGGACCTCCTCCAAGCAGAAGATGGCCTGGCCCAACGCGCCTGTGCTCGCATACAGCTCGCTCAACTCGGCCCATGCTTCCGCGTCGGTCGGGCTGTTCTCCACCAACACTGTCAACGCCGTAATGGCATCTGCCGTCCGCCCCAAGCTCTTGAGCACCGCAACCCTCCTCTTCCTCACGCTCATGTTTGTGGGATCTTCTTTGAGTACCTTTTCATAATCGTTGAATATTTTCTCCAGCTCCTTGTCGTCCTTTGCGAGAGCCTCTTCGTATAGACCCTTCAGTGCGATCATGCGCTCGTTGTCAGCGCCGAAGCGTGTGGTCAAGCGATCGAGGATCTGGCGCGCTGACGCATCGTCGCCTGTGCGCAATGCGGCCAACAGCAGATTCTCGTGTATCGCCCACGTCTCAGGCGTCTCCCGGCTGAACAGGAGCGACAGCGGCCACGGTAATGAGGAAGTCGGCGCGGAGGCCAGGATCAGAGGTGCCTTCTGGGAAAGTTGCAGGGCGGTTTGAGGAGGAATCCGGGAAGGTGGAGTCAAGAGGTTCGCCTGCACCATTTTGCGGGTAATGTACGAGGCAGACGTATAACAGTTGATGGCCGTTTCTGAGGAGCAACGTCGCGCTGGAATGGATTGCGGAGAGCGGACGGGAGCTCGAGCGTGCAGGGATGATGCTAAGTGTCGGCGAAAGTGCGGCTCCGGCGGGCACCAAGCTGCACCATCAGGCACGTCAACGCTGCACCACACGCAGCATCTGCGAATCCACCGCGTCAAACCTCCCCAAGAGCTCCCTGAGCTTCCGCCCACTGCCCGCTATCAGACCACCTCATGCCGGCATATCTTCGCTGATCATGCCTGCTGGCACACGACACTCCCGCCCACCTACCCCTCCACGACCGCTCAGAAACCCTGGGAGACAGCGAAGGGACATAACCTGAGCAGCGCAAACATGTACGAGACGGACCGTGTTCTGTGGTGCAATGGGATAGGAGTTAAGCTATGTCTAGGTTCGAAAAATCGCTGTACGACCTCATTCGAGGCTTGCGCAACCACAAAGGCACCGAGAAAGAATACATCGATGAGTCGATTAAGGAATGTCGCAAGGAAATCCGCTCCACCGATATGGACCTCAAATCCACCGCCCTCATGAAGCTTACGTACCTCGAGATGTTTGGTCACGATATGTCCTGGGCCTCCTTCAATGTCTTGGAAGTCATGTCCTCGCCAAAATGGAGACACAAGCGGACAGGATATCTGGCGGCAGTCCAGAGCTACCGAAGAGATACAGATGTGCTGCTGCTAGCAGAGAACCAGCTCAAGAAGGATATTTCGAGCCCTACGCCTCCTGTCATCTCGCTGCCACTGGTCGCTATTCCGCACGTCATCAATCCGAGCATGGCGAGCTCTGTGCTCTCCGACTTGCTACCCCGTCTAACGCATTCGCACGCTGCAATAAGAAAGAAGACAGTTGTCACGCTATATAGATTAGCGCTTGTATACCCGGAAACATTGCGACCCGCATGGCCCAAGATCAAGGAAAGGCTTCAGGACGACAATGAAGATCCAAGTGTTACAGCCGCCATTGTTAACGTCATATGTGAACTGGGATGGCGAAGACCACAGGATTTCCTACCGCTCGCGCCACGACTGTTTGACTTGCTTGTCGAGGGTGGAAACAACTGGATGGCCATAAAGCTCATCAAGCTTGTCAGTCACTTGCCCCAGAAGCTAAGCCATCACTGACAGCCACAGTTCGCGACTCTGACCCCGCTGGAACCTAGACTAATCAAGAAGCTGCTTCCCCCGCTGACTAAGATAATTCGAGAAACCTCCGCAATGTCCCTGCTGTACGAATGTATCAGTGGAATCATTCAAGGTGGCATCCTGGAAGCTGTAGAGGGTACGACCGAAGGCGAAGAGGTTGCAAGGCTATGCGTTGGCAAGCTTAGGGGGATGATGGTCATTGAGGGCGATGCGAACTGTAAGCTATATTCTATTTCGAGTACCTTGCCACATCTCATCTTCCTACAGTAAAGTATGTTGCGTTGTTAGCGTTTGACAAGATCGTCCAATCACACCCATATCTGGTCTCGCAGCAACAGGACGTGATTCTCGAGTGTATCGACGATCCTGATATATCAATAAGAATGCGCGCTCTGGACCTTGTAGTTGGCATGGTCAACAGCGAAAATCTTACAGCTATCGTTGGACGCCTCATGCGACAGCTTCGCAACGCGCCTATCGCATCCTCCGCAGATAATCTGGCAAACGATCGCGCCCGAGTGACCGGCGTCACACCGTATGCAGAGTCAGATGACTCGGACGCTGAAGAATCTCTTCGACAGCATGAACAACGGTCGGATCAACCGCCGCCACTTCCCGAGGACTACCGCACAAACGTCATCCGCAGAATCCTTGATATGTGCTCGCGTGACACCTATTCTAATATCACCGATTTCGAATGGTACATCGACGTACTAGTCCAGCTGGTGCGCGTTTCGCCTGCAACGAAACCCACTACATCGGACGAGCAGAGCGACCTTGATCAGACAGATGACGTGGGCCACGATATCGGACGAGAGCTACAGAATGTAGCCATACGAGTTAAGAGCGTGCGTCCTGAGGCAGTTGACGCGGCGCAGTCGCTAATATTCGTTGACCTCCGCGATCAAATGTTCCCTTCTTCCGGCAACGGCGGACAAGGTGTGCTTGAATACGCTGGCTGGCTTGTGGGAGAATTCGCTTCCTACCTCACCAAGTCTGAGCTTGTCCTATCTTCCCTACTGCATCCGACCTCGTTGCAGCTACCCTCGAAAACACTCGCGGTGTATCTACAAGCTTTCCCGAAAGTCTTCGCCAATTTGGCAAGCAACGAACAAGTTTCATGGACACCGGAACGAAAGACTTTGATGTCTCTCCTCATGGCCCGGATCATACACTTCCTGGAGCCATTGTCTACCCATCCGAATCTCGAGGTTCAAGAACGCGCAGTAGAATATCTCGAGCTAATGCGTCTCGCCTCCGAGGCTGCTTCTGGGACTGAGACTGGTATAGAGCACGGCGAATTCACCGAGCCTCCCCTGCTGCTCACCCAAGCCATACCCGCTCTTTTCTCAGGAGCTGAACTCAATCCTGTCGCACCAGGCGCTCAGCGTAAAGTACCCGTACCCGACGATTTAGAGCTCGACACACCTATCAATCCCAACCTGCAATACCTCCTGTCCCAAGCAGAACTAGAAGGCTTCGAAGCAGACGAAGACGACGTTTACGCGGCGTACACCGAAGCCCCGGTATCCTACACTGAAGCGCAAGCCCCAACTGCGATCTCGGCCTCAGAGCGTCTTGATGCACCACAGAAGGAACCTACCTCCTATCAAAACCCCACTGAAGATGAATATCTCGATCCTGACATCATCGCTCGACGGAAAGCAGAACGCAAAGAACGCTATAAGGACGACCCGTTCTACATCGATCCCGAAGGCGATAGGGGCAGCGGGGCAGCTACTCCGCTTGGCAGAATTGTTCGGGAAAACAATACAGAGCTCGACATCGATTCAATACCTATTATGGACCTCGAGCTCGAAAAGCGCGGACCGTCGCCTGGTAGAGAAGAGATTGCACGAGCGCGGAGCCCTCGTCGTGCGCCTCGTCGCATAGAAATCATGGGCGACGAAACGCTCGGCTCAAACGACGCGCCTTCTACTTCTTCATCGCGGGAAGACATCGTCTCCCCACGCTTTGCATCAGCGCAAGCTCGAGGGAAGAAGAGCCTGTTGGAAGTTGACTCTTCTGGCCTTGGCTCACTCTCTCTCGACGACGACGATAGCTCAGGTAGGAAACTCACGCGCTTCGAGATCGAGCGCAAGGAGCAAGAAGAAGCTGAAATGAAGCGTGCACTTGCCGAGGTTGAACGGTTGAGGCTTGAGATGCAACGCGCCAGTGAACGATTGGAGGTCAAAGGGGAGACGGTAGTGAAGAAGAAAAAGAAGAAGGTCAGGAAGGCTGAGGTAGAAGGTGCGTTGTCTCAGGAGCCTACTGGCGATGCTGAAGGTACGGGTGCAAACGGAGAGGGAGAGGGTGAAGTTGCGCCGGTCAAGAAGAAAAAGAAGAAGAAGGTTATAGCTGGAGGCGGCGATGCTGCGGAGGAGGACAAGGAGACAGAGGGCGTGATGAAGAAGAAAAAGAGAAAGAAGCGGAGAGCTGTTAGTATGGACGACGGGGCGCCGGTGGGTGCTGAGGAGTAGTCGATACGTCGAGCATGATGTTGAAGGACATGACCATGTTCGTGCGTTCCTGTTCACATCACTAACCCACCCCATAAGAATTCAATTGAGTGTATTGCATTCGGTGTTCGCCACCTTGCTGCCCACAATTGAAAAAGTCCAAGTAGACCGCGACAGACAGCTATCATTTGCATATGCTAATCCCACGCTGTGAACGCCATTTTCCCTAGAAGCTCGAAATCGAATATGAAGAAACCCCGCTATTGTTGTCGACGCGGCGTACGTCTCCTTTTGCTCCCCCTTCTATCTCGTTCTTAGCCATATTGCGCCGTTGGTGGCTCGGTTGGCTTAGAAGAACAGCTTCAAAAGCTCGAAGATCGCACCGCCAGCCAACACAAAGCCTAGCACGACTGTCCGCATGTTAGCCGTTCGTTCTAAACTTATCGTGCCACTCCTATCCTGCACTTTTACATTGTATTCTCAAAAGACCTTTCCCCAGAATGCACACTCCCTTCAGCTTCAAGAAAAGGTGTATTGGAGCGTTGGTGATAGACATACTTATCCATCCTTTGCTAATGGGTGACTTGAAGTCCTGCTTCGTGCGCTTGACCCTGTCGTCCACAGGCTTGCCCATCTTGCCCTCCTCGCGGCGGGCGTATCGCGCATTCGCGGCGCGTTGTTGGGGTGTTTGCGCCTGTACATCGTCCGTCAGTAGTTGTTGCTCAAGAAGCCCGGCGGGCAAATTGAGGAGTGTACCATCGTGGTAGTCGTTGAGGTGCCTAGACAGAGAGAAGCTGTCGGATTTGAACAGCAGCTCGTCGGGGGATCTGGAAGAGGCGAGTCGAGTCGTATGCGAGTGTCGCGTGTGTGGGAGCAGCGGGTGAAGTTAAGAACGGTGGTGATGCAAGGTGTCTCTATCGGAAATGTGCGCACGGACGGACCCTTGCGGAGCGGAGGTGAGCTTCGGGGGTTTGCCGTTTGCCGACTGCGATTCCTTTCGTCGCGTGGGAGCTACGGCCCGGCCATCGAACCTACGCGCTGTCGCACTGGCTTTATACATTGTCGCAGGAGGAGTTGACACGTTTACAATCAGTTGACGAGTATTACGGAACGTCGACATCGAGCGATACGATTCTACACCTCATCTGGCGCTGCTGAAAGAGCGGGTAGTTGGAAGAAAAGTCGGTGCCTGAAGCTTTGACGGATTACTTTAAAGGCGTAGCGCATTGCAACACCCAGAGCGTCTCAATCGCTGTTCTCTGGAAGCTCAAGAAGCTCAGTTGGCAGAGACACATGGTCTTCCCAACTACGTCAGTTCTCCGCAGCGGTTCGATTCATTGACCAGGATAATTTCGCTACCACAACCTCAAACAACAACTTCTTTTCACGATGAACGCACAACGCCTCTTCCGAACATCACCACCACGGATAGCGCAACGCCTTCGCCCCACAAGACGGTACACCACCAAGCCTACAGACCCCGCTCCACCACAACCCCATCCACCAGCACAATCGCCAAACCCAAACCAAGCGCCTCCACCTCCCAAGAAAGCTCCCTCGCGCGTAGGAACTTTCTACCGCAACAACACCTATCCCGTCTTGAAGTCCTTCCTCGTCGCCCTCTTCACATACCAGCTCGCATTCTACGTATGGCTCAAGCTTGAGGTCGTGGAGGAGAAGAGTGAACAACAGGGGGCGATTAGAGGTTTGGAAGAAGAGGTCAAGAAAATGGTTGCTCAACAAAAGAGGAACGTGTCAGATGCAGTAGGGAAGGTGGCCGATAGGGAGGATATCAAACCAGAAGAGAAGAAGAAAAAGGGATGGTTGTGGTGAGTGGGAGGAAGATCAGAGGTAGTGTATTGGTATGTAACTTATCTGTAGGATCGAGGAGTTGTACACTTTTGACAATTCGTTTCGAGATAATGTGTCCTTTCCGTATCGACAAGCTTCGATAAACGTATCTTCTTTGACGATCTGAGATGCGTGCATACTTGTAAAGCGAGTACGGTGTTGAGAATATTCCGTACTGCTGAGATTCGTACCCATCCTCAGACCTAGTACACACGGCTAAGCCGTATACACCAGCCGGTGCGTTGCTTGAGCTGTGACAAGAGATCAGAGGCTTTTGAAGCTGTTGAACCATTGCAGTAGGAATGCTGCGTGATATATCCATTCTATGAACTGCGGAACAGTATCATACATCAGTGAGCCGATCCAGCGAGCGAGAGAGACGAACGGTCAAAGATCAATGAAAGGATCGCTCAACTGGAAGGGATCTAATATGACGCGTCCTATGTATCGTATCGAAGAGGATCTTGTTGTTCTGTCTTTTATGAAATTACCCTGTTGCCTAGAACGCCCTTTGAATGTATGTAAGCCCTATTTATTTACGCTCTCTATGGGCTGCATGTATGACCTTTTATCATACTCACCTAATGCTCCGCTTTACGACAGTAAGGGTACACGCTCGAACTTGATGCACTCGCCACCAGCCTTGTCATTGGGAAGCGTTCTTTCAAGTTTTTAAAGACGTAAATTGGCTTGCAACGCTGCTATAATACGTTTAGGCTATTGAGGGGGTCTTGCCAGTCTGAAATTTCCGAACAAAAGAAGAGGAATCGCTGGCCATTTCAGCTCTGCCATTCCCGAGGAGTCATCTACCATATTGGCAAGCTTCAGTACCAGGTCGTGATGGGGAGAAACTCAGGGAAGAAGTTCGGATCATCGTGTCCTGGGAGGCACTACACTCCAACGAATAATAGTGCGACAAAAACAAGATGTGATAAAGGGCGGATTGCTAAGTTTTTAATCACGTCGAGCGCGCTCATGCTTTTGACTGAGATCCGCACACGTTCAAAGACATATGATTATTGCTTGCAGCCCGGGGATCCACCCACCGTTGTACTGCCGATGGCGCTCTCTGTTCAAAGTGCAAAATCATGTAGAGCTATGTTTCTTCGAAGGATGTCTAGATCCTCCTTAGCAAATGCAGAAGCGCAAATGCCATCTACAGATCACAAGCTTGACTAAATGAACATGAGACCAAAGCACACAACTTTGCCAGACCGAAGTGAAATATATTAGAATTAAGAGGGTATTACTGCCGAACCCAACCTAACCCCTAATCATCCACCATGACCCATTAGATGCCTATGCTTACAAAACCCAAGAACCACCTTCATTACATCGCGACACCGCAGTCGCATTTTCGATCTGCACACAACATACGATCTTCCAGCCGTCTTCACGGGGCAAAGAATATCCCCTCAGAGTACCAGAATCCAGTTTACCGTCCACGACACGTCCGCTCCCAGGCACAAGTCCTTACAATCACGATTCTTTCAGCACCCGCCGCATTTTCTCCTTCGCGCTCTGCTGTTTGTAGATAATTTGGAACGCAAAGAACCATGGCATATCGAAGAACGTGAACGATCGCAGCCGCAAACAGGAGAACTAGGATGTAAACTGAAGCGAAAGCTTCACAGGCCCCGTGTGCAAATTAGTGAAATATGGAGTAGGGATGATGATCGATCACCAAATTGGTGGGTCTGGCCTTTCATCTTCATCAGCTAGCAGTAGACGTGAATTGTCTGAATCGGAATTGTGATCGAGCCGATGAAGCACTTTCATATCGAAATGAGAGTTGGTCATATGCAGCAATTCCGGCTCTTCCACAACCAAGCAGCCTACACCGCCCAGTACTTTCCCGCAGGACTTCGAGGAAATGGCAGAACGAGTCGTAGTAGCCGTGCGTGTTTTCCAGTGCGTCAGAATCCAGGAAAAGAAATTTTTGTTCTCTCCTCCACATTCAACAGGTAGGAATGTTAAAAGGAAAGACGACGGTGAACGCTCAATGTGAATAGCTAACTCCAGAAATGCCCATGACATGATACAACGAATCAAGAAAATTATCGCAAATGCGCAGGAAAATGCAAGACCAAATGACGCTCAAGATCAAAATGGCTAAAGCGAGCTAAAGCGCGTCCATGCCGCGGACAAGCTCGTGCAATGAATCATCGGCGCCTCCTTTTGCTCCGCCATTAACATCAAATTTCCTCTTCCTGGCGGCCATCTTGCCCCACCCATCGTCGTCATCTTCTTGCGCCACAGGGGATTTGTTCTTGAGAATGCCCTTGACCATCACAGGATTTTGACTTACACCGCCGGACGCTTGCAAGGTCATCGAGGAACTGGACTTAGCATCAGTGTGGGTCGCCACGGGACGATAGCGTGCTGAGAGACCGATATTTGACCTCTCCGAGGGTGCTATCGACGGCGTGTAGCCATTCAGTTGCGGTGGCGGTGCCATGGAGCCACCAATGGGTGTTGAGTAGGGCCGCGGGGGTTGCGGTGTCTGTTGGTTGCCGACTGGCATTATAGACATCGGTCGCTGTACGGAAGGGACGTTGAGGAGGCTGGGTGCGGCAATCGACATGCGCGGGTCTTGTTGCGGCGGCACCATCTGCTGGTTAGGGAACGCCATTGACATGCGTGGGTCTGACATGTTGCCTGGAAATGCCATCGACATGCGTGGATCTTGAGCGTGCTGCATCTGCATCTGTTGGATCTGCATCTGTTGTGCTGCAAGCATCTGTTGCATCTGCTGGAAGTGCTGCATCTGCATCATGTCGTTCTGTTGCATTGGGTATCCCATCTGACCGCCCATCTGACCGCCCATCATAGGCGTGCCCACAGGGGAGTTCATCATGTTCATGTTCATGCCCATTCCCATCCCGGGCATCATAGACATACGAGTGCCAGCTCCAGACTGGATAGGCGGGTTCATCTGCGCTCCAAGCATTCCGGTGAAAGGTCCTTCCAGCGGCTTTTTGTTAGACGCACCGCCCATATACTTTTGCTTGGTCATGTCGCGCATATGTATCTGCTCGACTAATGACGGCTGGGACAGTTGAGGCTCAGGGTAGCCCATCATAGGCATGTTCATGTGCAGGTTACCAACAGAGTCACCTGCGATCGAAGCAGGGCCCCGATTGTTGAATCCCAGTGATTCTCGGTTCGATGGTCGAACCAACCCTCCTCCGATGAACGAAACGTGCGGATCATCCGGCAAATTTCGTGCGAAAACGGGTCGGAATGTGGAGGCGCGGTTATCACTCGGTCCAGCAGAAGCTGGTCGGTCGGGGAGGTAGGACGGCATCGCATTGGCGGGTTGGGCCGGACCTTTGCTATGGGCCTTATTGGGGAACCCGTGCTGCGCAAGTATGCCTAACGGTACATCTTCATCCTCCCACTCGTCCGCTTGTAATGATGTTTCGGATGGGAAGCCCATGGAGAAAGGTTCACTGGTGCTATCCGGACGATTAAGACTTGCTGGCGCAGTGGTTGTCCGACGCATGTGATCTCTTGCCAGGTCCATTTGTTGTTTCTTACGCCGAGCTATCGCTTCTTGTGCCGCCCTCTCTTGCGCCTCCTCTTCATCCTCGTAGTCTTCCTCGTCGGAACTATCATCTTGCGGTTGCACCATTGCTCGTTGTTGCTGTGCGCGGAACTCAGCTTGTGTGAGGACGCGTCGACCGGACTCGCTCGCGGGAGGCTGCGGCCGAGGCTCTCCCCTCAGAGTCGATGCGGCAGGTTTGGGCACCGCAACTTGTTTTGATCTAGGCGACGCGAAGATGTCATCATCTCCATCTTCAGATATAGGGGAAGTCACAGTGCGCAACGCAGCCTTTGGTGTTGTGATGTCGGAACCTGAACGCGACGAGAGTGGTGTCTCCAGCGAAGGGGCGGACGAGGACGATTTCGAGGTAGGTTCTTGCTCGGGGGAGCTTTCGCGCTGTGATTTTTGGGACATGACAGGTTGACGAACTACCGGTGTGTCGTTGTCGATGTAGTCGTTAGCGTCGTTCAGCTCGGGACTGTAAGAGGCGACGGGGGCGTAGTGGCCATATTTGTGAGGAGGAACAGGGGGCGGCGGAGAGTCATCCTCGGGCGAACGTGGGGATGACATAAGATTGTCAGCGGAGCCACGGGAATCCCACGATTTGAGCGGAGCTTCAACCTCCAGCTTGCGGTCAATCTTGATTGGCTCCGCGTGGAATGTTCGTTTACCCGCCAAAAGGGAACGGCCGGGGGATTCGGCGGCATGTTCAGGGGACGGTTTCCGGTCAAGTCCAGTAAAAAGGTCGTCGAAGTCGGTTGAACCGAAGTTCATGTCGGCGTCTAGGGTCGGTGCTTTGGCGGTACTGGCATAGCTAGACGATGTCATTGCACGAACGCGCCCGATGCCACCTGCAGGCGACGTGGGCTCTCCATAGCCTCTGTATTCTGATTGGGGTACTGCCGGCAGCTGCTTCTTGTACGTGTTTGCGGACAGGCCACTCGGCGAGCTGCTGTGCTGTGACATGTGTGGCCTTGGAATTGCAAAGATGTTGTCGTTCGGGTCTGTGTCTGCGGAGGATGGGAGGGTGGAAGTTGAGCCGTATTGGCCGTTATTATTGTTATTGTAGGGGCGCGATGATTGTGTTCCACTGCTCGACTTACTATCCCTGAGCATGGTGTTAGCTTCGGAGGTGTATTGGGCCGAAGGGTCAAAACATACCGTTTCGAGGATCCTGGCGAGTCTTCGTCGAAAGAGCGATTCCGCGCCTTGTTACCTGCACTGAAGCTGCTGAAGGGCCGAAATTTGGAGGCAGATTTTTCCTGTGCTCGGCGCTTCTCCTCCGTCTTCCGCGCCTCTGCCTCGCTTGTGGTCATCAAACGGAAACCGCCTCCACCCCCTGAAGGCGACTCGGCCCCGGGTGCAGCATCGGGACCGGGCATTGACCTTGCCTCTTCCATGATGTTGCCCTGGGACTTGCGGCGGCCCGCGAAGCCCAACAAGCCTGCCTTGACCATGATGTAGCGATGGGAAGTCGGAGATAGCTATTCTATCCCCGGGGGAAGGGTGCTAGTTGTCGAACGATGGGTGAACGCATGCGGCGTTGGAGGTACAGGGCGGAGGAGCTGCCGTGTGGTATGGCCGTGTGGCGGACGAGAAGCTCAATGGGGTGTATCAACGATGGACTGGTCCGAAATCTGCGGTGTCGAGTCAGCAACTTGCGGTCTCAAGATACGGTGCAGTGTGCGGCTCAAACTCCAGTGTCTATCCATTAGAGGGGGAAGGGGCGTTGTTGCTGTAGGAATGACAGTCGCTCCGGGATCTTCGCATTGCCGAGTTCCCACGTCATTCTGTCGATGGGCGGATGCCTGCAATATGCGCGTCTCTGGCTGTCTTCGACGGCGTCTGGGGCAATTGCCCCTCGGCAGCGCTCTGTGGGCCAGGTCGAGGCGGTACAAGTGCGCAAGGGCGGTCGTGGGTAGGGTTGCGATGCTCGTGCCGTCTCGGAAGGCCGGGGTAGGGGTAACGCAAGCAGAGGAGCGACTTACCAGACACTGGTGTACGGGTGGCAGGCGATGCGGGAGGGTGGAGGGCAACGAGAGACGGAAAGAAGGTCAGAGGGGCGTGGGAGGCGAGCCGGACTTGTTGCGCTTTGAGCTGGGAGGAGGGAGAGGAGACGTTGGCGAGCACGGGCCTCCCAAAAGTCGAAATGATGCTGGTCGCGGGCGGGCGAGGATGGGATGGGATGGGATAGGGTAGGGAGTAGTAGCCCGATGCGACCACCACGGCGAGACTACTGTGTATGCAGGCTCGGGGGCAGGTCCACTACAGTCACTCGTCGTCATACACGGTAGGAAGGCGTCGTCCCCCGCCGCGGTGCGGAATCACCATGGTCACCGTGGTCCATCAGCAGCAGCCGCAGCGCCACGGGAGCCTCTGTGCATGGCCGTCCAGGTCTTGTTGCAGCGGCGGCCCCAGTGCGAGGCAATAGACTAGCCGTCAGGTAAGCAGCTATTCTTGTCTGGCGCAGTGGACCGCCGACCATTCCAGGGTCGTCGCCGCCGCCGCTAACCCCTCGAGACACGGGCAGGAACTCAGCAGAATCGTCGACACTGTGAACACCACGTCTTACTCTCCTCCCTGTCGACGCACCGCGCTTGCGCGACCCCGGCCTCTGCAGGACTGCCTCTCCTAGCGGCGTCTGCTCTGCGCGCCCTCCACAACGGCGTGTCCACAACGAGTGGCTGCCGGGCCCTTTCACCTCTGCACACGGCCTCCTCGGCGGCAATAAATCGAAGACAGGGCTACCGGGGTGAGGACACGGCAGCCTCTGCTTTATTCAGGCTCAATGCAGGGCCCGCTCTTCAGAACGGGCGGAAACCGTCAGGATCGGGGCCATGGGCGTCCTTTCTCCACCCGCCGGCGCGCTGATCGTGCCTGACTGGCAAGGGCGATACGCGATGCGCCGCCTTCGCTAACGTCCGCCGCTGCTTGCTTGTCCCTCTCGCCAGCACCCCGACGACCACCTTTCCTGTCAATCGCACCCAAGACATGCACTCACGGCTCCGAGAAGGTGCCCGTGGCGCCGCCTTGGCCACCCTACAGCAGCCTCCTCTGCATCCCAAAACGGCTACCACTCCCCTCGACGTTGCAGCCGCCAACCACCACCTTCCAGCCTCATCCTCCAGCCTCCCCGCCGTGACAGCATCTTGCCCCTTGCACTGAACATGAGAAATCGCCGTGACATGGCGCGGCTCTCGGAGGACGCGCAATGGTCCCGCCTTTCCCCGGTCTTGTGGGGAAGCAATACTGCCCCCCCTCTTCTCCCGCAAGCCACAGGTAGAAGCCAGTGGCCATCATCCACCGCCTTCCGGCCGTGTGTCTTATGTGAAGCCGGGTGGTTCGTCAGTCGTTCCCACCGTGCCCAGCCGATGGCTGGACCCTTCTCGTGGAACGTCCCGCAACCTCGCTGTTGAGCTTAAGCTCCCCCGCCTCTTCACAAGTGTTCTCGCCCAGCCTCCCCTTGTGACTATGAACACGCTCATGGTTGATCGCGCAATCCGGTCCTGCATCTACAGCGCATGGCGTGATGTCGACAGTCCCCAATATACACACGCTGTCGATCCATTGCAGATCATCGCCCGTTGGTACTCGCTACCCACCTGCATGGCATCGCATGCTAAGCGCGTGCAGGTGCTAAGTTTCCTTGGAATCCAACCGTAGCCCCGCAGCCCCGGGCCTCTTCCGTTAGCTGCAGCGTTTGCTCACCAACACCACAAGAGTCTTGCAAAAGGTCCAGCCTCTTTAGGTGCGTTTCTCATCCTCCAGAGCCGCAACAGGCCTTGCTGGGCAACATCTTCCTTCTAGTCTACATTTCGTCGGTGCCTACGGTCGACTCGAGCGGAGAAGCTGTCGTGGCGAGCTCAGTGAAAAGTCCCCCTGCACTCAATCAGCAACCTCAACCTATACTTATGAGCAAGAGTTGGTAGCTTTAGCACCGGTTTACAGCCTGTTCCGACGTCTGCTTGCATCGGTAGCATTCGCTCGCTCAGGTCTGGAATACTGACAATTGACGTTGCCCGCCTTACGTACGATAGTCTGCCAGGACGTGGGTGATCGATATATGAGACAGCCACGCTCTCACGAACCGGTAGCATCGATTTGCGCTAATCTTTGTGAGCTTTGAGAGAGTTTGAAATTGAGCGAACAGAGCTCAGCATGCACATAGACGACGCTCCAGGGTTCTGGCTTCATTCTTCAGGGCCTCACGTCGAGCCAGCATTGGCATCTAGAAGATATGTTGCGACATGCGCAAGCTCCATAAGTCTGCTCGACCTGTATGTGTCTGCCTGGTATACGAAGGTTTAGCGCAGGCATTGGCAATACCGGTCAGTGGCATGCATGCGTGCTCTTTGCGCAGAAGAAGGATCGTGACCTACTTTTCATTTTTCTGGCTCCTAAATCAATGTGTGTTTCCTCTACTCCAATCACGGCATCGTACGCACCTTGTAATCATATCAATGTGTGGCGGGGTAAACTTTGCTGCCTGATATTGATAAACATCCAGCGCCCTGCATGTTGCTCCGCCACACCTCGGGAGGTACAAAGTTTCCAACCCTTTTTCTTCGAGGACCAAACCCATCAGCAAGAAGCAGTTACTCTGCTCTAGGGAGTCGACGTTCCCTGAATCTCCGAAGCCAAGTGCACTCATGCACTCGTCTCTCCTTCTGGACACTTCTGCCTCATCGCGCAATCGGTATTGACTCTAGGGGACTTACCATACCGATTTCTCATAATCAAACGGCATCTGTTGGACAGCGAACGGCTAGTAATACTGTGGGTACACCTGTTGGCGACCCCGCAAGTTGTACTACAGGATGGGCGGTATGTCATGGTTCGACGACCTGGGCGCTGGTCAGTGTCACGAGTCTTTAACAGGACAGACAATACCTGCAGATGAGACTAGCCTACTACGTTGGCTATTTGATCCAGACATACTTCAATGTACGAACACTGTCAAGGATAGATCGTTAGCGTCCTGGCCCTTTGTAACACAACCACCTCGGTGGCGATCGCCTACATGCCCACCTTCATACGCCAAGAAGCAGACCTATGACTGCAGCATATGTGCAGAGAAACTACCACTGAGACGCTTCCTCAATCGTTGTAGCATCGTAATGCCTTCTGCTTGCTATGATCACCTCTCATTAAAATGGCCCTTCCCGGGGAATCTTGGTGAGCAACGCGAAGCCGAGAGCTCAGAGCCCGTCTGCAGGTCTTGTCTCTCTCGATATCTCACCGAGCAATTTCAGACTCGGGGCGCCGAGCGCATTCAATGCATCAAAACGGGATGCGTGCCACCATACCCTGGCCAAGCATGGAAATACTTTGCACCCCACTTTCTACCGAAGAAAATTCGAAGCAACTTCAACGAGGAGCTGGCGCGGGCGATTCAGAGAAGCGACAAATGGATCTGTCCGGCGGACTGTGGCTGCGAGGTAGGCTGGACCGCTACACCGAACATGACAAATGGATGGCCGCACGTCGAATGTCCATCCTGTAACGGCCGTTTCTGCGCTACGTGTCGTGTGCCATGGCATGATGGCTTATCATGTCAGAAATTTCAGCGCGCGAGGCGCTGGCAGAAACCGTCTCATCGTACGACTGAGACATCACGATCTTCGTCATTTACGATGAGGCATTCGTCCGACATATCCATTCTCGACGACAAGAAGGACACAAGGTCCAACTACCGCTCCATCCGTGAAATGCAGGCCCACGGCGCCCGCCTGTGTCCTCGCTGCCAAACACCTATCATCAAAGATGGCGGGTGCAATCACATGTGGTGCATCAAGTGCGAATTGCAATTCACGTGGCGGGAGGCGGAAAAAGTGCATGCAATGAGGCAAGACAATGCCGTGGTGAAGACGGTTAGGGTACCCTTTCGATGCATCGGGGCGTGGGTTTGGATGCAAAGAGCGAAGTGGGGAATGTGGAGGGAAGGTAGGAGGAAAGGGGCTGTGATCTGCGGCTCCTATGTCAATAGGAACTATGGTTACGATAACGGTGATATGGTCTGGGCTCAGAATGAGGGGGATCACGAAGACGACGATGAGGAGAACGAAGAGCGAGAAGCAGATGGGGACGGGGAATAGATATGACACTGAGAAGCCGGATTCGCTTGCGAGATTGGAGACTTGTAATCAGGCGAACGAGGATTGATCGACGCCGTCTAGTTATAATCGAATAACGAGGAGCATGTTGGGGTATACGAGCCGTCCATATCTAGCTGCACAAGCTTTGGCTGCTTGCTTCTCTTCCTGCAGCAGCAGACTTAGGCACTGCTGATACAGACAAAAATCATGTCTTCACATTGCACTTAAGAATTGCACACTCATTCATTAGTACTATACATTGTCGGCCGTGATGCATGCACATCAACGCAGCTACGGACGTTCACCGATACAATGATATCACCCAGGAAAATTTCACATAGCCACATATACGCCACTCTCTGGTTTGAGTTGTCATGATCGCCATATTTTACTATTCGGTATACAACCGCTCAGTCGCCTCATATTGGCCAATAAACGCGAACATAAAGTATCATTCTAACTCGGCTTCCTCGAATCAAGCATGATAAACCCCTCTGCCGTTGGCACTGCTCACCAAGGCATTCCGTACTATGTTAGCACCGTCCTACGATTTGACCACACCCGTAGCTAGTACTTGCCGGGCATGATGTCGCTTTCGCGACTGACATCTCGGCTTCTCTTCAGGGCGCTTACCTGCATTTGTTTCGCATTCTTGCATTACACACTCGCGTGATCTTGTTGAGCTCGCATGGGACGACGTGCGCAGGGAAGCTACAGCAATAACGATAGCAGTGATTGCGTGAGAGCAGGAGAAGCGGGCTAATTATACAGCTAGAGAATAAGCGTTGGAGCGTTGGATGAGCGATCGTGATAAGAGCTATAACAAGTTCGAGGATGAACAGTTTGGTAATCCACAGAACAGTCCAAAGTATCTCGGTGGGAAGACGGACGAACATCGATAGGATGATGACAACATCATGGTAGCCGAACTTAAGTTTAACGTCACGTCAAACTGAAGTCAACCTGCTCCTAAGCCAGCTTAAGAGCTTGTGATCATGGCTTAAGGTTGTTATAAGGCCGTCTGGAAGCGAGCCGTCGAGTAGTCCTCAAACAAACCGGGGTAACATCTCGAACGAATTGAGCTCCTACAGGAAAAACTCCAGAAAGGTTAATGCTGATGGCTTACCGGAAGGTTACAGACGTAATCATTGCTACAGTGTCTCTTTGTCTGTCTTTGACTTTGAATTCTGACTATGACGGATGAAAGCCGCAACGTCAGCTGTCTTCTAAGATCAGCCCGTCGCTAAGTAATCGTCTTCAGTATATAGTGATTACAATCTCAACCTTACGCTTTTGAGCATCTCGTAAGCATCCATGCTGCCGTTGACAAGCTTTACGAGCCTCTCACTCAACATATCTCCAAATTCACGGCTCCATTCCTCTCTCAGAGTCTCCATGTCTGATTCCTCTGATCTCAGCCTGTCTTTCTTGATACCGCTGCTCCCCAGAATCGTACTCTTCATCCGCTTCTCCATCGTACCCATATCACTCAAGACTTCCTTGTCTGTAGCCTTCCATGTGAAGCGCACCTTGTCTTCGTGCAGCCCAACGGCCTTCGCGTATTTCTTCACCAGGGCTTCGTCTCCAAGGTCTTGCGCATCCAGAACAATAGGATACTCCACACCCTCAACAAGGCTTCTGCGATCAAACTCCCCTGTCGATTGTACATAGAACTTATACATAGAGAGACTCCAAAGGTATGTGCATTCCCACTGTTGAATTTTCTCCTCAGTCATAGCAGTTGAGTTGCTTTGGTTGTCGATGATTGTACGCAGATTGCTAGGGAAAGTGAGAGCGGGATGGCGGATGAGGAAGGTAGGTTTGATGTGCTGGAGGAGAAATGCGTCAGGTAGGCAAGTTACATTGTGTCCTTCTCTCGCTTCGCTTGGCTGTGAATCCTTCCAGTTGACTTGGAACTGTATTGCAGAGCTCGGGTCGCTCTGTTCGTTTTCGTACAGACGAGCTTCAGCAACGGGATTCATCATCCAATGCAGATGCTCTTTGACGAAGGTGCTCTTGCCGCGCTCTTCGGCCTCTTGAATCAACCCTAACCAGTCATCAAAGCTGCTCTGCATCACGCCTATCAGAGTCGTCTTCTCTTCCTCCGTCCATTCTCGAATCGGCTTCCCTGGCAAACAATATCTGAAGCGTGGGACTGCTGCCGGAAGGAAGATATATCCGTCCAGATTGTTAGAGTGGCGGTGAATTGAGGGCTGTTCGTGAAGATTCAGTAGCTTGAGTAGTAGATGTGATGCTGTACGGGGTATTGTGAAAACCATATGATGACCTAGTTGATAGGGAGGCGGCTGAGCTGTTGCCATGACTGACTGCCTGTTCACGCGAGTTTTTGCTATTTTCCAAAACGCCGTGATCTTGTAAGAAGCAGATAGGACAGAAGGTTCGTCTATAACAAACCGTGGGTACAAATAGCAAACACCGAAGACAGCGAAGGGCGAGGCACCGAGTTGTCTATGTTTAGGTTGGCACTAGGCTGGATTTGGCCGTAGTGTATCTAACGCTGACGACCCCACCCCTAGCACTAGAATGCAAGAAATCCACTAATCGCGTGTATCTAACAGATGGTGAAAGATAGCATCATGAATCAATCCAATGATGTGATCGATTCCTGCTATGCATCCTTATCAAAAATCAGCACCGTTGAATCGAACCTTGGAAGTCTTGCTCCAATCAGTGTATCGTGATTGATACCGGCTCTTATCGCCTTCTGCTTCTCATAGTCTGTTGCAAATCGACATGACCTGGCTTCGCAGGTGTTGAAACAGTTATTTTTTACCGAGCTTGGTGGTGGGTTTTGCCTGCAGGTAAGCGCCTCGTTTTCTAAGCAATATTTCACGTCAAATAGACGCGATGGAGGTAGAGATTGACATCTCACTAGTGGTGCACACTATCTGATTCCAAGTTTAGGTGGCGTGCCTGTATCTTCAATCTGATGTATGAACATGGCGATGCGATCATGTTAGCAATCCGAATATGTAGCTTCTTGTGCATTCAACACTTGATATAATAACCAAAGACATCATCACCTTTTGAGCTACACGAAACATCATCGAAGAGTTATCGGCGTATCAAAGGGCCCATTTTAAGAGACGGACAATCGTTTCTGTCAGTGCATCTCCAGTGCTACAGTCAGATGCGACGCATGTGTTGGGGGCATACGGTGGCGTCTGATCGGGACGTTCTTCCATACGTCAACCGTGGTAACGCTTCGCTGCGACTCCTGGATACAGTCCACGACTGATTCGTCCGTCCCGTCGATTTGCGCCATTCATACAAGTTCCCGAACGTCTTGCGAATCACACTATACCCAAGCCTCAAATTAGCCTTCGATCGTCGATGTGATTGCACCGCAAATACGAGAAAACCACTCGTAATTGGGAGCGAAATTCCGCCCAAATTGTCCGCGCACTCGAGGAATGTCTTTTGAGCGGCTCTGCATCGATCCGAACACAAGGCGCGCGCGAGAAGATGGAACGTTGCTTGAAGGTAGCAGCAGCGAGAAACAGAGGCGGTGACCCAAGCATACAACACCTGAGGTATGCATAAGGAAACAAAGAGAGTGCATGAGAAACGTGATGGCTTCATCGCTGTATATGTACATTTGACACAGGAGTTCTGACGCTGTCGGGGGCTCTGCGACCGTTGGTGTTTGGCCTCTTCTCGCGCGGCTCGACCCGACCATACCGGAAAGGGCAATACCCTGAACAGTCGAGGCACCGCTGCGCGCATTCCTCAGACAGAAAAGAAACCTGAGATGCTTTGAGGCATGATTATTTGCATCAGGCACATGAGGCTGTGTTGGAATGGATATGGTGGGCCAGATTCCGATTGGCTCGATGTGCCGCCCGTCGTTCATCAGAAAACCGTGCACAACGAAGATGCATCCGCAGTTTCCCTTGAGAATAAACGCCAGTGTCGCTGGCTTCGAGATACTCAAACGCATGATGTTGAGCACAGCCATCATTTCGAACTCGCTGTTTCCAAACCGCAGCCACAATGATCGTCTCTCCCGCCCCATTCGTAAACCAAACTGCCGTCAAAACAAGGTGCCGAGCGCTACATTTGGCCTATCCATCTACCCTACGGCACCCACCATCCCCACTACCTCTGCAAGTCATCGCCGTTTGAGGAAGCTACAAGGAAGTCAGCTGTCCGATCGTTTCGGGACAAGGCTTTTCTACCCCAGGTAGAGTCCGTGGTATCAGAGTAGACCAATTCGAAGAAGGTCTGGGCTGACGTCCGGATTATAAAGAGGAGGGTGATTATACCCACTTTGCTCAGAATATCAGCCGCTTCGACTAGCAGCTTCAATATCGCAACATCTATCAAACTCTCTCGGAATTCTTCCAGGTGAAGCCGGCTGGTTCTTGTTCTAATCACTATTAACACCGTCTGTTCACAACATTTTCAACATTTCTCACAATACAATGGCCCCTCTTCTCAAGTTCGTTGTTCTTTTCAACCGTACGATCATCTCCTACAGCGATGGAATGTATCACTGACCAGAAGACAGTCTCGCTTTACGTTGCTGCTCAGGGCACGCAATTTATCACTGGCGCTTGCACTTCTGATGCGGACTGTGCATCAGCATGCTGCGGCTTCAACACCGGAAAATGTGCAGCTCCCATACCAGCGCAAGAAAGAGATGGTGGATGCGGATTCGGTGATGCTCAGTCCAACGCCGGCCCGAACGCGAATGCCGGAGCCGCTGCAGGTGGAATTGGAAGTGCCATCGCCGCCTCAAGTAGCGCAGTAGCATCCCCTGTTGCGACTTCAGCAGCAAACACAGGCTCTGGAAAGGCACCAGGAACTCAATTCATTACCGGCGCGTGCGCATCAGATGGCGAGTGCGCGTCTGCTTGCTGCGGCTTCAATAGCGGGAAATGCGCCGCTGTGATCCCTGCTCAGGAAAGAGATGGGGGATGTGGATTTGGCGATGCTCAACCAAATGCTGGTCCAGGTACGAATACTGCGAGTGCCAACGGAAGCGCGGCCGTTGCTCAAGCTCAGTCAGGCAGTAGCCAGGCTTCTGTTTCGTCCAGCGCCGTGGCATCTAGTTCCACTGGCACGGCTACCGGTGCTGGAACACAGTTCATTACTGGTGCCTGCACCTCGGATGCCGATTGTGCTTCTGCTTGCTGTGGTTTCAAGTCTGGCAAGTGTGCCGGCCCGGCAGTTGCGCAAGAACGCGATGGGGGATGTGGTTTTGGAGACGCACAGCCCAATGATAATGCGGCGAAGGCTCTCCAGGGAAGGAGCCTCGGGAGGTTCGGGGCGAACTGCATGTGAACGACTTGATTGAACGACCATGAGAATGGAGATGGAGGGTTAATGGATGAAGAAAATGCGTTGATTAAATGCTTAGGGGGTTGGGGTCGACCACGCAACACGATCTGCAGCGCAGACCTTCTTAATTATGATTGTATGGGCACAATGTTTGAGCTTTTCGTTCTTGAACATCGATTGAGCCCTCAGTCCTTCATCCTCGGTTGTAGATAGCCTCTCATGATAATCCATGTACCACCAGCACTTGGTCAAGTTATCATCACCGAACTCAATATTTCTGTCAGTAATGCCGTATCAATTACATCTACTCTCCCAACACCTTAAAGCTGTGATGATTTCTTGATCCAGTACATTACTCGCTGGCGCACCGCACTCTGAGCTCTAACTTATAAGTGTTCGCTATTACGAGTGCAACCACTTGCCTTCCTTGTGATACTGGGCTCTTTATGGGTAGTCATTGAAGGCCTTCTAATCCCTTACCAAAAAACTCTATGACCAATTGTCGTGGTGTCTGTCGCGATAACTGTATGATAAAGTAGTACCAGAATTATGGCCGGCAGGGACGTTTTTCGTCGGCAAATCTATCAAGGTCACCGCTATTGCTCATTGCGTGAACGAGAGAAACTAATGGTCTTGATTGACATTCGATAAAGTGCAGAAATTCTAGACCGATGTGCCGTGGCTCTGTTACAACTCCACTGGACTCATTGTCAATATGCCACTGACCCGTCCACTTTTGCTAGTAATAATTCAGTATCTCTTGTATGTCAGTAACAGAGCATATAAAAGTTTGAGCATCAAGATCTGACGGTCGTTGGACTATCGGCCTAAGGTTACTTCGTTGCCTAATCCTTCAAAGAGCCGTCACTCGACACTACAAAAATTTACCAAACTAGATAGATCTGTTAATGACCCTATCATGATCTTTGGGCCCACCAAGGAACAGATTCTGGAGACTCTAGTCTGGGCCGGATAAAGTGCACGTTATGCCACGGTATTAAGGCAAGTATCTCCGACCAATGGAAAGTATTTGCGCACCGCCCCCACCTACCTTGAGTATGGTGAACGTGATGGTTTCTTTGGCTTACTAACGTGAGAAGCTTAATTACTGCGTGACAAGGGACTGCTATGAAATCTGACTAGTAGATATCCACCGTTTATGGTGCATGTGGATACACTTGGTGCTATCGTTGACCAATGGGCACTAATTGCGCACGTAAGGTGTTATGCATGCGTTTGAGGCAAGGCTCGAGCAGGCTTTAGGACATCTGGTGTGTATGGTCTGAGGTCTTGGATGAGGGTGGATTTGTAAAGAAGGATGAGTTGACCGGAGATAGACGGCCTGGTTTCTAAGCTTGGTTTTGGATGTGTTCCACTGACTTTGTTGCGTCCACACCATCCCTCTTTAAAACAAAACAAAATCAGTAAATCCCTGGCACTGAACCTTGATCTATCCAAAATATACCTCTGCTCTTCAGGGAAATCACCAGCCACCAGAATGCCTGAACCTCCAGTTTACACTGGCTACGTATTCCCAGGCCGAGAGAACCTCCACCACGACATCTACCCGACCATCTCCGCTGCGCAAACACCGTCACTCAAACAAAGCGGGAAAGTCATACTGATCACTGGTGCCGGTCGCGGCATCGGACGTGCCACAGCACTTCAATACGCCCATGCAGACGTTGCTAGCATCATACTATGTGCTCGGACGGCTTCTCAGCTCGATGGAGTCAAGTCCGAAATCGAGAAAGTCAAGGGCAGCATACGAGTGCACAGGTTCTCGCTTGACGTAACTGACAACATCGCCGTGGCTCACTGTGCTCAAGAAGTGCATAAAACAGAAGGCCGTTTGGACGTCCTTGTCAACAACGCCGGCAACGGCGCTCCTTGGGTGCCAATTTCAGAGGGAGACCCCGAACGTTACTGGAACAGTATCACCGTGAACATCAAAGGACCCTATCTCTTCCTTCACGCTTTCCTGCCGCTGCTACAGGCTACAGCTCAGGATTACAATACCACTACGACGGTCATAAACATGACGAGCATTGGGGCGCACACAATCTACCCAGGTTTGAGTGACTACTGCATGAGCAAGGTGGCGCTGAATACATTGACTCAATTTGTGGATGCCGAGTACACGGACAAAGGCGTTCAGGCCTTCGCGCTGCACCCTGGAGGTATAGACACGGAGATGGCGCGGTCGGACGAGACGTTTGTCAAGGGCTTGGACGGGCGTAAGTGTCAATCTCATGGATGGAATCGATGTTTCCTAGGCGGTGTGCTGATACTGCGCAGTCTTGATCGATACCGTGGAATTGCCGGGTGGTTTCTGTGTTTGGCTCAGCGCGGCAGAGAGAAAGTGGCTTAGTGGAAGATACTTGGCTGCTCCGTGGGATGTGGAGAAGTTGGAGCAGATGCGAATGGAAATTGTCGACGGGGACAAGTTGAAGGCTAGGATCGTGCTTTGAAGCGAGTCTAGTTAGATGGTACGCTTGTCATGCGATGTGGGCAGTAAGAGAGGCTTCGATGGGCGAATTGGAGCACAATCAACAGAAGTTGACTCGGCGCAAAATGTGTTTTCTAATCTGCCCTCTATTCCATTGCAACCCTCTGTTCTCCTCATTTACGCAGATGCAAACCGTTGAAAAAGGGATGAGCTAGAATCGAATGCTGTCTTATCTAGACTTTCAAATGTCAGCCTTCGTAGTCGCTCCAATAGCCTCTTCACTCTTCGGGAGCAAGAAGTCACTCGCCGGCACCCTCCCATCGCCCAATCTAGCCTTCTTCAATGTGCTCGGATCCACACTGATAAAGCTCGAGTTTGACCATGTCCCACTTTGCCACGAATTACCTGAAGCCTTGACAGTCGACACAAGTGTCACTTGCGCGCTACCAACATTGACCGCTGCAATGTTAGCAGCGAGAGTTGAGCTTGAGCTGCGGAAGTTGAAGCCTACGTCTCCGTTATTCCAGGCCGTGTTGCGCTCCACAGTAAGGCTTCCGGGATTGCCGTTATCGATGAAACCCTTCTTGGCATTAGAGAAGGCAATGCTGTTGCGTACGATGTGGTTCGCCGGCGGGTTATCGGTGATGCCGAGCTTGAAGCCATTGCCGTCGCCGTTGAAGTCGGAGAAGCCCCAGCGATTGAATCCATTCCCCCATGCGTACACCTCCTCCAGCGTGACCGGGGAGCCGAACATGAACAGGTCAAGCCCATCATCAACGTTGTCCCAAAGGCGTGCGTTGCGCAAGACGTTGCCCTCGCCGGAGCCAGATTTGCAGGCAAAGCCATCCGCTGATTCGCCGTTTTTGCGAGGATCACGGTTACGGTAGGAGTCCAAGTAGAGGACGGTGTTGTTGGAGGAGGCTCCCTCGAGTTGAAAGCCGGTCTCGTAATTGTCATGTGTGGTGATAAGTTCGTAGTGATTGTGGGAAGCGTCACGAGCGTAGATACCGTAGGGGCCATTGATCAGCCTAAGTAGCTCGTCAGTCAGGGCAAGGTCGATGAAGGTACGATACTCACTCCAGGTTGTAGAACTTCCAATAGTTTGCATATTGAATATGGAATATGCCACGCTCCTTGTTGGGGAGCGACTCATCAAGTCCGTATGGAGTGCCAGGTAGATCTTCGCCATCGATGATGACCTTCTCTGTTTGGTAAGATCGCACTGTTATGGGCGATGTGCTTGTGCCATTCGTATTGAACTGGATGTTCGTTGTGGGCTTGTATGTACCAGAACGCAGATAGACAATGTCGCCTGCAGCTGCAGCGTTGACTGCGGATTGAATGGACCCGTATGGTGATGTCAAGGTACCAGTGCCAGTTCCCGTGGGTGAAACATATAATTCTTTTGCATATGAGAAGCCACTCAGTGCGCAGGCAGCCACAAAGGTAACATTGTGTATGCTAGGCATAATGAAAGATTATGAGCAGAATTCAATGAAAGCGAAGGAGAACCTTGGTGGCCGTACTTGGTATTAGGAGAATAGTATAGTCTTATACCTCGACAACATTGCACCGGGCCAAGCAGCGAGGTAGGTCTCGTCCACCAAACGCACCACACTACCATCTTAGGTCGTCTCCTATCCGCTATAATTGTCCTGCATGTCAGGGATCGATGTTCGGCAATTTGATTAGGTACCGCACAAACGGTGGTGAAATGATCTCCACCAATCGGAGCACGGTAGGGTACATCATTTCGCTGTTTTACTAGGATTGCAGGATGGTCTTGGCGAGAAACGCAACAGACAATATATATGTGGGTGCGCACTGGAATCTTGCTGGTGCCAACTGAGTTGAGATCGTCGTATGTTTACCGGATCGATGATATACATATTCTTGGAAAATTTAGCAGTAGTCTCTTCGTTGTACAGCCTTAAGCCGCCCGAATCAATGCAAGAATACTTGCAGAGCTCCCATGAAATACATCATGCGTGCTTCTCCAGGGCGTGCCTCAACTCATCATCAGCTTTCAGTTCTTTCTCTGCGCCCTCAATGACGGCCCTTAGTCCCTCCGCGCAATCCTCCAAGAGTTTTTGCTCGTCTTCATCCAGCTGAATTGGCATGGCACGCAATATTCCCTTCCGGCCAATGACCGCTGGCATGGAAAGACAGCACCCAAGCTCTGGCTGGTAGAACGATAGTGGGCGCACCGTACGGCTGTCGAACAAGATGTACTTGCAGATGCTGGCAGCCACATTACCTATGCCGTAGGCCGTGCAACCCTTTGCCGCAATGATAGCACCGGCTGCCCCGCGTGTATGGCTTTCAATGTCGGCCTTGAACTCGTCGGACAGTTTAGCCGACAAAGCGAGACGTAGTGGTGTTGATCCAATGCTGGCGTTGCTCCACGCAACGAATTGGCTGTCACCATGTTCTCCCAGTACGTAGGCATCGATGCTGCTTGGGCTGACTTCGGCCTTTTGCGCTAGAACGCCACGGAGACGTGCAGAATCCAGACTTGTGCCTGTGCCGAGCACTTGTGATTCTGGAAGACCGGAAAGCTTACGAGCGAAGTAAGTAAGGATATCTACTGGATTGGCGACGAGAAGTAGGATTGTGTGGGGCGAGATGGGTGACATTGATGTGAAGATGGAGGAAAGTATGTGTAGGTTGCGGCTTAGAAGGGAGAGGCGCGATTCGCCTGGTATCAAATTAGAAATAGTATGAATAGTGGAAGGTTGCACGGAAAAGCTTACCAGGCTTCTGCTTCGCCCCCGCTGTGATAACCACGACATCCGCCTGTCCCGCTTCTTGATGCGTCCCAGCCCTTATTTTCGTCGCAGCCCGCCCACCATACGTTGCATCGCCCAAATCTCTCACCTGCGCGTCTAATAGCTCTTTCTTGGGATCGACCAGTATGACCTCACTGCAGATGGGGTTTTGAAGTAGGGTGTACGCGAGCGTAGCGCCCACTTCGCCACAGCCGAGGATGGCGATGCTGGTTTTGAGACGCTGTTCAGACATTACGGTATATTGCTGAATTGTTTGCTGGGTGGGTGCCGGGTCGGAATGCTGCGAGACGTCGGATTATGTCCTTCTAAATGAAGACGTGATGCGGTTGCACCAAATAGATCGTGCTTTCCGAAGCGTCGATGGCAGCTGCGTTCCGAACAACAAACAGAGATCTCGAAAGCCTTATACTGCTGGTATTATGGGGTGGCAAGTCACGAGTAGCACAGTGCCAGCGGCATCAGGAGATTCACGTATGATGCTGTGCTTCCGCGCCAAGGGCTAGGCGTAGGTTCAGCCTCACGTACCCCGCTGATCGCGGCGTGCCGTCGACCCGTCTATTTTTCGTCAGGTTGCAGATTTAATGTTGTCTGAAATTGAGTGATGCACATAGAAGATATGTGCTGTTGTACAGCCGCAAGTGGTGATTCGCCCCTCAATTGCTATGGCTTGCACGGCAATTGCCGGCACGCACATATGAGGCGCAGGCGTAAACCTTTCACAACACAGCAATTCGTCACGTTGAACGGATGGATCGTGAATTGTGCTTGTCTAGTAATGCCGCAATCTACAGTCTGCAATCAATACTTCAGTTCGCTCGTCGTGACGTCTTCGATAAAATGAGCCTCCCGATATACCCTCGTCCACCACAAGTACCACGGCACGATGGTCAGCTTGATCTTATGTCCCAGCCATCCCGCATCATTCACTGTCTTGATCACACTCTGGCTTTCGTCAAACGCAATGTCGATTCGTTGTCTTCTCAATCTTTCATACGCATCAAACGCTTCCTTCACGGGCGCTCCGTCATCTTTCTCCATCCACCGCCCTAGACACCGCGCAAACAATACGCCGTCTTCGAAAACGATGCCTGTGGACTCTCCCTGGGGAGGCATGGCGTGCGCAGAGTCCCCTATCAACATGACGCGGTCGGTTGCCCATTTCCCGCCTTTACAGAGTGTGAAGACTGGCCAGAGGTAGAGATCTTGGGCGTCTTCAATGAGATGGTTGACGAGGGGGTTTGCGGCGCCAGAGTAGCGTTCAAGGATTTCTCTCCGTGCCTTTTCGGCATCTGCGCCGCGGGCTTTCCAGCCGTCTCGGGAGGCGATTTCGGGCACTTGCATGAGGGCTCCCACGTAGATGGAGTCCTTCTTCTCGTCGTGGAAGGATGTCAAGAGGATGCCCCGGCGCCCAAAATTCATCCCAGATGTCTCGAAGTGCGTCTCCTCGTACGCACCCGACGCCGTCTTGCGGCGAGGGGCGAAGCCGAAGGCATTGCATATGCCAGAGTATATGCCTTTGCGTTCAGGTTCGACATGTTTGAGGCGGGTGACGGAGTGAATACCATCGCAGCCAATGAGGATGTCTGCACTCACAGTCTCACCGTCTTCGAACGTAAGCCTAACGCCATTTGCATCTTCCTGAATTTCGGTGGTCTTCTTGCCGCATACGAGCTTGATGTTGGGGTGCTTCCCGAGAGCAGCCAAGACACCCTTTAGGCTTTCTCCTCTGGTTATTCTTAGCGCCGTGAAAGGAGGATTGCCCAGGCCTTTGCCTTCTGGACCACGAAAGCTGCTCTCAGACAACTTGGACCCGCTGTATAAGTCGAAGACTTCGACGGCACCGCACTCCTTGCCGTACTTGTTCGCCCGTATTTCCTGCAAAGCGCCAAGATGTGAAAGGAGACGGAGAGCGTTGGGGGTGAGATTGACAGCTCCGCCGATTGTTGCAGGCTCAGGTCGGATCTCGTAGAGCGTTATCTGCGGCGGTGGCCGTGAAGCTGGAGCATATTTGGTGAGAGCCAGAGCTGTGGTCAAGCCCGCTATGCCACCGCCGAGAATGATGATATTGGGTGGTGAGTCATTCTTAGGCATAATTGAGTAGACGGTCACAATACGTCAGCTGCGTGCGAAGCAGAAATTTCCAAGTCGCTGTCGACAATCTCAGGCTTGAATGTATTCCATTATGCATTCGATCTGGCTTGTGTAGGATTCCGGCCCGGTGCAGTAGGGCTGACTATGCGGCGTACCGGGAGCCAGAGCGCAAGCTTCGGCAAAGGTTGGGGAACCGATGGGTCAGCCCGAAGTAATCGGAGGTGCTAGCCTTCCGCAACAATGTGCGAGGTACGAGCCAGCTCCAACCAAGCAGTTGTCTCGCAAGCGAATTCTCCGTCACTGAGAGCTGTGTCTCGACACCATGTCTCATTTGTGTTTTATCGTAACGTCATGATGCCATTGAGTCTTGCAGCGCTCGCGTGACCGGAGCACCATGCTCGACTTAGCATGGGAACAAAGATCTTTACTACAGCATGTTCTGCTCCGCCCTTCTCCTCTCCAACAGGCGTATGGCTCGCTGTCGCCGCTCGTCGCGCAATGTGATGAATACCTATAATGCGTCAGCCGGACGCTGCTACGGGCAAAACCACCGCATCGACGTACCCAGAACCAGATGGTGAGCTCCACGAATCCGAATGCAAACACGACACTATTCTTTAAGTGATCACCCGCGCCCCGCCCGCTGCTCGCGAAGATGCCTCCCTGCTTGAACGCATACGAATATCCCGTCAGGCCGAACAGGAAGGCGAGCCGGACGGGTGTTTGCGTGCCCCAATATGCTTCCGTAGCTTCTTCCGACATGGAGAGCGCGGTGAGATCGGTGATGCCGAGGAAGGCGAGCAGGACTGCGATGAAGCCGGTGGCAGCTGAGGGTTTGAGGAATTCACGGGGCGTCGGCTGCGCAAGTCAGTCCACAGGAACAATCAGATGCGTAGATTGCTGTGCGTTTCACCCACCAGCTGCATGGCTTCGCCCAGCAAGAAGACAATGTTCTGTTCAGCAATCATCCTCGGATTCCGCAGGATGAAGACGGCGAGGGTGACGTGGAAGAGCGCCAGCGCGCGTATGATGGTATAGGCCGAGACGATCGCCATGGTCGCCTAAGTCGAGAGCGAAAGGAAAGAAGGGTTGAACACGAAATGTACAGCCTAATGCGGTTGTTCTCTTGATCGTGTCTTGCATCTTCAATCGTGCGTGTCTGTGTGTTCTCGGAGCCCGCACCTTCCGAAAAAAGACTAGTGTCCTGATTGATAATGCCATAGCCGCTGTGCATGTCGACCTCCGCGACGGTTGCATAAGGCCTCAACCACTCCCTTTACATGCTCTAGTTTTGGACTGCCATGGAGAAGCAAACATTCTCTTCACGAGACGTGGAGCAAATTACTACACAGCCGATTGCGTCTTCAAAGCGAGCAAACCATGCGACGACGAGGCGCCTCACCATCACAGTGCTCATTGCCATCTTGCTACAGCTAGTATACTTCTTTCGTCATCCATTGTCGCACCTGTTCCAGACTGCATCATGTCACCACTTGCTCGGGCAGCTCACGGTCGCGCAGCGAGCGCAGAAGATCTTGCGGGAGAACCCACTCATTGGTCAGACCGAACATCTGGACACCAAGATCAAGACTGATTAATTTCCCATAGATGGCCACAATGATTTACTGATAGCACTTCGTATCCAATACAAGAATCAGATATATGGCGATGATTTCAAGGACAAATTTGAGAACGGGGGCTTTCCTCAGCAGGTCGACTTGCCAAGACTGGACCGAGGCATGCAGGGCGGTGCCTTCTGGAGCGCCTTCATGCCTTGTCCGCCAGGTAATGGAACAGACTTCTCGGACGAGAAATATGCCCCTAGTAAGCCGGCTCCCTTCGACCACGATTGTAATGAGTATACTTAGCGTACCAGTCGTGAAGATGACCCTGGAGGCTTTGGACACATACAACCGTCTAGGCCTCGCGTATCCCAAATATTTCACCCTTACCCCGGACAGCTACGCTGCCGAGCAAGCCTTCAAAGCTGGCCGCCTCATCTCACCTGTCATCATCGAAGGCCTCCATCAGATTGGCAACTCCATCTCTACCCTGCGTCTGTACCACAAGCTCGGCGTTCGATACGCCACGCTGACTTGGAATTGCCACAACAAATATGCCGACGCTGCTCTTGAATCAGACGAAAACTTCACTGCAAGAATCGCCACACCGTATTGGAAAGGTCTCAGCCCCGCCGGTCGCGATCTCGTACTGGAGATGAACCGCCTTGGCATGCTAGTCGACCTCGCGCACGTGAGCACCGATACCATGCGCGACGTGTTGACTGGTAACGGCACGGAAGAGTGGAAGGGGAGTATCGCACCTCCAATCTTTAGTCATAGCTCCGCTCATGCTATATGTCCGCATCCACGCAATGTGCCAGACGATATTCTGCACCTCGTCAAAAAGCGCAACTCCATCGTAATGGTCAACTTCAGCCCGGGTTTCATATCTTGTAAACCGGGCAAGACACCTCATGATCTACCCGAGTTTGATCCGGAAAATTCAACGCTGGACCATGTAGTAAAGCACATCAAACACATTGGCGAGCTCATTGGGTACGATCACGTCGGGCTAGGAACTGACTACGATGGCATTGAGTCCACGCCAGAAGGCCTCGAAGACGTGTCGAAGTTTCCTGACCTGGTAGCTGAGCTGCTTCGGCAGGGTATCAGTGACAAGGACGTAGGGAAAATCGTCGGGAGGAACATACTCAGAGTATGGAGAGAAGCTGATAAGGTGGCTGCGAAGTTGCAAAAGACTACTACGCCGCTTGAGGATGATATACAGAATCCATGGTCTGCTGAGAAGAACGAACTCTAAGTAAATTGTATCAAGGCGCCAGCAGGGCGTCCAAGAAATGGGCACTGGTTAGCTGCGCAGCTGAGCTGCAGACTTAAAGTAGATACCTACTTCTTAGATAGTTCCCCAGAACCCCTGAAGGTGCATCATATGCACGTTTCGTGTGGCTCTCTGGCAGGCTTGGGCATTTCGCCAAGGCTGTAGCGGGCAGGATATCTAACATGAACTCATCCTGACCAATGTACAAAAGTGTACACGCGCAACTCTCTCATATGCCCAACAAACAAGTTCATATAGCATGCTGGTCCTGACTTTCCCAGCCACTCGTGGGCATGCTATCCTCACGTGGTGGCCAAACATGCTACGATATCTGAAGCCCGAATCAGTCACACGACTCATCATAAGATAAGTGATCGCCAAATCAACGTCAGAAACTGAGAGTGGATGGATAATGATTGGCGTCGTATATTATGACGCGAAATATAAATTGGTTTTTTCAAAGACAGAGCCGCCATTTTGTATGATTGCCGGGGATCGCTATGCAGATAAGAAGCAAACAAGAAAGGAAACATTTAGAACGGGAAAGCTTCGAAGTCCCGTCTACAGCTTTGCCTCGAGCTGCAATACCTCCTGGTTCCACTGTCTCTGCACCGGCGCCCGCCTTGGGATCTCCGGCACATCCTGTGGGACATGTTGTATCTCGCTGTCTTTCCTCCTGGTCACTGGCTCCTCAAGGTAGGCATACTCCTTCCGCCACTCAGACAGCATGTTCACAGTGACATTGCTCCCTCCGCAGAGAACAATGACGACCTTCTCGTCAGGGCGCACCTTCCGGCCGAGTGCCTTCTCTAGTCGTCCGTCGTAGCATAAGGCGACGTTGACACCGCAAGCGAGCTCGACCATGATTCTCTCGTCATCGGCAAGGCGCCAGCACCCCATCGCCGCCTCGGCATCTGGGAGTACGACGCCCCTGAAGTTGTCCCGTTGCGCTGTGTCGAGCGTCAGCTGCGTGACTCTTGCACAGCCTAGCGAAGTGGCTTGCGACGTGATCCTAGGAAGTGTGACTAATTGGCCGGCGTGCACAGCAGCGGCGAGAGACTCCGCGCCGGCGGTCTCGACACCGATGACGGTTGTCGAGCCAGAAAGAGAGAGGTCATCGAGAGCCATGGCGAGACCATTGAGAAGGCCACCGCCACCGACAGAGCAGATGATTGTGTTGGCGGGGCTATCGGGCATTTGATCGGCGATTTCGTACATGATGGATGAGTTTCCGGCCCATATGTCTGGGTGGTCAAAGGGTGGGGCATAGATGGCTGCTTCGCCGGCCTGTAATCACACTGTCAGCACTACGTCCTCAGATGGGAAGGGTAAGTAACAAGGACGTGAAGTACAAGAGGCAACATACCTGCGGCATCAACTCCTCCCTCATGTACTTATCAGCATCCGCCCACGCGTCTCCATGTTGTAGCACCTCATAAGCGCCAGCAGCCTTGATCTTGGTAACCATCAACTGCTTGACAGTCGAAGGTACGACGACTGTACACGGGACGCCGAGTGTCCGAGAGGCGTGCACGGCAGCGAGGCCAGCATTGCCGCCGCTCGAGCAGAAGATGTGGGGGTTACTGATGTGGGTGGGGAGCTCTTCGACTCTCTTGACGAGATAGTGTCCGAGGCCTCTGCTAGGTATCAGGATGTGTTGTTGCAGTCATGGAAATAGAGGAATGCTTACCGAGATTTAAACGATCCAGAAGGCTGAAGTGTCTCGAGCTTGAGGAAGATTCTGCTTCTACGATTTAGAATTCCCTAATCACGAGGAAACAGGCGATAACAGCAAAGGGTTGAGTGCAGGTGGTGATGGAGAAGTGTGACCGTACCATCCCGCAGCTTGGGACAACGCATATGACTCTCTGAGAGGTGTTTCGACCCAAGGCCTCGACTGCTCCTGAGATGATTGGAGGAAGTCCTTGACGCCCATGTTTCTTTGTGTGATGATGTTCGACCTGGGAGTTGAGGGGTTATTGAAGCCACGAAAGGCTTCTCGAAAGATACCGTTTCAGGAGTCAACAGGAATCACGGAAACTAGATCTGACGATAAGAACGGACAGTAAGGCAAGGTCAATAGAGCATACCACACAACTAGAGTATTACCCCAGTACCTCTTATACCTCCCCAGATCCGTTTCCCTCCGCATGCACCGGCCCCGTCCAACCTACCCCTCGCACCCCTGTATCCATTACCCTATAATAGCGCGAAATTACCCTATAAAAATGCTTATCGCGCACAGCCCAATAAAACTCTTGCCAACATGACTTTTCCATGCCGGGACAACACGTTGAGCAACGTCGTGTTGGTATGGTCGCCAGTGGATCCGAGATCCAAACAGGGTTTGGGTTTCCCAAGTCGGTTATCGACGGCATCGACGACCAGACCCGCCAAGTGTTGATTGGGGGGGCGGTCAAGGGCGGCAGAACACCCGGCGCAGTGCGAACTACTGCGTGCTGACGATGGACGGCTGCACATGTGGAGAGCGCGTAGAGGCTACGGGCGGATGCTAGAGGCTGGTGGTGAGGAGATGGCATCTAGGTGCGTTATCTGCACCCGGGGTAGCACATCGAACGTCCGCCAGTCTGCCGTAGAAGCAATCCTGGAATTGCGCTGCATACATCGGAAGCTTCGCCTTCCCACCCGTCCGCCTATCCTGAAGACGGCCGGCGGTGAGATTTCGGATCTAGAAACGTTCGCTATCTGCGCGAGGATCAGGTGTGATAAGAGCATGATAGCACGTCGACCGCTGGCCAATCTTGCAGTGCAACAAGTGACATTGCGCCGTCTATATCGGATTTCCGTCGGAAAAGAGGTAATAGCGCCCGCGTACGCCTGAAATGCTCACACCCCGACCGCCGCTGGGTATCAGTGCTCATCGTACGCTTAAGTGTATAGGAGTCGCGTTCGACTGGCTCACACACCTCTCATATTTGTGCGAGTCGGCTCCTATGCCGCTGTCTCGGGTACCTCAAGCAGACCTTTGCGGTAGTTCCAGTAATGCGCCCTTATAGGGTCGAATCTGGTGGCTAGCAGCTCCAGTGCCTTTTTGGCTTCTTCCTTATTGCCCTCTTCCTCTGCATAGATGTCTGCCAGAAGATCGAGCGCATGGCTGGAATATATATCGTCCGGCCGGCGCATGTCAGCGAATTCGAGCGCAAAGTCCTTGAGGCTGGACGACGGTAGGCCGGCAGCGCGAACCGCGCCCTTGAGGTAATTCCAAGGACTCTGATTTTGAGGTGCTTTCCGAATCGCGTATTTCGCATACCTGTGGACAGTCAACCTCGCCTGCGGACGGGCGGCACCGCGAACCTACTCCAGCTCTCGTTTCACGACATGTTCGCTCTCCAAGTGCCCACTGTGGCCACCCACGACCAAAAACCAGCGATGGTTCCATGCCGAGTTGTTGCGCACGTCGTCCTCGATCATGCTCTCGGTCCAGGTGAGCTCGTCCTCTTTGTCAAACAGGCTGAAACGCTGTACCAGCCACTGGCGATAGCTCCAGACGTGGTAGTTCTTCGAGTCCTGCTCCAGCATGGTGGCGATGAAGTCGGCCTCGCCGTCAGGTGAACCGAGAGCGTCGATGATGGTCTGTCGGTGATGCCAGATCTGGTAGTTCTTGAGGTGCTGCAGCGCGGTGGGATTGAGCCATTCGATTTCGCGGCCGAGGTCGGCTTTGATCTCGCGGAGCGTTTTGGCGCGGTAGAGCCTTGACAAGTCAGTTTCAGCTGCAACAGTGAGCGTGCTTCTCCTTCCCTACCAGACGGTATAGTGGGCGGGGTTCATGGAGATGATGTGCTCGGTGAGCTCCAGTACCCGCTCGCTATGTTCGCTATCCGCCATGACGGCGCGCAGATAGCCCATGGCCTCGCTGTACTCGTCTGTGTACGCAATCGAAGCGAGCGGGTGCAGCCCACCGTCGTCCTGCGGTAGCGGCTCAACGTCGCCCCATGCGGGGTCGTCGCGGTAGTACTTTGCATCCTCGTTGGCAGGCATCTTGGGGGCTTGCACGCGCGAGCGGACCGACACTGCGACGGCGAGCAACAGGCGATATGGCAGCGAGAAGACGGCCGAGAGCAGCGTGAATAGCGCCGTCATCATGGCGGGGGACGCGTTTCCTTGGCGGGCGCCGCCCCTCTTTGTACCTCGACCCGCCAACAATACTAAGCATCCGTGAAAGAACGAGCAACGCACGAGCGCATGGGGCTTGTAAGAACTGGTTGGTAGCATGGACTGATTGTACCAAAGAGATTGGTACTAGCTCTTTCTGCCGTCGTCACATTCGTTCCTCCGTCAGGCTGTACAGAATGCCATCGTCAAGAAAGCCCTTGTGCGGTTTCTGACACGCTGCCATTTATCCTACTACATGATACTGGCTGCTCACTCTGATCAACTGTAGCTCATGCATGTGAAATCCAAACGAGTGCTGGTTGGACCTATTCGAGTCGAACTATACATCACTCCTCCATGTTCACTGCCAGTTGCCGACAGTTAGTGTCCGATACTGCATCGTGCACCTTTTGAAAACACGAGCCATCACGCAACTCCCTGATATGTCTCGCCGGCTACAATATCCTCACTCTCTAACTGCCTGTCCATCGTACTTGGCGAACGGCTTGCCACCCTCCTCTTCGACCTCCTCCTTCTTCTCCGCCCACCATTGCGTTGCCCTGTCATGTACACCAATGAACTCCATCGCGTGGCTGTGCTCGTGTGGCTTGCGAATGGTGCCTGTTAGTAGCCGTCCCAAGTCAGCTCGCAGATGCAGGAAACCGTTACCCAAGAATATAATATCCATGGTGTACCCTTCCGAAGCTGTTTTGATGGTAGTCGTACGGAACGATGCATGTGGAGGGGTTTGGAAAGCCAGAATGCTGAAAGCCATGGTGCGAGGAGGGAGCTGCATACGAGCAGTGAAATTGTTTTTGTGCTTGAAGCCCGCAATGGATGATATGGTGAGACTGCGCTGGCCATAACCGTACCTGTCAAAATGTGTCTCGGCATACTTGGGACAATACAAGGTCCACCTACCCTCAACACAGCCAATAGGTACGGGTATGTGGGCTCTTGTAGCGAGCATGAGCAGGTCTTCGGCCCGCTGAGCGTGATTGCTAGCTTCTTGTAGCTTCGCCTTGTCGTCTCCGGAGTAATCAAGCTGACCGAGAACTTCCATGTTTTCCTCCTTGCTCAGTCGAAGAAGCTCCTCCTTCTTGGCCGAACATCCTGTCATCTTGTGCAAGCACGGTGCGGGATCTCCATTATGTTTGGCATCCCATTCCAAGTGCTCCTCGAGGTATTGATCTTCCTGGTCGAAGTTGACAAAATTTGTTACTTCGCGGTATCTAGCAGTGAAGACATCAAGAGGGACTTCTTCACGATCTTCGTGCAAGGTCTCGAGTCTGTCATTGGTAGTGACAAAGGGGTCTTTCTCAGCGGCCGAGCGTACATACGGCTTTCCAACTCGAGCGAAGGCTTCTAGAATGCTCATTGAGGCGGACGATGTGCGGACAGAAGTTATAGTAGAAGCACCTGTTCTGGTACGAGGTCTCGGCTTGGTTCCATCAATCAAGGGTTTCTTGAAGCTTCGCAGATTCGCATCAGTGAGCGCGTTCGGCACAGAAGGTAGCTCGGACACCACCTGAGATGGCTCAACAGCTGCAGGTGCAGTTGAAGGAACCGGAAAATCGCTATTAGGTGTTGGAGAAGAACCGAGGACAGTTCGACGATACGTCTTTGAAGGCTTGTACTCCGTGGCTACTGTGTCATTTCTCAACTTCAGGTTGGGCGAGAGGGGCACGGGCGTCCTCTTTGGGGTCTTGGACGGTGGTGTCTCCGGTACAAGCACTTTTGAGTGCGGAAGATCCTCTTCGTTATTCTTATGAGTTTTGGTACCGGTGGGCTTGGTCGTAGGTTCCTGGAAGAGCTGAGGGAGTGGAATAGGTGTTTGTCTGGGGATCCGGATGGGAATCAGGCTAGGGGTGGTGGGATCGCTGGCCAGACCTCCATTGATTTGTTTCTCCTTATTCTCTTTCACCTTCAGCTCGTCGGAGCCATCGATCCAATCACGCGGCACCAGGTTATGCTCATCTGCTGCTTGTGGGGAGCCTGGGAACGCAATATGGGTCTTGCGTTTCGCCTTCTGCACTCTAGGCTGATCAGACCCTGTGACCTGTGCAGACTGGGTATGCTCGGTTGCGTTCTGCTGGGTATTCTGGCTTTTGCGCTTCGTCTTTTTCTTGGACGGCTGTTCCTTTCCTTGCGCAACCTGCCGTGGGTGTTTCGGTGGTGAAGAGCCAAAGCGAAACAGAGAGTCTAGTTGTTGGCCGGCAAGGTACTCTTCGTTCACCAGCCGAGCATTGGCTGCCGCGGCATGTGCCTCACTCTCCCTCTTGCGCTTCTTCTCCGAACGGCCACCCTGGTCAGCACCATTCTTGTGGATTTGCTGGGTCCTGCGGGGTGGAGCTGAAACAACTTCAGATGCATCCGCGGTACCGTGCGTGCCTGTATCAGATTGGCGGTGCTTCTTCTTGTCCTTTTTCTTCGAGCGACCATCTTTGTCAGACATCGCTTCAGCTCTCTTCAGCAAGCGCTCAAGCTCTGCGTTCTTGTCTCCATCCATCGGCAGCCGCTTCTTCTCTTTCTTCGCAGCCTTTTTCATATTCTTGGTGGCGTCGGTAACAGACCGACTTCCGACTGTGCCGTCCACGTTGGCAGGCAGGGCACGGCCTGAAGCAGCAGGCGCGTCTTGATCCTGGTTTTGGTCCTGGTCCTGGAAGTCTTTGGTGTTGTAGACTTTGGGCTTGATCCTTCCGCCGTAAATGTGGTGGCGCGGCACCGGGTACAGGCCGAATGGTGGCATGTATGCTGTCGCTCAGTGCCGTATATATGTCGGATCAATCAGACGGTGGGCGCCAGGTTACCGCACCTGCTGTTGTCAAGAGCGGCGCGGGCGCGTCGCACACTTGGACGCTTCCAAGACGTCCGCAAGCAAACGCAGAACACTGCGACAAAGTGAGAGACGCAACGCAACCTGCGAGGAAGACCATGTGTACCTCGTACAGCAAAGACCGAGAAGGCGTACCGCGCGACTCGAAGTGTTCCGCAGACACTGGCGAGATGTAAGAGGAAAAGAAAACCACGGTCGCTAGGGAATCAGAAGAGAGAAACTGCCGGTATGTTCGAGACAAGTTGGCTCGTAAACAAACTGGAGCGGCGCGCAGGTGAAAGCGCACGCAGGTTGCGTCGTCGCGTCAACGACGCAGTTGCCCATTTGGTGAACATGATGGATTTCACCTTCACCCTGGCCTTCCCAAGGCCACCCGACCAGGAACCCGCATACATACTGTTCCACGGGCGCCAAAGACTGGGTTGGGAGACCGGGTGGGTCACTGGCGCGATGTGAAGATGAAGGTGAGAACTCCTCGCCAGCACCGTGGAGCATACAACCCGTGGACCCCAGGGCTGCACGGGCCTTTGCCCCACCCATCAGGCACACATACCTTGCAACATGCATGCCGGCTTACACGAACATCATTGCCTCCATGCCAGAACATTTGAGGCCCTTTGAGCGCATGGAAAGAGTAAATGCGTTCGGTGGCGCACGCGAGATGATAGTTTGATAGTTTGATAGTAAAAATGCTCCAATCCCACGTCCTCCAAACCTGTGAGAGCCGCAGGAAATACCGCCGCAGTACAATGCGGTTCAAGCTCTTCACGCAGCGCTCCTCTGCTGTACAACGTAGGACGGCTTCTTACAGCTGTGCCTTCAATCTATCATTCTCGCGAAAGCGCTTCGGCCAGATCCCCTGTTTACCGGGTGACAGGATCCCGTTGGGGTCAAGTGCATCCTTAATCGTCTCTACAAATCGTCGATATGCATGGTCATTAAAGTCGTACAACGAAGCAACAAGGTCTGCAACAAATGAGTTTAGTGCACGATTCGTCTGGCGCTGTGACTCACCCATGGTGTTGATGTGACTTCTGTATTTGCTGAAGCCTCTCTTCTTGCCCTCTTCAAACAGATTCAGGAAGATGGCCTGTACTGCCCGACGATGCTCCAAGTTCGTCTTGTCGAAAGTCATCATGTTGACGAAGATGACATGTCGTTCGTGCATGAAGAAATCGCAGAACAGATCAAAACCCTCGGCCTCGCATATCCTAAATTCTCTTAGCACAGTTGCATGTCAAAACTCTGGTTGTTGTATTGCTCATCCTGAAGAAACACCATCTACCAAAGCCCTGGGCACTGTAGCTGACTGCATGATGTGGAAAGCGAAAAGAGTGTGGAAAGCATGACATACCTCTTCGCAACTTTCACCCAGTCCAATACGGTCTTTCCACTCGAAGGAATGATCGGACTATAGTCATAATGCGCCCCGATTCCTCCACCTTCCTTAGGCAACCTGAATTTGACCATTGGCAAACTCCAGAGGCTCGGCACGCCGACGAAGAACCCTCCATGAGGCTCAGCAACGCTCGCCGGATCCAGCGTCCCCCCATCATCAGCCGAAAACATCTCCCCACTCAAGCGACCCTTTGGCGCTTGCTTGGCCACGATCTTCTTTAACTTGTCGAAGTGTGCCTGAACCACCTCTTTTGCTCCATACAGCCCAAACTTGGCGTTCCAGTACCCGATACCAAGTTGCGCCTGGAGTTGCTTCAAGCGCCATTCTGGTATAGCACCCGCTTCTGGCCAGAGTTCTTCTCGCTTTCCCATCATTCCGAGCCATTCGACCAGATTTGACACGTACACGGTGTTAGGCAGTAATCCATCGCGACGGAGCGGACCGAGCACGTCGACGATGGTTTCCACGTCATCAAAGTCGGGCATATCGAACGAGCAGGACATAAAAGCTTGAGGTGCTGGCGTAAGCCATATACCCAGCTTGGTGACGATACCGAGGTTTGACTGCAGAAACAAGCCTTCAATACTCGGGCCGAATGTGAATTTGGACAGATGCGACGATTGGGACTCGGAGACGGCGAACTGTCCCGTTCGTACGAGCTCGCCGTTGGCGAGCATGGCCTCAATTCCGCAGATATGCTGATGGTGGGTTGCGGTAGGAGTGAAGCCTGTTCCGCGATCCAGTGTGTTTCCGACCACGGAGCCCTATGTGAATCAGTGTGAGTCAACACCGAGTGGACTGTCACCTCGTGCATGTCTTGGATAGGCGAGAACGCGTTGTTCTGTCAGAAGGACAAGTCCAATTTGTACCCCCAGGAATGCTTACCCAGCCCAGTGAAGGGACCGATGGCCAGACCTTGAGCTTATGCGCGACGCAGTATTCGTAGAGCTCAGTAAACGTGACACCAGGCTCGACCACGGCATAGGCATAACCATCGTTGACCTCGATGATCTTGTCCATACGGTGGAGGTCTAGGGCGACGGAGCCATTGACGCGCGGTGCTGGGCCTCCATATCTGTTCCAGGCTCCAGGTCAAACGCTTAGCGCTATGAGATGACTGAGGGTGAACTGACCCAAGATTCTTCCCTCTCGAAAACGTCCATACCGGAATGGAATATTCATTAGATATAGCAAGTACGCGCCGCAGTTCTTCAACATTCCTTGGCCTCACAGCGGCACTGGGCATCTTGCGCTTGCCTTCTGCCTCCCATAACTCATAGGGATCGATGTACTCTGTTAACTGATCACCTAGAAGTACCTGTTCGTGCCCGACTACAGCCATAAACTGTATGATTGCGGCGTCGAATGCATACTGTGTGACCCCCGGAGGCAGTACGCGTTTCAACGGTACTGTGATGGAGTCTTTGAAGAGATTGTAGTGTGTAGATTGATATTCTGCGTTAACGTACGCTGGTGACGGAAGGGATGACATGGCGATGTGACGAGATCATGCGGTATGTACAGGAGTTGGAAAGAGAACCGACTTGTATGACCTGGTCAATCTGCGTTGGGGATTGTGGATCGATGCTAGAGGCGTTTCAGGTCAAATGGGGTGATAGGGTGCCGGTACCTGAGCTTACCCCACAATGCGGAGAAGACGGAACACGACCCCACATCTCCAACACCAACACGACCCACAAACAGCCGCCACTGCTTTCTCTGGCAGGATGGAGGTCAACAATGAGCTTACCAGCTAACGAACCATTAGCAACAGTTAGCCAGTGAACGTTTACACGGAAGCAAGTGGCCAACGCGTCAAGCTATGTTACATGATTTGCCCTTCACCCGTTTGGTGGGGTACAGATTGGTTCACTCACTTGGTATGACGCTACTGCCACCATTGCTCACTTCAAGTCGCCAAACCACAATCGCAACTGACTCAGAGTTATCGCTACCGCTCATAATGGTGGACGCCGCTATGAACATATACACGGCGAGATACGTCCCGGACCGACATCGATAGTTTAAATCAACGAGAACAGCGGGGACAGTAGGCCAAGCGTGCCGAGCAGCAGACCAAGATGCAAGCAAGGAACAGAGCAAAGAGGGCGGGGCGCCAGCGGAACAGAGAGCTCACGTTCGAGGAATTGTGCACAAGAAGCGCTTGGAGGACGTGTTTACTAGTGCCGACGGTTTGGGCCTCACTGAAGGCGACCCTAGCAAGTATGCTGAAGATATGACTGTGTTTTCACACTCTATGCAGATGAATCGCTAACAGGGTCCCAAAGCAAGCCCGAAGATTGTCACACGTTCAAGGGCAGCGCTAGTCAGAAACACTCGTCATCAGACGGTGCACATGATTGTGACATACAATGCTATGTCAAGACCTTGGATGCGGCGTTGCTCATCCAATGCAGGGACCAAAGCTTTTGGCGAGTCACCATGCAAGGGTGGCACGGAAGGAGATTTGGATTTGCGACCACAGTGAGTGCGGCTCTTGATGCTTCATCTACCGACTGGGATGTACCTCTGTCCGCGTGACATTCCCCTCTAAGTCTCTCAACCTTACACCTTTTTCGATAACCAATGTAAATAAAAAAACACATGCGGCCGCCCGTAGAACAGTAGAAGGCACGAATTTGAAAGACAAGACTAAAGGTGCTTGTCGCAGTATATGTAAAAGTAAATGGTGTGGTGAAAGGCTGAAAACGCCCCCGGCAAGTTCCGGATATTAGAAGAGGAATTGGATGAAGCAAGAAAAGTCGTTAGAGTCATAAGATCGTAGCCCTCGCAGAATCGAGTCTCGTGCTGGGCAGGCCGGCAACCAGAACCATCCAGCCTGCACGTCAGCTATGCGCCAAACTCCGTAAGCAAGACCGTCTACGCGCAAAAGGCAGTGTTCAACAAGCAAGCGCTACGGTGCGTCGTCATCAACAAAGACGCCCCAGAAGTGTACCTCTTCGTTTTCTCGTCCTCTGAGGGGACCGCCGTAAACATCGGCGCACATCTCAATGGGGACTTCGAGCTTCAGGCAGCCGTTGCCGAGGAAGGTGAACAGCAGCCAGGAGTCGTAGCCTGGGAATGCGCCGTGGTCGTCGGGCTTCCTGCTGAGGATGCCGCGGTTCTGCAGGGAGGGCGTCTGGGGCACTTTGAAGGCGTGGAAGGGCAGTGTCTCGAGAGCGTCGGCAACGAAAAAGGACGAGCCCAGGGCCAGCTCGAGCGACACAGGGCCGTGGTCGGGCTCGCGCGCCGTGTGCGGGGGTCTGGCGTGGCAGTGGTGGAATCGCACGGTTCCTAGGCGTAAGTCGACGGGCTGGCCAAGCATGTCGAACAGCTCGGTCGAATACAGGCGGAAGTAACCATGGTGGATGCCGCGCAGGTCGTCGGCGGCGTCGTCGTCGGCGCTGCCTGCGTCGAGGGCGGCGTGCAGCAGCTGCTCGACACGCCGTCCCTGAGCTTCAGCGGCGCTCAGCGAGCGGCGGATCTGCAGTTTCGTGTACCTGGTGCCGAGCTCGGCGACCGCGAGCCTGCACGCCTCTCGCCTCACATGGTCACGCCGCCCGCGGTGGTCAGGCTCCAGCGAGCGCAGAAGCCCCGCCTCGAAGCGCAGCACGAGGTCTTCGAACTCGCGCATGACGCGGGCCAGGGGCGAGGAAGCGGCGGCGGCAGGGGCGTCGGCGTCCGTCTTTGCATGCTGGCGGTCGGGGTCGCTCTTCAGCGCGGCCATTGGGGGCCCCGGGCCTGGGGGTGCAGGGCAGTCGCCGGGAGCGTGCTGGGTCGCGTCCTGGGGAAGACGAAGGAGGCTCGTCGGGCGGTGGTGGTGGGAGGGGGTGAGGAGGGTCGGTCGGTCGTGGTGCCGAAGGCAAGGCGGACAGCAGCAGCAGCAGCGCGGCCGTCGAGTCGAGTCGTGGGGAGGGCGGCCGTCAAGAAGCGTCAGAATGCAGCGCTGCGCAAGCCGGCATCACATCTCAAAACATGCGAATGCGGGACGTGGAGATTTTGCACGTTTCCGTTTCCTCAGAAGGCGCTCCCGCCAAGCGCAGCAGCAGGACCGGCTGCAGGAGGTGCGCTCCCCGGCCAATCAGAGCGCGCCGCTTGGCTGGGCCTGTCTCTGCTGTCGCCCGCGTCGAGCGCTTACAGTGTGTCTGTCCACGCCCACACCACGAATACGACTGCGACCACGGCCTCGACGGCGGGCCGACGCTTCCAGGCGCCGTTCCTTTCGGTGGAGATGCGACCTGCCCGCGCGCGACGCCAGACCAGACCGCCCGCCAGGGGAGCAAGCCACAGATGTGCACGGCAGCGCGCCGTCCTCCGACCCCCAATGCAGCCTGCCATTGGCCTGCGCTGGGCCCCCGAACCGGCCCGCACTCCAGAGCTTCTCGGCCCGCGTCGTCGCCGCTCACGCCGCTGTGCACCCACGCACACATACATACTCGTAGAGCCCCCGCAGACCTCAACACCACGCTGCCCGGCTTGCCTGTTGGCCCTCGCTGCCATGCCACGCCCCATCCCATCTCGCCGGCCGCGGCCCGTGTATGTCGGCAGAGCAACAGCCGAACACCGGCAGCCCCGCCACGCCGGAGCTGCAGCACGACCATGGGGCCGCTGACAGCTCGTCGCCAAACGCGCAGCACAACTCGTCGTCCACTTAAGGTTTCCTACATGCCGCTGACTCAGATCAGATTGCCTTGCCAACGCCCGTCAGCATGCCATGCGTGCACCGGTGCATCACCTTGGACAGAACAAGCCCAACACGTACATGCCTCGCCCACCCATACACGCCGGCGCTCGTACCCGTGCGCCTGGAGCCCGGGCCGGTGCAGACGATCACATACCGAGTGTGCAGTACTTACTCAGTCATGCGAGCTTATGATGCGGATTATGAGGGCAGGGGTGCAATCAGCTTATGCCGTCAAATCTGCTGTAAGCCCAGGTGGCACCTCTTCGTCGCCTGTTGTCCATATTGTCGTCGTATAGTATCACCCTCGACACCGTGGCGCTCTCGCTCGCACAACCTAGAATCCCCACCATGCCTGCGCCACGGCTGGTGGGACCTTCTAATCGGGTGTCCACGGCATATGTTTGGGCAGCGTCGAGCCTTCGATAGCTGGACCCCTGTCAAACGTCGTTGCTTTGCCCTGAGCCTACCAGTCCTACCAGGAGGTGCATGTCCGCATTCGACCTTGTCGTTGCCGAACTCTATGGGACCCGTGATCGAAGTGGTCGAGGAGACTCGGCCATTGGATGTCCGCAGACATTCCTTCCGCCATAGAGGTATCCGTGATCTAACGCATTTTGTCTTGCTACCTTCATGGAATGTGATCTTGGCGGCTTTTCAATACCGTAGGTTCATCGGAGTCGTCCTATGTGCTCTCTTGGTCTTGTCAATCTCATTTGCCATTTTGGGCAACGCGAGGAGTAATCTCCTCTCGTGTCTCCACATCCTTCTCCATACTCTTCGGCATCGGCGGATTAGACAAACCCTTACTTGCGGATACCTCATTCAGCAAGACTAGCGGCGCATTGTGGTGCCTCGGGTCGTGCGATTCGATGTTCGTCAGATCTGACATGATGCGACGTTCCAACATGCTAAATGCTCGGCTATCTTCATGCCCGCCCTACACATCAAACACGCACTGTTTCGCACATCAGCGATCAATAACGCCGCCATCTAACAAAATGAAAGCATCAGTCTCGCGCGGAGTCACGGTTTACCTTGGTTTGTGGCATGATTTGAAAGTCGTAGGCACCACTTTTCCTCTTAGTATGCTTGCATCCTCAGGCTTACATCCTCCCTTCGTTCTACATCAACGTCATCGTGGAGATGGGTTCGCTGTATGAACCTTCCATTCGAGGCAGCACAACATCAGTGATTGGGCGACGTATAACGAAACGATTCACGACGTTGGAAGGGTGGCGCGAGATTGGATCTGGAATTTATGCAATGGGCAGCTCGAATATTCGCATGTTTTCGTTCCGACACCAATTCGACCCTGAGAATTCTCGCGATTCCGGTTTCGACTTCACACAAACTCTGGATGATACGCAACCGGCATTTACAAAGCGGCAGAGTTTCGTTGAGTATCGGAGGTCGTCGGAAGGGACGATTGGGAAGGCAATCGGATCGGTACGAGATGGAGAACATAACCCGATTAGCGAGGATAAGATCGAAGAGCCGTACCATGTGTATACTTCGAAAGAAAAGTGGACACTGGTGGTAATTGCGGGTGCGGCCGGCTCTTTCCCAATGCTCACGCTGAACATGTACCTGCCGGCTCTGGGACGATTTGCTACAGTATGAGTACCACGATAGCTCGAAAAACTGTTGCTAACGATATCAAGGATTTGAAAGTCAGTGCTGAAGCTATCAACCTGACAATCATGGTGTATTTGATGATGCAAGGAATTGCACCACTGCTTTGGGGTCCTCTCTCTGATAGCTTCGGGCGCCGATCCGTCTACCTCGCCGCATTTTCTCTCTACGTTACCTCTTGCATTGCCTTGAGTTTCTCACCATCTTATGCGGTCCTGCTGTTTTTTCGCATAACACAGGCGGGCAGCATTGCCTCCACGGTATCCGTCGGTTATTGCATCATTCGCGACATTTCCACACCAACCGAACGCGACCAATTCCACTGCTTCTTTCAAGGCGTCCGTAACGGAACCTTGCTTCTGTCACCGATACTCGGTGGACTTCTCTCCACCTGGACAGACTTCAGATGTCTATTTGTCTTCCTTTTCGCATTATCGACAACAGTACTTGTAGCACTCGCGTTTCTATTGCCGGAGACGCTTCGGAGTGTTGCAGGCAACGGTAGCCTTCCTCTGGTTAACATAAATCAGCCATTGGTGTGGAAATGCAGGGTTTTTGGAAGACCCGCGCACGTGAATGAAAGCCTGGAGCCTGCTGCGAGACCTGTCATCCTGAAGACGAAGTTTCTCGAACCACTGTACCTCTTAAAAGAACGTGGAGTACTTGTGAGCCTCATATTCAACAGCATAATCTTCATGATATGGATGATGGTCACAGTCAGCACCACTACACTTTTTCAAATGGCTTTTGGCATCAACGAAGCTCTTGTCGGCCTGGCCTTTGTGCCTAACTTTATCGGAGCTATCGCAGGCTCAGCACTCATTGGCAACTTGCTGGACAACGATCTCAATCGCGCATTCTCGGCTTACAAACACACACATTTTCTACCCTCAAATGCCAACCTCCCTCGGCACTCGATACCACTCGATTTCCCACTCGAGCATGTGCGCCTCAAGCGCCTCCCGATTTTCACGATCATTCTGGTCATTTCACTTGCGTTCTACGGATATACGCTCGCATATCCCAGTCTGACATCTCTAGGTGGCTGGATATGTATACCATTATTTCTGCAATTTCTTATCGCAGCGGCAGTACACACGATTTGCGGCATACAACAAACACTAATGTCGGATCTGTGGCCGAATGATGGCTCTGGCGCAGCGTCGACTGCAAGCAACCTTGTGCGCTCCGTCTTCGCTGCTATTGGTGTTGCCGTCGTGCAGAGGATCATAGATTGGATCAGAAGCGGGCCAACATTTTTAGCATTAGGGCTTGTAGTGATGGTTTTGGTGCCGTTGCCGATCGTACAGTGGCACTTTGGTGAGTCGTGGAGAGCAGCAAGTGGGTCAGAGAGGAGAGAAGGAGCAACAAAGGATCTCGCAATGACGAGCGTGTAGTTGCCATCAATGATAAGCCTGACCTGCCGGAAGAATACTCGTGGGTCAACTAAGTCCGTATTATTCTGTGACTCGTCGCCCAACCCTGCAAGCCCTGTTTGGCGTGAGAATTAGGATTGCGGCGTACAATATCGCCGCAGATGTTAGATTGGAAAGTAAACGCACCATCTACAACGCCATCTGGCAACTTGCGTTTGAGAAGATCTCGAAAGTGTGTGATAGCTCAAATTCGTGTGTGTATCTGCAATTTTGTACTGATACCGTGGCGTTTGCATTCACTTGCACTCAACTAATGATGCATAAGACACATTCAAGCCTCTATACATATCCCACAGACAAGACATATATATACCGCCTCGAAAGCTTCCAACTGCCAAGTGTTGCTCGCAGTTATTCAACTGTAACCATCGCTTGCAAGCTTCCTTCTTCCGTCCTTCCCAAGCTCCGGCACTCTGTCATCTTAGCTTTTGACTGGCCCTGTTGTTACGTGAATGAATTTTCCCATTTGTCTCCTCTACGAATTCTTCATTGGGCAGGACATCGTGTGATGTCCCCTCCCATGGTCATTTGGTGGCATAGATAGTCATTATTAGAGATACTAATCGCAAACCCCACCGAGTGTATCAACTATGAGGAATTGTTCGCAAATGGACTATGGGTGCTGCGAAACAGAGCAAGTCCGGGCCGCTGTGGTTATACCTGTGTCACTGTCGTCTTGAATCTGACAGGCCAACAGTCGGGATTTTAGATCCTGACGTCCCAGCTTGCCTGTACTGGCCGACAAGATGCCCAGTGAGACAGCATTGGAAGCGTGAAGTTGCAGATCAATACGATCAGCACATAATTGTGCACGAACCATCAATAGGCGCGAGGAAGGTTCAACCAAGGAGGAATGTGCAGATAGACAGCTTAGCTAACCCGAAAGCGTAAATTCTTAGGCTCCACCAAAAAGGTAAGAAGTAGAACTCTTGCTTTGTTATCAATGTTGGTGTCTACGTTCAGGCTTCCCCTCACCCCTACAGAGGGTTGCAAGTGCTCAGCCATGGCCTATCCCAGCGGAGAGCTAAGGCTATTGGTAAGCGAGTCAAATCTTTGTGTCGACGGGAAAGTACCGCATACAAGAGCGAGTATGATCCAGTTATCATCCCAACTAAGATTGTCGGCTTAACACGAACCCGAGGAAGCCATTTTAGCCTAACCTAGTCGCCTATCTATCCTGAAGCGGACAATCAGTCTCTCCACACACAAAAAAAAGGTCGTTAGAATGGTAGAGGTAATGTTGACGGCTTTGTCTATACCGGAACGGTCCGCAGGGTGCTTACCAGCCATTTTGCGACCAACATTTAAAAGTGTAAAACTAGATAACTCAGGTGTAGAAACCAGATATATACGTAGCGCAGTTGCTCAGAAATCCTCCAGGTCGAAGCAGTAAGAGCTTCACAGTGACCAGTAGTATATGTCTAGATGGTAGTCATACCCTTTTACATGCGATATTGGTTCTTGAAGATCTATATAAACCGCAAAGGTTTCTCGGCCCCTACCATCGGATAAGCACCCGGCTACCAGGAACATGTGTGCATACGCTCCGCCATTAAGCTTTCTAGGCTGGCATTCCAAGCGCCAATGCCCTCATGTCGCGAACGTTCTTTCCAGCATCCCTGCAGTCGAACATGCAAGACTCAGGTCAAGCTGTACGACGTTGATCACCATAACCATACAATATCATCTTGAGCCCTGGTCCTCGCTCGTAAAAGAACAGCGCGAAAAGCCGAGGCGTAGCCAATGGAGCCTTCCATAACGCAAAACCATTACGTTTCAACGCGGCATACCTGCACTTCGCCCCACGGCAGCGCATAACAAGCCCAGAAGCATTGTCGATGCTACCATCCGGCAAGAGCCGCCCGAACCGGAATTAGCTACACGGCGTTCGCGCCATTATTGTGCTCTGGGAATGGTGTTGGTGACCATGGTAGTTCCGGTGTGTCAGAAGTCGTTGTGCGCATGTGGGGGCTATGAATGATCGGGGGGTCCAAGTACCTATTGTAGGTCTTGCCCACATCAATAGAATCCGACGACCCTTCAAGCAAGAGCTATGCGCGACGGAGACATTGCCAACACGAAGACTATCCGATTGCGCACGACAACGCACGTAGCGGAAGCCACTCGCAAGGTAACAGAGGCTAGAGCTTGGTCGATTCGACGTGTGCGATTCCGCTTATCCACATGCATGGGGCACAGCGCCTGGCCACGTTCATCACATCGAGTACGAGCCGCTGCCGAACCCTTCACTGCCCTTTTCCTCTCGTACGCCACTAGCCAAGCCTCTACCCGTCTGCCCCATTCTTGGCTTGCTCGTCGCGGTCGAGTGTCCGCACGGCGGCACGCAGCCCCGGTTTTGTAGTCGTCTTCATTGGATCTGGTCGCGGAGATTGTTCTTATCTGATCAATCAATTCCACCAGTGTCTCGGCAGCGCATCTTATCAGATCATCGATCCTCCTGGGCACACCACCATCTCAAAGTCTCATCAGACCCGAAGAGCCTATGGTGCGTTTCTCTCCTCTAATTCCTTGGCCCCGCTTTCGGAGCAATGCCAGGGGCAGAATTTTCACATTGCGCGTTTGCGTGGATGGATAAATGCATATATAGACCTGTTAGACAAGCTCTCTGCCCTTGCGCTCCATCCTGGAATATCATCTTGCCCTGCAGTAGTCAGCCAAGCACTTTCGCCTTCGCTCACCATGAGCCTCACGGTCGAAGGACCTCAGCCGACAGCTGCTATCGAACGCATCACACCCATGGTCGACGTTGAAAAGAATGGTCATGCCGACGTTATTGCACCCTCCGATGGTAGTGAGGTGCGAGACGACGACAGGTCCGAAGAATTCCAGCAAGGTGTCGAGCGTGTGCGAGCTATCACGGCCATATGGAGCAAAACTACTCTCATCAGCATGTTTATCCTGTACGCGGATGATCCTCTACCGTTGAGCCTTTGAAGATGCTAACGGAACCTAGACTTTACCTCATTCACTTTGTCGACATGTTCCAGAACTACGTCGACACGGCCCTCAATCCCTACATAACCTCGTCCTTCGATAAACATGGACTGCTCAATGTCGGCAGCGTTATCTCTACCGCCTTGGGAGGCTGCATTCCTCTCGCGACAGCCAAGGCTATCGATATCTGGGGACGTGTGGAGGGTTTCGTATTCATGCTTATAATCGCCGTCGTTGGCATGATCATGAAAGCTGTCTGTCAGAACATGGAGACGTACATCGCAGCCCATGTGTTGTACTGGACCGGTCACATAGGGGTCATTTATGTGGTTGATGTTATGTGCGCTGACATGACATCTCTCAAGAATCGTATGATAATCTTTGGAATTAACGGTACCCCACGCATCGTCGCTACTTTCACTGCTCCGCGCGTCGCAGCGGCCTTCCTACAATACGTCAATTTTCGATGGGCATTCGGTGCTTTCGCGATCATCCTGGTTGCCTGCAGTCTGCCAGCCATGGGTGTCATGGTTTTCATGTACCGAAAGGCTCGCCAGGCCGGTTTGGCTCGGAGGCAACGGTCCGGCCGCAATGTGTTCCAGTCACTTGCTTACTACTTCATTGAATTTGACAGTAAGTACCGTACATTCTGTGCAATGACTTCCACTAATGATCTCAGTTTTTGGCATCTTGCTTCTGATGTTCGCGTTCTGCCTTTTCATGCTCCCATTCACCCTCAATAATTACGCGCCCAACGGATGGAAGACCGGTTACATCATCGCCATGGTCGTACTAGGCATCCTCCTGTTTCCCACCTTCGTTGTGTATGAACGATACGTGGCACCTGTCCCATTCCTACCGTGGAAGTACCTCAAGGACCCTACCATCGTAGGATCTTGCGTCTTGTATGGTGTCATGTTCCTGTCGGTATTCTGTTGGAACGGATACTACGGCACATACTTACAAGTCGTCCACCGTCTGTCCATCGAGAACGCCAACTACATCCTGAATGCCTTCTCGCTCACCTCATCAGTCTTTGGGCCCTTTATTGGATGGCTTATTAGTGGTACTGGTAACTTCAAATGGATTGCGATGACCGGTGTACCAATAACTCTCCTGGGCACTGCATTGCTCATCCCACTGCGTTCGCCAGATACAAATCCTGGTGTTCTCGCGTTCATGCAAATACTCGTCGGTCTCGGCACGGGTATCTTTGCGACATGCGGTCAGCTAGCTGTCATGGCACCCGTTACCCACCAGCAGATTGCCGTGGTAAATGCCCTTTGGGGTCTTTTTGGCGGCTTCGGCTCTTCGATTGGGTTTTCCATCTCGGGTGCCCTGTGGACTAGTACTCTACCACAGCAACTATACAGCCGCCTGCCAGAAGGATCTAAGAACCGCACCGCGGAGATCTTTGGCGACATCTTGGTACAGATGAGCTTCGCTGATGGCACGCCTGAGCGCGATGCTGTTGTTGGTGCCTTTGCCCATACCGAGCGTCTCATGGTCATCGCTGGTTCTTGCTTTATTCCGCTATGCATCGCGTCTATCTGGTTCTGGAAGAACATTAACGTGAAGAGGGTAGAAGAAGAGCGTGGCAAGCAGACCAAGGGCATGGTATTCTAAGTATCATTGTAAATAGATGCGAAACTTCATAAACAGTGTGGCATACTTTTAGTAAGGACACGATAGCGTAAGAGAAGTATTAGTTACTGATGTAGAGATTAAACTAGCCAGAAAAGTAGTAATATACCAAGTAAATCAAAAGATTACTATCAGTCTAAGCATAAGCATCTAGCCCTTAATTATAGGGCGAACACCTTCTGCTACCAAACAGAAGCACCCAAATAACTACCCGCTAAGAGCTCGAATATGGCAACACCACGGGGTCTACCTGACCGCATACTGTGGTTTCACTATGCTGGATTTGCTTTACTAGTTGCTTGCCTGCAAGGTCATCTAGCGTTGACCCATTAGCTTTTCAGCCAAGTTATGTGCCTTGATGACATTCCCTCTTGGGCTAATAGCAAAGACTACTGTTACGTACAATTATAGGACTTAGTACAGCACTTAATTAACTTACAATGCGATCGTTGTTCCTGCTATCTAGCAGGACCCTTATGCTCCTTAGTCTTGATACGCTTATGCTTTCGAACAGCAGTGTTTCGCGCTCGGAGAGAGTCGCGGCTTCCAACTCACCATTGACATGCTTCAAACGCCGCTTGAGACAGTCGAAATTCTCTGCCATTTGTACGAAATCATTCTTCATGGAATGCCATTCCGCAAGAAACCGATGAAATAAATAGAGCAACCCGACTGAAAGGTTCCCGGCGGCATTCGGGAAATGTGGGTACAGCAGTAGCCCGCCAGAAGGGGTCTGTGGTACTAGAATGTTATGATCTCATGCCAAGCAACCGTGACGGCCCAATATGGCCATTGCGAGTAGCACGTTATCCTCTGTCTATGGTGATTTGTGGACGATACCGCAACATTCTAGTATTTCAAACCTCCATAGGCGCGGTGTCAAGGTATTCAAAGGCCACAGGTTCAGGCCAGGCCCTTGGAAAGTGACGTAAACGTATGGAAGAACCCCAAAGATTGTAAATCAAGCTTTGGGAGGAGTATAGACTTTTCAATACTTATGCCAGCTTATTAACGAAATCACCAAAAGACACCGGGCTGACTGTCCATCCTATTACACCATTAGTAAGGGCTCAAGTTCAGAAATATCGCGAAGAAAGACCATGACACCTTATATCAATCTGGCAATTGATTGTCACCTTATAGGAAGATGTCATGAATTGTGGCAATACCGTTCCCGGAGTCTTCTCCTAGGTTACAATGTCCATCTCGACAATTGGCGTTGTACATTCCATGTTGCTAACATACCAAGTGGCAATCTGCTCCAGGCCCAGTTGCAACCTACAACCGGTCCGTTGGAATCTAAAGATTTTCAGGAAATTTTTACTACATCGGGTGAAGATGGAACTATGACGATGATCTGCTTTGATATAAATTATGTTTTCTGCAACGAGTGTTTAGTAACTGAGACGAAGAAGACCGAAGCTTTCTCTCGCTACACCAAGAACACACATTCAAGATGCATTTCTATCAGTCTATCTTTCTTCTTCCTCTTGCTCTTACTGCTGCGCAGTTAACCTCAATCACGCCGTCCTACCCTACGGCGACGATTCTCCCGATTCAGGGAAACTCCGATGTCACTTCTGGCAATGGATTCAACTCCATCGCTAGCTCCCTTTTGGCCAGCGCTCAAGGTGTATCGCTCCAGGCTAATTATATCGGTGAGAGATATAATAGTAGCCACTGCAGACCTTAGTTGATGCCTCACAGACTTGGTGAATGCCAACCTCGGTGCCAGTGCAGGTGCAAACGCAGGCGCAGGCACACGGATCCCTTCCGTAGACGTAGCCAAAGCCTTACAGAATATCACCAATACTTTCTGGAGCACTACGACTGATATCGAGGTGAAGGTCTGCTCGCTTGCTTTCTCAGTCAACCAGCAGAACCTTGCTGCACAGCAAGCCAATCTTATCGCGGGGTTCGTACGCAAATTTAGGGATGTAACATCACAGCTCTACTAACATCAAAGACAGAATCAATGCCCAAGCCGATGGAATCGTGAGGCTCGCGGCTGTTATAAAAGCCACTATTTCCAAGGTCCAGAATCGTAAGTCGTTCACTGTAGCTTCGAGAATGGAGTCGATCATTAATTGCAATCATAGAGCTTATCCTATTTTCCGACTCCGAGACGTCCATTCTAGCAGCGGCAATTGCAGCTGCGTTGGCATCTGCTCAAGCTAGCGTCATTCCCATCACGACACTTGTGAACGGCTTGCAGGCTACCGGCACCAGTGGCTTCGCGGATGCAGTCAGCACCCTTCAGGGCTCTTTGTCTGCCCTCGCCAGCGCTGCCGCCAAAGTGAACTTTGGTTTCAGCCACTAAAAGTTCCGCGTGTGGATCACATATTGGTCAGCTTCGTTCAAGGAATCGGCAATGATCATTGATAGCTAGGAAAACGTTTTATTGTATTTTCGTCGTATGAACTACCAGGTAGCCTTAGGTGGAATAAAATAACGCTTGGCGTCTCTCATGCCCTGCGTGTGTTGGAACATTTGCGTGCTTATTATCGTCAGAACATGATCTTGTGCTATCGATCGAGAACGCAAGATGTACTTTTTACTATTGGACCGGTCTGTTAGAGCTCATTCTCATTACTGCGCGGGTATACGGGGACTAGGGCATTTTAATCACCTTGTTCTCTCATATCCCCATCAGCACTGTTAAGTACGAATATATCTTCGTAGAAAGCTCTAATGTCCAGCGTCGGCCCAGAGACATGATAGGGGAAGAAGGTGACACATTCTGCTGTAGAAAGCTTCTATGCCATAAAATATGAGATGTGTCGGTGTGCGGATACCTTCGGCTTCGTATTTGGCTAGAGCATCCAGATGGTAAGATTCTGCTGAATGGTTTCAACACCTTATGAAGATCCCTACAGTGAGTAATGCGGATTAGGTGAGTGTGTAGGCTCTCTAAATGCAGTATATAGATCTACTGTAGCGCGTAGTAGGGGGGATTAAGCAGCTTGCCTATAGAGTATGGCCAGGTTATTTAATAATAATATTATATAAATATAACTAGTATATGTTAACCTTATATATATGTCTCTAGAAGTGTAGAGATAATAGATATTATAAATAGAATTAATATTATTTAATAGAGGATAAAGAACTATAGTATACTAAGATTAGGTATAGTAAGTGCCTTTACTTTAGTTAGAATACGTTGTAATTAAAGGATTTAATAATTAATAGATTAAAGAATAAGAATAATAGGAGAGAAAGCATTATAGATAGCTATAATTTATTTATAAATACTTATTCTTTTCTAATAGAGCCCCCCTAACGCTTTCTCTTAATAACTATCCCTAAGGTTATAGTTATAGTTAAGGTCTCTAGGCCACTCTCTATTATTAGAATTCTTAGCCTTTATAGAAGTACTACGTAAGCTATATAATTACTTTTTCTAGTCTAGCCTATATATAGGCCACCCTTAGTTACCTTCTTAGTTTAGAGTACTTAGGAATAACATCTAGTTTTAGATGTTAAATCTTCCTACTATAAAACCCCTCCTAGTAATATATACATAATATATTATTTAATTAATAGATATTATAGTTAAATATATATTAGTACTATATTACTAGATATTAACTTAAAACCCTATTTATTAATAAATAGATATTCTTTAGTTAAATAGTCTATTTAGAAGATGTTAAAGTAAAAGCCTTAAAAATAACTAAGCCTTACTTAAGTAATTATAAGACGAAGACTGGCTAAAGTAGCATATATATAATTAATTAAATTAATTACATAAGAATCCTTAGTATAAGTAAGGGCCTATTTTAGGTTTTTTTTTTTTTTTTTTTTTTTTATAATAAAGCTACTATTGCAACTACCTAATAGTAAAGAAATAGCTAGTTAGTACTATATATTAACTATAAATAGCTCTTTATTATGTTCTATACATAATAAGATAAGAAAAGAGAAAGAAATAAGAAAGGTGTATTTTATAAGGTTCTAGCTTACTAAGGTAAGTTACTAAAGCTAACCTAAATACTAAGACTTACTAGCTTAGAGGTTTCTCCGCCGCACTAGGTAACTAAGTCGCAGCTGCTCCTTATTCGCACCTAATACTAAGCATACTATTACAAAGAGGCCTCGTAATGTTAAGATTACTATTTTAGGTTATAAGCGCTTATATATACTACTAATCTAGCATAATCTCTTATATAGTAATTCTAATTAATTAGCTTATTTATTAAGCTTATTTTCCTTAATAGTTATAAGCCTAGCGCTTTAAAAGTAAAATAGAATACTTCTCTCTATATACTTTTCTTTAAAAATACTTAGTAAAACCACTTTACCTATCTAGAAATTAATTTAAAAAATTAATTACTCTATTATAATAGTAAAAGCCTAGCTAGAGTAATACCTACTTAGGGGATTATCTAACTAGTCTTACTAGTATAACTATTTTAAGATTATTACTAGTACTAAAGTGTTAAATCTAGAGAGGGTAGCTAATCCTAAATAGGTTAAGGTTAGTTCTTAGATAAGACTTATAGAGGAAGGAGAAAGAGTTCTTATTAATATAGAAGTATTTTATAAAATATAATAAGTTAATAAGGGAGGCCTAAGTAAATCTAAATAATAGATTAAAACTTAGGTTAAATATAAGTATAGAGTCTCTATATTTACGCTTTTATATACTTAGCTTAGGTAGTAGTTAACTATTACTTATTAACTATTACTTATTAACTATTAGTTACGTAATATCCTTTAGCGCCTAGTAGTATAGTTAAAATATATACTCTACTTAGGTAAGCTAATAGTAAGTATTATTATAATATAAAATAAGGTTCTAACTATTACTTAAGTCTAGATCCTAATATTATCCCCCTCTTTTATAGATTTATCCTTAAATTACGTATCCCTTAGTTACTATTATATAAGCGTAAGCCCTATATCTATTAATCTAGTAGGTAGCTATAATACCTTCTAACTTCTACTCCTATTAACTCTATTTATATAATAAAATCCTT